CTTTCCCCTTTGTAAAACAAAAAATAATTATGGGAGAAATATCGGAAAAAAGTATTTTGGCTTTCAAGCTTTTTTTCCAGATTTTTCTCATGTATATGTTTGTCTATGCACCCAGTGTAATTAGCAGGACATGTCAGGTTTTCCTTGATTGACACCGAAGGCAAATATTTTCTATTCCTGTAAAATCATAGTCATGTGGGTATTGTAACAACCAAGAGTTTGTATACTCTGGCGCACAACTCAGACAAAGCTATAAAGAACTGAGGGAAGTGGTTACCCTTTAGATAGGACCAAGTTTGTTGTGGGTAAACAACAGGAAGACTCGCTGAAAAGTCTCCTTGATCTATTAGGGAATATATACTACAGTTTGTTTGTACATGTGTACTGTACAGTTGATGGAGGCAGTGGCTGATGATATCATGGGGCACAGCCCGTGTGACCAGCTCCACTGCATGAGATACTTGTATCTAAAATAAGAAAAAGGCAGTGCAGTGTGAGAAGTGGAGTTTGAACAATAATAGAAAGTGCCGCATGGCACAGGGTGCGGAAACTACAAAAGAAAGTTGAAGAGGAGAATAAAATTTAAAGGTCCGAAAATTGTGTTATTGTAACACTACCCCCCTTCTAAGGCTCAACTTCCAGGCTCGACCAAATATCAGAGGTAGTAGTCAAATTTTCGGGCATAGGTTGAAAAAAGGAATTAAAAAGGTTCGAATCCATACCTCTAAGCTTCCTAGGAGCCGAGGGATTCTTAGAATAAAATTTGCAAACAATATTGCAGAAATTGTCCAGATGGGCTTCTGATTCCCACATTTTGTCCTCGTCTCCATAGCCCTTCCATAGGACTAGAAACTCTAACTTTCCACACTTTAAGTGTGTATCCACCACCCATTCAACTTCAAATTCTTCTTCACCTTCCTGAGTGACCACCACCGGTCTGGGCCGGTCTACGCACTGTCCTGGCAGTGGCCCTTTCTAAGGTCTTACACGGCTATTGTTGACCATGGGTACTACCCTCATTCGTTTTGGGAGTTCCAGCTCCACTGCATTGGGGTTGACTTCCTTAATCCGGTAAGGACCAATCCACTTTTTGGTCAGTTTTCTAGACTGCCAATCTTTCAATTTTAAGTGGTTGGTATCTAACAAGACCAGGTTGCCAACTTTGTAATCAGGGGCCTTGGAGTGTCTACACTCTGCCCTGCCTTTCATCTACTCTGCAGTTTTAAATAGTGCCTTGCGCGTTTCGTCCAAGACAGATTTCATGTCCTTAGCCATGTTCCCTGCAGCCTCGTTCTTGCTTTTACCAGGCTCTACACCCATTCTGGGGGGGTACAATCTTGTAATCTCAAATGGTGCCTTTCCTGTAGCTGATGACTGTTTAATATTATAAGAGAACTGGGCTATCTTTAGCCACTTGGCCCAATCCGCCTGTTTATCATTAATAAATATACGGAGATATTGCTTCAATTCCTGATTGAGCCTCTCTGTTTGTCTATCGGTCTGCGGATGGAACACCGTTGATAATTTAGGTTTAATGCCCAGCATCTGACAAAGTTCTTTTGTAAATTCACTAGCAAATTGGGGTCCCCTATCAGAGATAACCGTTTCTGGTAACCCATGGGTAGACCATATGAAATCTTTAAATAAGTTTGCCGTACCAGTGGTGGTAATGGTTTTGTTGGTGGGGATGAACACCACTTCTTTGGAGAAGCAATCTACTACCACCATCACTGAATCATACCCATTTGATTCAGGTAGATTTGTTGTGAAATCAACTGATATATCCTGCCAAGGACCAGCTGGTATCGGATTTGGCATAAGTTTACCGGCCGGCGGTTGATGTGAATTCTTTGCCATGGCACATCTCAGACAGGATTTTACATACTCCTGTACGTCTTTGACCATGCCAGGCCACATGTAGTTTCTGGAAATCAGCTCCATTGTTCGTTGCCACCCAAGGTGCCCAGCCACTGGAGTGTTGACGTCTATCTATTACCTTGATCCTTGCAAACTCAGGCACATAGATTTTGTCTTTAAAGCAGAAGAGCCCGTCTTCCCATAAGTAGTTTCCATTGCAGTCAAGGCACCCCTTCTCTTCGGAGGAAATGTCTTTCTTGAAGACCTCCAAAAGATCAGAATCTTGCCTGATTCGAACATTGGCAACCCTGGATTGGTCTATCAGGGTGACACCCTTGTTGTCATCTTCGATGCCATTGGCATGATCCTCTCTTCTGGATAAAGTGTCTGCTTTCCCCATAGAACTTCCAGGCTTATGAATTAATTTGTAATTAAACCTAGACAAGTACACCGCATAGCGGGCCTATCTCCGGTTCAAGTCTCGAGCTGTCATAAAATACTCCAGATTCTTATGATTGGTCCAAATTTCAAATTGGTGCCTAGCACCTTCTAAGTAGTGCTGCCAGTGCTCTAAAGCTCTAATGATGGCCAGCATCTCTTTGTTGTAAATTTGATAGTTGCGCTCTGTAGGCAACAAACTATGCGATAAATAGGCAAAAGGCCTCCAAAGATCATCAGGGCATTTAATTGACAACACAGCCCCAGTAGCAAAATCAGAAGAGTTGGTTTCTAGCCGGAACTCTTTGTTTAATTCTGGAAATGCCAGTATGGGCGCTGTTGTAAATGCCTGTTTAAGCTTATCAAAAGCTTCTTGTTCCTTGGCGCCCCAGTGCCAAATGATATCCTTTTTAGTGAGATCGTTCAACGGTCTCGTTATCTTTGCAAAATTTTCAATAAATCTTCGGTAGAAATTACCTAAGCCAAGGAAGGCCCTAACTCCTTTAATGTGAGTAAGTTCTGGCCAATCCAATATAGCTTGAACTTTCTCAGGGTCCATCCTGATTCCATTCTGGCCTATGATCATACCAAGGAAGTCTACTTCCTTTGCTTTCAAATTACATTTTTCGGGTTTGATGAATAGGTCCCATTCCTGTAAGCGTCAAAGGACTTCTTGCACAATCCTGTCATGCTCAGCCTCATCATCCGACTTCGTAAATATTAATAAATTGGCAATGTAAACGACGACACAGTTCTCTATGTCCGCAAAGATCTCATTCATCATGCTCTGGAAGGTTGCCGGTGAATTGGTCAACCCAAAGAACATAACAAGGGGCTTGAAGGATCCTCGGTGGCACATGAACGCGGCCTTCCAAGCATCTTCTTCTTTGATTCGTACATTATTGTACCCCCATCTGAGATCCATCTTTGTTAAGATTTTGGCACCAGCCAATTTGTCCACTAGCTGACTAATCAAAGGCAGCGGATATGCATTTTTAACCGTTGTCGATGATGAGAACTGTTGTTAGAAAACCACACACAAAAACAAACTAACACACAATCCTCCCAGATTCCACGGAACTTGTTTATGGGCTTTGCCTCCTAGAACAGTGGGTGCTCTGGTTGTTCGTGGGGTGGTATGTATGAGGATCCTTCAAAGTAAAACCCAGAGATGTATGAGTGTGGGTTTTGAGGAGGAGGGATAGTTGAATTGATAGAAGATAGGGGCTTAGTGACAAGTATAGATGAGCACTACCTTGCTAATTGTAGCACAAGGTAGGTTTGAGAATGACGAGGATGACGAGGTGACGAGGTTCCCAGTGATAGCAGGCTCCTAACGCACAAACTGTAGTGCTCAGAAGGACTCGAATCGAAAGGGATAACAATGACTTCAAAAGTGGGAAGTGACGATGACAGCAATTAACAGTGGTAGCAGTGGGAAGTGTTGTGACCACACTGGATCACAAGTAGCAGAGAGTAGTGAACTTGAGATTAGAGAAGAAGTCTGGATTGGAGTTCTTGTTGTTCTTTTACAAAGTAAAATACAGGGGTTTATATAGTGAAAGAAAAGTAGGCTATGCACAGTATAGCTGTGCAAAAAGAATGAGAAAGAACATGAAGGAAGGAATGTACGCTGATGAATCCTGCGTAGGTAGTACAGGATAAGATTGTCAAAAAAAGGAAAAGAAAGGGATAGAACAATGAATGCTGTGAGTAATGTCACAGGTTTGTACAGCCATAAAGTAAAGTCCAATAGCAAAAAGAGAGCAGGAAAATCATGATGTCATGGGAAGATGCAGTAAAAAAAAGGCAAGGCAAAACACTATCAGTATCAACACAGTTCCTTTATTGTCAGTCAGGCATTCTAAAAAATATGTGTCCATAAAAATGATTCAAAAATCAAAAATAATCACACTGTAAATGAATGTTCTGCTGAAAAAAAAAGAAACTGGAGCCACCAGTCCACCACCTAGTCCAAATCCTACAGTTCCATGGCCTTGCCAATGGACTGGTTGTGTTGGACCACCTGATCAAACGAGGGAGGGAGAGGAGTAGTTCCAATTTGGAACAAGTGAGTCCCAGGCAGCGTGTGGTAGGTGTAGCTGTAGTGAAGACGATGGACAAAAGATAAGTGTACCAAAGTGAATGGGACAGCAATGAACATGGGCGACACAAGAGGATGAACCTTCTCCAGCTCAAAAACTACCCACCCACGCTCCAACCAGGCAAGACGAGCGACCAATGTTTTGATAGTATATGATGGCAGATCAACGTCATGAAGATGGACCTGTTGCCCTATTTGGACTGGCCGCCGGGGCTTTGCTGATATCAGCAGTGGCACGTGGTAGTCAACGGATCGGCAATGGAAGCAGATAGGAAGTGGTGACATCAGAAATGGTGGGGGTGCAAATAAGATGAGGAGGAGGAGGGTGGAGGTGACGAAAAAGTGGATTAGAATGGGGATCCAGAAACGACCGTCAGGTGAGAATAAAAAGGAGAGGAAGGGGCTCATGGTGGGGCTAGGCAAAGGAAGGGAAACGACAAAAGCGAGGGCGCAATGCAATGTGTAGCCAGTGGCGACGCAAAAATTTGCTGAAATGCCGAAACACGGAAAGTACTGAATGGAAAAGCAAAGGTGAGCGTGACTGGATTGCCTAATAGAGGTGGTGCTGATCAGCCACAAGTTTGAAACAGGCAATATTAATTACTATTCCACGTGGCACTGTGCCTGTGTGGCGCAAAGGCGAGTCTTTTTGAATATTCGCTTCGTTATTGACACCTGTCCATGCTACCAATCAACTTTGGTGCATGACACCGTGTACTCATTCAAGTAACGATAGTCCATAATCATACATTTCTTACCATTCTTTTTAGGAATGAAGAACACTGGGGAAGTCATAGGGCTTTTTGAAGGTCTGATGTAACCCTTCCTAAGCTATTTGTCTATAAAACTGGAAGCCTCCTCTCTTTCTGGAGCAGAGAGGGGAATCATATGTCCCTTTCTAGGTTTGAACGTGTCCTTCAAATCTATAGCATGGTCCCAAGGCTTAGCCTCTGGGAAGCGCTCTGATTTGTGTTTGAAAAAGACTTTCCAGAAGTCATGGTACTCGGGAGGTACCAGCCTCTTAATCTCTTCTTCAGGTTTTACCTTGTCATCGTCATCATCAATCTTTTCCAAAGATTTGAGCTTGTAAACGTGACTAGCGTTTATCTTTTCAAGACACTCATTCTGACAGACATGACTTGGTTTACCCAAGTTCACACACTCCTGAGGACAATGTGACAATGTGACAACTCCTGTCTGCCAGTCGATCTCAGGATTGTGTTTAAATAGCCAGGTCCAGCCTAATATTAAATTAATCTTCCCTAGTTGGGTAGCTTTGGCGGTGACTCATTCCCTGTGTCCATGGTACTTGACAACAAAAGAACATTTGTGCGTGATACAGCCACCCGCGTTAAGCATACCGTCAATGTTATAGATGGGAATAGATACATCTAATTTTTCAAGGGGAAGTCCAATTTGCTCTGCCCAGACCTGATCTATGAAGATGCTATTAGCGCCTGAATCAAGCAGTGCGCTAGTTGGGTGTACTATGCCCCGGGCAAGGTTTTCCACACCAACATCTAAACAGATCTCCTTTTGGAATAAATATGTGCACATCAGCACACACCTTGGGATTTTGTTGGGAAGTGGCTCCGAGGAAGAAGTATTGAAAGAAACATTTTCTTCTACATTATTTTTACCAGAATCAAGCGCCCTATTGTTTGTCTTGCCGGGGCCACGCTCCAAGGAAGACGCTGGTACAGCGGTGGTATTGTAAGTATTTCTAGTATTAACTCCTTCATTATCCTGACCCACTGAATCAGTGCTCAAAGCAACTATATTGTCAGGTGGGTCCAGGGCAATTCCACAGTCACAACTATGCATACAAGTACATATTTTGGATAACAAATTTAGAAATTTATTGACAAATTGGGGAGCCATCCCCTTCTTTCCATTATTGCTTGTGCAACACCCTGGAGCAGGGGCCACCTTGTTGTGGTTTACTTCATTGTTTTGGGGAGCGAAGGCACCCAAGTGACCTATGCTCTGAATCCCTTTCCCTAAGCCTTCATCTCAGTGGTCTGCTGATTGTAGAAGAAGGCCCGGATTTTGTCGTAAGAACGACCGGCCAAAGAATTGAGCTGATTGTCCGGTTTTTCTGTTTCTAATTGGCACGCCTGGTGCCCTTGGTTGTTTTTTTGGTGAGCAGCCTGCACTCCATTTGTACAATCTCAGGCCATGTGCCCCTCCTGCCCACAGCTGAAGCAGGTGAATCTGCGCTTCTGTCCGCCCTGGAATGCGCCAATATCTATAGGAGCACCCCGTCCTGGCTGCAACCCGAATGGTTGGAACCCACAAGAGTGATTTTGTTTTTGGTTTGATGACCTCCTCTGGGAATAGTCGTTTTTGGTGGTCCCACCACCTTGGTGCATCTTGTAGAGCTCTATGGCCCTACCTATCTTTCGAACCTCCTCCGCTGCTTCGGAGAGATTCTCGCTTCTCATATCCTGCAGGTAAAGCTGTTCTGCAATGTGGGGGTTCATATTGTGTTCTAGCAGCTCCACTGCATGTTCATTACCAAGACCCCCTTGGATGGAGAGGGCTAGGAACCGGGTTACAAAATCATCCGTCCTCATGTTGCCTTGTTTGAAGGAACGGATGTGCTCATGCACCCAGTCATGCTCAGCTTGCGGTTTGAAATATTTTTTGATCTCAACTTTGAGATCATCCCAGGTAGGCCACATTCCTGCGGTGTAGCACTCCTGCATTCTAACTTGGGCATATCGACCCGCAACAGGTCCCTTTAGTCAAGATAGCACCACAGTGGCTACCTCAAAATTGTCGGTAAATGCGTCCCAATTTGCCTTAACCCATATTTTGAGCTTGATCCACCACTCGGTGAATCGCGCTCTGTCTCCCTCAAAGGCGCCAGGGTCAGCAACGACTTCAACTTTCTTATTAAACTTCTTTTCTACCCAGGGGGTTGCTGCAGGGGGGTTCGCCTGCAGCTCGGTGAGTTGTGTAGTCAACGCCAAGATCTGCTGCCGCATGTTGTGCAACAGAGCATTGATGTCAGGTTGGCTTTGCAACGACATGTTGACTTGTTCTCTTTGTTTGTGTAAGGTAAAAAAAACGTAACTGGGGGTCCCTGCTTGCTATCTGCGGATCTACCTCTTCCCAGCTGAGTATCGGGTCTCAATCCCCAACTACCCACACTATAGTATTTGAAATTGTATATTAAAATTATTTGTAATGAAACCCTGGTCCGAATGATTGTCAGGGGATGGCCCGCTTGTTAAACTGTCAGCCCTTCTCCAACTGGCGGAGGCAAGTGCCCGGCCCGGTCAGAGGTATCCGAAGAAGAAGGTTTGTATTCTAGAATCTAATCAACAATAGTTCCACACTATTGTTGAGCTACAGTACTCCCCTTCACGCTGGGGGCCGCGTATCAAGATTATTGTTTTTTCTCCCAAAGCACTACAAGGCCATTGCTAGGAGCGCACCTATCTGCTATGCGGGATATTCCCAAACAACAATACTATCCCCTTAACCCTGGGGTCCGGGTTTGCACAATGTGCGAGAGAGTAAAAAGAGCGAGTCCTAGTGTAACAACCAAGAGTTAATTACTCTGGCGCACAACTAGAACCAACTATAGAGATAAATGATGAGGGAATGGCTACCCCTTAGGTTTCAACAAGTTAGTTGTGAGGATACAACAGGAGGACTCGCTGAGGAGTCCCCTTAATCTATTGGGGTTTATATACTGTTACAGGTTTGTTTGTACATATGTACTATACAGTTGCTAAAGGCAGTGGCTGATGATGTCATAGGGCCTAGCCCGCTTCACTGCGTGAGAGAGTTTGTATCTAAAATAACAAAAAGAGCAGTGCAGCGCAAGAAAGTGGAGTTTAAACAAAATGGAAAGCGCCACATGGCACGGAGTGTGAAAACTACAGTAAAAGGTTAAAGCGGAGAATGAAAGTTAAAGGAAAGGTCCAAAACTTGTGTTATTGTAACAATAACTATTGTACGACTTTTAAAGATTAATCAGCAGGTGAGAGAATGTACTAATAATAAGTATTGTTATGCGTGTTCAGGAACCGTATCCTCATGGTGAGGTACAATCCTGACTAAAGCATTTATTAATATCACCAGGCACTGATGGGGTTTGGAGCTGGTTGGCAAGATCTCTCCCACCAGCCCTTACCCATTGTGCTGGCTGGCTGGGAGTACTACCCAGTCTCTGATCTGCGATATGAAGTGGTAACAATGGTTAAGAAAGCCTGTGAGGGCTATGAGAAGCAAGACAGCAAAAGATACCTCTAGCTCTAGGGCTAGAGGTGTAACAGGAAAAATGTTTGAGAACCAAGACATGGAACAAGAAGATAAGAAAATAATAAATGGTCCTTACAGCCGCAATAAACTGATATGTGTGCTTTATCTGTGGTAGAATCATTAGATGTAGGATATAATGATTCTCAGAGCCCCGATAAGAGTACTTACCCTTCCCCATTTCTCGCTGCAGGTCTTCCAGGATTTAGGTGCGCCCACAAAGGGGCTTTTGGACAATAGCAACTCGACCTCAACCCAGAATGACTTTGCAAAACTCATACCATCAGCCACTTTACTCCAGTTCTCTACTATATAGTCAATCATGATATGCTGTTGACTCTCAGACCAAACCACCCGGTCCTTGGAAGTTTGTCCAGTTGTAGTAGAATCTGTGGAACAACAGTTGATTGGCTGTTAGCTGGGACCGGTTGATTGTGGATCATCCTGAGTGAATAGCAATGGCACTTCTGTTTGCAAGGAGGTCCCTCAGCTGCCAAAGAGGCGGATACCTTCCTCTTCATGGTGAGCAACTGGTGTAGGTTGAGGTATGAGTCTGAGTGCAAATGGGTGGCATGACAGCATAGCGGCACAGATGGCTGTGCTCCCGGAAAAGTGCTCGCAAGTTCCCAAACGGACTCTATGATAGAAACTGGTCTGATAGAATGTGGGAACCGCTCAACAGTGCTGCCAAGGGTGCGGCTGGGTTCAAGACTAGTTATCCTGACGAGAATGAAGTATCAGTTCTACTACATTTATACCATTGCATTATGGAGATTCTCCATGCTGCTCATATTATCAAATATGCCAGCAATTAGATATCAAATGATCATCTAGATTTTGTAGACCAATATTCATAAATCACCCAAAGATGTCTAATCTTCTCCCACTACCTGAGTTCTGCTCAATGACATGGATCATATTGTAGATATCATCTGTGCAGCAATCACTTGTTTGCACTGATGTATCAAACAGGCTGTGGTACTGGTGTTTTGTGGTGCCGTCCAGTATATAGTTCCCCTTTCTTGTGCTGGGACTGAGCTTTGACTCGGAAATCTAGTACTTGTTTCATCTTCTAGTTGTATGCTTGTCAAGATGCCAGTAACCCCGGGCTCAATTCCTCCTGCAGAGATGAAGGAGCTAGAGCTATATCTAGTGAATTTTGTCACGGTTCGCTTTAGTGTTGGTGAGAACCCACTTTATTCTCATTCTTTGCCTTGCATTCTGATATTCAATTTGCAACCTCCAGTCGCTGCTACAGTGTTCTATACCTATGATTTTTGTGAGTGATATTGCCGTTATTTTCAGGGAATAAGGTCTCAGGCTGACTTTGCCAGTGCTGATGTTTGGCGACGAGGCGAGCATTTCAAATTTCTGGAACATTACGTTGCTGAGTTAACAAACTGTATAGGTAAAATTTATACTATTGTTGGACAATAGGTGCAATTGGTCTGGGGAGAAGTTGAATAACTCACCAGCCGTTGAGCTTGAGACTGTCGGAACTTGACCAGTAGATATAATTTTTAGTTTTCTAGCTGCCTATGTAGAAAAATAAGCAGGAACTTGAAGCATTGGAGCAGCGGAACAAAACCAAAAAGACGACACATGTTTTGGATTGGTTCTGCAATTTCTGGTCACACTGGGTCACAGCGGCACTCACAGACCAAATCAGACGGAGTTTACCAGTCAAATTCCACCAGGCCATACCAAGTCCTGAGACTGGTGGCATGTGCGGTACGCACTGAAGTGGAGCTAGCGGTCTTTGATTGATTATCTTGGTGCGTGATTGCCTGTTTCGGTCGCCTAGTCACGACCTCATCATTGTTTTTGTTTCTCCAGACGCTTTGAGGCCCCAATCAGCTCAGTAAGTATCTGGCATTGTAGGGGCTTACCTATTGACATTTTCTAGAAAGATATTGCAATATTCCCAGAATGCAATCTGGTCAAGTCTGGCCATCTTTCCCTAAACATTCACACTTCTGGGGTTCAAGAGCGTAGTGTCAGGCTATTGTTATTGCTACAGATAAGCTATTCACTAAATTCTTTCACAGTTATGTTCTCTATACTCTATTCTACATCTGAAAATTCTCTAGCTACCTGTACAGTGATTGTTGAGCCTCTGGAGGCCCAAGTGCATGTCTCTTACCAGTTGCATCCGGTGTCCAATGATAGTATGGGTACGTGAACGTAATTTGAAGAAGCGGGTACCAGCTATAAAAGCACTTTTTTTCATTGTAAGCCTCACTGCTTTGGTATGGCTGGTGATTTTCTGAACATCATCAGTGCCGCTATGCTACGTTTGGCTCTATCGTCACTTTCGCCTCATGTGAGTTTTGACAAAACCGGATAAACCCGGTCTCTGCCGAAGCAGCCATTGTTCTCCATGGAGTCACCATTGTTCTCCTAGGAGCACAATTGTACTCCTAGGAGTCATTATACTGTAGCAAGTAGCACCTCCGACTATAAGTAGTAGGGGGTTTAGTATAGGAATACCTCAGTTGTTTCTATAGCCTCTCGGGCAGCGGCTGAGTTTCACTTAGTTTTATTAAGTTTTTGTCAGACACATCCATTTAGCTCAAAGTAACTCCAAACTCAGTGAATCTAGTGCCTGCCAGTGAACTTTCAACACCTATGTGAGTTTTTGGCTTGAGCCATTTTGTATCAGCCTATTTTCTAATAGTTTCAAGACAGATGTAAGCATGAGCTGTTTTATTAATGTGTTTGTGTGCAGCAAGTAATAATGTGTCACTATGGCTCGCAGGCTTCACACTGGAAATGTTCACTATAATTGGTATGTACTCATTTGAAAACTGCACGCTGTAAGCTTACGGCTGAATTTTCAGGTGTCATATTGATGTTTCCCGTCAAAGGTTTCTGTTTACGAATCCTATGCCGCTACAGTAAACTGAATATATTTGACATAGCCATTCTTCAATTACGATTATTTGCTTTATATAACTATAGTAGGAAGCCTTCACTATACATAATTTTTTCCGTGTTTGACTTAGAAATCCAAACAGATAAATGGGTAACAGTCCCTGTCATCACATTGTTCGTTATGTTGGTGTCTTCTGAGTTGGGGATGGCCAGCTTTCTCGTATACTATGACAATTGTATGTTTTGGTCTCTTGCAAAACTAAAATATTGACCTGTTGAATGTAGTACACCTTTCGGACATTGTGGCGGCTTTATACGAGACTTTAGGGGTTTGTACAGGTGGTACACCTAAGTGGTTCAGTATTTTTTTGTGAGTGCCTTAGTTAGAACCCTGCGAATATGAACTTACGGCCATGCTCAGAATTCCATTCATGGTCTTCGACTGCATCTTGTCCTCTCTAGCAATGTTCAAATCATTTCAACATTATCGCCAGGTTCTTGATAAGACCTGGTCTGGCGCGAGTGTGCTCAGAATCCTTACGAGGGATTCATTTGTATTCTTCTTGATGTACGTGCTCATAAACTGCGAGAAATCAAAATCTGATTTTAATCACTCCCAAAGCAATTTCGTCATGTTTCTTATTGCTACTTCAACATACTCAACAGGTGATATTTACTTGTTCCAAGCGATAGGCGGCTGGCAATTGGTGATCCCGTCCGTTCTTGCTGGGCGACTGGTCATCAATATTCGCCGGTTTTATCTCGAGCCAAACCCCAATGTCCCCGGCTTCGATAGCACTAGCAGCAGCATTGAACTTGCAGAACCCCGGATGTTGGAATAAATATGTCGAGTCTTGAGTCAAGCTGGTACGAAGTGCCTATAAAGGAAGGCGAGTAAGTTTGGGTGGCCCGTGCTGTTAGAAAACGCGAGTCGACAAAGACAAGCGTCGTACGAAGGGAAAGTATGGCGCAGGACACCATACTAGGAAAGTGTAGTGGTAGGATGGCCCGTGCGTTTTGATGGGGCAATTTACCCCCTTAGTTATACTTCCGTTCGAGTTTAAAAACCTTCATAGCAACGATTGCCCACCTCAGAGCTTCGCCCACGAAGTCTGAGGTGAGGATCTTATACCTTCCTTATTTTTTGTGATATACTTACTCTGTACCTAGCATTTGGTTTATATTAGGTACGCGAATACATTCTCAGAGCTTCGCCCACGAAGTCTGAGCATTTGGTTTATATTAGATCTCTTTGAGGTTATGAGCCCTGCGAGTGAGACAACGTACCTTGAAAAAGACACCCTTGGGGTGCCAAAGCTCGAGCCGGATGGCTCGAACTGGTCGATGTACAAAACTCGCCTCGAATGGGCCCTTGCTGACCGAGACTGCGTCGAGCACCTCCATGGCACAGCAAAAAGGCCGATACCACTATCCCAGACCACTAGCCAGACTGCTGGCCAGGCCACAGCGACGACATCTCCTCCTGCAACAGTCAGCAAGGCTGATCAAGAAGCACTTGATGCCTGGCTAAAAAAGGAGTACCGCGCGCGAAATATATTAGGTCGCACCATACCTGATTCGACGCTGCGAAGGATCCTAAACAAACCCACCGTCGCCGACATGTGGGTCATGATCTGCCAAGAAAACGAGAACAAAACGGAGCTAGTTCAGTCCGAGCTAAGAGAAAGGTTGTCGAACCTACGCTGCACCGAGAAAGGAGACTTGCGCGCACATTTGGACAAGATTCGCGCGCTATGGGAACAGCTCAGCGCAGCAGGAGTCCAACTAGCAGACAAAGAACTCACCTCCAGCATCATCATGTCTTTGCCGCACTCATACGCCACCTACGTGTCGCACCTGTCAGCGTCTGCCCATATGTCAAAGCAGACCTTGGACCCAGAGACACTGATCTCGTACCTTCTCCAAGAATACGACCAACAGACCATATTCAGAAAACGCCCGACAGCGAAATCAGAGGACATCGCTATGTCAGCCACCGGAGGACAAGGATCGTCCAAACGTGGAAGTCGAGGCGGAAGAGGTCGCTACAAGAAAGGAAAATCATCTGGCGGCAGAGACGACAAGGATACCAGCGAGCTTGAATGCTGGAACTGCGGTGGAAAGGGACACAGGTCACACCAGTGTCCCAGTGAGAAGCGTGAGCGCTCCACAAAGAATGAGTCAAAAGGGGACTCACCAGGAGACAAGAAAGAAGAGGGGCAAACGGGCGATGCAAAGGGAAAGAAGCCTGAAAAGGCAAACCTTGCTGTCCACGTCCAATGCGACAGCGCGAGCCTATCAGATTTTGAAGAAGAAGGCGCGTGGAGCGCCCTCACTCACCAACTCGCCATGAACGCGAGGCCCAAGAGTCCCATTGAAATCTATGACTCCGGCGCTACGAGCCACTTCACCCCCCATCAACACCTCCTACTCAATTACCGCACGATTGCACCTTACCCTATAAGCGTGGCAAACCAAGACTCCTTCTCTGCTGTAGGAACAGGGGATATGATGATTAGTGTCCCCAACGGCGCCCATAAAGACACGCAAGTGCGCCTGAGAGACGTGTTATACGCACCAAATTTGGCCTACACCCTAGTTTCCATAGGCTGTATGGATAAGGCAGGCTACAAGGCCGTCTTTGCGAAAAGCGAATGCGTTATCTATGACCCGAGAGGAAAAATAAGAGGACGCATACCTAAAGTAGGTGGTGTGTACCAGTCGCGAGGCACAAATCTTCGCCACGAAAGCGCCAATGCAGCTGTTGAGCGCATATCTGCCACTGAACTCCACAAGCGCCTTGGCCATATAGCCATTGATGCAGCAAAGCGCATGGTGTCGAAGGGCTTGATCCATGGGGTAGAACTCCTGGAGGATAGGGAAACAGACACTTTCTGTGAAACTTGTGTCCGCGCCAAGGGCAAGCGCGAGGCAATCCCTAAAGTGAAACTGGGTGAGCGTGCACAGGAATATGGCCAGGAGATCCACACCGACCTATGGGGACCTGCACCAGTCAAAACGCTGGGTGGAAAACGGTACTATGTTGCCTTTACGGACGATAAGACACGCGAAACACATGTTTATCTACTGCGCGATAAATCCGACACTTTCCGTCAATTCCAAATGTATGAGGCCTGGGTCCGCAACCACATGAATGCAGCAATCAAAGTCTTACATAGCGACAGGGGTGGCGAATATATGAGCAATGCGTTTAGTGACTATCTGAGAGATAGAGGAATTATGAGGAAACTCACAGTGCATGACACCCCCGAACAGAACGGTGTTGCAGAGCGCGTGAACCGTACCCTACTCGAGAAAGTACGCGCCCTCTTACTTAGCAGTGGCCTGCCGAAATTCCTGTGGGGGGAAGCCATCAAACATGCATGTTGGTTGAAGAACCGCACCTCCACCAAGGCACTAGACAACATGACGCCGTTTGAAGCGGCACATGGTGTCAAGCCGGATCTTGCTGGCCTACACGAATGGGGCTGCAATGTACTCGTGCACGACGCAACTGGCTCAAAGCTTGAGAGCCGAGCTAGGAGGGGTCACTGGGTCGGTTTTGATACCGAAAGTCTCGGACACCGCATCTATTGGCCAGAGAATCATTCAGTCACTGTTGAGCGCTCAGTGCATTTCGACGTCGGGAATGTACCTGTAAATGCTGACAACGAACCTCCCTTTGGGCTTGAGGGGGAGCATGATGTCCTGGACCAAGCGCCAAAGGAGAGTGACATTGTAGAAATTAGTGATCACATACCTCATCCCGATTCACCCAATCCCCAAGCAATCCCTGACCCACTATACCCTCAGGATCAAGATCAAGCTGATCCTGATCCCATCCTACCAGCTCCGGTTCTTCCACCTCCACCTATAGTTGCTCCGCGTCGAAGTACCCGCATTCGCCAGCCAACCCAATATGTTCGCGACCTCCTACAAGGAAAAGGATCAGTATCTGGAAATAACGGACCCACCTTACCCAAAGGCATCCAACTGAATGTCGACGATCCGGATGGGAGAGATGAGGAAGAGAGAGATAATGAAGCACTAAGGGATCTCGCCCAAAATGTAGCCATGGTGGCACGCATGGCAGATCTTGAAGGCGTTGAACCCAGAACTATTGAAGAAGCCCGAAAGCGCCCAGACTGGCCAAAATGGGAAGAAGCGATCAATGAGGAATTGAACAGGCTTCGAGTAGCAGGAACATGGACTTACATTGAGAAACCCAAAGATGCGAACATCGTAGGGAGTAAATGGGTGTTCAAGCTAAAGAAAACAGCGTCAGGATGCATCGATAAGTACAAGGCAAGGCTTGTAGCACAAGGCTACAGCCAAGTGGAAGGAATAGACTATTTCGACACATTTGCCCCCGTTGCAAAGATGGCATCGCTACGAATCATCTTAGCGATGGCTGCTCGAAATGATTGGGAAACTCACCAGATGGATGTAAAAAGTGCATACCTAAACGGCGAACTAGAAGAAAACGAGGTCATCTACATGCGACAACCGCCTGGTTACAACGCACCTGGAAAAGAGACCCAAGTCCTACGCCTAAACAAGACACTCTATGGCCTGAAGCAGGCCGGCCGCAGGTGGTATCAGACTCTATGCGACGGACTCCAGAAAATTGGTTTAATTCGCTGTGAAACAGACCATGCAGTTTTCCATAGGCGCAATGAAGGAGAGCTCACCATTATTGCAGTTCATGTAGACGACATGACTCTCGTCACACCATCAATGACTGAGATGAACCGTTTGAAATTTGACCTAGGAAAACTCTTCGAAGTTAGTGACCTGGGGGAGCTACATTGGATGTTAGGAATAGAAGTGAAAAGAGACAGAAGCACACGCACCTTATACATGTCACAACGCAGCTACCTCGACACTATTGTCAAACGCTTCAACCTAGAAGATGCAAAAACGTTAGCGATCCCAATGGTTGCTAGCACGTACCTGAGTAAAGATCAGAGCCCCAAGACGCCTGAAGACTACGCAGAAATGCGAAACATCCCATATCGAGAGGCCGTGGGATCACTGATGTATGCGGCGATTGGCACACGCCCCGATATCGCGCATGTTGTTGCAATTCTTTCTCGTTTTGTCGAGAACCCAGGTCCGGCCCATTGGGAGGCAGCAAAAAGGGTGATCCGGTACCTAAAAGGGAGCAGAGAGCTATGGTTAGCATACGGTCCGGAAGAACAGCCACTTACCGGATACACCGATGCAGATGGGAGTATGAACGAGACCAGGCGAGCCATATCAGGCTATGCCATGATGCTTGATGGTGGCGCCGTCTCGTGGTACTCGAAGCAACAAGAAATTGTCGCGTTATCAACGACAGAGGCCGAGTATGTGGCTGCGACACATGCCACTAAGGAACTACTGTGGGCGAGGATGTTCATCAGCAAACTCTTCAATCAAGACTTACCACCAACCATCCTCCTGTGTGATAACCAATCAGCCATAGCACTTTCGAAGGACAGTCAATACCACGCGCGAACCAAACATATCGATGTTCGGTACCATTTCATTCGGCACGCCATTGAAGAAGGGAAGATCGAGATTACTTATTGCCCAACTGAAGAGATGACAGCCGACGTGCTCACCAAGTCCTTGCCCTCTGCAAAGGTGAAACATTTTGCGGCTGCGTTAGGCCTACGTACCGCTTGAGGGGGAGTGTTAGAAAACGCGAGTCGACAAAGACAAGCGTCGTACGAAGGGAAAGTATGGCGCAGGACACCATACTAGGAAAGTGTAGTGGTAGGATGGCCCGTGCGTTTTGATGGGGCAATTTACCCCCTTAGTTATACTTCCGTTCGAGTTTAAAAACCTTCGTAGCAACGATTGCCCACCTCAGAGCTTCGCCCACGAAGTCTGAGGTGAGGATCTTATACCTTCCTTATTTTTTGTGATATACTTACTCTGTACCTAGCATTTGGTTTATATTAGGTACGCGAATACATTCTCAGAGCTTCGCCCACGAAGTCTGAGCATTTGGTTTATATTAGATCTCTTTGACGTGCACCACTATATACCATCAAAATTTTGATTCCATTATTTTACTTACCTATAAAGAGGACCTGGTTGCCACATATCACCTCAGACTCTGCAACAAGATCTGAGGTGAGACCCTCTACGTTTTTTCTCCTTCTTGAATAGCTAGCTGATTATTAGTATAGCTTTCTATTTTATCTATAGGTACTTACTTAAATGTACTCTCAGAGTCTGCAACAAGGTCTGAGCTTTCTATCTTATCTATAGATCAATCCAAACGTCTTGACCGGAGACGAACACCACGACGGGGTGGAGACCATTCATGATGGATTCCTTTATCATCGTTGATAACTGATAATAATGCCTGTGACTTTTCACATTTTCGATAAGCATAAAATCCAAGTGATTGTACTGTCCTGCCACCCAGCCATGGAACCGACATTCTCGAAGTCTGATATTTTGTAGACCCAACGCACTTTAGAGCCGTTGTTCCATATCATTAATATAATCTAAAACTTACAATTTGCTGCGGTGAGAAGTGGTCCTGAGATAAACGTGGATTCTAGATTACGAAATTCAACGCGTAGACTGCCTCGTGTTGGCTAAAAAGCTAATACCCTCGAGGACTCCGGTATTGTGTTTTGACTGTCGAAAATATAAATCGAGCGCAAACAGCCTAGGTTCAATTCTGCGAGCGAAATTGTGTCCCCTGAATACAATCGAAATTTCAGAAAAATGGAGGACCTGCAAGGACAAACAGCGATATACAACGCGTCTTAATCGCGACCAAGTTGTTAGCCACTGCATGCTCACAAACATCGAAATCTTAACGGCACACATAGGTTACACTAGCTTTGCAATCTGCATTTCATAGTAGGGAAAGCACAACAACAAGGCAGCCATAACGTGATAGTCAGATATCTATTAGGAAATGACAGACTGGACCGCAAACTCGAATGAGGCGCTGAATCTATCTCTCGGTGATTGTTTTTCTGTTCTCGTTGATTTGCCCAATTGACTAGAATCTTTATTATCGCTGCAACTTGTTTTGGAATATATTTCTATTTTCCTGGGGTTTCAAAGTACGAGCGGAGGCAGATAAACTTCTGCTAGGAGGAGAAGAGTCTTACGAAGATTTTCATCCCACGTTCACATATCCCGTACGTTTATTCCTTTATTCCAGTATTATACCTATTATGCGGAGCATGCCCGTCTGACCTCGTTTGTACATTTAGATATACGGCGAAGATGAGAAGCTCTACGGTTACAAAGACCTTATGATAGATGTTCGTTGCTGTTTGTTTTACTACTGAGAGCTAACTAACGATCCCGGAATTCGAATTATGCAGATGAGATTTGCATCTGGATCTCTAGTCCACTACCTATCAGTCAAATACTCAGAAAAACTGGGCTCGTCTTCAACTGTAGATGATGTGGAAGGGATACTAAAAGAATTCATACCAGAAGGTGCGCGTTATTTTCGACGAGAATGACCATCAATTAGGTCGCTCAGCTGCGTATTCTTAATGATATTATTTATGTCAACGTAGATTATTACACTGATGAACAAACGTTTCTCACTCGAGTGGAAGAAGATGCTGCATCTTTTGCGCCAATGGGAAAGTTGATACATTCGTATACAAGACCGTCTCCGTCTTCGAAGTCCAAAGGCAAAAGCGTGATACGCAATGAACAGCTCAACCCTGACAGCAGGGATGTGGTTACGTACGAAGTTTATCATGTAGGTGTTGAATTCTTTCCTTTAAACAAGGGTTCCTGATCTGAGGATTGAATCAGTCAACGTGGAGTACCCCCGGTTTCAGAGAATATCATCGTCGCATGCAGCTTTTCATCCTATTGTACATTGAAGCTGGGTCTTACATTAATGAGGAGGAAGAGCCTTGGGAGTTTGTAGTCTTGTAAGTTTCGTATTGCTTCATCTCACCGACTTTTGGAAACTTAGTTTTTTATTCGCTCTGCGCGTTAAGGTACGAGAAGCGAAAGCGGACAGGGCCCACTGGAGGTGTATCATATCATTTCATTGGGTATTCCTCGCTGTACAACTTTTATTGTTTCCCTGAGAAGGTTCGCATGAGATTGAGGTGTGATTTGGAACTATATTATGGCGTGATCACTATCTTATACGCTATCACTCCTCTAGCCAATTTGTCATTCTCCCTCCCTATCAACGGCAGGGCCATGGATGTGAGTAGATATTTACTTTCCATTGAAATATTACTTAATGTTTGTAGCGGAGCTCTATACATCCATATACAATTATGTTGTTGCCAGTCCAAATATCGCGGAGCTCACTGTTGAAGATCCAGCTGAAGCATTTGAGGACCTTCGGGATCGAAATGATCTCAAGTTGCTCCTAGGTCACGCTCGTTTCATGGAGGAAGGTTTTGGGCCTGGCATAGTTTCCCATGGAGGAGGTCGAGTGGAAAAGAAAAAGACAAAGGCGCGGGCCACGCCAATGGGCGCCCCATCGGGGCCTGTAAAGAGGAAGGGCAAGATGGGCCCTCCGGCAGACAAACCATGGGTAGAGGGATGGAGGAAGGATCTCAAGATTGCCGGGGTAAGTTCGAGAATCCTTGAGTCCATCCACGAATGATAAACTCACTGAAATGAAAACTATAGCGTCAATTTTATCGTCTTGTAGAAATGTTGATCCTGTTGCATCTTGACCCAGCAGATATCCGTGCTGCTCGAGCATATAGGCTTCAGGTCAAGGAGAGGTTGTATCGTTTTAATTTCGTACGTTGTCACTGTTGTGCATAAAGTTTTTTGATATAACTTTGTGTCCCTTTTCCAGGAAATCTTAGCACAGCTAGAAAAACAAGAACGGCAGGAAAAACTGGAAGAGACATTCCAAGGTGTCAGGGAGGATTATTTAAGGATAGTATCTATGGTTCGCTAAGTGCTTTGTATGCAATCGAATGTTTTCTTTTCCCTCGATTTCGGCCAAATAAGAAGCACTTCATCCTGCTAACAGATATTAACTCCAGAATTTCAGTTTTACACCAAAAACATGCAGGTTGCGCTGAATCCGCTCAGGACTCATCGTCAGCTAGGATGCAGCCCCTCCGTCGCCCGCCTCTGCACCACCTTCACCCTGGGGATCCTCGTCGTGAGCGCTTTGAGTTGTTCCATCTCCCGCACGGTCTCGTCTCTTCTTCTCCATGATTATGAACGACAAGACAACAAGGTCGATATCGAGGTTGTTAGGTTCAATCCGAAGGCAAGATTTTCTCTGACCTATGAACAAACCCTCACCTGGGAGACCTTGCATATAACGTGCAACTTCTTCTCCTGTGTCGATTTCCGTGAGCTATGATCATGCGAAATAATTAACTTGATGTTTCGCATTGGTAATGATGCCATAAACGCACGACTAGGCTATCTTTGATAGGTTTCCACCTATATTCGCGTCCATCGTTCCCCGCAAAATATCGCGACCTATAGTGTGTTAGTAGGCAGAGAGTTTCTTTCTTCGTCTTATGAAATAATAATATATTTACGAGCTAAATCTTCCCCTCCTATACAGGAAATCTTTCACCTTCACGCTCAACTCCAGGCCCAACAGCAAGTTACTCCGCACGACAGTGGGAGACCGCACGTAATTCCAAGCAATGTCAGCTACTATGCTGTCTTCGTCCGAATCGCCGGGACGCCGGATGCGCGAGACGTCTGGTCGACGGAACGCGTGCCCGCGATAGGTGCGTACGCGATAATGCGCGACGCCATTTTTGGAAACCAGCACCGTACGCTCGGGATTATTGGGGACCAGAAAAAGCTCCATGGGGTTTGAGGTGTATAGGATCGCGGGAGAAGCAAAGTGGGAATATATGTGCTGATTGGGTCACGAACTTGAGTGCTTATATTGATCAATCCTAACAGAACCAGACAGAACACGGTCTGGCCATTCGAGTGTGGACTACTAGTTTCTTGTGCATGTTACTTCCCCCAAGCAATGGACTCTAGGCTGTCTAAAGAACCGTCGAGAATGACATATGTTTCAGTTAAATTTGGGAGATACATATACTTCCACCTTGGAATGCAACCCGAGGCCTAGAGTCTGAGATTGGAAGTTCTAATATTACTGGCTTTCTAAACAGGTTACCAAATTTACTCGTAATATACATTGAACCATAAGTGCCATAGACAACCAAAAGTTATAGTCATGATGAAGATAAATAAAATAATCCAACCGTATTGCCGAACCCGGCAATCCCTTGAGACTGGCATGCAATCAAAGGTGATACTCTAGTAAATGGTATCCGAGGGTGTTCATCTTTTGCATTAGAGCTCGAGGACGATCGACGTGAGTGAACTTGCGCCTGATCGAGCGGGTGCGTAGATGTGAAGTTGTCGCTCAGGGTGGACAATCCAGAACTCTGCATTCGTGTGAGGATTGGATCGAATATCCATAATTCCCATCGATCCAAGGCCGCAGAACTTAGACCGCATAGCGGGTTGGAAGTAGTTGTCGCCTTCACTTGCAGTTCGGTTCGAGACTTACGCCGCACGCCTAATATCTTGCCATTCGCAACGTCCCAGCCACCCCTCTCGCATCTCGCATCGCCACACCTGACGACGACAACACTCTTCCATGGTGTGAGAGGTATGGTCGATATATTTAGAGGCCCGACAGGATGATCAGCATCGTTTTCATCACTCAATACCGGAAGTGTTAGACTGTCTGAGGGGCGCCGATGTGTATCCTTTTCTGAAGCCCTCCGGGAATGAATACCGTGTGCTGATACAGGGAAGGCTGAAAAATCAGGATTAGAGGAATTGCTAGCGACAGACAATCTTCGAGTTCCTGAAGAGCCCCCAGAAAGAGAAGCCATGCTACTGCTCCGCGACCGTCGTCCTATTGTCAAATCTCTAGAGGAGATTTGACGAGGGATATTGCCTGCACATGAGCATCTTCTGGCATTCGGCGTGACATGTACAGTGTAAAAAAGGACGATATGACCGATAGATAGGGTAACGAGGAAGGTATCCAGTGGTAGCTCTCCACAGAATCGACATGTTTCCGATGATATAGATGATATCCGAATTTGGCTAATGTTGCCATGTACTTCCTCCAGTATAGATATACACTCCCCCGTCCGTCCATTCCAAAGTGAGACTACTCCGGCCTCCGTGGTTACGCCAACAACGGTGCGATACTCTCCATCCAGCTTGACGCGACAGGCATGGGCTTTCGTCACTAAATCAGACGAATTACCTGCCTGGACAAAACATGTGGATGGTGGGGATGGTTCTCCTTCGGCTAATTCTGACAGTTCTAAGGAGCCATCTGCCATAGAGAAAGCTACGAGGAGACTATCATCGCTCTGTACACGTGAGACCATGCTTTTAGTGATGAGATCCAAGCGTGTAGGAGATACGAATTCAGGGGAAGACGCAGAGCCTACTTTCCACTTTACGACGAGGCCATTTTCGTAAACGGCAACCAAGAACGCTGTTTCTGTGGCTCGTGTTGGAGAACTCGACTTTGAATACGGCTCCGACCTTGGCAGGGGTGTCGGTGAGGCCAATGGAAGGAACTGAAGCTCTACTACAGCAATGGACGTGCTTTCCAGCGTAAGATGTGGAAAGGGTTTAATAGATTTATCGTCGATAGACCATACGGCAATAGTGCCAGCACCTGTACCCACAGCACAAAACCTGCCAGCATCATCGACTGCGACTGCAGTAAGTGCGGATGCGGCTGACGATGTACTGGCTCCACGGAGCAGAACGTCAGTGGCATCGATGGATATATGCGAATAATTATCTGTGCGCCATATGACAAACTCATTTTGTAGGTCTACAGCAGCGACAATGCGCCTATCCATGCTTGCAGCGAGGAGTTCGACATCGGTAGAAAAAGCTCTAGGTAACGTCGTGAATGAAACTTGGCTTTCAAGGGTTAGATCCATATTTACAGACGGCATATCTCCTTCCGGGCGATTACGCTGAGCCTCAAGGAGTTCAGCATCCTTCAGTAGATAAAGAAGTAAACCATATAGCGCAGTTGTCGTGAGCGCCATGGGCAAGACGACGATCTTGAGCAACCAGAGTAATGGCCTAAAGCTACGCGCTGCGGGTCTAGAGCGCGCCTTTGACTCGACTCCTCTGTCTGTCTGAGATTCGGGTTGGAACGTGACTATAGTAGGCACCTCTATTCGGAGATGTACCAGAGTATCTTCACCAGGGTTCAAAATCTTCCAGATATGCCATGCAGGAGAATTCATATCAGCCCCACTTTGATTAGTCTGTAAACGAGGTGAAGGACCACGGAGTGATGGATTTGTGTCAGCTTCACTATGAGCGGAGGGACGGGTCATCAAATACAGTGTTGCCGTTATTGCAAGGAGCTAATATATCACTAATAAGCGGGCATTAATTGTTAGTGCTAAGAAACGTACCAAAACAAAGCTGAGGTTTTTAGTAGCGCGACCTTTGAGCAGGTTCTTGCATTTCCGGGTGAATTGCTGCCATTTCGTACCTGCTGGGGCCGAAGGTGATTCTCGAAGAGAATTCGGCATCGCGGGAGCCAAACTTGGATTTTGTCGTAAAAGTTCGTCAAGCTGAACAAAACGCGTGATTAATGGTCTTTTACTCAGCCACCGCGAAATGGAAGCATTACCTCGAGACGCTGAATATCGATCGATAACACAGCCAGAAAGAATGTATGGGCAAGAAACCAGTGTGCAACAAGCACAACGATTGCAAAAGCACAGAACTGCCGAATCGCCCCGGCTGAGAGTACAGCCATGACACCTAAGAGAGAGTTATAAGTGACGACCTTCAGTGTATTTGAAGTGCCTGCACGGCTTAGCCCTTCGGCTATTCGCTCTTTGACGGGTAGTGTCACGGAGGTCTTTGTTACAGCATCAACCTGTTAATATCCAAGTGAGTGAGCTCCAGGAATGGAGTATCTAGGCACTGGCTTACGAGACTGAACATGTTTTCTGCTCCCACAAATACGATAACGATGGGTAACAGCCCCCTAAAGAGGAAAATCAACGATGGATTGAACATAACAGGTTTAACGCTCACATACCATGGAACCATGGTAACCTTGAACCCGACCAGAGCGCAAACGCTGAGACTAGTAATGGTACTGACGGCAATTTCAACTAGTGCGGTGAAAGTGAGACCGACCCGGGAGTGGACACCATCCATCCGCCTCATGGACCATGAGACATAAACAAAGAAACTTATGTATGCCAGATACAGAAAAGTGGAGATGGCAGAAAATGCAGAAGTTCTAGATGAGCTGTTATCATACTGAACGACAAATTGACTAGTCAGTATTGGCTAGCCAGACAAATATAAATAGACATACTTCAAGGGCAATGAGTGTCGGCTCGACGGCCTCAGCAAACATGACACTTTCGGTTGTGGCATTCCCGACAATTTCTAGCCATGCATCGTGGCCAGAATTTGCTAGGCAGTCTGAATCCGGAAAGAAGAAAGTCAAAGCAAGGAACATTGCGAAATCAAACTTTGTCGAGTCGCGATCGTACGTCTCACGCCCAGCCAGAACCATGTGAGGTGTTATGCGTAACCCATCGATCATAACCTCATTGGAAGGGGATTCCAGAGTAAGGGAGATATTCTTATCAGCGCGTAGGATTGCTTCGTCGTGATGCCAGAATGCCAAGGGACTGAGGACGAAGCAGTCGCCTTTCGGTCCTTTGAGGCAGGATAGTCCGTGTGATGATAGGCCTTCCAGAATGCGTCTTTCCAGTTGTAGAGTTGATAGTAATGTCTGGTGATTAAGAGCTCCGGTATCCTCCTCCGAATCCATATTGCTGCGCACAAGGATCCTTTCTACTCGCAAGGTTCGATCTTTACCACACCGCGCTCGGGATACCCCATCTTCGCGAAGTCGAAGCGTCTGATGTCCTTGCCAGAAGTTAAGCAGGTCACGCTGAGCATAGACGCCTGATTGCACGTTGGCGGACAAGAAAGAGTCAAGAACAGTTGAGGTTGATACCACAAGTGAGTATGAGGGGGACGAAGAATATATTGCAAGAGCGGGATAGAGCAGAGAGGTAATGACCAGGGATGAAATAAGGATGAGACGAATTTGGTGAGTTGCGCAGTGACTGTGGTTACATCAGACTGGTGAGGTACACGGCAAACACACCTGGAAGTGTACGTACATTCCAAAACTACGAAGAAAGAGTTCTGCGATGGTGCGAATGCGTTGTAGGATGTATGGTCCATAGGATAAAAAGCCTTGGTTGCGTTGGGACATTGCTGAGCACAGGACGAAAGGGAGGACTAGGTGACTTCAAGTTTGCGCTGCCAATGGTTGGTATGAGCGTTGCGGACGTTGCAGAGCATTACCAGATGAAAGTCAAGAATGAAAGCAAGACCAGAGACTGAAGCGATAGATATTTCTAGTCAATACGAAGCATTTGGAAGAACAAGAGAGTTGCAAGACACTGGGAATGCGGTGACTTGCAGTCTTGATTCGAATATTACACCTTCGCGCCAAAATTCGCAGTGGAAAGCCGTCGGAGACCAAGCGGGGACTGGTCCGTGGACCACATACCGGATTCGTACGATACACAACTTTACACCCAACTTTCTCTCTCTCCTCTCTGGACACATGAAGCACCTCGCTAAAATATCATATTTGGCGTCCTCTGCATCCCGCCATGGCGCTGCAGTACAAAGGAGAGGTATAAATCACTCAGTACCTGGTATCATCGTCACATACTCACCCAACTCTAGCCTTTCATGGGTCGGCACTGCGCTATGCCATTACCAACCTCCAAATGCCAGCCATGTCCCCAACGATGACCGAGGGTGGTATCTCGCAGTGGAAGAAGAAGGAGGGAGAGGAATTTTCTGCTGGTGATGTTCTCTTGGAAGTCGTGAGTAACTCACCGAAGCCGTCCTGAGTCATTCCCTTAGCTGGTGCGAATAATTCCTTGCAGGAAACAGATAAGGCTACCATCGACGTCGAGGCTCAAGATGATGGTATTATGGGGAAAATCATAGTAAGAGCTCGCGCACTGCTCACCCCAGCTTATCTCATAAGAGTAGTTACCAGACGGTGCGAAGAACGTCCCTGTCGGCAAAGTAATTGCACTTCTTGCAGAAGAAGGTGACGACATTTCAAACCTACAACCACCTAAAGAGGACTCCACTCCTTCCAAGAAGGAAAAAGAGCCTACACCACCACCTCCATCCAAACCCAAGCCCCAAGAGACGAAGGCACAACCTCCACTTTCGGAGCCTGCTTCAAAGTCTGCTTCAAAGCACCCAAAACATTCACGACCTTTGTTCCCTTCTGTCCTTCGCCTTCTGCAATCCAGCAATATCGAGAATCCTGAAAGCATCAAAGGTACAGGTGTCCGTGGAATGCTAACGAAAGGGGATGTCTTGGCGCATCTTGGAAAGGCTTCGAGTCCCACTGGAACGTATAAAGAAGGAGTCAAGAAGGAAGGGAAGGCTGAGAAGAAGGAAGAGAAGGTGAATGTTGATATCTCAGCTCAGTTTCTAGTGTCAGTGTTAACACTTACAACATCAGCCCATCGACGCCGCTACATTGCGCAAAGCCCTCATATCCAATGTAATTGCACAGTCGCAAAGTAGCGCATCTGGTACGTCTATCTCTCTTACACATCACACACCTTTTTAACTATGCACATGTCACCAGCTCAAAAAGCTCCAGTAAGCTTTGATTCCATCCTTGCATTCTATGCACCAACAGTGCGCCCTTCGACATCAACGGAGGAAGTACTTGCCGCACCCTCGTCCCCAGAGCCACCTGTACCTTCCAAATCAAAGAACAAGGAGATGGATTTCATCAATTCTTTGTTTTAACCCTTCATCACAGAGTATGTAGCTTAAGTTGCGTCAACTACTGTATAGGGGAGGTATCAGATCCATCGAAAAGGATCTCACATTCGATAGACTTGATGGATCGGGAGTGTGATTTTTTACTTCTAAATCATGTTTTTTTACCTTGATTAATAGACCGCAATAGAAACACCATCATTTTCTGATGTGCGTATGCTATGACGCCCATCGTGATATCTCCATTCTCATCAAGAAGTCTCCTCGTCCAATGCCAGACACTGGTGATAAAGCTAAATAAAGTGCAAAATATGAAGTACGAAGGAGGTGCACTCACCCGAAATTCGATAAACGAATTTGACAGCCCTCCTCTCGGCTTAGGGACAGGTACTAAGAATTGAAGGCTCAGTAGCCCTTCTTCCTCTATCCGAAGTGATGTCTTCGTGGAACTTTGAAGAGCACGTAATGTCCTAGAAATGTGACCGAAACGATAACTGACACGGCAGTTAGTACACTTTAAGATCCAACGTAAAGAAAGCTGTCGAGATCGCACCTGACAGTCAGTGGATGTGCACATTCAAAAGTCTCCAGTACTTCTCGATCATTAGGATAATCCATCTGTGCATCGTCTTGTGGTATATGTTTCGGCCACCGCAAAAGCACTTACCTCGGTGCTGCCAAATGTGCCTGACGCTTGAATCCTAAACAGAGGTTTTTCCTGAGCTCTTCCAAGCCTTGGGCCTCTTCTTACGTCTGCTGCCGGATTGGCGATGAATGTCAGCTTATCGCATGATGGATCCAGCTCTGACAAGGCGTCTCGAAGCCAAGATGAAGACTACATTTGAGGCATAAGAAAAATGCACGCAGTGTGGACGAAAGTGCAGACCTTGAAGATAATCTTGAGCACCCTAAAAGCATTTTTAATGGCAAATGGCAAAAAGAACACCGTGCTTACAGCTGGTCTGCATCAAATGGGAGCTCGATGTTTGGTTCAGAATCAAAGGTAGTAATTTCACATGTTGTCGTGGGTCCTGTTGAATCCTCAGCGCTGATCTAGCATTTTGATCAATCCAATTTACACATGGAACATTGCGACTTACAGGAGTAGAGTCAATGGGTAGCCCGGTCCTGCGTACGACATATTCATACTGGTTCGCTTTTCGCCGCCACCAAAATAGTGGTCGATGCGATTGTGAAGTGGGACATTCGCTCCAGGACGTTGTCTATTCGGCCTGTCGCCGTCGTCACCATCATGATCTGAGCCATCTTCTGCCCGTTTCCACTTCTTGTATTTAGTCCCTGCACTTGCGGATGAGATACCGGCTGTGCCAAATATATTGAGGCATTCTATTAGAGTATTGAGCGGAATTTCGAATGCGGAGGTGGCAGAGTGGGCGTCCTTTGACAGCTCGGAACTCTGAGATGATGGTGCATGATGAATGTCCGGATTGCAATCCCACTCATCAAAGTGTTCGGGGTAGATGTAGGACGTCGCTTTATAGGTTATTTAGGGTTTATCATTTGCATGCAGTTGATAAGGACACCTTACCTAGTAGTGTTCGGGCCTCTTCGACGGCAACAGTTATCCCTCCGCTAGCACTGAGTATAACGGAAGCCCGCTAAACGCTGTGGCCGTCAAACCCAGTATAGCATTGTATCTATTTGCTTACGTTTGAAAAGTTGATGCCTCGCAGGAGCATTGCTAGATACCGCACGTCATGTACTGATGCCACGAGTACCTGGGTAAGCAATGGGAATGAGAATCGCTGTATTCATGCATAATAATCACAGGTACCTGCTTAGCTTCCTCATCAGTTCGTTGGGACGTGAGCTGTGACATTTCTGTGGAAATTCCACCAGGGCGTACGCAGCTACCAACGCCACCAGTTTCAAGTTAGTGAATTCCAGTAAGTCATGATCCGATTTAGTTTGCGGGACTCACACAGACTTGCGCTCGTACCCTGAGAGCTGATCGAGATGGGAACTTGCGCCTTTGATGTAAACTAGTTCGAGTCGGTCAATTACAACTTAACAGGGACGCGAGCGGCCATAATTAAATGCGGCGCGGATGTGACATGATTCACGTGATTCGTGATGTGTCACATCAGGACTTGTACAATGATCTCAAGGGGTTAGGTTCACACAACAATACTATTAATTGCTTGCTACGGATTCTCCCTTTCCACCTAACTTGAACTCGGACTTCCAACTACTTGGGCTCCCTGGAGCTGGCTTGCTCGTAAACGCTCATCTGCAAGACCCTCAGAGCCCGGCCGTATCTTTTATTCTATATATTTCTGACATCAGTAGCAATGAAGCTCACTGTGTGTAATATGACGGAGGAATCGCTCATCTGTTGCTACGAGAGCGACGCCGGAAATTGGAACCACTGCTTCTTATTGCCTCTGTGCTCGACTTCAGCTACTATCCCTTCTCGGTGTTCTTATCTGATGTTGGCTCGTCGAAGTGTAGCTTACAATCCTAGGAAACCGAGGGAAAACATATCTACTGAACCGGACAGCTTTACTATTCGCCTGGCAATGGCATTAGGCGCTCAATGGCAGGCCATCAAAACTCCTCGGGACTGCGCCTGGCGTATTTATCGCAGCAAAGTACGTCATCACCCACAGAGCCATATTTTGATTTTGTGATGTACTCACTCTGAAGTTCAGATAACACGCAAACATCATCGGTTGTTGATCATCCCACGTCGAGACACGTCAAATTTCCTCTCAGAGATCCCTGATACCGTGCCCTTGTCGTCTTTATTATTACCTGGTGAGTCCATTCTGTTTGTACCTTTCATATTCCACGCTAAAGTCTACCTCAGGAACTCATGACACGTGAGTCAATATTTGTATACATGAGAAAGTGATTCCCTTGACACAGCTGTAGAATGGCTTTCTACGGATGGCCAGTATCACAATGCCAATCCCTCGGCACCCCATTGGATGCACAGCTTCGTGCAGGGATTCGGGTACTTGATATACGTCTTTCCATCATTGACTCTCGCCTATTGGCCTATCACGGAGCTTACCCTCAGCGAACTCCTTTTCGCGACATCCTCACAACGCTGTATGATTTCCTTAATGGACAATCCACCTGCTACGAGACTATTGTCGTTTCTATCAAGCAAGAAGACAAAGGCGGAGAACTGTTCTCCAAACTTGTTCGTGAAGAGATCATGGCTTCCCCTGGTGGTATAGAATTATGGTACTTAGAAAATAGAATTCCAACTTTAGGTGAGGTCCGAGGCAAGGCTGTCATGTTCAGCCGATTCGGTGGGAATGGTTTCGGATGGGATGGAGGGGCACTAGGGATTCATCCGTCTATCTGGCCAGATAGTGAAAAAGTTGGCTTTTCTTGGAATTGTCAAAATACCCTTGTTCAAACCCACGATTGGTGAGTTGATCAAAAACGTGTTGTTTTTGAGAACCAGCTAAGAGAGCTATTTCAAGGTATGCCATACCCTTGTTCCTAGCGATACCCGAGAAAGTATCTCTCTCCACTGGCATATTACTTTCATCTTCTGATAACCCGCCAATGCCAACCCTATCCATCTCGTTCTTCTCGGCTTCTTCATTTCCACTTGCCTTTCCACCTACCATAGCCCGCGGATTTGGGTGGCCTAAAGTAGGATTCGGATTTGAAGGCGTGAATGGAAGAGTAGGAAAGTGGCTATTAGATACCCTCGGAGAAAGCGTCGGAGGTCTGACCGAAAAGGGCAGCGATAGCCAGCCCAGAATCAGAGGGTGGACGTTCATGGACTTCTACGAGGATCCCATAGTGGCGGGAGTTATGCCACTGCTAATTGAGTGTAATTTTAGAGGCAGACGCAGTGGGCAGGAGGGCTGGCCATGAGGTGAAGACCATACATGTTGGCTGTATTCGCTGCTGACTTTTCATAGCCTTGCAGGTGTTTTACACTTCCGGAATGATTTTGATATACCTTTGAACTGGTACTTCTGCGCACTATTACCTGTCGTGTTGCGATACTAACACGTTCTCAGGAACGCCTTCACACCATCACAGCTTGTCGTTGATCGACTCCCGCAGGCGCTCCGAACACAATAAGAACAACGCTCCCAGGGCTGACTTGCCTCATATTTTTTCGCAAGCCAGCATTGCAGGGTCGCGGCGAATAGCACTGCCGCCATCAGCAAGGGCTTTATACACATGGTAAACCTCAAACTCGGTGCATCTATGGAAACTTTTGACCCGCTATGCTGCTAACAGCAAACATGTGTTTTATGTGCTATGGTCTAACCTCTTTTTAATGTGACAGGCCTCACTTCTGAGTCTCTAGCCTCAACCATACGTATTTATTTGCTTTCCGTGTCGTTATTAAACCGTGTATATCAGCTTTCCTGTGTCAGTTTACTGCTGTGTTTTCAGTTAGAAGTATGTTCTTTGTCTTGCATGTTCTTGCTGTCTTGCCTGATAACCTCGGGCTACTATAGAGCCGAAAAAAGTCATTTATAACCCTTGTACTTCTAGCTAGTGAAAGTGCAAATGAACTATGTTTATCGACCGCTTTGTGGCATTCATCTAGAAGCGCTGGTCCTTTGTTGTGAACTAAATCCACAGTGTAGGCCGAGCACTAGTGTCACTCCCGATGTTCCGTCACATTACGGCGTCCACCGCGTCGAGGGCGTGCTGTGACTCAGACTCATTTAATTTTCCCCAAGAAAAAAGCGTGTTTCTCGTGTGGACAGCGATCTCGGTCCTATCTGCAAACTACGGGATTCATGTGAGTAATCGTTCAGGCAGCTGGCTTTCTCCGATGACACGCTGAGTTGGCCCTTTACATATTATCTGACGATATACCGCCCCACTGTTGCCTCGCGGCACCGTGTTCCCCAGATAAATATCTGCAAGACACCTTATGTCCAATACGTTACTCCCTGAACTTGCACCTGACACAGAAGGCGACCATCTGGATATGGCTCCTCTCTCAACATCGCAAGCAGTAGCTGTTTACTGTGCAGCATCTCTAGGAAAGCGTCCAGCCTTTCAACTCGCTGCTTTGTGTATGCCAACCTTCATTCCCGCCTTGTCTTCATCAAAACTGACCTCTCCGCCACTCATCCAGCTCTAGGACATGCCCTCGCAGCGGCGAAGCGGCCATTGGTCTACGGTGGTGGTAATAGCGGTATCATGGGCATCATATCAGGCGCCGTCATGGAGTCTGAGGAAGGTCAAGTGACTGGCATCATCCCATATGCCATATTCGCCGCTGGCGGAGAGAAAGACAAGGGCAATGGAGTTCCTACTACGTCTACTGTATCTGCCGTACTCGATGAGTCACGGCGAGGACAGGTACGTCAGGATCTGTTACATATTTCATATATCATCCTAACATTCTGATGTTTTGTAGATCGAAACCGCAAGTTGGCTTCGTCGTGATTGCAGTTGTATGGCGTTATAACGTTATCTTCGTTTTCTAGATCGTAGTCAACTCCATGCACGAGCGTAAAATAGAGATGGCTAAGCGTGTAGGCGGGTTTGTTGGCTTGCCTGGAGGCTATGGGACTTTCGAAGAGGTATTTGGTGGTTGTATGCTACTCGAATAACTATATTGATGCCCTTTCCCACAGATCCTGGAGGTCATTACGTGGAACCAGCTTAACATTCATAATAAACGTAGGTGGTCGTGTCCGCAGCTTAGGCTTATAGATGTCTTACGCGTCGCCTGAACAGCCGTAGTGCTCCTTAATGTTCTGTCATATTTCGATCCCCTACGACAACTCATCCGAAATGGTATCGAAGATGGATTCATCCGGCCCCGGAATGAGCGCCTCGTGATCTTTGTCGATGGTCCTGAGGACCATTCACTGCACGAGTCGTTTGACTGGGGCAAGGCTGCGCTTGATGCCTTGAACAGCTGGGAGCACGATCAAGTACAGGCACTGCCATTCTTTTGGACAAAGGATACGGATAGCAGCAATGTCACGAACGGGGGATACCTCAGGCAGAAGGGTAGGTGGTTGAGGAAGGTTTGGCACGTACGGGCTCGCTCGTTGCCCCGCGCTGCGGCATAACTTTGTTTGCTACTTCTGATATCCTAGGCGGATATCATGCAGTCTAGAACATATGTGCCTCAGACACGGAAGCATACAGGTGCTCACCGGTGTCTACTTTACTTATTAGTATAACACTTTGGACTTCCATTTAGATATATGCCTCGTACAACCCCACACGTGTAATATATGCATGCGCATGTCATGTCGTACTTTAATGACTCAAGCAGAGGATGCCTTGCCGAATTTGGTCTCGATTTTTCGGTCCGTGCTCATGAATGCTTTGACGTCGTCGTCGGTAACACTGGCTTTCCTCTGTAGAACGAGTTGAGTAGGCTTTTAATATATATATATATATGAAGAGAATCTGCGCACCGTTTGAAAGCCTTTGACGAAGTCTTGCAAAAGCTGAATACATTTAGCTTTAAGTTGTCCAGTGAGTAGGCGTCCAGCCCTGTATTCCTATAAAATTACCACGTTCAGCTTCTAAGTATGCTTCAAGAGGACAAACTATAACTTACTTCACCGATCTTCGCCAGCTCCTCATCGTCCTCTAAAAAGAAACCAAGGTATTGGTAAGCTACATCAACCTCTGTGTCTCCTCCATATTTTCGGTGTTCTTCCTCTGTCTCCTTCCCGCCTGAGAAACCATGTTTATTGATTTTATTCTTGATCTGATTGGGGGTATCATTCATGAAAATACTCGAATTAGGATCCGAAGCGCTCATCTTCGTCTGTGGGCCCTGTAATGCGGGGAAGAAACGAGAGTGGACCAATGCTGGCTTTGGGTATTTAAGTTTCTGCGCGACATCTCGCGTGAGCCGGAAATAAGGATCTTGGTCGATCGCGCAAGGGATCAGACAAGGAATGTTGGATACCTCTCCGAAAATATGAGGGAATGAGTTAGAGAATGAAGGGGCAGCCTGTATGGCAGCGAAGTGTATTTTTCCGATATTGTCACTAGAGAAGAGCGTCACGGTTTATGTCGTGCCGTTTCGAATAATATAATGATACATACGACTCATTAAATCCAAAGGTAGCCTTGGCCTGGTTGAAAGATATCTGGCGAGATATCTTGGAAACATTGCGATAGAATGCGCCGCCCAAGTAGTCGTAGTCACTGAAGATGAATGTCTTCTCTAGATCGAATCCTACGGCGATAATATCTTTTGCATTTTGCTGTGCAAATGCTCGGGTCTGCTCAGCTTTAAGTTCGTGTTTGAACAAAAATTTCTCATCATCTGCAGGAGACACAGTCAGCCAGGCTAGAGGGAGTAAACATCGAACCTAGCTCACCGGTGAGTTGAATTACTAGTGGTACTTCAAAGACGTCCTGCAACCACCTTCGTCGCGGTTAGATGTGATATAAAAATGATAAAGTATAATCCTAACTTTGTGAACACAAAGGGTATCATATGTCCTAAGTGCATGCTGTCGCTACTAGGCCCTCGTCCGGTGTACAGGAAGAAAGGCTTTCCCTGTTCATATCGGTCCAGAATCTTGTCAAGGTCCCTTTATCCCAGATCACATCAGTAAACTGTCTTTTTGACCGTCGGAAGAACTTTAGGACAGCCGCAAGTGAGTGAAACTCACCGGTGCGAGAAGAACATACCTCTTCGAAGAAGCGGATGGGTTTTATGGCCTGTAAGCTTTTCGAAACGTTCAAGGAGAGCTTGATCGATGCGCCTAGTACCAAATTGATCAAGTAGTTTGTCGTAGTCGATCGCGAGCTGTTTCCCATCTGCAGATACGGAACCTTGCACGTCCCACGGCGTGACAACTTGGGCATGAGCTTCCGATGCAGATGTAGGTTTGATCTCTGGGGCGTTAGAGGTAGAAGCGGACGGGGCAGCATCTGGTGTAGCGTCACTCATGTTTTCTTTGGGTCTTTAGATGTCTAGTCAGAGAATAATAATGGGTTGACTGGAATGATTGTGGACATACACGGAGATGCTGGCATTATCGAGTGATGTCGTTAGGGATTCTATCTTTTTCCCGTTAGGATCTTCTGACGCCATGTATAAGTACGAGTACGAGACAAATGGTACTTGAGAATAATTCGATGATAGGAAACTTTTAAGGTCAAAACTCAGAGTCAGTGAATAGATCTTCCGAGTCATTTGCACGTGGTTATCAGTGCCCCATCTTGCCAGTCCCTTACGTAAGACAAGTATTTCTTGTACTTGTCGTTACTTATACGCAAGGTTAACCAAACGTTCTCTCAAAGTTGTCAAATATTCAATGTACAATGCAATTCATTCGGTTATTGAACGTATTCGTACATTACGGCTAAGTAACACAACTTGGATCACTATGTAATTTTATCATATGGTATGTCAGATGGTGAGAAGGGAGGTTGTGGGGGATGCGGCGAATGTAATGTTTTTAATGTTATCTGTATTATGGGAGGGAAGGAGGAAATGTTCGTGCACTACGTTTGTCCTCTACCTGTTGACCCTCGTTTGTATAGAACTTTTCTAAACTCTTGAACCATCACCGAACAACCAGTCCACATCTCGAATGCGCATTATGTGCATTGAGGACGTCGACCGGCGGTGTGGAACCCCTTAGAATCAGAGAAATGAAGATGGAGGTATGATGTGGTCAGGGCTTCCTGAACTCGCACAACACCGTGTAGATGGTATTGAACGCAGTGTAGATCTCTTCCCTGACCTAAGTCGGGAAGATGACAGTTAGCAGATGGACTGAACCGACTCCACTAACCCGACGTCTCCCGGAAGAAACGTCGATATCGCAGAAAAGGTAATAGCTTTACCTTTGCACCGGTAAGCACAATCTTCCCCGACACGAAAATAAGTAGCACCACTTTGGGCTTAATCATGCGATAAATAAGACCTGGAAACAGCTGCGAAGAAAATATCATTAGCTTCAAACGTCAGCTGTAGTAAAATATATGTACCTCTGGTTCGTAACTACTGAACTGCCCGTGACTGTACGCCAATCCCTCCAATCGTATGGGGAATTTGACATCACAGCTACCAACGATATTCTGAATCTTGAACTCGGAGAACTTCGCGTCGAAACCGAGCTTCTGCACTATACGTGCATATTTTCGCGATGCCAGCCGCGAGTCGTCTTCCGATTTTGCACCGGTGACTACCATCTTGCCCGAAGCAAAGATGAGTGCAGTCGTCTTGGGATCACGGATACGCATGATGACGGCCGCGAAACGCTGTGCAGTGACGAAGCGAGAAGCTCGACATGCACGCACATAATAAATCAAATAATGCCAACCTTGGGATTATATTCCGCATTACGAGCGTGTAACGCAATAGTCTTCAGGTCAAGCCGACAATCGAGGTTGACCGTAGCGACAATGTTCTGCAATGTCGGAACAATACCCTCAACTGCTGTGATATGTTGCTGCTCAAGAGTAAGCGGCACTGGTGTAGCTGCAACAGGAGTAGCGACTGGAGTCGACGGGCCAGCGACGGCGTTGGGTTGAGAGCCATTGATCAGAGTCTGCGACTGCGTGGCCGTCGGGGATTGCGATGGTGAATGTGACTGCGATAGCGGGGATGGCCCTGGTCCCGGCAGAGCGAGATTAGATGGGCCAGGAAGATATGTATTCGACCCTGGCAAGGCTAATCCATGGCTAGACTGGACCCCTGGCTGCTGTAATTGTTGTGGTTGTTGATACTGTGGTTGTTGGTATTGCTGCTGCTGCGGGGGGACATGTGTTCTACCAAAAGTCACTTGACGAGCGGGCAAGGCGAAGGACATTTTCTGATTGGATAAGAAGTTTGGAGGGGCTACAGAACACAGCCTTTTAAGGGCGTGAGAAAAATACGGCGAAGGGGGCGGAAAGACAAGACCCAGCAAGTCACGACCTGTGGCCTTTATATACTGATGTGAATTCAAGCTCCGCCCTTGATAACAATCAGAACCTTAATTCTTAGGTTCCTTTCTCCTTCCACAATCAAGGCATGATCCGTCCGAAGCGCCCGTCTTGCTTGAGTGTGCACGTCGTTCATAACAACTTGCCCGATACACCTGCTGGTCAAGAACACTTCATTGGTCTGGGAGCTATATGACCTGCGCATTTCATTCACGCACCTGGGGTTTAATTCGTCTTTCTTGTACATGTTGATTGGGAGCAGTGGGGTGTTAAGTCGGTTTACCCGGTCATTCTCACGCTCGTCTCGCAGGTCAGCCGTGTAGATATTGCCTGCTCGGGGCTACATTTCTCTCTTGTATTGATGTGTCAAGAGTTTGTGACGGTTGCGATCCTCTGAATCGTTGGATGGAAATGCTGTATTGCAGTTTGAGCAGTTGTGATCTTAGCGGGAATATCTACTACCTCAAAGGTGATTGTGGCGTCACAAAGGCGGGGATGACGAGGCTGTGTCGGCCATCTTAGTAATACTGCCTTGACAACCTCCGCAGCTATCTCGTAATATCAGATGTCGACTTTCGCATGATTGACTTGCAAGATTCACCCAGTGACTATAGACAGATTACAGCCTGGAATAATTGTCTTCGACTCCACGACCAGAGTACATAAACGTTACAAGGAGCAATAGAAACATAAACATCATGCAAGAAACCAAAGCTTTCGAGAATCAAACTTCAAAGTAGCAAAGACAACCTTTTTTTTGTTTTGCTGCATTTAGCGACCGCCGATCAGTGGTGCACGCTCTTCGTCTTCGAGCATAATACCACCGCCACGCCATTTGGTGACCAAGCTGTAAAGGGCCTTGAGGGTCCAGAGAGCTGCAAGAATGGCAAAGGCAAGCGAAGACCAGTGGACGAAGCCCGAGCGGGTCTGATGCGCAAAAATTGCCCAAAGGGACCAGAGGATGGCAATGGATGCAGGAAGATCACCCTCGGGAGAAGAGAACGCATAGGTAGCTGCGGTGCCTTCCAGGAAGAAACTGTAAGAGGTATAGGCGTAAGAAAGTTAGCACTCATGATATCCTGATCGTATTACGCACAGTCCAAGGAAGACGAAGACTTTGGTCCAGACGCCGGCGCGCTCGTGGAGGGCGTTTACACCGAATGCCTCGAATGCAGTCAAAACAACCAGCACAGTAGTCCAACCATGGTAAAGCGAGAACGGAAGGTGAACGAAAATCTCGTCACCAGTGGTGGAGGGCGCGTGATGCTTCTTGACGATGTAGTAAATGTGCTGTGTAGCTGTGAATTAGAAGACGAGGAACATGCTATTCATAACACGGCTTACAGTCACTGCGGAACTGACGAACAGCGCCAAGATGAATGCTGTGAAACCCACTGTTGAGCACACCGCATTGCTCCAACGGTGTTCGAATACTCACCGATGACGTAATGGTGCGTAGCCCAAAGGTTGACGTAGATGGCGTTCAGGATGCCCAGAAGAGGGAAACGCCATGAAATGCCGTCGATGATGACCTTCTTGCCACTAGCGGTGAACTGGTAGATGACTGTCCCAAGCAAAAGCAGATGAATCAAAGTCCTGAAACCCCTCTTTTAACATATTTTCCTTTGTCGAGGAGAGGTAAAACACACCAGATGAGGAAAGCCCAAGGAGCAGGAGTGATGTAGGTCTCTTTTCCGGTGTAGTAGATATCGTTAGGAGCGGCAATTGTATAGATGTTCGACCCTAAGAAGAGGAAGTACACCACGACATTGACGACCTACAAGAAAGAGCATGATGTCGACAAATATCCTCTAAAATGTATTCTGAAACATACCTTCAACAAAATTCCGTCCTTCCAGCTGGTCATGACGAGTTGAATATAATGTTTATACTAACAATGTGGGGAAAGGAAAGAAGGGGGACTAAACAAACGGCAAGCGAGAAGTGGTGCTTATGAGTGTTTGCAAGCAAGGAGGGAGCGCATACAGCATGCGCAGTTCGGCCCCTGACGACACTTGCCATGTGCCTTCCAATTCCGTCATTTCTATGGACAAACGAAGTGGCGAAGACCGCAACTACATGGCGCCGAGTTTGCAAATCACAGCCTATTCCAATTCTAGCATGGCCTGTGTGTGGCGTGATACCTTCAATTATTCGAAGACAATGTATCTAGCGAAAAGTTCTTTGAAGCACTCACAGCACCACAGTGGTTTTGACACAACAATGGCAGGCAGAGCAGTGCATTCAAGATATCACCCAACAGATCAATGTGAGATCTTTCTTCACCGCAAAAGTGATTTGAAAAACTGTGCCTTCAACGAAAACTGAGGAGCGGATATGAACTTGAATATGAATATCAGGCGATTAGAAACCAGCTGGCGGCTGTAACAAGCCACTGGAATGTTACTATCAGTGAAACTGTTGCTGCTGGATTGCAATTAGACCAAAGCTGCGCCTAAAGATGGCATGATATCTCGAAAATAGATTCATGACGGGGTCCCAGGTCTATATTTTTCTCATCTTTCTCCAAAGTTAGTTGATACGATAGGCGCAGTAGACCGAAATCTAAACTACGCTGCAATGGTACACTATATAACAGGAAGTTTTGCAACTGTGCCATCAGGGGCTATTGACCGACCGGCCAGAAATATAGATAAGTGGCTGATGGGTTCCGAGCATCAACAGCTTGACAGGCCCATCGTAACTAGATCGTTTCCAGCCTTGATATAATAGTAGTCGCCTAAACACACGCGCTTTGAGGGAATAAATAGTATTTGATCTAATCAATTTTAGCTTACCGTATACTATGCCGGTGAGATTGTTCGCAGAGGGGTAGTGGTTATTAACAGTACCATTGGCAAGTAAGCTTTGCCACGCTGGCTGCCAGGCTAAATTAGTCGTGTCGGAGAGGATCTATCCCGAGTCTTCTAATCAGCTAGATTATAGGGTGACTAGCATGAGCGCACCTTCAGCGCTGCGCTGGCCCATAGATCAGCTCCTGTTGTATTGGAAGGTTTCAGTGATGCTTCTTGTCTTGATAATAGAAGTAGCCCAGTCGCTACGATGGCTGCTGCAGAAGAGTCCGCAGGCCGAGGAGGTACCAGAGGAGCGTCGAAATCCCTGCGATATTCATGTACAGTTAGCTTTTGCGCCGGTCACTATAGAAAAGAAAGGTACCAAGGCGTGATACCATTTTCAGGCAAGTTGTTTAAGAAATAGGTCGCCATCCTGCGTGAGGTCTCGAGATAATTCATATCTCCCGTGTGATTGAACACTGGTGAGAAAATACTGAGGATGGCATTATCGAATAGACCAAGTAGCCAGCAACATACTGTTGGCAAATCCATATACGCCCCAGGCTTGCCCGCGGGTCCAAGTGCTGTGAATCGCCGTTAATATATAGCTCTTTCAAGCTTTCGGGACAAAGCTACCTATTGTTAGCATAACCTTGAGCTGTTCCTCGCCATATTACATCTCCAGTGGTAGCATTATATTCAACGACGTGAAATGAAGAACCTGGAGGTAGCGTGGATTCGTTAGTTCGTCGTACAGGCTATGTAAGTAGTGGAGATGCATACCATCCGGACGGACATGATTCTCCATCGTTTTGTTTGCATGAGATATAGCAATATCACGTAGAGTGTGGTTATTAGTAAGTGATTCAGAGACAAATAACACCTATATGCCTGAAATTAGAGTCGAACGACCTTTAGCACAGAATGACTCACTTCAAGATTCATCATGTTGTCGATAATGACCTTACAGATAGAAAAGTGTTATTCGAGTGTTCAGAAGAGTGGACTAGAGCATACCTCAAAGTCAGTTGGGTCAGCTGTATCCCAGCTACGAGTACAACCAACTACAGGGTTGAAACGTGCAGCCAGAGCAGTTGCAAATTGATTGACAGCTTCAATGGCTGATTGATTTGAAGGGTCACTGTGCCCCAACATAAATAAGAAGCAGCTTCACAAGTACACAAAACGCACATTGCGAGCTCATGCACAAACGGAAAGCTTAAGAAGCCGACGTCATGTCCAACAGTCGAATTCTGCTCCAGGGGGACCTCAGCTGCGCTCCACTGACGTGCCATGGTGACCCAGTCTGGCTGATTGCGAAGACCACATAACTGCGCACGAGTATTAAGCTCATACAAAGTAGCCGGGAAGAACCCTGTTGTCCAAGTGTCTGGTGCGAAGTATTGCCAGATTCCTTCCACTCTGTCTGTGTACTGAGGATATTGAGCCGGGTTGGGCTCAGATTGAGCGACCTTGAGGATCTTTTGTTGAATGAGGGGCGAGTATAGTTGTGCAGGGTAAGTGAATTGCGCGTAGCTGACACCGAGAAATAAGCAGGGAGCTACCAGTAACAGCGCGATCATGATGGCAGTCGCAGACCAGGTGTAAATGTGATGCCAGCAAGAAGAACTAGTAGCAGGAGAACATTTTAAGTTTTATGTTCCCAAATCCCAGGTGACCCTAATCGGAGCAGAATAGGGTCACCTGATAGTGCGTCTCATCCCTTTGGACGCGAGCACACCACCGGGCCGGTCAATGTCGAGCTAAACAGAGATTCGTTTTCTCCTTCATCATGAGCCACGTCTGTCGGGAATCACTGAGATGCGCATCACGACGTGAATCCCCCCCACTGTTTGTAGCAAGACCAATAGAGAAAGAGCTTTTCGAAATCAAGAGGCTCGCGCTGCCAGCTACCTCCAGTAGCTGTATGGTAGGCTGTACCATAGAAGACTGTAAGGCCTCATGCCGTGGCTCGGTGACTTGATGTATGCTATATGAGAGTAACAGCTCGAGAGACGGACCTCGACAATACTGATAAGATAAGATGTTGAATGCGAGAATACGTGTCGGATTTCAAAGACAACGGTGGGCGACGTGGACTGTCTGAGGAATACGTATGAATCATATGATGCGCCGTGTAGTACTGCGCCGGTATACCTTCAGTCCATAACTTTACACAGTTGCGCACGTCGTTCCACGTTGTCGCAGTCAAGACTGTGGACTTTGGCCAAGTTTGGTCGGGTGGCTACGGCTGTACGCAGCGGCAAAGCATGTTTTTGCCACACCGAACGCAGCACGCTCGCTTGCGTATATACAGCACTCCCTGCGTTTTGTACCCCATTCTTACCTCTTTCTTTTAAACGAGTGTGCTGTATAGAAGATGTCGACAGGCCTTGGTCACGAAATAGTGTCCGTCATCAACAAACTCCAAGATGTCTTTACTGCAGTTGGATCCTCAGCTTCACAGATAGACCTTCCACAGATTTGTGTAGTGGGAAGCCAGAGTAGTGGAAAGAGTAGTGTGCTCGAGGTGCGACTGTATGCTTCGTTCATCCATCAGATTCTCATGCTCATATGCGTCCATCCATTACATTAAAGAACATTGTCGGACGAGACTTCCTGCCTCGTGGTACTGGTATTGTGACACGACGACCGTTAGTACTGCAGCTCATCAACAGGCCTGCAACCGCCCCTCAGCCTAATGGATCTTCAACTCGTACGTTTCCTATTCATCAAAGGTTGACGTTCTCTCTTCTAACTCTTTACACAGCTGCTCAAACCGACTCATCATCGGACAAAGCAGCGAATGAAAACGAGTGGGGAGAATTCTTGCATCTTCCCGGGGAAAAGTTCTACGATTTCAATAAGATTCGTGCAGAGATTGTCCGTGATACTGAAGCTAAGACCGGACGGAATGCTGGCATCTCACCACAACCCATTAATCTTCGTGTCTTTTCCCCCAATGTCCTAACTCTCACTTTGGTTGATCTTCCGGGACTGACAAAAGTACCTGTCGGAGATCAGCCAAAGGATATCGAGAAACAAATCAAAGACATGCTTCTCAAATTTATATCGCGGCCCGCATGTATCATTCTCGCTGTAACACCTGCTAACATGGATTTGGCGAATTCTGATGGTCTCAAGCTGGCAAGAGAAGTGGACCCAGAAGGAACGAGGACGATTGGTGTTCTGACCAAAGTAGACTTAATGTAAGTCTTTTTGTTTGATTTTATCGTCCCTCTAGCTCAAACGATAGATAAGGGACCGAGGGACAGACGTAGTGGATATTCTCGCTGGTCGCATCATCCCTCTACGTCTAGGCTACGTCCCCGTAGTTAATCGTGGTCAACGCGATATCGACTCTTCTAAATCAATCAGTTTAGCACTGGATGCTGAGCGCAGCTTTTTCGAGAATCATCCCTCGTATAAGGGTAAGGCTCAATACTGCGGTACACCTTTCCTTGCTCGTAAATTGAATATGGTTAGCGGCTTGTATATGCTTCGATATCTATTTTTGTACTAATATTTGCCACTATAGATCCTTATGCAGCACATTCGCGCAACGTTGCCAGACATCAAGGCGCGCATTACACAACAATTGCAGAAATATAGTGCAGAATTGCAGTCCCTCGGTGGAGCAATGGGCGATGCCAGTGGCGGCAATGTCGTGCTGTCTGTCATCACGGAGTTCACGAACGAGTTCCGGACCGTCATTGATGGTAATACAAATGACCTGTCGTTGAACGAGTTGTCAGGTGGTGCACGGATCAGCTTTGTGTTCCACGAGCTGTTCAACAATGGTGTCAAGTCGATCGATCCTTTTGACCAAGTAAAGGAAGGTGATATCCGAACCATATTGTACAATTCTTCAGTAAGTTATGACTTCATGTCGTCTGTCAATGGTATTCAAATAACTTGGTGCTCTTCAGGGGTCAACTCCTTCGGTATTTGTTGGTACACAAGCTTTCGAAGTTATCGTGAAACAACAAATCAAACGGCTGGAAGAACCTAGTTTGAAGTGTTGTCAACTAGTTTATGATGAATTGATCAGAATTCTGGGTCAAATTTTGACGAAAATCGTGCGTGTGGCTTCTCGATTCCTGCATACATTAATAACCCCATCCCCTTATAGCAAGCATTCCGACGATATCCAGCTTTGAGGGAACGCTTCAACTCCGTTGTTGTCAACTTCTTCAAGCAGTCAATGAACCCAACGACTAAACTTGTCACGGACATGGTTGCGTAAGTGATGCGATAGTGTCTTATAAGGTTATTGCAGTATTGACAAGTCGGCTTCAGCATGCAAGCATGTTATGTTAACACTACGCATCCTGACTTCTTGAATGGTCACAAGGCAAATCGGATTCTTGTTTCATATCGAGATATAACTAACATACTTCTCAGGCAATGGCCATCGTGCAAGATCGCATCAATGCCAGCAAGCCACCACCACCTACTATTGACCCTAAATCTGGAAAGCTTGCTCCTGGGCAAATCAACGGCGGCAGAGACCTTGATGTAGAATCGAAAAAGGAAGAGCCAAGCTTCTTTGGATCTTTCTTCACTGCGAAGAAGACGACGCCATCGCAAAAGAAAGGTGTGGCTACTATGGAGTCTGTAAGTTTTTCAAATTATAAAATACGTTTGACGGAAACTCATGATATTCGTATAGCCACCTGCTATAATTCGCCCACAGTCTGCGCTCAGTGAACGCGAGACCATGGAAACAGAAGTCATCAGTAAGTCATCGCTGGCCCCTTTTAGTGCATGAACCTAATCTTCTTCTAGAGCTTCTTATTCACTCGTACTTTAACATTGTTAAGCGAGAAATGATCGACATGGTTCCCAAAGCCATTACGCTAACTCTAGTCAATCACTCCAAGGAAGATCTCCAGCGCGAGCTCCTGCAAGAGTTGTACAAGCCCGAAGTCCTTGACGAGCTATTGAAGGAGAGTGAGTACGTTGTCAACAGAAGGAAAGAGGTCATTGGCATGGTCAGTGCGCTCAATAAGGCAGAGGAGTAAGTGCTTCTTTAGTAGTAGAGCTGGGAACGAATGCTTATTTTTATGAAATTTTCAGGATCGTCGCTGGTGTCTAGGGTAATCTGCTTAGTAGTCGGTTTTGGACACTACGCTTTGATTATATTCTTGACGTGCATCGAATACTACTATAATACCCTTTACATACTTTTTGTTATGTTGTCTGCCTAGATAATGGGCTGGTCGGTTTTCTTGCGCTTTCCTCTAGGCTCTATGATACTGTTGTTAGGTTATATCTGCGGCCTACCACTCATGTCTATCGATCAATGGATCAAATACAATCTCGTTCACATTATAAGCCCCTCTGTTACAATGAGTTTATCTATGATGTAGTAGCGGATAGCCAAACACGCTTCGTTTATGCCCCATAGTTCAATCGGAAAATATCATTCAATCTGTAGTAGCTGAGGTCAGTACTCTGTGCGTACAAGCAGATTATGCAAGGCATACACGTAATAGCTGCCACCATCGGGAATCAACTGAAAGACTTGACTATACTGTAACGGGTTTGGGCTGTCGTCGACCTGTTATTGTTACTGGTAAAGGGGGTTCATTCATGGATTGGTGAACAATAAACGCACCACCAAGAGTCCCGTTACACTGACTATCAGACTTGCCACTGTCGGCGATGAGGGTTGAGCATCCAGTGTCATGACCTTGTGCACAACTTTTTCGAATGGCAGGCTCTAAAGAGATGCGGTTTACATCAGTGCTCGATATCCTGATCGCGGTGGGCTAACCGTGAGTTTCTCAACGATATCGTTAACACCCTGTACTGGGACTCCCTCCCATGTCAACATCGATTCGTTGCGCTGCGAATATGAAATACGATTAGAGCGCGTAGATTGGAGATCGGATAGACCGTAACACGGACATAGAGACTCTGCAGCCCAGCACGGCCAGTATCAAACGTTTGATAGTAGAAATCTGTAAACTGCTTCGAGATAGTGTTGATGTCGGCCATGGTAAGATCAGGTCAGAGGGAGAGGCGAAGAAAAGCAGAGAACGTTGAAAAGATAGCTGAAAAGATAATGATGGACTGCACCGCCGCGGCAAGAAAAAGCTGTAAGATGTGATTTTGAGACGATTGACTTTTTTGGGATGCCGGGATCGCGTAACTCGCGTGTTTGAACTCTTTCTGATTTCTCACCTCGATAAATAAAACATGGCAGCTAGCTTCGCAGCGTCAGCCTTACCCATGGCGCCCACTCTGGTCGAAAATCCACGTCCGACTATGCGCAGAAAGTCTTCAGCGCAGAACCTCTTGTCGTCGTTCAAGTCGCCCTCAAGTCAAGCATCCTCGTCAGCTGGTCCTATACCATCAGGACCCTCCACTTCTGCTATACCGCATAACCCAGTACAGACCCCGACAACAGCGAGTACACCGAGTGGGCGGGAGTGGGATGTGCAATCGATGCAGTCAGACTCTATGTCTTCCACTGCTACGTTAGTGGCTGGGACTCCTGTACTCGCACAGGGCACATCTGTCGAGTACCTCCGAGATCTGGTTCAGAAGAGAATTATCACCTTGACATACATGCGTAACGTCCACGAGGGGTGCGTGTATCGTTTCCCATCAAGAAACAAATTTTTTTTCAATACTCTGCTCGCAGTCGAAGTCATTGGTTTCACACCATCATGATGTCTCGCTCAGAATTAGATAAGGTCTTCAGCAACTTTGCGATGAGGAAACGGTATGTTATTTTCTTACTTGTCTGTATGGAACCTCTAAGGTCAACAGGCAATAGGACTTACCGATTTGCTACTCTTGCTATGTCATTATCGAATCTACTCGAAATCCCTCAAGCTTCAGACTTTCTCCGTGGGGTCCTGAACACAATGAGCGAATATGATCAAGCAAAGGAAGAGCCAGACAAACCAAAAATTGTGCGATTTTTAATGATAACGTCGTGATTTATCTAACATAAATATTTACAGCGTCTATTCAAATCGAAGAGTGCAAAACGACAAGCTGCTGGCGGCTTTGCAGAATATACCATTCCCTACACAGATGCATCTGAAGCAACGTATCTTGTATCTCCCCATATAGTGTGTACGCATTTATCTGCATTCATTCCTGTGACGTTGATGTTTCTCCCCTTAGCCATTCCCTCTTGACTACCATCAGACGTTACTATCACTGCTCGATGTACTATCTGAAGTATACAACAAGATATCTCGCATACTAGGGCCCTCTCCATTTCCTCATTCCGGCCAACATATGATGGGACCTCTTGGACTCCTCGCTCCACATCCTGGCGTTTCATATCTTTTCCCAGGTGCGGAGCCAAAGCCAGCCGCCGAAGATGCCGATGGTACTTTATGGGGGATAGCAAATGGACAAGTGCCACACCACGGCGCGTATGGAGGAGCGTTGGGTAGTCCCCCTCCTAGCTGGACGCCCGCTCTAGGGGACATGGTGCTCAAAGCTGATTCGAAATTCAAGGTGTGTACTGGCAGACGCGGTTTTTCCCGATGGCATATAACTTTATGTTCTGGGTTTAGAAAATTACTGCAGCACTATTGAAGGAATTAGATGCGTTTGCAAGGAACAGCATTAAGGACGAGCTTGCTTCACTCGATCCGCTGTTACGTAACGTTACATCGTCGGACTATGGGAGAGAGCAGTACGATTTTGAAGGGTCTGTATAGGTTGTATGGTTATTTAGGCTTGTGTATTTCTAGTGTATTGTTGTATAACACTAATGTAACATCTGATGGACATGGACGTCGATACCATACCATTTTTTTTCCTTTTAGAATTGTTGCCCAGACTATCTGTACAGTATAAGAAAGACTTGATTAGCTCGCGAGTCAACATTAATCCCGTGACGAAGGGACGCGTTCGTCACGTTTCCATCACGTTCCCGTCACACTTGCTACTTTACGCGTCTCCATTGCAGACAGCGAGACATTAACAAGACGCACACGAGTAAGTCGTAAAGTTTCAAAAATCTCAAGTGTATAACCCCCTCAGAAAGGTACAAATATCAAATTTAATGCCTACCAACAATGTAGACGCTCTTCTAGCGACCGACGTCCCTGATCCTAGCGATTTCCCCCCTCCATCAGCTTTGCCGGGTCTGCGACAGCTTGACACAACTTATCGATGTGCAATTTGTGGGGAGTTATATGATGCCCCCATCACTCTTTTGTGTGGTCATTGTTTTTGCTCGCTGGTGTGTATTCCGTCGTATACACATTTATAAAGTGCATTTTCTCACATAGTGTGCGTTCACTATTCAGTGCATTCGACAGCACATTACCAAGGAGGAGGAATGTCCGACGTGCCGCAAGGCTGCAAATGAAGGACACTTTAGAACCAATATCACTGTGGAGGAGATGGTGCGTGCATGGGAAATAGCAAGGTAGGGACATACCTCGCATTTTCTTTTAGGGTAATTCTTATTTGGAGTCGTGGCGGCTAGACCTATTGTACTGCAGCTTGCAAGAGAACATCAAGCACGTATATCTCGCTCGAAATCGAACCGTGCCATGAACCAGACCCCAACCAAGCGCACAACTCCAGCACCAAAATCGAGAAAGCGGAGACAGAGGTCAAACTCGGACGGGAGCTCGTCCACAGACATTGTTTGTGTTGCGGGACCCTCTTTCAATGATACGAATAGATCCAGCGAAGCACTTGACTCTTCTCCATCACCCACAAAGCATGTAAAGAAGAAGGTCAAAAGTAGGGCTCGTTCGGAATTGCGTCTCGAACCGTCATCAGACCCTAGAGAAGAGGAACTGGACACTGATTCAGGTAAATTAATGACTCTAGAGCTGATTACTTGGTTCAAGCTCATGTATTCTAGCCGTTTCCAAAGTGAAGTGCCCCGTGTGTAGGAAACAAGTCGATTTCAACGCTATCAATAGTATGTGGACGTCTGCCTAAACCCATCCTCGGCATCCACGCCAACTAACGGCGAACGTCGTTCGGAACAGAAAGGACAATGGTCCAAAATACTTGGTGGAGGAAACAACAACAAGGGCAAGGGCAGGGAGAAGAACGGGCGAGTTATTTTTATTTCCTTTCGGACGTGGTGCAAAAGCTAAAATACTCTTCCTTTATGCGTATAGGCTTGGCTCAGACGAGAATGCAGATAGGCTTCCGAAAGTGACATACCACGTTATCAAAGACAAGGCTCTAAAGGAATTACTGGTGGAAAACAAGTTACCTACCAGTGGTGACAGAGTTACCTGGATTGCGAGACATGAGAGGTGCGTTCCGAATGCTAGGCTTGTTGTAATAGGGGTTTAATCAGTTGGCAAAGATGGGTCATGATATACAACGCCAACCTTGACAAATCCGAGAAAAGCCGGAAGACTCTATCAGAACTTCGGGTAGAGTTGAAGAAATGGGAAGACAATATGAAAGGCAGAAAAGCTGTAGTCGATGATACTGAAGCTTATCAAGTTTAGATATTTGCTCATGCTTGCATTTATGTTTGACTAACGAGCTTAATAGGCACAAAACAAGGACGAATTCGCACGTTTGACAGAGCAAGCCAGGAAGTCTAAAAATCCAAAGCCAAAAGCTGTATCGCCTGTACAGGAATCCGGAAGTGAAAACAGCGAGACTGTGCTCGTGTTGGACTCCGAAGAAGAGGAAGCCCTCAAGATATAAACATACTGTCATATACTGTCGTCTTCATGCAGAGATTTTGAGTATTCATAATGATCATCCAATTCACATCTCCCATAGTACCCGTTACAGGACATTCCTTATAGTGATACCTTAGTATCCCATGTCACGTTTTCTCCGCAGTTCCTTTTCTGTGGTTTCTCTATCTAATTGTTTAGCACTCGCTCTTATCGTTGGATCTCTGAAGTTGAAATGACTTGTTCCACGCTTGTATGTCTGAGGTACGCTTCGGGCTCTTCACTCATATACAGCATGACACGACTGAGATTCTATGCGTTGCGCTTTCCCCTAGGTGTCTCTTTTTCAGGCACTTCGATCACACTTCTCCTACACGACTCATCCACGAATGGAGTAACATCGGTGCCTACTTTCGAACTCGTCCCTACTCGTTTGTTGCATTGCAGGTTCTTTATCGAGAGATAAACATAGCTCTGATGCCAAGCAGATGAGTTTTTTCTTCATATTCACCGGTGTGCATTCTTGGTTTTTGAACTTACTTGTGATCCGTTGCTGGTGGTATCTTTATCGGCTATAGTGAATTGTCGACATGTTTTGATGCGAGTGGCAATCCCTTTGTCTTGAGCACATCACACGCGACCATCGCGTTATACACGTGTTGGGGAGTTTCTCATGATCCCATTGTGCGAGAAATCATCCCTGACGGACAACAGACGAAAAGATCGGTGTGGATTATTAGCAGGCTCATCATGTCTGAAACGATATGTGGTCCTATGCTATCATGTTGACCGCCAACAGTGGCTCACTTGCTTTGTCTCCTGTTCTATACCTTTCTTCCGCTTTGACTGACCACCAGCCAGTATATAATCAGCGGTTGAAATGTTGTACAAGGATATCATTGATTTCTTTCCAAATGGGCAGGACTTCTAAGAGATTCTCGGTGAGTATTACATGGTCTTTGTATTTTTTTGGACCGCTACAATGCAGCACCAATTCGTAGATCCTTAGCCATTTCAGCATCGGACCGGAAGCCAACATACAAGAGGTTTGTTGCTTCCTATCCTTGTTAGGACGTTGACTTATCTTTTCTCACCTAGTCCAAGACTCAGGAGGTCGTAAAAGTGACCGGACAATTTTTACCTTTCAAGCAAGAAGCCGTATTGGAAAGCCATATGACACTTCAAAAAGCCGTACCGAAAGAGTGTATTCATGCTAGACTTCTTCTGCTTTCTCCTTTCCCCCACGAGGCACCTCCATTTGCCAAGTCGGTCGCTTGGCTGTCTAGTGGTACCGGGTCTGTAAATGTCGAAGTCGTGAGTCAATTTTTACACTACAGGATGACAATGTAACGACTGAATTTGGCGGACCTTTTCGTACTGACTTATGCAGTATCGACTTTCCGGTGCGGAGAACCACTTTTTCCGACTATACGTCGTAGCATGCAGCTCAGGCGTTAGCCTCAAACTGCCACCTTTGTTCCGGGGAGTGATATCCATCGTAGGATACCGTGACGCTGAGACAAAAGACCGAATGCGGTGCGCGCCTACGTTCTACAAGCGCGTGCGCCAGGGCTTGATCAGATTCGAGGGTAGACCGACAGAGGACGACGACGAGATATATATTCATGCGGTGGGAAAAATAGATCTGCAATTGATGGACGAAGACAGCGGTAGACCTGAATGGACGGGAATGGGACGCTTGCGCCGAATCATCTTGAGGAAGATTTAGTTACTTTTTCACGCTATTTCCACGACGACTCCTGATTCAGTACGATTCATCATAGCCTCATCTGATACATCCTTGTATTACTACCAGCATCATTCATTTTAGTCTAGACTCGTAATAAGCCATAATGATATCAGTTACTGACTGAAATGCCTAGCGATTGATCGTCTCAGGAAGCGGTGAAAGTACCGAATGACGTCCCCACTCACGACATCCTCTGAGGTCTTTGAATCGTCTAGAAGCAGGAACAAGAAACCGCAACGTTATTGTTCAGCGGAGAGGAATTGCGGCTTGCATTGACCCATTCCTTTGTTCGCAGTCCCAAATAGGACATCCAGCGTCTGATCGCTCTTTTGTTCTCAAATACAAGCATGCCCAAATCGGGACAAGGGAATTAGAAGCACGATACCTGGCAACAGTGCTTTTCGCATACATAAAGCCGGTATGTGAGAAATGGCAGCGTGCCTATACTTTTCAAAGGGACGCGCTATTCGTTTTCTTGCTTCTCATTTCGTTCATCCTTTCGAGCCTCTTTACATCTTCGATATCATAATCTTTGTACCTGTGACATTGGTAGAACCATGGCTAGTCTTTGTTCAATGTCGGCAGAGGTTAGCATATCGACTCGTTGGATCAGACAAAGGATGCTAATTTGAACATGACTCAGAGCTCATCATCACTTGGAAAACACGAATTATGTCTGGTATGCATTTATGCTCAGCTCTCGGTCAGTTGGTAACTCACACTAGGTTTATGTAGAACACTGAACCCACCGGGACACGTAAAATACACTATCAAGCTGGGGAGGAATGGGATTTCGACTTGGAAAGCCACCGCCCTATAGACTTGTCGCTCAACCTGCCACATTATCGCGCACGACTCCAACCAATAGACCACCGACTGAGTATGTCCATCAGCGGGGGCAACGCACCAATAAAACTCAAAGTGGTGAGTCACAGCCCTGTCTTCGACGCCCAAAACCATTTATGCTCATCCTCACCTCGGTTTTAACAGTGCCGCACAGTCCCTCGGGCGCGGTTTTATCTTGAAGTACATGCATCTTATTCCAACGTGACCATCTGGGTTCCGTCTGACTTCAATGGACACATCCGCCATACCGGCAAAGCTTCGTTCTCTGCGGGATTCGTGAACCGGATGCTTGGAAACGTACATCTGAATGAGGAGATGTATGAGGAGTGGGGTGGGGATGAAATAGTGGTGGGAACGGCGGGAACGGTCACTTTCCGTATGTGGGACACACATACGGGTGCGCCAGAGAATGCGAAGAAGGAGACATGGAAGCGGATGTTCGGGTGTACAAAGAAGGCACCAGAGACGGCTATCAACTGGGATTTTTTATTGGATGATTGAGAGGCGAGCATTTGCATTTCGCCTGATACCCTTTCTTCGATTTAGGATTTCGCGTTTTCAACTTCGTTCTTGGACACGCATTACTGTTTCCTTTCTCTCGTCTGGATCCATTGTAGCACATCAGCAAATCTGTAGCGTTATACCATCATAATCATCTGTAGCAACAGTTTTCATTTTCATGTTATCTTTGTCATTGCATGACTTTTTATTTTCTCCCATGGACGGGACGACAGATCATGTAAGCCATCCACTGACACTACGACAGCTAAAAGATATCTGAATAGATGATGGATACAGTGAATGTTTAAATAAGCTTGACCTAAGGATACATGTACGGGAACATGGAGGATGAAAAATCACCCATGTTTTTTTTTATTTAGGGAAAGGGCTCTCCGCGTAGCATGACATTGTCCAGAGTCTTTTCGAGAGTATCGACGAGGGTTGGGTTCTCGAGCGCAGCTGCTACCCTTTCCTTGTCGTTGAGTTGTTTGTTTACTGCAGAAATTTACTAAATCACGATTGTTACGAGGAGAAAGGGCCAACACTTACCTGCATCTTCGCTTTGATGTGATCCAGGTTTGACTCGGATGTCTACTTTATAGCGTTGAGGCAGACTGCGCAAGAGTCGAACACGGATAGAAAGGCCTGACGTACATTGTTATCACAATTGAAAATAAAAAAGGTTGGGTTTTGGACATACCGATCAAAGTGGACATTCCACAGTGCGGTACGGTTGGAGTAAATTCCACTGTTACATGGTTATCGCCTACATCTATCTGCGGTGCTGATACTACGCGCAGCTCTTCAAGTGAGTTCGGGTGCTCTGGATCTGAGATCGACCGAATGAGGTCTGTTGCGACAACGCAGTCAGCAGTGATATCATATCTCTGAGTAGAAAGTGACTGCACACCAAAGATTTCGTCCCTGTCTATTGGCTCTTCGACGTCGAGATCTGAGTCATCGGCTGAGTCGTCTGCATCGATCCACAGAGAGCGGCCTGTTTCGAAATTTGACTTGCGCGTAGAGGTTTTTGAAGAAGAGAAGATGGTAGGGTTTGGATTGAAAACCTCTCCGGCCATTGTGAGATGTTATGCGACGTGGTGGCAGATAAGAGAGCCGTGGAGAAAACTTGAAGACCGACCGGCAGTTACGGCTACTCAGGGGTCGCGTGACATCCGCGTGACGTGTGATATAGGCGCGTAAAAAGTAACGGAATGGTCGAGTTTTCCGCGTTTTTTGTCCCTGATAATTTCCTGGCAATCTCTCTTTGACTTGGTTGTAAATATTCTCATCTCCGTATTCGAACCACACTAACACATCCTAACCTCGTCCACCGCAAATGCCACCAAAAGTATTGCCAGCACTCCCATCCCATTCCACGAACGCTAATACGCATCCCTTCCAGCGCAAACGCGATGACACGCAGACTACAGCTGGGGATCTACCGTCTAGTAGGATAACACGAGCATCGGGACGTGCGACTGCCACCACTGCCGCCAGCATAGATGATGGAACGACTGCTAAAACAGCTTCAGCCTCGGCAGCCAAGAAACCGAGAGTGGCTAAAGCGACATCTGCGAAAGCAGGGTCCAGTAGAAGCAAGACAAGCCCACCAACGTATGTTACAGCCATAATTCTAATTTGCTTTCCTTCACCACACTCACTCAAACCCTCGCTCCCAACGGTCACGGTGATTTATCGGCAAATCCAACCCCAGTCACGATGACGTAATATCCGCACGGTTATTCTCCCGAAAAGGCTGAATTGACGAGTTCTCTCTTTGTGTTTGTTTCGTCTTACAGGCTGGTGTCACGACGACCACTGCTCGGACTTCCCAGTGTCTACCGGACGAGTGAGTCCCCGTTTCTTTCTCTTGCAGCCAAGAGGACCGGCATCTGCCTGGCTGTAGTTTCGTGGCTCTGCTTGCATCTTCCATCATTTCCTTTCTTGTCCTACAACCTTGGCCGCAGCGCACCTCTTTCCTTCTACTTTCGCACATTCGCTCTGCGAGCTCACTCATTCATGCGTCTCTCCTCCATATTCTGCTGCATATCTAATTCAAATCCCACCGCCCACAGCCCCGACGTAGAAGGGCCACGGCCACAGAATCTCTCTGTCACCTCCGTGAGTCATGTTCTGCGTGCAGCCTCCCATTAACTGCACGTTCCAATGTTTGTAAATGCTTACCACGATGCTGGCATAGCAGAAATCTGCCGAAAAATACAACCCTGACCACATATTTACTCTCTTCACACACTTCGCATCAGCCTCGTCTCCCACTCCCGACGACGGGATTCCTGACTATATAGGCCCTGAAGGTTTTGAACTTCTGTGTAATGAGGCTAACCTTCCTCTCTCTGGTGCATTGCCACTCATACTCGCGTGGCAGCTTGGCGCGGGGGAGATGGGTAGGATAAAGAAAGACGAGTGGGTAAACGGGTTGAGTAGACTGAGGTAAGCGTCTTATAATATCTTTTTACACGGAAGTGTTCAAGGGCACAACGAACAGTCAACTGATTACTACTCTTTCGTCAGAATATCCTCTGTACCTGTCCTATCACTTGCATTGTATGATCTTGAAGACTTGCTCCTCCTTGGCAAGACGCCCCTCACTCTGCCTTCGTCAGCCAAGACCGCTGCGGCTGGTCCACCTCCTGTGAAAGGCCGCAAACGTGGTGCTGCTAGCAATGTCACGGCAGGAGGTAACCGGAACTCGCGAACAAGCAAAGGTAGTGCCGCAGGCGAACCTTACAATCGCACACTTTATTTCAACTATGCAAGCGATAAGAAAAAGGCGTTCGGGGAGCTGTATCAATTTTGCTTTGCACTTGCAAAACCGCCGTAAGTGTCTGACTTGCCTTTTGTGGAGACGCATTGTGTTTACTATGTTTTGGCCGTTAGACAAGGAAGAAATATTGATATAGAGGTTAGTTTATTCAACACGTTCAGTAATGAAATGGCACTGACGCTGGCTGAATCTATAGACTGCTATAGCTTTCTGGTCTGTCTTACTTACCCCACAATACCCGATTATAACGGAGGTCATAGAGTTCTTGAATGTATGTTGGCTTCTATTTTGTTAATCGGGACTTCCTCTGATTCGGGAATTGTCTCGCAGGAAAAGGGTACTTACAAAGGTGCCAATAAGGATCTTTGGAGCATGGTGCGTGATGTTTCTATCAATGTTTTGCTGCGTCTGCTCACAGTGAATGTATGGTAGATGCTAGAATTTTGCCGAACAGTTGATATTCATTTGGAAGGATATGAGATGGACGGAGTAAGTAGCCTGTTATTGCGTGGCGTACTTGGTGGAATGTTGATGTCTGTCCACATTAGGCATGGCCGACGCTGTTGGATGATTTCGTATCTTGGCAGAAGCACAAGAGGGCTGGTATAAGAGAGAGCGGGATTGTCATAGAAGAACCTGAATGAGTTTAGGGGCCGTCAGACTGAAGAGAGGAGCATCATCTACAGATCCAGCATCCCACACTGTCAATAAAATACTGCTCAATTAATATGCATTCTGTCTACGCGATGATCATGACAAACGTTTTCTACTTCACGTCGAGTGCAGCAGAGTGAGTGGTCTGGCGATATTCTATTAAGCCCGATCCCAGGGTCTAATTTTCGTGTGTTAGTCGATTTGTTCCCCGACCCCACTGTTTTATCCTTCCTCTGATTTCTTTATTACTCTTGAGCTCCATCTCCTTGATCGTGTATGTCCCAGCCCACGCTCCAGCCTCATCATCCTCAATCTTTCTCCCGCGATCTCCTTTTCAGCGAGTGCGATGTTTCTGAAAGATTTTGCTATTTCGTCCATAGAGACAGCTAGGTCCTGCGTAGCATCTGGGGAGAAATGAAGGGTGGGAGATGTCTGCCATCGTGCTCTTTGTAGTTCTGCCTCTGAGCGTTTTCTCCGGAGATCGAATCTTGACGCCCTCTTGGGGGCAGGGCTGTACGTAGGCAATATATTTTGATTGAACGAAGGTGCCGTTTGTTTTTGGTTATGGGTGGATATGGTGACAGTCTCTGGAAGAGGGGGTAATCCGAGTGAAGATCGTACGGCCTGCCATCGCCCTTCAATGCGTATAACTCTCTGACTCGCATCGATAACGTGTGTATGGCGACCATGTTGTTGCGCCAGAAAGAAGCGGTACGAAAGTAGGAGTGCCAGATTGAGGACAAGTATACATGCGAGCCGTGTGGGGTTGAGTTTGCAGGTCCCATGAGTGTGGCGGGGGATCTTGTGTGTGCTGCTAGGCAGGTGAGCTGGCATTTGGTGTAGAGGGCTGGAGGAAGAGGATCTGTGCTGCAGTATTTGTATCGCATGCCTGTTTCTTTTTTGTGCGGTCAGCCTCTTGCTTAATACCGGACGCGTCGGAGCACGTGACCGGAAATCAGTTTGTACGTGAACGGCTCTCGAAAGCGTGGCCAGTTCCGAGTCAACGTTTGAATATTGCGAGCGTTCCGCTTTATAAGTCGTGTGCACGCGTCTTCGATCTGGTTTGACGCGACTGGTACCCATGGACCGGAAACAGGAAGAGCCTGAATCCTCCGACTATTTTGCCAGCAGTGACGACCACCGTGACGGGGTTCGTGAAGATATATTCGTTCAGCATGGAAGGCCGGTTGTATTTTACATCCACAAGAGCGTGAAACAGAGAGGGAAGGTTGAAGCGGATATCAAGGTATGTGAAACTAGGAAATGTCTGCCAGTGCAAATAATAATTCATATATCTTATCTCTGTTATCTACAGCGCCATGGTGGACGTACGACGGATAAGAAGCGCGAGGCGCATACCATACTTGTCGGTCCCTCGATTGATCTGCAGGAGCAGCGTTTCGTTTATTATTGGGATAGGAGGAACCACTCGACGTATATTGAAAGAGGGGAGTTTGTAGGTGCCTGTCTGAAGCATGGGAAATATGAACACAGGGAGTCGATGAAGCAAAGCATGCCTGGGAGGCCTACAGGGGGCGGAAGAGTGTGAGTCATCTTTTCATACTTTCGGACGGTTGTTCAAGTGGTTAATCATAGGAGGCGTGCATTCACTGAAGAAGAGGACCGGAACCTTTGTCGCTACATTGCAATGTACATACCGGACAAAGAAGCTGGAGGTCGTATGGGCAATTATATATATGATTACCTTGTGAAGCTTGCGAGTATCTATCTTGCTTCTCATTTTGCTCGTCGCTGACCTTTCGGTACTAGGGCGAAACTCATCGCCGGTACAGTTGGGCCACTCGTCATACCAGCCTATCCTGGCGTGAGAGGTATAAGAACAACCGAGAGATGTTCGATGATATTATTGAAGAGAATGTCAAGGCCAACATACATCTTGGTAGTGATAAAAGGGTTAGGTATCATCTGGATAGGAGAGCTCAGAAGAGGAGGCGGATGGCAAGGGCAAGGACAGGGGATAGCAGTCCCTCCGACCCTGAAAGTGATGGGGACGAACGGGACCATGACAGAAGTCATGATCTTCAGGAAGACGATTCTGGGTACATCTTTCTCTTAATTCTAACATATGTTGTCATGCTAACTTATATTTGATTTTCAGCAAGAACAGCCCTAGTTCTCCTCAGCCTGAACACCAACATAGTCACGCTCGTTCAGATGCCCCGGGGCCTTCAGGAACACAAGCTACCCTTGTCAATCCTCCAAGCGGTGATAAGGCCCTTGAAGAGGATACATCTGGAGATTTAAGTGATCATGAACTGTTTGGGAGCTTTGAGAGCGACAATGGCAAGTCGAAGTCTGATGACTCTGACAATGATCACTCGGTACTGTCTAGGTCAGGGTTCAAGTCTAAGATAGGCGTTTCTTCTTAGTATAGTGTTGACTTGATGTTCGTATGTGTGATCACGAACTACTACATTCATACATGTGGCGATTCATCTACAAATGCATTACAGCGCAGCGGCTTGAGCGCGGAGCACTTCGACGGTGCTTCCTCTGGTTCTGTGTATTGGAGGAGGTTGGGAAAATATTCATGACGAGGCAATATGGATAAGCACGTTACTTACCCAATGAAAGCCGGACCGGGATCCTGGAATGCCCTGTCAAAGAAAGCGATAAATCACATCCGTCAAAGATGGCTATTGCAAGGGGACGTTAACGTACATATAACCTCTGTCAGACGTTACTCCGAGTTTCTCCTCAAAGTAGTCGGCGAACGCCTTGCTCCATTTCTGGACGCTAGTCGGATTGGTATTGTAGAGGCTCATCTGCGGAACGAAGACATGAATGCTGCGTCAGAAACTGCACTGCACAAAGCGACGATAAGGCTGATCGGATACTAACGACGTTGAGCATGATCGCAGGGTCGAACGTTCCCGCAAAGGTAAGGTGGGGGTTATAGATAAAGTTGACGCTGAAAGCCTTCTCGGGTTTGTCGATTGTGGTCGCGCAGAACTTTGAGAACTCGGATACGAACGCTTTTGTAGCTTCTTCCGAGTCGAACTAGGATGGGGGCGTCGAATGACGTAAATTGAGACTGAAGAGATGAGGAAGATAAGATAAGGTGCATACCTTGACATTGGTGGTGAGGGTGATCAAAGGCATCGGTGAACGCTTTTGCTGAGAGTGTCGATACTACTGATGTGAGTGAGGGAGTGACGATTTGAAGGGTTCAGCACAGCGAACTGGACCTAAGCTAGTGAGAAAATGTTGTAGTTCGTGAGATGAAGCAAGTGAGGTTCTACGCCAGATCGAGTGCCTTCGGGTCTCCGTAGATAAAGATATTTTCGGGCTTTATAATCCAAACAGAACGCAGTGTCGGATTCAGAGTCTCGAAACCGTCAGCGTCGTAGGCGATCGGATATTCTCATTATTGAGCTGCTAGCCTGAGTTCGGGCGAAGAGAATGGTTGGGAATTTTGGCACTGAGTCGGAAGGAAGGCACGAACAAAAGAACAGAATATGATAGTCTTTGAGAATAGCGCCAGATGCAGTGGCGCAACCTCTCTTCTCTTAGAGCCTCTGAATCATCAATCTCAGGCTGAATCTATTTACCCCTTGAATTGGGCCTGACAGTGGCTCGGTACTATCCAGGTCAGGATTCAAGTCTAAGACAGATGTTTTCTTCTTGATGATGTTTATTTGATGTTCAAAGTCGCTGAAAACCACAATATTGTGCGTGTATATTTATTAATATTATGACCGTGAACTACTACATTCCTACATGTGGTGATACATCTCGCAAATGCATTACAGCGCAGCTTGAGCGAGGAGCACTTCGATGGTGCTTCCTCTGGTTCTGTGAATGGGGGAGGTTTGGTTAACATTCGCTGACGAGGTAATATGAAGAAGCACGTTACTTACCCGACAAAAGCTGGACCTGGATCCTGGAATGCCCTGTCAAAGAAACCAATAAATCACATCCGTCATAAATGGCTGTTGCAAGGGGATGTTAACGTACATATAACCTCTGTCAGACGTTACTCCGAGTTTCTCCTCGAAGTAGTCGGCAAATGCCTTGCTCCATTTCCGGACGTTAGTCGGATTGGTATTGTAGAGGCTCAGCTGTGAAACGAAGACATGAATTTTTTTCAGAAACCGTACGGCCATAGCGACGATAAAGCTGATCGAATACTAACGACGTTAAGCATGATTGCGGGGTCGAACGTTCCCGCAATGGTAAGGTAGGGATTATAGATAAAATTGACGGTGAATGCCTTCTCGGGTTTATCGATTGTAGTCGCGCAGAACTTTGAGAACTCGGATATGAAAGCTTTTGTAGCCTCTTCCGAGTCGAACTGTCAGGGAGGGTGATGTGACTTGAGAGCGAAGAAATGAGAAAGATAAGATACGTGCATACCTTGACATTTGTAGTGAGGGTTACCAAAGGCATCGGTGAACGCTTTTGTTGAGAGTGCTGATGCCGAGGTAAGCGAGGAAGTAACGATTTGAAGGGTTCAGGACAGTAAACTAGCAAGAAGACGCCATATAGCTCGTGAGATGAAGCAAGTTCTACGCCAGATTGAGTGCTTTCGGATCTCCATAGATAAAGGTACTTCGGGCTTTGCAATAATGCGAACAGAACGGGATGTCAGGTTCAAACGAGATCGCCAGAGCAGGCGCTCGAACGTTCTCAATGATTATTGGACCTTTAGTCTGAGTTCGGGCGAAGATGATAGCCTAGACGATGTTTGGTTCAACGGTCAAAGCATGCACATGCCAACTCCTGGCGTGATATTGAACGAATTTTGGTATAGCTAACATTGATAATGTTTGCGTGGAGTGTAAAGAACTTGATTGAAGAAACGGCGATAACTGATAGAGTTCAAGGACTGGAGAATGGAGAGAAAGAGCAAGAAATGCAGGAGTATCTGAATCGGCATACTCCGCGCTGGGAACGGTATACGCATGTCCACGGCACGGCGCGATTTATAATTGCTCCTCTTTGCTTGTGCGCTCCTCAAACCAAAACCGTCAAGACGAGTACGAGCTCGTCGTCGCCATCGTCCACCAGCTAGTGTTCATCGTCGTCCTCAGCGTTAGCAAAGAACAAATTCACTCTTCGCCGCGATGCAAGTCGCATCGTACGGCCCTCGCACGCTCAAGAAGGGCGTTGGTGTGCGCATACACCCGCACACCAGTCCTCCTGCGAGCTCTCGCGCAATCCATATTCCTTCATCCATCCCCCGTTCTGCACTCAGCTTTCTTTCGTCTGGCTCGTCTGCTGCTGCGACTGCTACAAATGCTTCAGCAACACAAAGGCTTTTCACTCACTCCCGCTCCCTCGTTTCTCGCTTCTTTGCCCATCTTACGGCACCAGGCCTCGCTCACACTTCATCTGTTGCTGCCCCGGGGCATCTCCACGTACATGCGTCTCACCTGCATACGCTTTCGCGGCCTGGCTCGAACTCAATCAAGGCCAATTTATCCCTCCCTGCCAGGCACGCTCTATCTCGCCCCTTTGGCGCACCTCATCTCCCTCGTCCACCGACTATCCCCCCTAGTATTACTCATGTCGGTCTTGGAACTGCACGAAACTTCCACTCTGCCCGACCTATCTTCCAAAACCTTGTCGACAACGTCCCTGTCGCTGGTCGTGCTCTCTGGGAGGCAGAATGGGAAATCAAGGCGAGAGAGGAACAGAAGAGCAAATTCCGCAAAGGAAAGGAGGTCAAGCGTGTTGAGAAGACTTTGGAGATGTTAAAGCCGAAGAATGAGAACATTCTCAGCCCAGAGCCTGTTGCCAACTCCGTGACCCCCGTGTCTCATGAAAGCGAATTCAATCACTACTTCCCTATCGTATCCGAGTCTTTGCCACAAGTAACCACGTACCTCCTAATTCCTATTGCGCCAACGCCAACATCACGAGTACCTTTGGGCATTTCCACCACATCGCATTCTCCGTCGTCAAGACATCCACTTCTGCCTATCCCAGAGCTTGCAGCGATGCACCATCTGCATCATACGCACTCCCTTCGAGTTTCCACGCTCTTTGCGCGGCTTGATGTAGCGCACGTCTGGGATGATCCAGGAGTGGAGTGCTCGGCGTATGCTCATGGCCATCACAGGGATCTTGCCGAGGAATCGGGGTCAGAGTGCACAGTCCTGAATATTACTTTTGCAGGCTGGAACAAGGCACGTGTGCGCAGTATCATAGGGGAGAGTGGAAGTGGCTGGTGTTCGCTCGAAGAAGTCGAGGAAGAAGAAGATTTAAGTGACAGCATGTCTGATGTATTGTCTAGTATGGATTCAGAGGACCTTGCCAGCATAAACGAGTTTGAGCAACCTCACACGACCGTTCCGGACCCTGCACAGTCGTTTGTTTTGCCCACACTCGACTTCTCATCATCTTTTCCTGTCCCGTCAATCCAACAACCGCCAGTCATTCTGTATACTGCCTCCGAGCTCAGTACTCACCGCCATGAGCCGCCATCGCCTTCCATGTCTTCAGCTTCTTCTATTCTGGACCTTAATGAAGGCTCTGATTCAGACCTGAGCATTATTGCTCCAGGTAGTGTTGAGTCGCACTCTTCGTGGGTAGGGTTCAGCTCAGATTTCGCTGCTAGGATCGGCGATCCCAAGGCGTAGATGAAGTGCAGACATAAAAGCCTCTTCTCTACATACAATAAAGACTTCGACAAAAGGTTTGGTAGGAGCCCCGAATTAGCAAAATGGAACACCACACAGAAATTTGAAGCTAAAGAACTCGAATAAATAGGAGAGAAACAGATACGTTGTACACAAAGCACATTCTTTTACTTTTCTTGTTTTTTGAACTTTCAGAGTTAACCACATGTTTGTACGAATGCCGTTTGCGCTTGTAACCTCCGTGATATCATAAACTTTCTTTAAATGTTATAACTCATCTGACATGTTATCTTTCGCAGAATGTGAATTTTAAGAAATAACAGTCGATTCAATGAATGTTTGGCCGGTGTCTGCCCTCAACGTGTCTTTAATATTTCGGAATCAGGCGCCCCGGGGTCTTTCACCGTGTCCAGCATTGAGATCTCACAGATAGCATTTCTTTGTATGCAAAACTTGCAACTCTCTACGATGCGAGGGTAAGGTGTTCTTGGTATATTCCTCTGTATCACTGGATTGATTCGTCTAGCAGTGCAGGGTGCTACAGTGCTGTCTTGAGTTATGCATATACGTCAAAATCAGCGCCTGTATCGTCCAATAATCGTGTACTCTCGGTTTTCTCTGGGTCTTCGTGACATTCTATTCTATGCCTTCTTGGCGTTAGGTTAACTGCCCCATGATGCAACGGACGATGGGGGCGTTCTGATGTGTTCTCGTTACCAGGTCCTTAGCGTCTATCACATTCAGACGTGTTTCAAAATAGAGGCGCCTTCAGGTTCGTCCGTCGTTACATTAGATAGCCCAGAAACCAACTTCGACCTGTTCGCCAGCGAGATATGCTGTTTATATGATTCGTGCAGTGTCCAATATTGCATTCGAGTGGTCAATTCCATGGTCGAATTATTAACACTTAACCTAGTGATCCGAACATCGAGTGATTGGAGGGCGGGTCATTTGCATCGCTTCAGATGGCCGAGACACAGTCGGAACACCCATCATTATAAAATCTACGGGTGTTTGTTATTGGGTTCAAGTGCCAAATCCATTTTCGATCCTGAACACATCACCCGACAATGCTACTAAATTCCACTACTGCTTCAAATGCTCTTGCAGGTTTCGAGGAGTTGGAGTCATATGTAGTGGGATTTATAATTCTTCGTTATAGTTCTGGTAAACTTCTTATCAATATCTACCCTTTGTTGTGAGGACTAACGAGAAGACTTCTAGTTAGTGCAACGGCGTTCTATGTCTATAATTTTTGTGAGTGGTGCCGCTGTCATCCCTTGTTAGCACCGTTAAACCCCGCCCAAGTGCTTACAGTCGGAGATGAGGTGAATGTTGTACGGGCTGTGCGATTATCTGGTACTCATCTTCACCGTCTTGTCAGGTTGAACTTATCTGGGTAAGCTTCACAATGAGGACAGGCGTGTGATGACTTTGTTGAATCATTCCTTCGTCGTAGGGCTCTCGATGGACAGTCGTCAAAGTATCATATTTCATTGTAAATTGCCACTTGATTCTCGTTTGGTGATTATTGAAATTATTTTATCAGTCCCGCTACCTTGCTTTGGGATTTATCTTATATTTTACCACTGGTAAGTCTGCAGTACATTTAGCTATGGTTAATTTTGACATGGTGACAGTCAATCTTATGCCCTCGCCTTCCTTGTCATTGTATGTTCTCATCTCGACTCTTTAAAGCCTTGCAATAGATTGATTTTAAACAGATGTACACCATTAGCTTTATTTTCGTGGCGCATGGGCTGATTTTAGTGGACATACAGGCTTCTTATTGGACTTATATAGTATCATAGGTATGTCTGGTAGTATCATATCTTGCCATTTACTTATAGATGCGACAACTTTGAAGGCTGTATCTTGCTCGGCTCTAATGAAGGTTTTTAATTGTTATCATGTGCAAGTTCGGATTTAACGAATCTATAATGTAGCTATTCTTCAGATGAGATTATTCGCTCTGTATGATCATGGTACGTCGGCTAATGCTCAATGACTGTGCTTTCGGCTTAGATTTGAGCAGACAAAAGGGTTATCATCACTGTCACTGTGTTATACATAATCATTCTGGGCACTCAGTTGGGCATGGGTATCTTTGAAGTGCACTATTATGAGAGTCGTATGTTCCCTCTTTCCAGTGGATTGTAATATAAATTACACCTGCATACAGAACGTTCCGCTGAAGCGCGATTTCGAGAAATTGGCATTTGCGCAGGTGGTACTATTAATTGGTATGCCTTGACCTGGTGCGTGGACTCCTTTCTACATATTCTGTGTTACCGTGTATTTATGTTTCATTCAGGACGCCGACAATGTTTTATGACTTCGTCCTCTTTGTGTTAGCGGTGTTCAAGTCAATCCGACACCACCGTCAGATTTCTGACCTGAATAAAAGCTGGCTTGGAATAAACATCATTAATGTTATGATTAGAGACTCGCTGTTATGTTTCCTGATGTACGTGCAGTATATCAGATTGTCGGCAAGAGTGAGGCTCATCTAAATGCTTTCAAAGGAACTTTGCTGTTTATTTTACATCTACTATATTATGGTGGGTTGATGCCGTCTACCTACAGGAGATCATACCAGTTTGGCAACTTGTCGCCCCGGCTGTTCTTGCTACACGACTCGTTGTCAACATCCGCCGTTTTTACTCGGACTCTCATTCGACAAATATCACTAGGAACGGCGGGTCAATAGTACACCAGAACCTTTCATATGAGAACAACACATCTGGCATGTTGTGTACGTAAATCAAATGTCTGACTGTTTTTCATCGCGCTAACTTTTGATGAAACAAAGAGAATTGATAGAATAGCAATGTATCCCGGTTAATTATTAGTATTGCGGATATGACGACGAAGTATTCCGTCCATGGGTCGTAATCTATATTAGCTCTGACACATCCTTTTTCTACAAGTGTAGTGATAAAGCCCTTGACGTTGCGTCTCCGGAATGCAACCTGCAGCTTATTTATTGTCTGCTTCAAGTTAATGACCAACGCGTGGAAATCCAAGAAGCCGTGTTTACCGTGGCCGAATTGGCGATAGTTCCTAACCTCTTAGAGGCAGGAATCATTGTCACAGCGCTTCGAACGATCAGATGCGACAACTTGGAAGTCATAGGTGCTGTGTGTATGACAGATGCGTTGATATGAAGACCGCAAAAACTATTATACCCAAGGTAAGGTATTCTTAATGTAGATCCCTCAGAATTTTGAAAATCACTAATATCCCTGGATTTTTAAATACCATTATGACAGAATATGCCGACAATGCTTATATATTTTCAAAATAATGGCATTGGTCTTTGCAACCTCCATGTTTTCTATGCCCCGCCACCCATTCCACAGTGAGCTATCCAGTTAGCTCAGGTCAGCTATCGCTTCCACGCTTGTTCAGTGTCGTCCAGGTACATCATTGGATCACTGGACTACGGAAGGATATGTGACTTGCATTGCTTTGCATAGCCAGGGTGCGGTGCTCTGTTCCCGCTTTAATGTTGTAGACTTTTGGAACGAGTGTTTACAAGATTTCATTTCGTTTCCTAACAGCTAACCTCTAGGATGGGAATGCTAGCAAATTCTACTTCCCCTGCGGGTTCACAGGAAAGTCAATCGGTTCTGTGGAATGTTGGTACCATCCATTATGAAGCTGGTGAAGCTTACGTCTCAGTGCCACACCACTTACATTGGGTTAACGAGCAACGTGACTAGTCGCAGCGGTAGCCTTCTATGTTTATGACTTTAGTAAGTAACGTTGTCGTCTTTCTTCATGAAGTGTTGCTAAATATTAATGCAAGTGTTAACGTTCGGAGATGGGGTGAATGCTCATGATCTGTTGGTCACTTGAAATTAATTTTTCTTTACCCTGATAGGTTGAATTTATTTGGGTAAATTTTGGCGAGGAAAGGCGTGGTCTTAGCTGAGAACGTTACAATCACCTTTAGGGTTCTCCGTGGTCTCTCGTGAAAATATCTTTTAATATTGTAAGTCCTTATTTCTTCTATACCCAACATCTGTTAAGTATGCTTAGACTCTGCCATTAGTATCGTTACTCTTCTTTGGGGATTTCAATAATTATTACTACTAGTGAGTGTGAATGTCATTGCACGATCACTTACTGCTAACCTTATACGGTGCCAGCAAAATCTTATCCCCTCAGTTCCCCATTCATTGTATGTTTCAACTTTAGTTTTGGTACTTAACTAAGTCTGACTGTTTTATAGATGTAGTAAGTCAGTCATGTTTTCGTTATTGCTTATCAAATTTTGATACTCTATGCAGGTTTCCAGAATAGTTTTGTTAGCATCATTGGTACGTCGAATAGTTCTGTACGCCTTGATTTAGATTGAGGCAGTTTGAAGCCGTCATTTCCCTTATTGCGGTTGAAGGTTTGCTTTTATCATATGCACACTCGAGTAAATTCGACAAGTCATTCGCAGCCATCCTTCAAATGCGGCTATTTGCTCTGTATGATCACGGTGAGATGTTACCGGCTTATGGTACAGCATTTGACGCTAATGTAAGCAGATAAAAGGGTCACAGTCCCTATCACGGTGCTGTTCGTCATCATGGCATGCGGCCTACTCAGCATGAGCAGCTTTGCGATATACAACTTCAACAACAGCCGTAAGTCTGTCAGTCAGGAAAATTATATTCCTGATCAGCTTCGACTACAGAACCCACTGTAGGAAGTGGAACGGCGGCTACACATATTGAAACATGTCTTGCCGGCACAGTTCAATTGTATTATCTATCCTGGCGGGTGAAGTGTTTTCGTCACATTCTGCATCACCGCTTATTTGGATTTTACTAGGATCCCATTGATAGTTTATGATTTTACTTTGGCCGTTTTGGCAGGGTTGAAGTCACTCCAGCACTACCGTCAGGTTTCTTGCCAAGATTGGTCTAGAGCAAGCATAATCAAAGTCATGACCAGAGATTCTTTACTATTCTTTTTATCGTACGTGTGCCAGTGCTATCTGAAACTTTCTATGGCAAATGTCTGACTATCTGCGAAGAAATTTCACTTTGTACGTTTATTCTGCCATATCATGGTCCATGTACCCAGTGTATGAACGCAATGGGATACCCACGTGGCTAATCGTTATCCCGGCTGCTCTTGCTTCGCGACTTGTCGTCAATATTCGCCGATATTATCAGCGTCAGACCTCATTCCCACAGACATCAATGCCAGTGGCCACTTGATAGCACCCTTGCACCAAACTTCCATACGAAAGCAGTGGGTCTGACATGACCATGCATATTGTGTACGCGATCACCATCTGACTATTCTTCATCTTCATGACATTGACATCTGAGCAAGGACTAAAAGGATTTGTATATAGAGATGGTATCTGTCAGTCACTGGCCCTGTTGAGCTCCTCGTAGAATGTTTTATTTATTACGTAGAATCGAAGCTTCAAATCGAACAAATCGGTATACTGTGATTCTAGTGTGATTAAATATGCCTTGAGAATGCATTGTTCGAGTAAAGTACTTATTCAGGTTACTCCTCACAGGCAGGTGAGTTCAATCCAAATGCGAACTGTTCATTATCCGACTAGGTGTCAATACATTCACCATTACTAGTGCATGTAAAGTAAGCACTAGTCCTAGTTCGAGTTTGAACAGTGACAATTTCCCCAGATTCTGGTGTCTCGCTTGGGCGCTGCATTACTAGTAAAACGGCGATTAGCCATACATTGTGCAGGTCTTGTGATTCCAAGTTAGGCACAAAGGAGGACGAGTGAATGCGAGCTACGGAAAAGAAGAGGCGCTGCTCCCGAGTCATCAAGCCACAAAACAGATTTGATAGAGTCACAATCGCAGCTAGATTGCGGTGTACATGGCATGATGGATGGTGCCTTCAATAGCCTCGACTTCGCCTTACAGTATATTCATCACTCAAACCTGATGTCGTAGTGACCAAATCATGATTGCTTAGTCTGTATCAGTCCTCTGATTAAAAAGCAAGCGTGAGGCCTTGTTATCCGCGAACAGTAGTTCGTGTGTTCAATGACTGACCATAACCCCGAGTCAATCGAGAACATACACCATGCGCCTATTGTCGGATATATCTTGGCGGAACTAGGGAGACAATGAGAATAACTGAGAAGAAAGAATACCAAATTTTAACGGATAAAGCAGCCACATACCTGGGGAGGATGTAGCAAATATCGATTATCTTCCTGAGGGAGGGAAGAGTTCGGCCATTCTTGCCAAGCCAAAGCAAGCGTATTTGGCGCATTACCACACAGGCTCGAAAGGGAGATTAACGGACCAACCCGCATGGAGGGTGCGAAAAATGGGCATAAGATTGAAATTGAAAGCAGGATGATTACAAGTGAGTCGCAGACCACAATAAAGTTACTTGTAAACCTGTCCTTGCAATTCTACACATTACCTTGTCCACTAACTTGACTTCTCATTTCGCCGTCACTAGGGCTGCGACGGTTGTTCCGTTATAACTATTAGAGGCGAGATTAAGATTAGGCAATGATCATGTTCGCATATATAGAAGGATGGAGTTACTCGCCCAATATAAGCATCTCCAGGGTCAGTGAATGCCCTGCAGCGGTATTGTCATCATTCTTATCTCATGGAAGGAAATGCGGTGCGCAAAGGGACTCTCACATATGCCCGCGGTTGATTGGCACGCCTAGCTTCGCTTCAAAGAATTTGAAGAAAGCACGACTCCATTTTTCAGCGTTCGACGGATTCGTGTTCCATAGACTGATCTGTGTATTTCATGAATGAATAGAGCTGATAACAAGGTAGGATATGGTGATAGAATAGATGAGCTGTCACTCACAACATTCAACCTGATGGCAGGCTCAAATGTACCACCAAAGGTTAAATATGGATTGTAGGTGAAGTCCACACTGAATTCAGCTTCCGGTTTGCCGATTGTCTCCGAGCAGAACTATTTCATAGCATGAGTGTGTTTGAAGTAGAAAAAATTTAAACAACACATGAATGAACAACCACCTTTGAAAAATCCAAGACAAAGCTCTTGGTTTCCACAACCCCAAGCTACACGCCACCGTATTGAGTTGAGCTGAGGCAAAGGAGAAGCGAAAGATATAGAGGGGCTTACCTGGACATTCGTGCTGAGCGTTATCAAAGGCATTAGGACTTCTTTGAAACTAATGCTATATCGCGGTAGTGCACCAAGTGATTGTGATTGTCCTTCCCTCAGGACGCGTTCACACAGAGCTAAAAGCCTCCACTATCAAAAATGCACCCGAAAGGAACACAGAGGCTTCCGTTTATCCGCAATCGCACTGATAAATTTATCCCAGAAATCCATCGCATGTCATACGACCGTCACTGAAGCACATTCGTAGACTGATAAGCCCTCAGATTACCCTTATCCATGAATATTCTCTTCATCGTCAGAACTTCCGGAAATGGACAGAGATTGCGTGCGCTAGGTTGATCAAAGGTATATAAATATTGAAAAATAGCAATATCTTACCTTCTCACCAACCATCAAACTTCGTTTCTTTTACGTTGTGGATGCGAGTGTCATCGTTTGCATAACCACCGATTTGGGTTAACCGAGATTTTATGTATGAAACAAGCCGATTGAAACGAACTAACACATAAGCAAAGAAGTATTGTCATTGCATATACCCACTCGCGAAGTCCAAAGCGATGACAGTCTTCAAGGGTTTCAGGAGGGACCGAAATCGCATCTTGCTATTGTCATATGCCGAGTTTTGTGAAATTTGAGGCCAAAAAGTTGGCAGCTGCGAAAGGAGGTTTAACATCCGCTAATGACCTTGCAAACTTCGGCACAAGATAAAACCACGAGAATTCTGGGACGATCTCCTGGATAACTTGCATTCAACGTTGTGGATAAAAGTGTATTCACAGCATAAAGCAATTTACAGGTTAATATTAGACACAGCATCTCAAAAGTTAGTCTGCATTGATCGGTGGAATGACTTGTTTCCTTCCCTTGACAGGCCACACCTCGACCATCGTTTCGGCGTCCCATATACGCCCACCTCTTACCACGTACCTAATCTCACGAGACGTACGAATATCATCGTGTAGCAAATCAATACCTGAAGGATAAATGAGGATGTCGGCAAGTTTTCCAGGAGTCAAGGAACCAAGGGAATCATAAAGTCCGAAGGTGATCGCTGCCGAAGATGTCGCCGCACGTATAACCTATAGCAATACCATTAGAGTCCCGGCCAAACTTTATCAGGATGGACTGTACCTCGTAGTTGCTGAGACCACCAACTGTGGCGAAGAACATCTCTTCGTGATAATTAAGTCCCAATGGAGGTTCGCCATGAGCTCCGATATGCGCTAATAGGCCCCTGTCGACCAGGTTAGCAATAGACTCCGAGGTATTGTAGAAGGCCAGCGCTACAATGAGTTTATCAATAAGTAAACGCGAAGCGAAAGCAAATGAAAAAAAAAACTACAATTATGAGGTCGAGCTGTAGATTCGGACAGGCCTTCCAGTACGTCATGCCTAGTGAACCGCCTTAGCCTATACAAATGAATGGTTAACTGATAAGCCTTGTTATAAATGATAGTAAAAGAAATATACTTCGGATCATTGGGCACGTTTTGTGTAGCCCAAACAACCTGCTCTCCGTGCACACCACCATAATTGACGATATGAGTAGGAGTTGCCCCAGTTCCGCTTCGTGCGTAAAGTGTGAGTATGTCGTCATATAGTTTGGCGACAGGGAGATTATGTTCCACGGTTGTCATGCCTTGCAGAGCATAGATCAGCAAAATCATTCCCTACACATCAGAGCGCAAGATATCACCATCTATGATATATGTCAAATCCCAGTCGTAATTCATTCCCTGAGGTTTCGTTGGTCAAGAGTAAATATACAGCAAGGATTGCGCTGACTTACTCCCTCAGGAACACAAAGCATAGAAAAATTGCGAGCTTCCAATAATAGTCTCTGGCGGGAAGCTCTGCAGCACGTTGTTTGAGAATGAAGAGCATGAGATAAACGATTAGAAAACTCACCTCGAAGGAAGGTTGTAATTTTTGTAGGAGAAGCTTGCGGGACCACCTTCAACTTTTATTCTCAACAATGCGGTGCGCGCTTCGTCAGAGTCGGCAATATCTTGATGGTATGCGAGCGACGAAGCACCATAAATGATTCTACCAGTGTGGAATATCCTCGGGCCAACCATTTGCCCACTCTCTAAACGACTGCGTTCAATGTATCCAAGCACATTGTGCGAACTGGGGCTGTAAGTCGTATCAGTTGCTGCAGTGATAAGGTAAAGAGAACATAGAGCTTACTTGTGAAGAGTAGTGACCCCATACGCAAGGAAAGTCTCCAATTCCCACGAAGCGGCTGGGTAAAGAGTTTCGAAACCATCCCAATGAGCGTGCGCATCGATGAACCCGGGGATGACAAAGCCTATCATCAAAGAAAAAGCTTCAGCAAAGAGGGAGGTATAACAAGGTACGCTGGTGAACAAACCTCCTTCAGCATCCACCACGGTCGCACCATTGGGGATAACTGCTTCGTGCTGGAGGTTCACAGACTCGATGACTCCGCCCCTAACGGTCAAAACACCGCCGTGTAGCACATTCTCAGAAAATGCTTTATCCATCGTGAGTATGGTAGCATTTTTTATCACAAGCAGATCGGCGTTGAGGTTAGCCGGATCCAAGTCTAATGCTTCTTGTTTCAATCTTGCAATATCACTAGAGTGATGTACAAAAATCTCTTGGTAATTCAAAATACCCTTTATGCAGGATATACCAAAGTTTGAAGGATCTTTGTTAATGTCTGATGAGCATTGAGACAGTTTGGACAGCTCAAGGTAATGTAGATAAGGGCCTGAGGGAAGACGAATCAGCATATTCATGAGAAGATTAATGCAAGGTGCTCATACCAAGAAGCCAAAAAACAACCTTTCCGTCACGACTAATTGTCACATCGTGTCCTCCATCCAAACTGAGTCTCGCAAGGTGGGCGGTAGCATTCCCTGGTTTACTCCAGACCGGTTCTTCTGGAGAAACAGTTCCAGGAACATAATAAACGTGAAACAGATTAACAAAAGCAACACCAGAGACCGCCGTTTTGTCTCCTTTTGAGCGTGTAGAAACAATAATTTCGTCAGTCTCTTTGCCCGAAGCAAGAGTTTCATGTAGATAGTTCCCGAAGGTGTCGGCGCCAGCATTGATATTGATGATGAACGCTCGATCAGACTGCTGCACAAGAAGTTTCTTGTTTGAGTCTAGAAATTGTAGCTTGATAACGTCTTCCGTGTCCACTTCACTGGAAACAAACTTGAGATCACTGACAATAACTTTGTCATCGGGATAAGATGGAAGTGTGATATGACCGATGTAGAGTCCTTCTCCAGCAGTCGCGACGATATCTCCCGTCAAAAGATCACCACCAGTCTTGACAAAAGCAATCATACGACCTGTCCCGATACACTCGCACAAAACAGGAGAATAGTATCGTCCAAGAGGTAGGCCGGTCACCTCATGGGCAGTCTGGGATGATAGGTTGGCTATCTCCAATGTTGTGAAGTCTGCATCTGACCAGCGAGCATGAAGTATAATGTTATCAAAACCGCTGACGAATGCGGGAGAATAATACGGCTGTTCAGGTTTCAACACAGGGATCTTCTCAGCGATAGAGGTGTCATGGCCAACTTCTTGGATATATGTGATGCCGGCTGCCTGGAATATTGCCCTCTTCCCTTTGTAGTCGACTCTTAGTTCTTTAAAAGCGTGCACTCTCTGTAGGTCTTGGGTTTCTAACCCAACGATGTCGGTCTCAGCTTGCCGAGTTTCTGCCAAGCGCTTTTCGATGTGAGCGACGAAGCGGATGGGAGAAGGAGTGCCCCCAGCAATTTTTTCGCCATACAAATTGAGGGATAGTGGTACAGAGTATATTTGTCCAGCAGCCCAGATGATGACGGCATCGTCGTTCGGTGAAAACGCAAAGGATGGATAGGTACCCATGGGGGCAGAAATTGTCGAGAGGTCGTAGGTGAGACCATACCATATATTGTGAACCGTACCGCTTTGCAGGTCCCTAAATCACCGAAACTTGAGTTCCAGAGGAAACATTGAAGCACCAAAATAAAATTACTAACTTTAGTACCAGTGCCTCTTTATCTCGCACACGGCGAACGAAAGCAAGTGTGCGTCCATCCCGCGATAGTTCAGGTCTGCTCGCTCCTCCTGGGTAGGCGTCAACTATTGTCTCCGTCTTACCAGAAGTGAGATTTTTGGAGAAAATAGCATATATCCCCTTATGAACATCTGAATCAAGTCCTATTAGGTGTCGTAGCTGAGGAAAGTTCAAGAAAAAACACGGACCTTTACTGTACGCAAATGTACCTTGTGTGTCGCGTATATTCTTTGAGAATATAAGTTTATCCTCTCCTGCCCATACGAACTGCTCAGGCCCAATCTGCTGGTCGCCATAATTTGTGGCACCCCAACCCGTAGGAAGGCTTCTGCTAACAACTCGGCGACCAGCCCCAACCCCCACTTCAGCACATTCGGATATATCATACTCCCATCCCTCTCCCGAGCCGAGACTACGACTTGTGTAATACCACTTCGTTGCAACTACTTTAGAGCCGGATGGATGGAACCTGGCGTCAGAAACCCAGTGATAAGTTTCATTGGTGACTCGCGTCGCTAAGTATTTGGATTTAGATAGTTGTAGCCTAGAAAGAATACAGGCATACCTCCCAAACGACCTTCCCTGACCAGCCTTCTACGTTTCCTGTGCCCAGTCTCAGACACACCCTTGGCAAGTAAGTTATCTTCGTGCTCTTTCACTTTCAGGGCTTCCCGAAGCTCCACGTCAGAAGAGCCGGACCTAACGTTCATCTCCTCGCATCCCGACCACTGCATTACCCAAATGTTTTCAAACCCAAGCTCTGCATCACTTCTGAACACGAGCTTATCTCCCTGGGGCGAGAAATGTGGGTCTGAGTCATATGGAACCCCGACGAGAATGGGGTTTGCAGTGGTAACTCCTCCACTCTTGTAAGACTCTGCAGGCAAACAATACAGATCGCCAGCCATGTCAAATACAATGTCTCCTGTCACGGGATGTACGTCCAATCTCAGCCATGTTCCTTCTGTTACGTCGTACTCCAGAAGACGTGGATAGGGAAAATCTGTCGAGATATCCCATGGTGCAGGTTGGCGGAAAGGGAAGACGTCGTCTCTGAATTCTGAGCTTGGGTCCTCTGACTGGGTAGCTATTCCAAAACTCGGTTGGGTTGCGAAGCGTTTTCTAAGAAGCGAGCGAGCTGTGAAGATGAGAGATATCGACACATATACGAAGAGCATGACGCTCTTCCACGGGCTTTTGCCATTGTGTTTTCGAGACTTGGTTTGACTGAGGTTTCTCGGCAAAGGCAGTTCATTTCCATATCCTGGAACCTTTTCAGGTTGCTTGGTCTCAAAGACCATGGCTAAAGAACCAGAAGGCAGTCTGATGAATGCACTTCAAAGTCCTTCCAGTTGTATAGTCTGGGATGAGAACGGTGTGATAAACACGATGTCACGTGGGATACTGTGTGACTATGCGTTACTTCTCTGTGACCTTCGACTTTTGGACGATAAGATCGCAGAGCAGCAACGATGAAGGCAGCTATTAAATAACGAATCGGATGGCCTCAGCCCCTCCAATCCCTGAACCAGATATCGAAGATGGTATCACTTATTGGACTACTCAGCCAGCAAGTCTAGATGGTGTTTTGGGTGAGCTCTTATCCTTCGTCACTTTTGTATCAACTCTCCTCATGTTGTGGCCCAGGTGGTTTTGGTACCGGAGTAAGCAAATTCCATCATGCCAGAATCCAATAAAGTTGACAAGTTCTCGGTTCTGAGTCTTTACCTCGCGTTGATGCACTCGGTTCCCGTCAGTTTCTCCTCAGTCTTCGCCCCGATCTGTGCACCGTTCCATCTGCAATCCGGCCGCTTTCTTCTCCATCATCTTCTAACCCGGATACGAAGCGCATAAGAGCTTTGGATGTTGGAGCAGGCATAGGTCGAGTCACAGCAGACGTCTTACTTCATCTCGTATCAGATGTAGTCCTTTTGGAACCGGTCGAGAGCTTTGTTAAAGAGGCATGGGCCCGTGGACAAGCAAGTACCAAAACGACGCCTTTGAACAAGAATAGCAAGAAAAATATAAGATGGAAAGGCATAGCAGACGAGTCAAAAAGTGTCACCTTTTTCCAGGGCACCCTTCAGGTTTTCAATCCAGTTGATCCCGTTAAAAATACGACATTACTTGGTCGAGTTGGCTACGTCCCTACTTCTGATGACAGTGACTCAGCATTCGACGTCGTGTGGTGTCAGTGGTGTCTTGGGCATCTGAGCGACGATGATTTAGTCGACTTCTTACGCAGAAGCCGCAAGGCGTTTAGAGGGGAGCAGAGCTTGATTGTAGTTAAAGAAAATGTATGCAGAGACGATGACGACACCTCCCCAAGAACAGTTTTTGATGAGCAGGACTCGAGTTTAACCAGGTATGTTTCCCTCGGATCGAATTAAAAACTCGTAATTTAACCCACGTTCACCCCTAGGTCAGACCAGGCTTTCAAGAAGATATTCAGGGATGCAGGACTTCGTCTAATAAAAGAGAAAGTGCAAGAAGGGCTACCTGAAGGCTTATATGATGTAATGATGTAAGTGGATTTCGTTGCGACCAAAACGAATGCTGATCGTTGGATCGTTATCAGGTATGCATTGAGATGAGAGTGGTTGGGATAAAACCCTTGGTGTCAAACTATGACGTTTCAATAAAGACTACGCTCACCTCAGCATTCATGCGTTAATACCATGTAGCCATTCGTGTAAATTAGATACATACAGGAAAGAGGCTATTCCAGGGACAGCCAACGTTTATCGAACGTTTATCCGTGACTACATATTTTCAGCTGTTCTTTGGTACGTTCAATTTGCCACAAAAATTACTATCGAGACATTAGAATTCAGATGAAGATCGGTGTTGCTTCCACATATGCACTGAAGAAGGTATTATCAATAATTTAGAGCAAGACGCAGAGTAGTCTTTATATTATGGATCGAGAGTATTATGGTTCTTCGAAGCCCATATAACATCGATGCAGAAGATGTTCGCGTTTAGAAAGCTTGAAATGACCAGGAATCCGCCAGTGAACAATATACTACGTGATGGGGAAATGCGTGGGCCGTCAAAATGCGAGGAAACTCCTGTAATATAACAATATGTGCTCCCAGTACGATCTGTAGGTAATAACCTTTGCTCCATTTGTGTTTCTTATAGGGCGATGCACAGCAGGCAGACCTCGTGGTTGTGACTGGTACCCCACGGGACAATAGTGGTGGGCTATTCGTGGTTGTAAATCGAGTAACCCAAAGATCGAAAAATAGCTCCTCGCTGCTACTGCAAGTGTTCAGCACCCGTCAGCCAAGCTTGACCAGTTACCTACCTCGGTGAAGCTAAAATATGACTCGATCAAAATCCATGTCATCCTGCTCCGGTTCTTGAAGAACTATCTGTTCAGGTTTGTCGGTTTGCTGTATGCGTCCCTTGGCTTCAGGACCCTTGCGCTGCTTTTGTGCCTTTTTCTGAACCTTCTTCACCTTTTCAACAGCCTGCTGCTCGTCACCATCGCCAATCTTTATGACTACATTCAGTGTTGACTTCGTCCTCGTCTGATAGTCAATGTCTTCGTCTTCGTCTTCCGGGATGACCTCATCATGCACTTCCACGGATCCTGTCGTGATCGAAGTATGTACTTCATCCGGAGGGAAAGGCAGAATTGGTGGTAAGGATAAAGTAAGCAATGCAAGGTGAGGGATGGCTGCACCCATCGCGCTCATGTGAAGCGTTTTGTACCTACCTCAAACGTGTCAACGATAGCTCAGCTTAGGTTGAGAATGACTTACCCATCTTTGAGAAAAACGTTTTTACACCTCCGTAAATATGCCCCGAGCTTTGTTTTACGTGTGATACAAATGTAATTTTTGCCCTCTGTATGTGCTGAGCGTGGCCCAGTGGCAGACACTGAAGTGGGTACAGTAGGAAATGGGCGGACAGGAGCCAATTTCCTTCGATTTGACTTGTTACGCTCCGATGACTTGTCTTTGGAAGACCCATCGTTAGCCAGTGTGCTGCCTTTTTCCTGCGCTAGTTTCTTGTCTGATTTCTCTCGCCTATTATCGGCGTTCTGAACATCCTTAGTGTTCAAATCCGGGGCTGGTTTCACGGTTGTGCTCTCCTTCGCTGCGTTACCAGATGCTGCAATCATTTTGACTCGTTTGGAGGGTTCGCCTTCAGAGTCATGTTTTCGCTTTCCATGGTTAGGCATTGGGACTCAACTGTACTTTTGCAGATTGGAAACAACTTGGGAGAAATGGTACAAGAGGCGCCACTACCTGCCCTAAATCCAAAGCCACGCGCGAAAAGTTTTGCTTAGCAGTCATTCATAAGAACCAATCAGATCAGCAAAGCAAGGCCAACAGGCCTCTTTCTTTTCCTCTTCCAAGACCATCGTGTTTCTAGTGCAAACCGCTAGTAGAGCACGTATATCTCGCCCAAGATGAGTCAGGATGTTGCAGAGCAAAATATTCAGATGTGGAAGGTCAAGAAACTCATCAAGAGTCTTGATGCTGCCAGAGGGTTAGCTTTTTCGCTTTAGCGCTCAAATTTTCGAGAGCTAGGGTCTTATCGCTTTTTTCAGAGCTGGTACTTCCATGATCAGTCTGATCATCCCCCCAAAGGTAGTCTTGAATTTGTTGCCTGATGCCAAGGGAGTGTAGTAATGATTGATCCACAGGATCAAATTTCTCGTGCTTCAGCTATGTTGACGCAGGAGTATGGTACTGCGTCTAATATCAAGTCTCGAGTCAATCGATTATCAGTGTTGGCTGCCATTACTAGTACCCAGCAGCGATTAAAATTGTACAATCGGGTTCCTCCGAACGGTCTCGTGCTTTTCGTCGGAACTATTCTGACCGATGAAGGAAAGGAGAAAAAAGTTTCCTTCGACTTCGAACCTCACAAGCCTATCAATACGTACGTGCAGTGTCTAGCAATTGATGGTTTCTGGCTAGATCTGATGTCCGTCCAGGTCGCTCTATCTTTGCGACAACAAGTTTCACACAGAAGCCTTGTCCGAACTGCTAGAGTCAGATTCACGATTCGGTTTCATAGTTATGGACGGTAATGGCACTCTCTTCGGAACGCTCGCTGGAAACACACGTGAGGTAGTGCACAAGTTCACTGTCGATCTTCCCAAAAAGCATGGTCGTGGTGGTCAATCCGCACTTCGTTTCTCCCGTCTCAGAGATGAAAAACGACACAACTATGTCCGCAAGGTCGCTGAGCTGGCTGTTCAGCACTTTATTACCAATGACAAGGTTAACGTTACTGGCCTGGTCCTCGCGGGTAGTGCGGATTTCAAGACCGAGCTCGGTCAAAGTGACATGTTTGATGGGCGTTTGGCTGCCAAAGTTATCAAGGTTGTCGATGTCAGCTACGGTGGCGAGAATGGTTTCAACCAGGTTAGTCTTCTTGATATTGTATGCTCAGTGTGCGGCCCCTCATTATGCATCACGGCAACTTGAAGGCTATTGAACTTGCGGCCGAATCTCTTGCCAATGTTAAGTTCGTACAGGAAAAGAGGCTCATTCAGAAATACTTCGACGAAATCAGCCAAGATACTGGGAAGTACTGCTTCGGTATCGATGACACGCTGAAGGCGCTGGAACTCGGTTCCGTAGAAACTCTGGTTGTATGGGAAAACATGGACATTACCCGATATATCTTGCGCAACGCTGCAGGAGGTACGACTATCTCATTTTCGAGGACTTTTACCAGTCTGATTAATTATGCTCTTCAGAGGAAATCGTCATTCACACCAACAAGGAACAGGAGAAGGATCGCGAAAAGTTCCTCGATAAGTCTACTGGTCTTGAGATGGAGCAAGTCATGGAACCTCAGCCTCTTCTCGAGTGGTTCGCCGAAAAGTACAAAGAGTTTGGTGCAAACTTGGAATTTGTGACAAACCGATCGCAGGAAGGAGCGCAATTTGTGAAAGGATTTGGTGGCATTGGAGGGCTCTTGCGATACAAGGTTGACTTTACCAACCTTGCTTCGATAGATGAAGAAGAAGAAGAGTTCTATTCGGACGACGATGATATCTGACGTTTCTGCTGGCTCTTCGGAGCCCCGTCTACTAAGGGCACGCCAGGCGGGGCGGTGGGAAGGTGTGGGGTACGAGAGATGGCGACGGGTGTCAAAAGTTTGGCCGAATGCATTGTTAGGACTGAAAACGATACTAGTCTAATCGCTGGAGGGTGCACTGTTATCTGTGATGAGGGTGTGGGTCCACACGCAGAGATGCATCATTGTGTTTTGGTGGAGTTAGGCAGAAGTTTTGCCCACACTCCCAGCTATGTGGAGGTATGTTAATTGATAATAACTACACCTATCATTTTGCTAATGCTACAATACAGTGCATCATGTTGGGGGGATGTGACGTTGGGCGCAGTATGCACCGACAGCTCCTCAACCTGTCGATGTAATTTTATTGTGATGATTGTTTTGTAATATTGTAACGTAAAAATATCAGTTTGTTCAGGTTTCAAGTTGTCCGTTAAAGTGACACATACACTAAAGTCTGCATTGGAGCTCAGTTCTCCGCAGTTGAATGTCTCGTCCACGTCTGTGGCGCGACGCGGTTTCATTGCCAGGTGACGCGTGACGTCATTCAGAGTTGTGTTTATTGCAAGCAATGTGGGAATTGGGATATATTTCCAGCGGTTGCTTTGGCGCCCTTATAAAATAAGGGAAACCGGCGCAAGATTCCAGGGTACACCCCGTTTGTACATTGACCTTATTCCACACACTGCCAATCCACCGATATGGCTGGTAAGTATCCCCCCTCCTCTATGTTCTGCCCGCCTTTGGATTGAATATTGGAATGCAATCAGGTAGAAAACGGGCTGCAAATGAATCTTCCACGCGCGAGACGCGCAGTGCGAAAGCAACAAAAACTGACACCGCAAAAAGTCCAAAGAACGCTGGAAAGGAGCCAAGAGGGGCAGCGCGTCTTAAGGTCCGTTTACTCCTCCGTCCCCGAGAACCCGTCCCCTATCTCCAACATATCACTGCAACTCATTCAACGTCGTCATAGACATCAGTAAGCGCTGCTGCGTTCAAGGCGCGGGCTCTTCCCCTCCATGTCAACTTAACACATACGCCCCCGGCTGCTGCCGGACCTGAAGAAGGCTCCACATCAGTTGCGCAGGTAGACCCAGGATTTGTGGGGAGTACGACGCTTATCGGAAGCTCGTTCTCAACAGGGAGTTTCGGGTGGAAAGGCAACAAGCGGTTGACCATCGAGCTCCCAGGTGTGGATGGTGCGGAGAAGGAAACCGTCCATGTCCAGTTAACGTGAGTGGCTTTTGAAAAATGAGTTTTGGGTTCGATGACTGACATTTCCTTGTTGTGCAGGATCAATGCCACTGTCATAGGAAGCAAAGATGCGAAGGAAACAGATGATGACAAGGAAGGGGAGGCAGAGGCCCAGAAAGAAACGGAAGAACCTAAGGAGATCACAGAAAAGGAGCCTGAACCGTCTAAGGAGGAGAACGCAATGGAAGTTGTAGAACAAAAGGCAGCAGAAAACGCACCTGAGGAAGCGCCTGAAGGCGATGCCGTAGAGGTGGAGGCTGCTAAGGAGAACGGTGAAAACGGCACAGCTGCAGAAAACGAAGGTCTGTAAATTGCTGTGAGGTGACTCCCTTGTCTTTATCGTTGCCATATTATCGTTGTGTTTATTGGTCTAACTATTTTTTGTTCTATTCTGTAATATTATTATACAAGTACTGCCCAAGTTCATGAGTGACATCGTACGAACCTGTGCTGCAAGTATATCAGCTATGGCCACGGGCCGACCTCCGCAAGGGGGAACGGTGAAAGTGTAATTTCAGGAAGAGTACTATTTGAAGCTTCACACTTGCTGGGCTTTGTGTCGACTTGATGATCTATCTACGGGGCAGGGGTTAGCTCATGAGGTAGCATGTAATGATGCAACGATAGTAAATAAATCCCTGTTTCACTTGGACACTGAATTCGAAGACCTGATGATAAGAGTACCTGTTGCACCTAGAATCGATTATCTACGACATTTAATGATTTAGAGGGTCGTGGTCTCGAGTTTAGTGGGGCTCGTCCAGATGAGTTGTGATAAACTCCTGCAGTCTTGGGGGGCGGGGGTAAATAAATAAAAATAAAAAGAAAGGCACTGACAACAAGTCTGCGATCCAAACATTTATGAGTAGTCGAGGGTCCGTACAGCGGAATCCATCAGAATATTTTATGAGACTTTCCTAGCAACCGCGTTTAGTCCAAAAGCGAACGCCCAGGCGATACCATTACGGTTCTGCGACGTCACCTCCAGATATCTCTACTATCGTCTCCAGGTTGCGTGGTGAGCGTTCTCGGGCCATGGCCCATCGATGATCCATCCAATGGACAAAATCCCCAGAGCAAAACAAAACAGGTGTACGCACCTCAAAAGCGTCGGGAGAATATACGATAGCTTGGAAGATAGGCATATAATCCTTAACATGCTGTGCGAGACGTCAGCTTGGAAAAGCATGAGGGTTGGTTAGTCTAAGATTGAACAAGTTGCCAACGTTTACCATGGCTCCTGGCATGCTCGACAGTCATGTTGACGACTCGTGGCCCAGGCTCAGATTGAAACCATTAGCATCGGATCTGTGCTGTGTCCAATAATCATTTTTTTAATGGACGTGTACATGAGAGTCAGACGACACGATGCCAGTGGTGGATTCAAACGCCGAAACTAAAGCCGTCACACGAGTCCCTGCTCAACAGCACATTGTGCACAGGAAATGCGTAAGTTCACACTATTCTGCACCTATTCAGTACAATATTAATTGATACAGCAAGGTATGTTGATACTAGTATAATATATGAAGTCTACAAGTCAAACTCAAAGTCCGAATCCGAGTCTTCGCCTTTCCTAGCTTGACTTCGTACATTCTTCGCTGCCCGTCCGTTTGTTGCGGTTTGAGCAGATCGCATTCGCGACGACGGGTCGCCATCATCGTCATCCGAACTATCCTCGTCGCGATCTCGACTTTGTCCCGGACGACGATGTTCTGGTGGATCAATGACACCACAAAGCAGAAAAGAGGCTTCCAACTCTGTACATAAATAATTGAGCTGAACACTACGACAGACCGTCCAGATGAAACGTACCCTCTATTATCCTTTCTCGATCAGCTCCCCAAGAGACAAGCTGATTTCGAATTTCCCCCTTCCTGTAGATTATGAACATGGGTATGCGGCTGTCCGGAAGGTTCGGTATGCATTTATCGCCTACAATGCATACGAATTTTGTGCGAGGATATTTTGCCGCTAGTTTTTGTACATGCTGGAAGGCGCGATCACTGTGTGGGATTCTGGGAGTTGTTTCAGCGCATGTAGAAGCCGATAAATTACAGGCACGAATTATGTAGAACTCACCCGTCCTTATACAAGAAACAAATGACTCCAGTGCCTTTCTTCTCATCATCACCATCCTCATCGACTTCACTTGCGTCTGTCACCTCTCTTGTATAATCATCTCGTCCGATCGGATACAATCTACCGAACCGAGAGCGCTTTTCCTCTCGTTTCTGTTCTGCTAAACGCTGCCGATTGAATGTATCAATCGTGCGCTCAAGTTCATCGTCGTGGGCATCTTCGCCAATCTCCTGTAGGTCCTTTGAATCAAACTCGTCGAGAAGCTCCTCTAGAGAAGGTGATCCTGGAGGCGATGGAGTGGGAGGAGTGGTTTCACGCTGCGGTATGATGCCATACTTGCGTAGGGCGTCATTGCTACGATACGCTGAGCGCTGATATACAAGGGTTTAATATATGCAAGTAGAACTTACAATTCTGTATCTTCGTTTGGATTTACGGCCATGGTGAAAGTCAAGGAATGTGTTTTTGTGCAGATGTAGGTTATCAGAGCCTCATCGCAGTCGGATACTTGACGCGGGCATATCTATTTACGAGACCGCCACGCGAGACGTTCAAACCGCGACTGGTTTTAGTAGTTCTGAGCTGAGGAAGTATTTCTTTTGTCCACGTTATTCATGATCGATGCATGATCCCCGTCAAGATAGGCCTTGTACTCTTCTATGCTATCCTTTGTCTTTTCATAGTTTTGTGACATGACCGTCGCCCAAATACCTCAAGTAATCGTTAGCGAGTCGATTCTTCCACGAAGATACCAAGAAGAAATCTTCCGTCGAGCACAGAATAGCAATGTTATCGCAGCATTAGATACGGGCAGCGGGAAAACCTTCATCAGCATCCTGCTCATAAAGTGGATAGTGCTCCAGGAGAAAGCAAAACGAAAGGTCATCGTTTTCCTTGTCCCGAAGGTAGCTCTCGTCAAGCAACAGGCAGATTCCATTGCTGCTCACACCCCATTGCGCGTGAAGATGTTTCACGGCTCGTTGGACCTTGATCTTACCGATCGGGCTAACTGGAAGAAATCATTCGAGCAATCTGATGTTGTGGTTATGACCGGTGCTGCCCTGTTATACTGACGATTGTTTATAATATAGCTGACGGTCGCTGCAGCGCAGATATTCTTGAACATACTCACACACTCTCACTGGAGTGTCGAGAAGGTCTCATTTATTGTACGACTATTATCAACAATTATTCATTCAAACTTTTTGTGCAGGTCTCTCTCCTGATTTTCGACGAATGTCACCATACCAGGAAAAACCATGCTTATAATGGGATTATGCACGAATATTTTCAGACAATTCCTTCGGACAGACCCAAAGTCTTTGGTATGACAGCTTCACCTATATGGAATCCAAAGGATGCAGAAGGGTCTCTCGCAACATTAGAGAAGAATCTTGATGCTACTGTTATAGCTGTTCGCGAGCACGTAGAAGAGCTACAGGAAAATAGCCCTCGCCCAGTTGAGGTATGTCATGCTACTGTTTTGACATCGATACCGCTCATGGTCAACACGCATATTGCTAGGTGATTAAAGAATTTTCTCCGCCGAGTGATACCTATGACTACCTTTACCCTACTCTATGGGATTGTCTTTCACTTTTCACGAATGCTGTTGAGATCAACATACCAGTCGACAAACTTCATATGAAGTATCAAATGACTCGGAATAGTCTCGGGGCCTTCAGCGCTGATTTATTTCTCTACACGGACATAAAGACACGTTTGATCCATTTTATAGACGAACTAGAATCCTCTCAAAACGAGACGTTTCTTGGTTTGGATGGGTTTGATCACCACATAGATGTTGACGAATCATCCGAATCTGCACAATCACAATTTCCCGCCATTTCTCCCGATCTCGAGCAGATCGATGCCATTCTGTCTGAGTTTCGTCCCTTCTTTGACAGCGGGACTGAAGTACCTGCAGTTCCTATTCCTGTGCCTCTTGCGTGGTGTACGCCCAAGGTCAACGCCCTTGTCGAAGTTCTTCTTGAACACTACTCACCAACGTTCCATGCAATCGTGTTTGTGGAGCAACGCCAAGTCGCGGCATGCCTCGCGAAGATTCTTCCGTGTATACCTGAACTGCGCGGTTACGTTCGATGTGCAGAGCTCGTCGGGCATGGTGCAAATCATGGACATGGTCCTGTGGTGAATTCCAATGCAAGAGGTATGGGCCTAGCGAGACAGCAAGATACGGTCGAGTTATTTCGTCAAGGCAAGCTAAACCTTCGTGAGTCGACTCCAGCCTCTACTGTGGTAAAAGTTGTCTAATGGTTTCGGATATGATATTTAAGTTGTGGCAACCTCTGTCGCTGAGGAGGGCCTCCATTTTCCTGTAAGATAGCCATAACACTACTGTTCATTAAATAGCTAATTGTCTGATTGAAGGCATGTGATATTGTCGTTCGCTTTGACCCAATTCAGCACATGGTTGGTTATGTGCAGTCTCGAGGACGTGCGCGCACAAAGACTTCCACTTTTGTCATCATGGCACAAAAGGATCATAGTGCGCATCTTGTTCGGTATAATGCTTTCTTAAAGAGTGAACCCGAGCTCAAGCGCGTCTATCAAACTCGCGAGGAACCTGCTGCTACTCGACTGGATCCTGGAGAAGATTCAGAAGAAGGTGAAGTCGAAGAAGACGATCCAGCAGATGTCGCAGTGCGCGAACGATACATTGTGCCATCCACAGGAGCAGTACTAACCTACGACTCCGCGGTAAATCTGCTGAACCATCTTTGCTCGCTCATTCCACATGATGCATACACACCACCGCAGTTACCAAAATACTCGGGTGACTACGCTGTGATGCTAGAGCTTCCATCAAGTCTTCCTCTGCCTATCGATCGACTTTTCTTTTCTGGACCAGAACGACGGTCAAAACGTGAAGCCAAGCGTGCTGTTGCTTTTTTGGCAGTGAAAGAGTTACATAGACTAGATGTGTTCGATGATTATCTATTACCCGCGACAAGTTCTAAAGGACGTGGCACGGAAGATGCAGATGGAAGAGGCATCTTGGATTTCAGCGACGTGCCTGATCTGATGGATGTGCTAGTTAGGGACCCGTGGACGTTAGGAGCGAAACTTTACTTGCATATAGTCACAATCGACGATCAAGATGTAGGGGGACTCGTCACGGGAACTTGCTTGCCGCCAGTCGAGTTCAAGAGCGATGGTTCTACCATTCAATTGCGCTATGACAGAGTTTTGCTATTCGATGAGGACGAGGAATGGGATCAACGGCGGATGCTTAGCGAATTCATGAGAATGGGATTATGGTTCTGTGTTACCGGAAGACCGGCTGAGCTCCCGTTCAGTTCTTTCCTGGTACCCCTCCTTCCTAACAAGCACATCGACTTCGAGGTCGTGGAACGGGTAGCATCAGAACCATACGGTTCATACGACTGGAGTGGTGCCTCTGAGAAAGATTACAACCATCTTATGGTGATGAACTCAAACCAATATGGTCGTGCCCTCGTCTTACGCAACATACGGTATGATCTCACTCCACTTTCCACTACCCCACCGGGCTCTAAAGAGTCAGAGTATCCCACCTACCGAGACTACTTTGTTCAAAGATGGACGAGGAAAAAACGCGAAGCATTTGTCCCGGAAAATTCTTTCCTCATCGAAGCCACCTATCTTCCCCGTTGCCCGTCGAGCGTATATCGAGTCCGTGAACACCTGATAGATCTTGACCTATGCAAACGCCAGATTGCTCGCGCTGGCTTGCTCGTTCCTAAAGATGCATGTCGTCGCGTTCATTTCTCAGAAGATGTCTATCGTGCCTTTCTACTGTTGCCTAAGTTGTGCCGCCGAGTTACCGATGTTTATCGCGCTCGACAAGAGCGAATAGAGCTTGGCCTTCCTATGATCGCGGAAGACTTGCTTATAGAGGCTTCGACGCTCCCTACTACCAGCCTGACATTCAATAATCAGAGGCTGGAAACACTCGGAGACTCTGTGCTGAAGCTCGGTAGCACCGTTCATATCATGAACAAGTATCCTCACCGGCATGAAGGTCAACTATCCCATCTACGACAGAATAGTGTTTCAAACAGAACGTTGTTATCTCGCGCCAAGGAAATAGAGCTTGAGAGGTTTTTGAATTCAGAGTCACATAATTTACACTTCTGGCGCTATACTGTGCCTGAGGATACGGATTCCACGCTTTGTCGTATTAGGAGGAGCACTCGACGAGAGTTTCCACGAAGAAGCTTACAAGACTGCATGGAAGCCACGCTTGGTGCCGCATTCGTTACTGGAGGGATTGATATGGCTCTTCAAGCCGGCACTGCGCTAGGTCTGTCCTTTGGAGGCCCAATCCCATGGTCATTAAAGTACAGCCGTCGACCAGAGTCGTCTCCTGCGCCCCATTTGTTTGCTGACTTGCAAGAAAGTCTCTGTTATGAGTTTCATCGTGGTGATCTGTTGGTAGAGGCGGCCACTCACCCGTCATTTGCTACATCAGCAAGCTCCTCATATCAGCGTTTAGAGTTTCTTGGGGATGGTGAGCAGGAACGCATTATATTAAGCGAGATTGTTACTAATATAAATGCCTGTGCAGCTGTTATTGATCTCGTTGTCCTGAATTATCTGTATCGCCGCTTTCCACAAGCCAATTCGGGACAGCTATCAGCAGCACGGTCTCGTGCTGTCTGTGGGCCAACGCTGGCGTCGATCTCAGTTAGGCGGTTATGCCTGCATAAAATCCTTCTTGTCAACAATGTGGAGCTGAGTTCCGCCATCAATAGACATGTTCCTATTCTGGAATCGACTTCCGTCGAAGATATCATAAACAAAGGTTGGAAGTACGACCCTCCAAAGGCTTTAAGCGATGTGCTAGAAAGTGTCGTCGGTGCTATTTTCGTTGACTCGGCGTACAACTTTGAGAAAGTGGCTTCTGTAGTCGAACTGATCATGAGCGACGTTCTGGAGCTGCTCTCTCCCAACCTTCCTAAAGATCCAGTCTCGGAGTTAATGGTCTGGGCAGCTTCTTCCGGGTGCCGCAGAATAAGTTTCCGGTACGTTATGCTTTCTACGTGTCACAAATTTACGCTCTTAATGTTGTTCCCTTAATTCTGGATTTTATCCGACATGAACACAGGAAAACACAAAGTCATGCAGAACTTCGGAGAAACGACAGCGTCTCGGTGGTTGTGCATGATGTTGTTGTTGCTGGCCCCATCACCGCTTCCAACCTCTCATTATCTAAAGGATTGGCTGCTGAACGGGCTCGTATTTTATTGGATGACCACTCTTCCGACCAATGTTTGACCAGTTTGTGCGACTGTAGCATGGCTATGAAACCTCAAGTGCCACAAGTCTCCCTGGCCATACCTGACGAAAATGACATCTCAAAGCCTGTTTCAGATGAAAACGAAGAGGGTTTTGCGACTATCGCCCAACGCAAATTAGATGAGACTCGGACCGTTAACCCTGAAGAGTGCGAAGGTGAGGTGGACGCCGAGATCGTCGTACATGAAGGTCCAGAATAGTAACACTTTCTGTGTCCTTGGGGCTGGCTGGTGGCGAACTTTTGCGTGGTTGTAAAAGCTCTCTATCAGTCGATGTCATGTCTCGAATTTGAAAGTGCTAACAAATCCACAAAAAGTAACTGAACTTTGCTATGCTCAATGTCGACGTTTTGTAGAATCACCAGCGATATTTCAGTCACTTTTTTGACTGTGTAAATATTTGACGAAACTTGCTCCTGTTTCCTGAGCGAGGTCCTTGGTGTGACATGTGTGACCAGGTGACTATAGGACCCGGTGGTCCATGGACTGACGTTTCCGCTCGGAGACAGACTTGTGGTTTCTTGATTTTGCTAAGTACACGCTGCTGAGGACTCTATAACCGCACTCATACTACATCGGTCCTGGGTCAGCTTGGAGGCCCATCTCATCTCTCTCTCAACCCTCATGGAAGACGCCAATGGCCATGGCCATGTCCAGACAACACCTACAGTCTCCTCAATTCTTGGCATAAAGGGGTCACTGCGTTTTCGGCGGCATGGATCCAGTCAGAAGGCGCATGTCGTTTTGCGACGCGTTGAGATATCGGAGGACTCTAGCGATGACGAGAACCGAAAACCCACAGTTTACTATAGCCTGTTTGCCCAAAAGAGAATCGAGGTCAAGCCTGGAAAGGAGATCTTGTTGGCTGTAGCCTCTCAAGATGGAACATTCACAGAGCAGGCTGTCATCTTCGAAGGCGACCTTCCTGATTCTGAGTCAAGTTCTGAAGGTGAAGAAGAAACGCAAGTTGCTGAAGAGGAAGAGAAACCTGCTTTAGCGTTCGTACATGCTGTGCCCCCAAAGATGAGAAGAACATGGAACAAACGATTCGAGCAGGTGAGCCCAACTTCAGGTGAGTGTAGAGGTTCCGAGCATACCCTTTCTCCTGCATATATATCATCCTTAGTACGCTCAGATATCGTGCACCCTCCACCATCATTTCCTTCCCGCATGTCTGTAGGTGTACAGGCACAGCCCACTCTAGTTGCGACATCTGTTCAAGTGGACCCTCTGCCCGAGCCTCATCGTACTGCTGGTTTGTCTCAAGCTATAGATCAACTCGGAAAAACTACACTCTGCACTGGTATTCAGACTGATTCAGCAGTAGAAGAATCATCAGCACATAACATTCATGACTCCTCATTCGATGATATCTTGGTAAGCGAACAACACGTTTATCTGATGGGGAGATTCTCAATTCCAGTAGACATCGCATGATGGTCTTCCACGTAGTCTGTCACCAATGAGTATTGGTTCGGTATCCAGTTCAAATCCGCAAACTCCGGTCCTTGAGGCTACCCGACATACTCCAGGCGATATTGGTCTAGCTGCTATTGAACCCACACAACAGGATTCTACATTCCAGGGCGTACATGCCCCCTATGCGTCGTTCGCCTATACTCAGGATTATGCAAAAGATTCTCCTACTTCTTCTTACTTGCCTTCTCCGGCTGCCGAAGAAAGGCAGTCCCAGTCACCTTCTTCAGACATCCCAGGCTTTGTAACCGGTCCACGTTTTGTGGATTCCGTTGCTCCTGTGGTACCGAATGTACCGATACATTCTTCACAAGGCACTTCTGCTGGCACATCAACGGTCCTCCCTCCTTCAATTATATCACACACTCAAAGTACTGATCCCAATACCATCCAAAATCCTTTGCCACGAAAACCTATTGTGGAAAATCCATTTGTTTCTGGTGGCTTCATGACAGAATTTGTAGGTTCCCCTGGAACTTTGGCAGGTGTGAAGACACCTAGTTCAGAGACGCATCCACAATCACGGAGCGGTTCTGGAATACAGGTGAGTGCCCTTTTAAAACAAATACAGGATATTATAACTGAATGTTCTGAAGAAGAGCGAACTGAAAACTCTGTTACCTGTTTCAACGGAGAAGAAGTCAATAAAGGGGCACAATTCTTCGTTCAAGGATGCTTCAGGACCACCGTTATCCAGTCGTGCAGCAGTAAGTTCTTCAGTAAGACAGCGTGCATATCAGTCTATTTCTGCTTCGCCTCATCCTATATCGAGCTCGGGACCTACTACTCCTTTTCATCTTGGAATGCCAACACCTCCTATGCCCCAAACAGCAATCCGCACATTTAATATTTCCTCGCTGCCACCTCGACCACTAGATCAACCGTATGTTCCAAGTCATGCACAAAACTTTCCAAATGATGACGTCTACTATAGGCGCCTATCGGCGTCAGATGATGTCAAACATACTTTCAGTTCGTCAAGCCTAATCTTCAACCCTTTGAATATACGACCATCGAATGCACCCACTCCTATTAGTAACATGCCCTCTCGAATCGCGGATTCTGCGGGGCTCATACACGCTCCAAGGCCACAGAGTGCGAAGAAACCGGTGATCGTTGGAAGCGGATGGCCACACACACGCAATACTGATACTGGCATTTCTGGAATATCCACAGCTTCGATGACGTCTACACCTGCCTCAGGATTTAGGGTCCCACAAGCTCCTCTTCCACCTTCGTCTCCAGATAGCACAAGGTCTTCCCAAACGCCTCCCGGTTTGTCCGGTTCTATGTCGCATAGTTTTCCCTCCACTCCTTCCCAAGATTTCATAAATACTCGCTCTTCGCAACCATTCATACCTTCACCAGCTTTCCCCGTAAAGCTTGGTAAGTGCCATGACATCTGTTCGCGATCGTTTTCCTGATCTAGCTCCTGCCAGAACCAACTATTGGTCCATCTGGCCTGTCGACCTTATCGCGATCTTCAAGCACAGATGTATCTACAGGACCCGGTAGTATCATGGAAAGTGTTCCCTCTACAAGGCCCATACGTTTGGCGCTGAATCATCTAGGGCCATCCGGATTTCCTTCTCGGGCCATGCAGTCCCCCATTCTGATAAGCGGTGAGTTATGCTGCAGTTTTCTGTTGGTATGACCGGCTTACAGTACCACTGGTGCCCCAACCATCCCGTCCGTTCAAGATCCTTCTGGGTCATCCATGACTCCTCTTAGCGTAACCGATCCTTCATCCCAATCTAAGGGTAAGAAGCGGTCAATATCTTCTACAGAGTCAGAGTTCGAATTACGACCTCGGAAGCGTTCCTTTAAGTGGCCTATTCAAGAGCGAATGACTTCCACCCGCATACAAAGTGACGAAGATCCTGGCATACGAGAAATAATGCTCAGCTCAGATGGGAAGCGAATGGCTGTTACATGTAATGTCTCATTTCAACATCCATCTGACTCGGTTCTAATTCATGCTAAAAGGTCATGATCGCACAATCCGGATATGGAGTACATGGAACTACTCTGAAATAGCTAGATTGGCTAATAATGCACACATCCTATCTGCAGTGTGGATGACTGGAGATGCTGGGGTAATTTCATTGGCAGAGGACGGGACAATCAGTACATGGACTCAGAATGTGAGTACAAAGGGTCCTAGTACCATTCTCTTAATTGAAGCTCCCCCAATGACAGAATCAAGATCACTGGCAATGGACTAAGATTCTAGAAGCTGGAAGTGAAGAGACAGCGTGTTTTGCCTATACACAGGATCGAATAGCTGTCGCGGTCCCAAGATTTGGCGTCAAAGTCTGGCTTTGGATAAAAGGTTAGTTGCTTTCAGCTATTAAATTCAAATTCTATTTTGTAACTATTTTTGTCAAGGGACCTGGCAGCCCCAAAGGTCTATTCTTCGCCAAAACGTCACCTCTATAAAATTCGTCGAGGATGGTGAAGCATTACTTGGAGGAACAAGCGACGGCGTTTTGTGAGCTTTTACCCCCCCTTCACCATGTCAAACTCTTTATTCTCTCTGGCAGATGGTATTGTCAGGTACCAAATGGGACTCTCCGTGCATACACGTTTCTCAAATCCAAAGTGTACGTATCGAACACCAATGTCATTTTTCATGACTAAGACGCCATGATCTGTCTTCCACAGGCATAGCATCGATGTAATATCTGCCGGTTCTCAGGCTCTTGTTTCGCAGATTGGCGGGCGTAGTCATCTGGTTGGTATCACTCAGGACGACCACAAAGGGAAGATAGAACAGGTTTATGCTATCAAAGAGGGGGACCTGCCATTAAGGAGTTGCCACGATTTTGGCGCAATTTTTGCGAGTAGAGGTCGAACTGTGCTGTTTGGAAGCATGGATGGTTATGTTCTGATATGGGACAAAAGTAAAGGCGAAATTATCCGCGGCCTTGACCACGGAGAAGGTGTGTCGAGTAATGTCTGACCTGCCAGAACGGTCCACAATGTTGACGTAACTTTCAGACGAAATTGTGCAGGCGATTGCAGTGAGCGAAATTCATCTCGCTACTTTCCTCTCATTGATTAATTTACCCATCAACAGAGTTATGATCGCTCTTCTCATATAGACGATTGCTATCTTGTGACTGGAACAAAACGAGGATTGTTGACCTGGTGGAGACCTCCGCTAATTGATGCACAATGTGAGCTCTGAGGCAGCTCTCATGGATCATGCGGGACTAACATCAGCGAGACAGCACAGGAATCGGGTCGAAAAGGACTTCTTGTATCTCCATATGCAGGGAAAGCACGATAGGTCTTGAGCAATACGGATGATTGTACCAGTAATGTGCAAAATTTCTCTATTTCGTAACTTATGATGATTTCACTACGGTTGTCGCGGCCGAGATATAATACGTGTTACCTTTAAAGCTCTTGTTTACGCTACATTCGTGACGAACACCATGTAGGAGTTGTTAGGGATCTATATAGATGGGCGTTTTCCTTGGTTGTTCTACTCGGTAGATCCAGATTTCGAAGTGGAAGCACTTGCGTAGTTGGAAATTAGATTTGTCACTGTTTGGTTACTGCTTAGGGCAGGTTCGGAGTAGTCGTAGTGCATGATCAGAACAGTTGTTACCATACGCCTTGAGGCTGTTTGATCCTGTCCTTCGCCGTCGTCGTCCTCGTTTACTTCGTCGTTACGCCGCCACTTCTGCCCTTGAGCTGTACGTTCATATCTCTTTTCTAAAAGCCCAATAATTCTCGGTTGTTGAGTCCAGCTACGACTTCTGTTTCAAGGTTCTGTTCAGACACTAGGACATTCACCGGTACAGCACTACTTGGTTATTTCGTATTTCTTGACATCTAAGTTTCACCTCCATCCCTTTTCCCATTCTTGGTGAGTTTTCCCCTCGTTCGTAGCCTGCAGGCATCTTCATTGCAGGCCGAATCTTGCAATGCGTGGTTGCCACGCTGGACTGCCTCCTCGAGCAATCAGCAAACCTAAAACGGGTCGCCTCACGAATTTGGGCATGTGCTGACCTGTCGTTTCGTGTTTTTCTAGTGATATCTTTCCACAACCCGTGTTAGAACTAGCTCAACGACATGCAGACGATTAAATGTGTAGTAGTGGGTGATGGTGCCGTGGGCAAGGTGCGTAACGGTCTACTGGCGAGTTTACTCACGTTGACGAGTCTTGTACATCTAGACTTGTTTGTTGATTTCTTACACAACGAACAAATTCCCGAGCGAATATGTTCCGACTGTACGTGCTGTAAGTTTCTACTGAAAGACCAGCTGTAAAATTTTCTTAGGTTTTCGATAACTACGCGGTCACCGTCATGATTGGCGAAGACCCGTACACGCTGGGTCTTTTCGATACCGCCGGTGGGTTGTTAACCTTATCGTGTGCTGTGAGACGCTGACAGCTCTTCCATCACTCAATAGGTCAGGAAGATTACGACCGTCTTCGCCCACTATCATACCCGCAAACGGATGTCTTTCTCGTTTGTTTCAGTGTGACGTCGCCGGCTTCGTTTGAAAACGTTAAGGAAAAATGGTTCCCAGAAGTACATCATCACTGTCCTGGTGTTCCATGCCTTATCGTTGGAACACAAGTTGATCTTAGGGACGACGGTCAAGTAATTGAGAAGCTCGCTAGACAGAAACAGCGTCCCGTTTCAAGCGAGCAGGGTGAACGGCTTGCTAGAGAGCTGGGAGCTGTCAAGTACGTGGAGTGCTCAGCCTTGACGCAGAAAGGCCTAAAGAATGTATTCGACGAGGCGAGTGTTGTCTCACATGCATTAATCTATTTTATTCAACTCTTTTTTTATTTTTCAATATACAGGCTATCGTCGCTGCCCTGGAACCTCCGGTGGTTAAGAAGAGAAATAAATGTATTATCGCCTAATGGGTATTTACTAGTCCATGACGGGGATTACAGTGTCACTTCTTTGTTTACGATCACCCTGACGCTTTGATGTGCCTCATATATCCTTCTCATTTCTTATGTTGTTTCTCACTTAAGTCAGAATTCCATCCCATCCAGTACTTGTTATGTTGCTTCTCGGTAGGGCTATACAGTGGAACCGCTCTCGAGACTCGTATTTTCCTGTCTTTCTTCGTAATGGTGTGTTCCCCAGTTGTAGTCATATTGTCGGGAAGTTAGTTGGGCACTGGTGGGAATTTAATATTCGTAGCAGGGATTCCTTCCTTCTAAACTTCATAACTACAACATATAATACGGCATTGATGATTGTCGCAGCTGTCAATGCGCCTCTTATCATTGGCCCTAAGACTCCCTAAGACTGGTTGTAGTTAGCTTATCAATGGTTCCATGGAGAAGTTTCAGCGGGAGTGAAGCGGTCCATGGACCTGGTCCACAACCTTGTCCTTGATTACGTAATCGCGTCCCAAGTTTGTTTATCCGCCACCGCCAGTGATCGAGCCAAAGAACATGTCCCGACCTCAAGACGACAGAAACCAGGAGGCTACAGTTTACTTGGTAAGATTATCAATGTAACCGTCAATTACAACAGGCTTTTGCTTATGAATGTATAGGGAAACCTCGATGAGCGATGCACAGACGCTCTTGTGTGGGAGCTGATGTTGCAAGCAGGACCTGTTGGTGAGTCTCAGAGTGCAATCAGCTCATGGTTCAAACAGCTGATAGTATTGAACTTCTAGTCAATGTTCATCTTCCTAAGGATCGTATATCCATGGCTCATCAAGGATATGGGTTCTGTGAGTTCTTGACCGAAGAGGATGCAGAGTATGCCTGTAAGATTATGAATCAAATAAAACTCTGGGGAAAGCCCATCAGGGTCAACAAGGCAAGTTTATTTTCGCAATGCACCTCCTTTTTTATCATTACTTTTTATCTACACCTCTTTTGATACCCCTCTTACTGATATCAACTTTTTTTTCAACTAGGCATCGTCTGATAAAAAGCAACTAGATGTTGGAGCGAATCTCTTCATTGGAAACTTGGATGAAAACGTTGATGAACGACTTCTATACGATACATTCAGTGCCTTTGGTGTTATGGCTACGACTGCTAAAGTATGTCTGCCTCATACAGCATGGGTCCCCTATCACTGAACTGGTCTTTGTTTGTAGATAGCTCGTGATCCAGGGACGGGCAAGTCAAAAGGATACGGATTTGCTTCTTACACGGATTTCGAATCGTCAGATGCTGCTACCGAATCTATGAATGGCCAGTTCCTTATGAACAAGGCTATCTCCGTCCAATACGCTTTCAAAAAGGATGGCAAAGGTGAACGGCACGGGACATCTGCAGAACGTTTACTTGCCGCCCAAGCTCGGAAAAACAATGCGCTACCTGTGGCAGCGCGTCCCCCTCCCGCACCAATGGCCTTCGGTGCTCGGCCTCCTATGCCTGGTTTCCAAGGACCTTATCAGGGCCAGTTTGCGGGAGCTCTGGCGCAGCCGCCACCACCTCCAGGTTTTACTCCTCAACAAACAGTGGTCCCTCAAGGTATGCCTATGATGGGTGGTATGCCTCCTGGAGGAATGCCCATGGGGATGCCCCCACCCCAAAACATGCAGATGTACCCTCCTGGGGCTTTCCCTCCGCCACCTCCGCCAGGATTTGCTCCTCAGGGTATGCCTGGAGGTATGGTCCCACCACCTCCACCTGGTGTGCCTCAGCCTCCTCCGCAATTTTAAACTACAGTTTCTCTTTTGTGCCTATCTTTGTCCTAGTAGCTGTCATCACGCTTGAGATTATGTTTGCGCAAAATAATATTTTCGATTGGCGATGATTAGGTCGTGAAGGCTCAGAGCCCCCTAGGACTAAATTACAGACATGGAGTTGTGAAACATGAATATGCAAACTCACGATTTTATGAGGACTATCTGGGGGCGGTGGCGGTGCTCGGAGTGGCGCGTTCGACTCGTTCTACAATTACCTGAATATACTCTAGGACTCGATAGCGCACAACATGACACACCTGGATTATACTTCAATTGACACGAACAAGTACGTTCGTCAAGAAATACTGAATGTTCCAAGTTCACCAATATACTGTAGATGGAAAAACTTGCCACCTCCCCCAGGCTTCACCAATTTCTCGTCTCATGCAAACGTATGTTCCCAACCATCTACATTACTGGCTTTTTTCTTCCAGCTGAGCTTAGGTCTCGTTTAGTCAAGAGCTCCAGCTAAGGCGTCTGCTGTTACCTCGTCCTCGTATGCGGCCTTAAAGCAGAAACGTGCATGGGACCTTGCGTTGTCGCCTGCTAAACAGCTGCCCATGCAGGCTTTCATGTTGTACATGTCCGGAGGAGGAGTTCAGATATTCAGCATGGGCATCGTTTTCATGTTACTTCTTACTCCATTCAAAAGCATAGCTGGAATAAACAGCGGTTCGTCCCTACAGCTCTTCCTTCGTCATTTACTAAGAAATCGTCTTGTGCTACCAGCTTTTGCGCCGTTTGCGCCGAATACTTCGCATGCAAATTCATCAAGCACGCTTCCTCTGCAGAAAATTGCGTATATTGCGTGTAACTTGTTGACGCTGGCTGTGGGATTATGGAAATGTCGGTCAATGGGATTATTGCCAACGGGCACAGGAGATTGGTTAGCGTTCGAAACTAGAGGGCCGGTAAGCTACAATCATTCGTTCATGGTCACACTGTCATTAATATATGGGCGAAGGCCCCGGAAATATCTTTATTCTGAAAGCACGCTATGGGCAATGTCATGCAACATCTGTTAGTCGACAGTCCTTAATGGCGGGCTAAGTGGTTAGGATACACTGAGAATTATGATGTACGTTTTTCGGGGTGAAAATCATAGACATGAAGACACCAGCTATCAATGCAAACCCTATATAACTGCCATTATAGTGGTTTTCTTCGTGTGTACGGGGTGTCACAAGTAAGCTAGTACATCATATGCTACAGACATGAATAACGTATACACCGACGAAGATATAAAAATCTATTTAAGATGTTCTATCTTCAGATTGTATTTTACCAAAACTTTAGTCCTGACGACTCCTCATTTTCGATATCCTCGATTTTATATATTGCTTCCCTACTCTCTTGACGAGCGCACGCCTTCCTATACCATGCATATCAATGTAGACAAGCCCGATGTTTTTTGCTGTACCTGTCATCAATCCGGCACTTTGAGCGACATGAGAGCCATATCTGTTGAGATGAAGGGTCAGGGTCAGGAACTTCTAATAATATGATATTCCTTACTTGTGTTGTACCGCTTTGCCGATGTTATCGCTGCTAACCTCCAGAATTTGCTTCATGGAGTCATCAAAGGTGGATAATATAAGGTCTGCTGAAAGCAGGAGACGGTCCCGTGTCCTCAAAGGTGGCGGTGGGTTGCCAGCATCATTAGACCGGGAGGAATCTGAAAGACGTGACAGTCTCGAACTAGACTGCGAAGATAGTTGAAAATCGTCAGACTGCTTGTTTTTCCGTGGCGAAAGAGAAGGCTGTGAGTCGCGGACTTCATAAGGCGGAGGAGATGTGTAAGATGGGGACGGGGAAACAGAACGAGGAGGTAATGGGGGTTTGGAGCTTGCTTCCGGCTGCATCGTATACGACGATTTGTTTACTAAAGACGGAGAAACGGAGCGTGAAGGTAGTGGTGGTTTGGGGCTTCCTGTAGCTGACGTTGGGACTGATAACCAGGGTGAAGAGTTTGGTGAAGAGAAATTGGACGGCGAGAGGGATCGAGGCGGTAAAGGAGGTTTAGAATCTACAAGGTGCGAGTCTGGTACCGGAGACGGCGAAAGTAGGTGCGATTTGGATGACGGGGAAGGAGAAACTGAAGACCCCATCTTTCTGGTTATATGTGATGAAGAACCTGTTGTCACGGACCCCTTTTCCTTGCCACCAACAGCGCGTTTAATCATGCTATCCACCAAGGACATGGTTTTGGCGCTGACTGCAACGGCCTGAATGCTTACAGCATGAACACTAGCCAGTCCCTGGCGAGTCTTTTCTGAGCTAAGAAGCGCGATTGCACGGGGAGGTGGAGGTGGAGGAGTAGAGTTGTTTGTGGAGGGTGTGAGAGTAGAAGGATGGGGCGTCGAGTTCTTGATATAGTATGATGAAGCTGAATTCATCGATGTGAGAAGGAGTTTGCCTGTCCCAGATATAGCATAGCTGGAAGTTTTGTATGATGAATTCATGGTAAGAGTGTCAACGATATCTTGGCTGAAAGGGCATACCTAACCATCGAAGCTGACTTCGTAATCCAATCTTGCTCGCTAGGAGGGATTACGCGAACAAACATTGTACGTGCATCCATCTGATCAGGGTCCTCTTCTTCAGGTATTTCAATAATGACAGGGTCGTTTTTGGATCCTAGCTCGTTGATATTTGGATCTTCGAGAAGATCCAATTGATTATCCAATTCACCAATGATTTCACCGTTATCTTCATTGACGAAGACGAGATGTCCTCTCAGGTCCTGGTTATTATTAATAGTCTGCTCTGTGGGTTTCTGTGACGCGTTGAAGTTTCCAGATGTTGATGGTACGCTATCCACGCTACGTAGCTCTGTATACTGGGCAAGTATCTCATGAAAAGCGTCAAGGTCCTCTAGGGAAGTGTGCGGCTCGGTGGGATGTGGTGCAATAACGGGAACCGTTAGACATATCATGTTATCATCGCTTCCGCGGAGAGTGTATATTCGGTCTCCTGCTTCAGATACAGAGAAAGTTATGGTCTGAGATGGGTCAATAGGAGATTCGAAAGAGTTAAGCCGCAGTACAAGGAACATGTTTCTCGAAGTCGTGTTCATGTCTTGGGACGAATCTGGTATCGTAATAGACTCTAAAATGAGACATCCCAGCTGTATTGTCGCCGCTGTCGACAATGTCACATTCTGTATCTGTAAAAGCTGGAAAGCCTCTGGCTCTGGCTGATCTTGAATGGACTCAGACATGATGGAACAGATACAAGCATGATCTGACCATAACCCTAGATCAAGTCCACAGTAATCGTGGCTGTGCTGCCAACCAGTTCGAAATAGTCCATCAAATCATGCCAGTGAGTAGTACTGTACTTATCATCGACCACAGCTGCCACTGCCATGCTCAGCCGGACCCTTGGCAACCTCAGCAACTTCTCAACCGCTCATAATGAATCAGTGCCTTTCTATACAAGCAAGCTGCGCTCACTTCTCACGATGACCCGAGGAGAGGCATAAGAGAGCTCGTCACAAACTTCCCAGTCCGTATATGTAAAAGAGCACTGCTTCGGTGATGCAGAACATTGCAGATTAACACCATATGGCATTTATCACCATTTTGCTATGTGATTTCGAGCCCTCGAGTCAGGATATTTTAGGCGGGGAATACCACGCTCTGTCCTGAGGTGGCGTCGATATCAGTTCCTATGTCACATCTGTCAAGGGCCGAGGGAGATATCTCTGTTAATAGAGACTCAGACGCCTGTACGGAGGTTCTCTGTTTACTATACTCGGCAGCATCACATCATTCCGTCTGCCTGATGCTGATGGTACGGACAGCCTCCAGTCACCACCGCCGAGTTTTCTGTGCAACTGCACTAGGGTCCTGATTTACCCCCTGAGAGTATTCACTTAGTTGTCACAATATGCCTCGATTCACGGGACAGTTCAGCGGCATATTTAAGTCACTTCTTAATGTGCGGAACATTGACTTCGAATCCTCCTCCTTCAACAGTATACCTGGACCTCCATCGAAAAATGGCGATAAATCCCGCTCTCATTCCTTTCATTCCTGCTGCAGAACTGGAGGCGCTAATATCTTATCTCGCGGATTTTGTTACGTTTCGCTATTGCACTGGTATGTATCAAGTTCATCATCATTCGATGGCATGTATGTCATGAATTACGAACAATGTTCCAGTTGCTGCGACAGTTTTATATGCCTATGATTTTAGTAAGTGGTTATACAGTATTAGCTTTTCAGGGATATCACTAACTCTTTTGCAGTGTTGACATTGGAGGAGGAGGTGAATATTTTCAGCTGATGAAAAGAAACTAATATTAATCACCCTTACGCCTTCTAGGTCAAATTTGTATGGGTATGTCAAAAAAAAAAAAAATAAGTTCGATTGACTCATAAACATTTACCTCCAGTATTCTCCGTGGACAACCGTGAAAACGTTCTTCTTAATAGCAAGCATCCCTATCTGCGATGTGCTAGACGGTTCACTGAGTGCATTTTTAGGTCCGTTACTTTGCTTTCGGTTGTATCCTCACCTTCACTACCTGTAAGTGAGCAACAACTATGTACTATGATATGTTTTGACATCGAAATTAGTAAATGTTTTACCTCTGCGGACTACACCGATGTAAGTTTTTCAGTTAGTAAATCTAATTCGATCTGCTTTCTCATATTAGTTCCACATAGATGTAAGTTTGGACCTTTGCGTCCGCATATGCACAGGATATGGCTTAAAATCCAACTGATATCACTGGCTGTAGGTATCGCGATTGAATCGTTTGCTATTATCAGTAAGTTTGTTTCTGTGATTCTTCCCTATCCGCTTGTAGCTGAACAGCTCTAAGGTGTTGTACTATTGTCCTTCGTCGAAGGTTTGTACGACTATACTTGTTTAACCATAGGAATGGGCTGAACGACGTGGGTCCAGTTATCCTGCAGATACGGTTATTCGCTCTATATAATAATGGTAAGATGCTCTCGACTCCATAGCCTCCAACGCAAAACTTAGGATTTTAAATAGACAAAAGAGTGGTAATCCCCGTCATGATATCATTTGTCATGATGGTGTTTGCTCAGTTGGGAATGGCTAGCTACGAAGTCTATTTCAACAATCGTATGTTAACCCCTCCTTTTAGAAGATCGGGCTATAGCTTACTATCGAGTGTAGTTGGCCTTGCTGGATTCGACGCGACGATAGCTGAGTCTTTGGGAATCTGCCCAGGTGGTACACCTACCTGGTTCTACCTTTTTATGTAAGTGGTATAACTTCAGGTATACTTGTACAACTGCGACTATTAACTCATCCATTCATTCATGCAGGATACCAATCATGGTCTTCGATTTTATCCTTTTCGTTTTGGCGCTGTACAAGTCACTGCAGCACTATCGTCAAGTTCCCGACAAAACATGGTCCGGAGCGCGTGTGATTAGTATGATGATGAGAGACTCATTATTGTTCTTCATGATGTACGTGCTTGAATCGACCCATGACGAAGGAAACCACTTCTAATTATTTTCTAAAGTAATTTCGTTGTATTCCTGATCTCCACCTTGATATATCTGGTAGGCCCTCGCACGCTGTACCAAAAGATAGCCAATTGGCAGATGGTTATACCTGCTATCCTTGCTGAGCGGCTGGTCCTCAATGTCCGCGGATTCTATTCCAAGATGGGATCGACGACTTCGACTTCGACTTCGACCATCAGTATGGAAGGTAGCGATGTTATAGAACTCCAGCATCAACTCCCGTAGAATGTAGTGGAACGGGACCCCGTATGTGTTCCATTGGTTGTTTACCCGCAGCTTTTGTCCGAGACTGGCCCCATGAGTAATGATTAAGGATATCTTAAGAACTGTATCTATCTCATATACTTGTAGCATTGATATGTGTGTGTTGTGCGCACACTTACTTGTATAGCGTGTACTACCTGAATGTCATATTTAAACCGAGTCATACCAGTTAACATAAATAAATACATTTAAACTTGTCTCGGTATCATCGACATTTCGAGATCTATGTCATGTTCAGTCTTCGTGAAAGTGTTGAGATTGAAGAGTTCGTGCAACGACAACGGATTTCTGCAACAGATATAAAAAGGCAACGATAATAACACCAACAGTCCCTAGTTCGACATAGAAAAGGTCCTCGAGTCCACCCACTGGAATCGAAATGGTATCGGTTGACATACTCTCCGCACTGAAAAACGACACAGGATGTGGCCATGCTCGTTTGAGAGGCGAGTAGAGTTCTGAGGGTATATCAGGGAAATCGTAAACATATTCCGAAGCTTACAGACCGTTCAATAATCGGTTCAACAACATGACGCAAAGCAAACTTACAACCAGTTGGACAAGCCCAAAAGCTCGCGGGTGGTTTAACTTCAATGGTCTTGTGAGAATTGTGCGATGAAGGTACACCGTAACGAATGTGTATAGGTATGTCAATTGTGATGTCGATATCATTTTCATTGCGGTTCGGAAGAGATGCATTGAGCAGCAGAACAGTACCAAAATCCTGTACAGCTGAAACTGGCAGCTCAAGATTGGATACGCCAAATATGTTAAAAGAGTGATGGAGGTCGATTAACTCGTACGGATCGACGATGATATCAGGAGGTAGCATATGCAAGAAATGCAGTGTACATTCATGTTTTGCGCCTGTCTGCCATAGATGTACACGGGTGGAATAAGTTGAATGTGAGCCTTGGATTGGCGCTAAGTACGAGGATATCGCGATGGACTTCATAGTATAGGTCTCAGACAAAGACCTCTAAGAACAGGCGCTGTCGGGAGACCAAACAAAGCCAACGCGTTCGGTGTCTAATGCCGAAAGTCATGCCGCTCAATCTCCGTTCAAATAATTTTCCCACTGTCCCCGACCGACGATTCACCCGAATATAACCGTGGCTTTAGCAGTATACGTGGACGTGACTTTCCTGGAGCGTCCATAGGCCTTAGCCTCTCGAAAACACTCCCTTGTCTATAGTTTTCTCGTTTAGCCCAACATGGCCCCTTCAGATGAGCTGGAATACCTTAAATCTCTCGTGAACCAACTCAACGAGAAAATCCAAAAGCTCGAGGCCACAGCGAAGGAAGCCGTCTATTCCGGAAAGACACCAGCTCAGCAGTTGCGGACTATTCTCATCGGGCCTCCTGGTGCTGGTATGTACATGATTTTTTTGCGCGTGTTTGACAAATGTTACCGCGTACTTTCTTTGTCAAGGCTTTACAGCTCACATAACCGATCTACTTTCTAGGGAAAGGTACTCAGGCTCCTCGGATACGAGACAAGTACTGCGTATGCCATCTCGCCACAGGTGACATGCTCCGAGAGCAGATATCCCAGAAGACTGTCCTTGGTCTGGAGGCAAAGAAAGTCATAGATGCTGGCGAGTTGGTGAGCGACGATATTGTGGTTGGCATGATCAAGGACCAGCTCCAAAACAACAAGGCATGCAAGAATGGGTGGGTGTTTTACTCTAGATTTTACTTCTGGTCATGTCCAAGAGAAGATTTTTCGGGTCGCGATCCCGCCGAGGATGGTAACCTTTACTTTTGTCATATGAAAAATCAGCACAAGCATATCATGCTGAAACTATTAAAATACGAGATTCAGAGAGGATACATACTCACGCAATATATCTTAGATTTGTGTTGGACGGATTCCCTCGTACGGTGCCCCAAGCGGAAAAGTTGGACTCCATGCTTGCGGAGCGTAAAGAAAAGCTCGATAGCGTCGTACAGCTCCAAATCAATGACCAGCTTCTTATTTCGCGCATTACCGGTCGCCTTATCCACCCTGCCAGCGGACGAACATACCACAGAGAGTTCCAGTACGTCTTCTCGTTACCTTATTTGGATTACACCCTCACGTCATTCTTTTCCCAAATTACCCTTATGCTGCTACTTCGAACCATTTAGCCCTCCGAAGAAAACAATGGTCGATGATGTCACTGGCGAGCCGCTTATTCAACGTTCGGACGACAATGTCGACACGTTGCGGAAGCGGCTATCCACATTCCACCAACAGACCGGCCCCGTTGTCGATTACTACAAGGTGAAGGGCTTATGGCACGGCCTCGATGCTGCACAAAGCCCAAGTGTTGTGTGGGACAACCTCAGCAAGGTTTTCAAGGCACCACCAGGGAAATCATGAAACAAACGGGAAAATAGAGGCATGGTAGAGAGCATATCATTACTATGCCGATTCGCTTTGACTATCGTGGAGGTAGTTTTGTCTGTCGTTTGTCGTACATGCATGTTTTAGATGGTGCATACTCTAGATATCCATAGCTTTTGTCTTGGTCACATTCCTTGAGCCCGTATATATGAAACCCCCAATTGTCGAGGCAATTATCGAAGCTAGTGGATTTATTTTTTTTGAGTGACCGTACATTCTTCTTGCTGACCATAAAGTCGAGATATCTGCTAGTATAGTGAGTTCTTCATGGTTCTGCTATGAACAATTACCAAAGTGTACGAACCTGCACAAGACCAGTGCTTTCTGGGTTGAGCGTGGATCGCCTTCTGACAGACAGTGTACTAGTAATTCGCTGACCGTAAGTGACTGGCAACTTTCAAAAGGTCCCTCTGACTGTTATGTTGACATTCAGTCCGAAGTCAGTCACGGTAATGACATTGCAGTAAGCTCCGATAAACGCGACACAGTCATAGGCTCGTAGCCGACTCGTAGCTTGCAGGGTACGTACGAGCTGAAACGGATGTGTTCTTGCTCTATATCTTAATTTTGACCCTCTGAATCCTTCGGTCATGGAGAAGAAACCCACTTACGCAACAGTGGTTGTTCCCAGATCATCTTCCTATATTTCACGATGGAGCCTTGCTTTGAATGCTCTCCTGTTACTCGCGCTTTCCTACATTTTTCAGCATCCTGAGCTCTTACAGAATACCTCTAATACTCCAAGGTATCAGTCGCCTTCCTGTCGCTCCCCGCTGCCTCCGTTACTTGTTCGGAGTCCTCCAGCAGCCAACCATCCTGAATTGACTGAAGCCTTTAGGAAATTGGATGCTGCTTTGGAGAGCCGCTACAACCAAGGTGGAAGTGATAGCATCAGCGTAGCCGTTGTATCTTCAAGTGGGTCCCTGTATGAAGGCTTCTGGGGCCCACTACGTGCCAACGAGACTGATGAAGTTGCAAGAGGAACTGTTGATAGAAATTCGATCTATCGAGTAGCATCTGTGTCCAAGATGTTCACAGCCCTCGAGACTCTAATTTTGCGTAATCGTGGCGTTTTGAACCTGTGAGTTGGTTTATCTGGTACAGGTTAGGTCCAGTTGTATATTTTGCTAACCTATCACAGAGACGACCCAGTTGACAAACTGCTTTCTCTCACATATCACACGAATTATGGGCCCATCACGTTTCGCCAGCTTATGAGTCATATGTCTGGGTTAAACACATTTTCTCCTCCTGGAGATGCCAGCGGGTCATGGCCCAAGTCACCCGAGGGAGAAAGTTCCTCTGGCCATGCTACCCTCGCGCAGGTTCTGGAGTCAATAGCATCTCACCGCCCGATTGCGCCTCCATATACTTTCCCAGTTTACTCCAATACTGGATACAAACTCCTTGGGTTGGCTAATGTTGCTGCAAACCGGGCATTCGAAAACCACACTGATGCTCCCTCGACTCATGCTGAACTGATGCATCGCGACGTGTTTACACCTCTTGGTCTTAAAGATAGCTCCTTCTTAACGAGCCCTACCAACCGAGCGAACGTGGTCGTGCCATCCATCCAACCTGGAGATATTGTGCGTTTCCTTTGTTGATGTAAGCTGCTCGTGACTCAATATATGCTTCGAAGGATGATGATCACGGGGATGCTTCCAACCCATCTGGTGGTCAACTGAGCTCGGTGTCCGACCTCGTGAAGGTGATGCAGACATTAATAGACCCTTCTCGGCCGGAGAGTGCCATCCCTGCGATTACCGTCAGGGAGTGGTTGAGACCTATTCACTCTTGGGTTGACGATTATACTGCAGTAGGAGCCCCTTGGGAGATAATCAAGCCAAAGGATTCTTATGGTCGGACGCAGCCACTGTATCAGAAGTGTTCGTGACTCCCTCTCCACACACCACACGATCGTCTCCGTTGCTGACTACCTCACAGTAGGCGAAATGCCAGGCTATCACTCAGGGTTCATTATCAATCCTACTAGCTCCTACGGGATCATCATCCTTTCTACTGGACCCATGACGCAGACCATTCCGCTCACTAACTTGATTTTTGACCATGTTCAACCTGCATTTGATGCGATAATGGAGGCTGAGGCTCATAAGTCACTCGTTGGGTCTTGGCTTTCTGACGATGGACAGGACAACATTGCCATTGATATTGAAGCCGGCTCGCTCTATGTCACTCGATATATATTAAATGGTACCGACGTTTTGGCTGTCATGCACAACCATATTGGATCTGGGAAGCTTCCCCTTTGGCCAACAAGTGAGAATGAATATCGGTAAGTGTCAAGTGAAATAAGTCGGGTCTCATTTAATGCTTTTATCTTGAAATCAAATTAGGCTCGCAGTTCCGTCACCCTACGGTGATTGCTTCTTCTCTTGGATCACACTTGATATATATGGCTACATCAATGGTACATCGGTCAATGTCTTCGAATTCATAGACAGTGAAGATGGCGTGACGCTTTATTTGCCCGCCATGGACATGAAGTTCAAACGTACCATCGACAGTAATCCACAGCTATCTGCGTGATTGTAGATAGTATGATCGGACGCCATAGAAGAAAGTTAAATTATCTAATTTATACAAAATCCCATTTCATCCAAATTATTCATCATGGACACTAGTATTAGTGCCCACTCAACAGTGGTCTGATAGGTACGGTAAGTTCAACTTTGCGAGATGCTAGCCACTGGGAGTCGCTGGCTGTCGAGGGTTCGATAACTTCTCCAAAAGTCTCCGGATCCTCGCTCAATTTCCAGCGTCTGCCATCTAGAGCATCCGTGACAGCCGCAAAGCCATCGCCCATGAGTTTCTTGATAACATTTTCGTCGCCTATGAGGCCCAAAAATGTTTCTGCTTGCCTCCTTTTCACGGACCAGTGGGTATCTATCCACGCAGCACGTCTTTTGATGATATCCAAACGGGATTCCCAGCCACATTGTGGAAGCAGTTCGACCTGTGCATGCTGTTTTATTTCCTGTAGGGATTGCTGTATGTGCTGGTGATCTGCCAACCGCCCGAAGCACAAAGCTTGTTCAAAATACGCGTTTGAAAAGAATCGAACGAGTTGCTGGCACCATCCACATCCGCATGTTAATTTGATATTCACAGAAGCGGAAGGTCTCGGTCCAAGTATGAATCGCAGGTAGCAGTAAACCAGTACTCGAAAAAATTCGGCAGAAACAGGTGACCACACCTCCATCTTGAATTTTTGTAAGGTGTCCCGTATCAGCGGAATAAGCGGCGCATAGACAACGTCGAACATCCTCCTCGTCGACGCACTGGCGTCCCAGCGGCGGTTCAATAGGTGCTTAAACATTAGAGCACAAGAACCTATATTCTGGGTTAGTATGCATAAACAAATAAGATTAGCGGCGTTAGACAAAGAGACAGTATAATGGCTGCCACTGAGAACGGATGTGGAGGAACCAAGGGTCGGATCTGACACAGAGAGATCGAGAAAAGAGTAGTGCCACTCCATTATGACTTGCTGCAGCATTTTTTGAACGAGGGGCTTCAATAATCTTGTCTTTTGCTCGACTATATTCCTATTCTTGCCTTCCATATGCGTTGATGGATTGAAGGGAAAGACATAAACTCGTTCCCAATGCAGCAGTCCTATCAACGACATTGAAAATACGGGCGAACGACACTTTGCCAAAAGCTCAGGGACAATCCTAACGATATGCATGAGATTGGAATCAACTACTCTAGAAGTATAGGGACTCACACTTCACAGAGGAAGGGGATCCCCATGCATCGCCCAATGCTAAAAAATGAGGTAACATCATCTGTTGACAAAGGAGCACCTGAAGAAAGAAACCAGCGTATACGTTCCCTAACCCAACGTATAGCTACGATACGATGCTCGGGACCAACTAAAGAAGGAAATGATGCTACAGCTTTAATAGCTGGTAACCCAACCTTTTGGCAATACCGCTGTAGTCTTCCATATAGACTATCAGAATCATGACGATGTAGGGCGGGTGGGTCTACTTACATTTTCAAAACAGTAACGAAGGAGAAGACAGAACAAGCCTTGGAACAATGGACATGACCGAGAGATCCAGCTTGGCCATCTATTAGACCAGATGAAATGATACTTTCCCACAACTTTGGATCGTTCCATTTGATAGTGAGCTTGGCTATGGCAGCCACGACATCCCAGCTTGGTTTGTTGTGGTGTAATGCACTAATAATTTTTCGAACGTTGTCCCGATTTCTATTGGTAACTTGCCCTTGCTTGATACCGTCTAGCCTTGCAACGGCGACCATATGTTGTCCAGTGGACAACGCTACATTGAATCCTGTGTGAGGGTCAAACATTATTAGGACAGCACGACGATACGCTAAACACCAGGTGTAAATCTCCATATAACAAGAGGGGGAACTATGGACCGTACAATATTTGATAATACCCGGTTCCTGTGGATGGAGGTGGTTAGAAAGGAGAAAACACAACAACGGATATAACCTAACCGTGTCATTATATCCACTGTACTCCGCAGTATCAAGATGGAAATGATCGAATGGTTTGCGTACCATAAGGTCATTCTTACTGAGTTCCATTCCCTGGAAACCTTCCATCGCGTTTCCGCGAAGGTCGGTCATCTCTTCAAGTACCATAGCCCTCTTGGTAGTCTTCACCAATGGCGGATATTTTTCGTCATCAGCACACCAGTCTGTCCTTCGCCTCCGACCGTAACCTTTTGAATAGCCACGTTCTCGGTCATCTGATGTACCTGTAATGTGACATTTTATTCTCCCTAGATAGAGGCCGATTCCCAATTCATTGCACACCGGTCGCAGATGAGCTACCTTGTGTGCGTCTTCGCCTCTCAAGATGCAGCCTTCAAGAGGCAAACCACGGTAATCATGGTGTAATGTATAAATGAACATTCCATGTGCGACATCCAGTTGTTCTTGCGATGAGCTTTGCAGCCACTGATCCAAGATACGCCGGAGCTGAATTGTGCTGTTTTGCATATGGGGAAGACGGGGAATAGGACCAGAGGCCTGGTGAGCCATGAGATAGCGCAGAACAAGGCGATGACCTGATGTGATTGGTTTTATCTTGATCGAAGCATCGTTGTGCCATGAAACAACGGCTGTGCAAGGTGTTGCCGCTGGTGCAATATCATAAACTATGACCGCACCTTCGTGAGAAATCTCGATTTGCCCGCCGCTGTGTACAGAAGGCAGAATAACGTCTAGCGTCGCATAGACATTCTCGTCAAGTATTTGTCTAATAAGAATTCCTATCAGTACAGAGATACTGGAACTGGATATGTACTTACTCCTGATGCGTTAAACTGCTACGACCCAAGTTCAGCTACGTTACATTAGTCCTATACACTGGCTAATGAGAGTACTGACCTCGAGCCAGCCCAATACATTATCATTTTGGAAAATGTAAATTTGGGGCGGGGCTCGTATGGAACGAGCGACAGCCAAATATCTCTCGCAATGATATTGTCCAAGTGATAATCCCAAGCGGGGTTGTTGATCTTGATTTTGTCTGCCGCTACGTGCCAGAAATCGCCAGTAGAACTTTCGGATGAATACGCTCTCAGCCTTTCGGTGCCACTACTATTAAGCGGGAGATTTATAGCACCGAAACCTTCAATATGGATATCCGGATTAGGTGCGGGTGTGGTTGCAGCATGGCAATATTGGCCCAAAAAATCAAAGGAGTTTCCTAGGGTATAGTCTAGATCTCGCTATCATGTTTAGGATTAGATCTCTTTCCAGTAAGAAAACTTCAAGGACTCACCTTGACTTTTTCGTTGGTTGGAGGGGTAAACGTCTCAGAGACTACATTCCTCTCCAAACCCTGATCCCTGATAACATCAGGCAGGAAGGTTGATTTCAACGCTACTGCAGAGTTATCCCTTGAGTTTCTGTAGTTCGAAGAACCACTTCGTCCACGGCATCTTGCACTTCGGTTGAGATCTGTAGGGTTCAAGAGAAATTCGATGTTCATCATGAGCTCAGGTTTTAGAGCGAGTGATAAGTGCAGAAACAATCAGGGTTATCCATAGAATTTATATCATCTCATTTGCTATTTTTGGTGGCCGATACGATGCCACGATGCCACAAGAAGGCCCACAGGCGTGGCATTACATTCAGGTTGTTGCAAGAAAAGGAAGATAGAGCTTGGATGAGTTTAATCATGTGATCTAGAGGCCTTTGCACAACAGAGCACAACAAACGCCCAAAATAGCACACTGGATTGACGTGGAGGCCAGCGCTGCGGTTACTACTACCAGACAGCAATTCTCAGTATTACCATTCACGACTGGTCTGGTAATATTTAATCTCCAAAAAGTTGTACACCATGCGTCTGTTCAGCTCGACGCTCCTTTTCCCCTTGGTCGCTCTCGCCAGGCTCGTAGCAGCTAAATCCAGCTCTGGCGACTCCGTTCTTGTCTTGTTAGACCCGTCTCTTGAGAAAGAAAACTTTTCGATATTCTTCAATGGCTTAGAACGTGAGTCTAAATGCTTCCTATATTCTCTGAATTTGGTACTACTTGAGTCGCAGAGCGAGGCTACGCCCTCACTTTCCGCGCTCCAAAAGACGCTGAACCCGCTATTGCTGAATATGACGTGCCATCGTTCTCGCATGTTATTCTGTTTACTCCAGAATCCAAGTGTAAGTGTGTTTATCTTGACGGTGTTATATGTATTAAGCTACATAAAATCTCTCCAAACCTCTAGCCTATGCCCAGGACGTCACCCCACAATCCCTTGTTGGTTTGCTTTCTCAGAACACCAATCTCTTGATTGCCATGTCTCCCAAACAAACACTCCTCACTTCCCTTGCGGCTGAGTTCTCGCTCATCCTTCCACCTCCGGGCACACCACTCATATCTCATCATCCTGCACGTGCTGAGCCGCCCACAGTTATTCCCGTAGCTGTTCCACAATCACCTCTGGTTAGACCAGGTACACCACCCGTGTGGTTCTCTGGTGTACCTCATGCTCTCAATACAAACCCCAACTTGGTTCCTATCCTCCGTGCACCATCTGAAAGTTTCGCGGCCGATTCGAATGACGATTCTGGAGCTTCCATGCTTGTCGACGCCACCGAAAAGGGGGGTGAGGGCCTGTGGGCCGGAAGTCAAATGGATTTAGTTACAGGGTTCCAGACTAGCCACAATACACGCGTTGTGTTTGCGGGTGGTGTTGAACTCTTCAGCGATGAATTTACTAAGAAGGAACTACCAAAGTATTTTTAATTTGTTTTGGTGTGTTGGTGGTTACTCATCATTGCCTGCAGTGGAAAGCCCTCTGGTAATGCGCAATTTGCCAGGGACGTGGTAAACTGGGTATTCCAAGAGTCACTCGCTTTGCGTATTGACCATACAACCCATCACCGCGTAAACGAAACCGTTCCGGGCGAATTTTACACCACCAACGACCAAATTGTAAGTACTTTTGTAGCTTGCTTCCTAGATCAGGCATTAAATTTATCTTGCACAGGTTTACACCGCGCATATATCTGCTTACAATCCTCGTACTTCGTCCTGGGAGCCTTTTTCTGGCCTGACTGACTTGCAACTTGAATTTACTATGCTCGACCCACATGTGCGCATCGCTCTTCCACCTGTCGCTGGATCGCCTGGAATATATGAAGTGCAATTCAGGGCTCCTGATCGCCATGGTGTATTCAAGTTTGTAGTCGACTGGCGCAGACGAGGGTGAGTCTCTCATACCATTTTCTGGATTTCGCACTTTTCTGCAAGTACGGCAATCCGTAAATGGATCTTTTTTTTTTTTTTTACTTCTGCTTCATCTTGAACATCTATTAATTTTTATTGTTTTTGTGGGCAGTTATACGTATCTTCAGAGCTCGACCACCGTGCCTGTTGTTCCGCCCCGTCACAACGAATATCCTCGCTTCTTGAGCGCCGCCTGGCCGTACTATGCAGGCGCTATGAGTACCAGCGCTGGATTCATACTATTTGCAGCCTTATGGCTTGCTGGTGATGTGAAGGGTGAGCGGAAGGTGAAAAAGGGCACCAAAACAGAGTAATTGGAAGCTGCAAGTCAAAATATATTCATTCTTGAATTGATGCGCTCGTCATGATAGTCCGAGATGTTCGTTCTATGCACTGTACTTAGCGCACTGGTCTGAATGACGATACCCGGACCAAGAATTGCATCATTTTCGCTGTAGATGTTTTTTTATACAGCGTCTATTAGCAACATGGATTTCGTATTTTATGATCACTTGATTAGGTTCCGTCAGTCAATTGGACATATGGAAGCTTTGCCACTAAACTGTTTTGAAAATGTGGAATGGCGGCTGGTAGATGGCAAGTGCACATATCGGGACCTGCCATGGACAAACCCAGGGCCACAAATTTGAATGACACTGATTATGTAGTCTAGTATGTCTCGTACTGCTTATCCGTAATTTTGTATTCCACATCCCATCCACATCTATCATACAATCCATTTTTATAGGTAACGGCTTTCTGTCCCCTTAGACTGCCTCAGGACGTTATCAAGGGGTTTTATTTCATCTGGCCTGCATGTCGACAATCAATGTCGACGCGTATTATGGACCCGAGCTCGTAGAATTTTGGGCACACAAATACAAGAAGGTCAAGGAGGAATTCGAGGAGCATAAGGTATGTCCTTGACCAGGATATCACGGTTGCGCCTGCTAGACGTGCAATGCGAATTCTGCCCGGTCCATCCTTTTACATCCTGCCGTTTCCATTCACCGCGATATCGGACTAAATCAAAACTGGACAGAGAGCTACAGAAACAGCGCGCAAGGCTCAGCTGTCAGCTGAATACGCTGAACTCCTCACCCTCGTCCGTGGGTTACACAACGGTGCAGAGGAAGCTTCAATCGTGCGGCGGAAACTAGAGCTGGTAGAGAGGGAGAAAGTTGATCTAACAGCTCGTATGGCCAATGTGGAAGCAGAACGAACCGCGCTTGCCCAACAGGTATGTATCCTTATGTTAAATCGCTTAACTGCTTGAGGCTTTGCCAGCTCAAAGCGGACCGTGAAACATATCACAGATACAACTATGTGTTGCACAAGCATCTGCTTTTGCAGCTGAGGCGGACCAGCATCGACGCAACTCACTATCGTTGCTCTTCCCACCTGTTTCCTTCGTTGACCCAAATTTTGAGCCTTCACCGCTACTCTTCACGAATCCAACGGACATAATATCATCCCTCGAGCCGGTAAGTGCATCTACATGCAGTTTTCAACTCATTGACCGACGGATGATCCGTTCGTGATGAGCGGTGTATAGCATTTTTCCGAGGGTAATCGGTAGGCTTTCGACTTATATTCATATCTGATGACTGAATAATTGGTGGTGCTGTATGTAGGCTATATTTCCTTCCTCGACCTCCTGCTTGTATGCCCCTTCGTGTACCTGCGTGTGGACAGCCTGGTTATTGGTTTTACCCGAATTATATTCTATCGGAAGATACCGAGTTCGACTTGGTGGTTGAAGGACGCCCAGGAGAGGTAAATCCATTCAATAGCTTTCGGAGCCTGTGTGCTCACCAAAAGTTTTATGAAGTGGTCTTACCTTGGTAACTATGTTACTGCTTTATTTCCGGGAGGCGAGATGAAGATATCCGAATGGATGAATCTTGATGAGCAGGTACTTATATTAATTCATTAAAATGTCTCTAAGAAGCCTCACTCGTAAATCAGACGAAGATGACACATTGCTCGCGTGTTGCTACTGAGAACTCGGGCCTCCCTGCTGGGCAGAGTCCGTCGTACCCAGACCAAATCACAGTGAAACGGAGATACGAGCTTGGTGAATGGCGTGTTCCTTGTTACAGCCTTCGTTGCGTCGGTTTTAATATGCCACTGTATGAGGCTCTTCATGTCGCCGCGACAAAGGTAATGAGCGCGGAAAATGCTAACACGGAGGCTGAAAGTGGGAGTGCGGATTCTCAGAGTGCTCCGGCAAAGCCACAGACTGTGGTGTCACCGACGTTACAGATCAGGATGTTCTCCCCACAGGCTGCCCCAAGGTCGTCCACTGGTACTGGCGGAGGGAAAAGGCGGCGGACCAGCACGCAAAGAAGTGGCTCTTCAAGCGCAGAAGACCTCAGCTTGGAGGGGACCAAGAAGAGGACACGTACTTTCAAGGTTGGGAACATCGTCGAGGAGAAAACCAGAATCGGCTAGCACCCAATATACGTGAAAGTCCATTCGCCTTCTATCACACCTATCCTTGGTGAAACATTATTATCATATCAGTTACAGTAATTCCTTGGAATATTTTTCGAGACCTCTCGTATTCCTGTCGATGTTTTCGCGTTGTTCCGCTCTTTTGTACTGACCTCCTATCCTTACTATAGAGTACTAATGGCCATGTTATATCACATCGCACAGTAAATATTTGCAAGCTAATACCTGAATGTAGGATCTAGTGTCAATCTACCCCAATTTTGGACTCCTAAGCTTAAAACTCCAAAAACAAAAAGCAAAGATCTTCATCAAGAAGACGCGTCGCGTGGCCCTACTCACGTGTGTCTGATCCTTTACTCCTAATCAGGCTGAGCTCCCATTACTTATAGGGTGGTTCCCTCCCGGAATACCTCGCTCTATTCTTATAGGCTCTTTAATGTCTCCAAACTTATTTAAGACATCCTACATTTTTTAGAATTTCGCTGTAAAGCCCCTTCATTTCAAAAACCATGGGAAACAACAACTCAAACGACGTCGATGCTGCCTACCTCATGGGAAGGGACAAACTCCAGCAATTGGCTAATGCAGCGGTGAAAGACGACAGTCTCTATATTGCATTATGGAACAGCATACTGTGCACCGTCTTTCCCGCATCTAAAGAATTCTTGGTATCGCCATGTGCTCGCACTAGGTGCGTTCACGTCTCCCTGCTCTGTGCCTTTTAACTTATATCATCCACAGGGAATCAATGCCATATTTCATCGTGGACAAGGTCGACCCCGCCAATCCTACGACTAGGCAAATATCGACTTAGCCAGTTCAGTCTAACAAAAGCGAGACGTAAATAATTTAGCGATACAGATAGTTGAAGTCACATGATCAGTTCACACTCATTATGAAACGTTGTGTGGCCCCTACTTGATAGCATGAAGATAAAGCCATCATATTTACAGCGTTTTGACATGTCTATATACATAAGTCACCATGCTTTTGTACAATGCTCGCACCACTTGACCCTCTTCACCTCGCAGTTGTAACTTATGTTGTTACTTATGCGAGATCAGCGAAACCAACACGGTTCTTAGCCAAGTCGAAAACGGTGTAGACGTTGGCGAGGAAAACATCGCCAACAATCCAGAAGGCTATACGTTTCGTGTCAGTAAATTCTCAAAATGCCCTACGCGTTGCATAGCACCACTCACATTCGCCAGAGGAACCGACGATACCACCAACACAGTCGGAAGAGCCAGAGGAAACTTGACCGAGGTTGAAAGTGCTGGAAGAGATGGGGAAAGACTTGCCACCGAAGGTCAGACTGACGCTAGGGACATCGTTGCAAGGGACTGGGCACGCAATAGTATCAGACCACAATCAATCTAAGGGATAAGAGTAACTGCTCACAAGTGTAATAGCCTTCGCCGACAGTGTTCGAGGCATCTTGACCACCAATTGCTTCGTAGAGCTGAGCGACGCTCTCGGTGTCACCAACAACGAGAGTAGTTCCGGTGTCGACGATGGAGTCGACGTTGGAGAGAACGGACTGGCCGCCACCGTTGACGGCGTCCATGGTAACTTGCCAGTATCCCTAGCGGAGATTGGAGTCAGTCATTTGTAGTGCTTTAATGCTAAATCAAACTAACCTGTTGGGTGACATCGGCGTAGGAGAAGTCGCCAGTGTAGAGGCTAGAGTCAGTACCACCAATGTAAAGCTCGGAGCCGGAAGTGGCAAGTTTGAAGGCGAAGACAGATTCATCAGTCTTGCCCTCGGAGACGAGAGTCTGGAAAACGGGAGGGGCATCGTAGTCCGAGATGGACTGGTAGGCCATGCCCATCAACCCATCAGGAGGGAACTCGGAACTGGAGAATCCAGTGGAGTACTGGCTAGCAGCGCCGAGGGTTTGTTTAGTAGCCTGAATAGAAATGTGGATATGTCAGGCAACTATCGCAAATGTAATGACAAAAACCATACAGTGAGGCCGGCAATCGACACTGTGTCAGAGTACTGCTCGCCCTGCACGGTAGAGCCATCTCCGTAGGCGAGGCTGAAGGACTGGCCTAAATCCGATGAGGTGGAGCTTGAGTCAGGGTCGTAGGCAGTGTGGCCTGAGCAATTCTCTTCACAGTTGGGGCCAGGCAAAAACAAGTCGCTGCTTCCAGTGTCGAAGTCAACTTCAGAAGACAGTTCCAATGAGTGACTTTAGCGCACGGAAGAAACGGGCTAATAATTACCGGTGTATTTGACGGCGGGGGTTCCGACAGAAATGGTTCCCTGCCAGAGCTCGCTGCTGTCGTCAGTCAGAGGGTCACTGCCAGACCCACGTTTTGCGACCTTCTTAGCATTGGGGTGAGGAGCACCAGTGTTCTTCTCGTAGATCTGGAAACCACGGTCGATTTTGCTATAAAGGTAGTGAAAGAAACGTCAGTACGAGAAATAATATGAACACTAGATAACATACGCCATAGTGCTCGCAACGTGGGATTTCAAAGCAGTGATGTTGACTACGCCATCCTTGTCAGCCAGGTTAGAACGCTTGGTGAGAGGGATTTTGATAGCGTTCTTGGTAGCGGGCTGTGGAGCAGCAGCGACCAGGAATGGGAGAGCAGCGATGACAGTGGCAAGAGTGAAACGCATTTCGAACAGATAACAAAAGCAGAGAAGTATGTAAGTGGCCGGTGGTTGCTGGAGAGAGACCACAGAAACGTTCTGGCTTTATAGGGAGCCATAAGCACTTTATTCTTATCACGGGAACGAAAAGTTGTGACACTGTCAAGCCCGCTAGGCAAGATGAGCATATGGTCGCTGTCTAAACGGCTATAGACAGCATGGATCAGCTGTGAATCAGAGTTTTCGACGTTACCGCGTGTAGAACCTTCCGAGGGAGAACCGCGTTCTAATTGCTGCTCGATCTTTGATAAAATTTAGCTATCTTATAAAATGATTAGTGCTGTCTGACGCGAATAAGTATAATGTTGCACTGGCTCAGGATTTCCAGAAACACAAAATGACTGGAAGACCACTGGGAGTCACTATATTCAAGTAATAGTATTTTCGTGAGTGAGGTGAGATAACAGACGGTAACAAATTGAAGAACCAAAGAAAAACTCAGCGAAACTGTCTTGCCATTGTTTATGCTTGTTGTCCAATAGCTTGGCCTAGGGTGCACGTGCAACGGCCCAGACAATCAACTCCCTTGACAATGACAATGTTATCGGTGCAGCTACATGGGATTCCAAGTGATCATCGCCCCTCGAAACAGCCAGTGCCACGAAGCATTGAACCATTCAATGTGACCCATCAGTCATACAGCGCCACGAGGATCCCAAGACCGAAGTGTATGCCTCAGATAGCTTCATGATGTCACACACTATGTATTCTTCATGGGGTTTTCTATGCCAGACCTCAGATTGAAGTGGGCTCGCGTGTAGACAATGGCTTCGACGAAGTAAACCATGTGTAGAATTATTACAATATATCGATCGACTATCATCGATGTTTGAATTAGGTCAGCAAGGGAGACTATTGTGTAGAATGGAATTGAATAGCAGCGTCGAAGCGCGGGGATATCGTGTGACGATGCAGCAGTCCCTTTTTTGCAGCATGAGGTGCGTCGAATTCTGTTCTAAAGAAAAGGCGCCCTTGTACGTACGCGGTGCGTATGGACTTCTGCCTCTCATCCTGTTATCCTCCTCATATGTCCTCAGAATCTCTGCCAGAAGATATTCCAGAACTACTGGATCCGGGTCCTCGGCTTTCGATAGCCGTCTGATACCGCAGATATCGCCCGCTCGTGATTTGCAGTTGCGTTGCACAAGAATACGCGCTTCCTAGCTATTTCTCACAGGCAGACGCAGCTATCTTTCCATGTGCAACCGCCCGACAAACGCCTTGAGGTGCACGTATGTGTTTAAATTTATGTTCCGTGCCGGTGGGTGCACTGATTCATTGAAAGTTCCCAGATGCTGTCCGTCGTCTTGTAGGGAGTTGGCTTGTTTTGCTCGACGTGTATGTTTTGTGCCGTACCGCACTGATCCACAGCAAGCTCCCAGGTATTGTTTGTCTTGTATACAAGTTAGCTTGTTCTACTCGAATCCGCAACCGGAAATCATGAAGAGGGGACGCTCCAGGTGTTACGCCAAAGATCGTTGTATTTGCTGGATATGTTACTGGAAAGAAGCTACGAGATTTGAAGGATACAGGTTTCGAGGTTTCGTTTGTAACAAGGATGTCCTTCCATACACACCCGAGTGCAAAACCAAGCCAGTTTTACAAGAAGCGAATGCTTACCTTGAGATGAGGAATCAACATTACCTACCGGTACCCCTAGTACTAGACAGTTGAAAGCGTGAAACGAAAGACGGTATGCGAATACGACATGAGTTTCAGCAACGCAACGGCCGCAGCTAACGATTAAGGTGTAAGAGAGAACTCCACCCTGGTGCCAACTTGACTTCTTTTGAGCAAGCTGACCTGTGACACCCAGTGAACACGCATTCCTACCCGAACATCGCACTGGTCGATAATGATACACGTCCACTTCCTCCTTGCACAGAGCTTCGAGGTTTGTGATGCAGCCCCCCAGGCGATAGCAGTCAAGTCGTAAACAACCCTTCGCCTTTTAATCGAAGTATTTATCAAGAGCACACGCCTATTCCATAGCTGTGTGCTATTTCAGCCCACGGCCTGACTTTACCCGTAATTTGCTTGATTGTAGTGACCTCTAATGAACGTTTATGAACCCCTGTAAGTACGCCATGTGTTCAGGCCAGTCCTGTATTAGGGCTCACTTCAAGTTGGAAGTGTCCACGCTCCGTCGTCCCGAGTATTTATTTACTCCAAGTCGTAACGTCAAGTTCTGGAATTTCTTACGCAAAAATGTTCATATAGGACAACAAAAATGAGATGGAATTGTCGAGCTAGGTATTTGACTTCGAATTGTGCATGGCTAAGAATTCGAAAGCTTGTAAGTAAGGTTACGGGAGTAAGAATGGATCGGAAGATACCGAAACCAGCCACAAAAGGACCATACAAGTGCAAACAAGCAGTCATTCGTCAAGCCGAACATCAAGAAACTTTGGTGCTCTCAACTTATTCTGTTTCTTCAGCCAATCTATTGCCCAGTCATATTCAGTAACAGCTTAATACCCTTCAAAGTGAAGAATATTAGATGGGGGACGAATATCCCACCCTGTTCCGTGAGCTTTTACTAGGTAGCTCGTGCTTCACGTGTTGACTTGTATCTAGGTTCGGAGCAGATGAGCTTAGTGCAGCTCTATGTTCCTACGGAAGTAGCACATGATACGACTGCAGAGTTGGGAGAACGTGGAAATGTTCAATTCAAAGATGTGAGTATCACCTTATCACGATGTTCTTGACCTAACTATTTTGCCATAGTTAAACCCCAATGTCACTCCTTTCCAACGTTCGTTCGTTGGTGAAATTCGCCGCATCGAAGACATGGCTCGGAGAGTTCGTTTCTTTTCGTCGCAAATTGAGATGGAAAAGGATGTTATACCCATCCGACCCTTATACGACTGTGCTCCTCTGATTACGGTCGGACCTCGTGCTGCGCAAACCATGGACGAACTCAACGTTACGCTAGCAGAGCATGAATCACGTCTTTTGAGGATGAATGATAGTTATAAGAATTTCAGCGAGAAAACGAAAGAGCTGGTTGAGGCACGACATGTCCTTAGAGAGACTGCCGTCTTCTTTCAACGGGTACGTAAATTTTTTCAAAGACTAGCAAATATACTGAACTCTTCCGCAGGCTGAAGACCAACATGCAGATATTAGGACTTCATATGATGATAGCTCTGCTCCACTACTTCAGCACGATGACAGCGAAAATCAGTATTCTGCTCCCGTCCAATTTGACCTCGAGTGATTAACTTTTTTTAATTTGCTTTTACGTGTCTTGTCATGCTCAAGGTATACAATAGGTTCGTCGCGGGAACAATTGACCGTACCAGGATATCGACTTTCGAACGTGTTCTTTGGCGTGTGCTTCGTGGTAACCTCTACATGAATCACACCGATATTGCTGAACCATTCCTTGACCCTGCCACCGGGGCCGAGACGCGGAAGAATGTCTTCATCATCTTTGCTCACGGCGAGGTGCTTTTGGCGAAGATTCGTAAGGTTGCCGAATCGATGGGTGCGACTATATACCCGATCGATGCTAATGCAGACAAGCGCTCCGATTCGCTCCGAGAAGTTACAGCACGTCTTGAAGATCTCCAGACTGTTCTCTACAATACTGGTATGAACAGGCGCAGTCAGCTGGTAACCATTGGAGAAAGTTTAGCGAGCTGGCAAGACGTAGTGAAGAAGGAAAAACTCATATACGAAACCATGAACCTCTTCAACTACGACGTGAGGAGGAAGACCCTGGTTGCTGAAGGCTGGTGCCCTACCAGAGATATCACAGAAATCCAAATGGCTCTGAGACGTGCCACAGTATGTCATTCTATCTTGGTATCCTTCCTCTCTAATATGAAATAAATAGGAGGATTCGGGAACTAGTGTTGTCCCTATCTTGCAAGAACTTCGGACGAACAAGGCGTCACCGACCTACAATCGCACCAATAAGTTTACCGAAGGTTTCCAGTCAATTATGGACAGTTATGGAATTGCAAGCTACCAAGAAGTCAATCCAGGGCTCTTTGCGGTAATAACATTCCCTTTCTTGTTCGCAGTCATGTTTGGCGATATTGGGCATGGATTCATCATTTTCCTTGCTGCGCTCTATATGATCATCAAAGAAAGGCAATGGGCAAAGGCCGATTTAGGAGAGGTAAGTAGTTGAAACGTTTACACCTGAGAAGAAGCAAGAGTTGACCACTGTCTTGGATAGATTATTGGACAGTTCTTTTAGTGAGTTTGATGCATGCTCTGTCAAGGCCCATCAACTGATTGTTCGCAGCGGACGATACATCATCCTCATGATGGGGTTGTTCTCGATGTACACGGGTTTAATGTATAATGACATCTTCTCGAAATCCCTTCATATCTGGCATTCTGGGTGGGACTTCCCTGAAGGAAATGGGACGGTTGTTGCAGTTTCCAATGGCCATGTCTATCCGTTTGGTCTAGACCCAGGCTGGCATGGAGCAGACAATGGCTTGGTGTTCACAAACTCCTACAAGATGAAGATGTCGGTGGTTTTGGGTGTCATTCACGTGAGTATACTTTTCTCCTATCGAAGTCTGAAGAATTATGCCTCATTTTACTTTTTCACTACAGATGACATTCGCCTTATGTCTACAAGTGCCTAACCATATTCGGTTCAAACGCTCCTTTGACATCGTCACCAATTTCATCCCGCAAATGATCTTTTTACAATCGATCTTCGGTTATCTCGTTGTTTGCATCTTGTACAAGTGGTCGATCGATTGGTCCACTAGATCGACTGAACCCCCTTCGTTGCTGAACATGTTGATCGCAATGTTCTTATCGCCCGGAACCATTGATCCCCAGACGCAGCTGTATCCAGGCCAAGGATTCATCCAAGTCGTGCTTGTCTTGCTTGCTATGATTTGTGTACCGTGGATGTTGTGCATGAAGCCATATCTCCAATGGAAGGAGATGAAGAAGATTCAGGGTCAAGGTTATGTCGGCTTGGGCCAACACGATGGTATGCCTCGCGATAGCTCAGATGACGTCTTAGAAGGCGAAGAAGAAGGCAATGGTAGAGCTGTCGTAGAGGAAATGGATGAAGAACATGTAAGTGATCGGGATATTTGATTCGCGATGCAGAGCTCTAACTGCGTGTTTAGGAGCACCACGACTTCGGCGAGGTTGTGATACACCAAGTTATTCACACTATTGAATTTTGCCTCGGGTGTATTTCCCATACTGCTTCTTACCTTCGTCTATGGGCGCTCTCTTTGGCTCATGCTCAGCTTTCTGAGGTATTGTGGGACATGACTCTCGCTGGTTTCCTTGAGCCATCTGGAATTACGGGAATTATTGCCCTCGTGGTTATGGTCGTGTTCTGGTTCTCGCTGACGGTGTTTATCTTGTGTGTCATGGAGGTGCGTATCCCTTAAACGTGCAGTCCGTGCACATCAGCATGCCCCTTTCATTGACCCCTTTCTTTTGCACTTGTGATTTTTCCTCGCATTTGCAATGCAGGGTCTCTCTGCGTTTTTGCATGCGGTGCGTCTGCATTGGGTAGAAGCGAACAGCAAGCACTACGAAGGTGGAGGCTATGTAAGTGACACGCTGCAGCGCCCCGTTCGGGGATTCTTCGATACAAATATTTTTGAACGTGGAATACGCATGCTGATGGTTTACCCCCTTATCCAGGCCTTTACGCCGCTAAGCTTTGCGAAATTGGACGAGAAGGATTCCTGAGGGGGGTTTCGTCCTGTAGTTCTGTCATGTTGCTCTTGCCTATTCTGAAATATAGCGAGGTTTCACGCAGTGCTGGCATGCCTGAAACAGCATGGACGTTAGCGGAATGTGGGGTAAAATATTAGGGCAGTACCCCACATCGAGTAAGGCGGCGTATATGTAAGATGATAAGATCAGCAACTTTGCGGTGCAAATTGTTGTGCCGTGACCGCTGACAACGGCTAGCACGAAATTTTCTGAACTCCGCTTAACAAGGTTTTTATAATCAAAGGCACCGCAACGGTTATCGCTTTCCTCAGCTTCCTTTTCACCATTTTCTTGCTCCTCATTTCACAAATAGAGGTCCGTTTTCTTCATTTCCCAGTCCGAATATTTGCTGATAACCCCCCAGGCTTTTTGCCAACCGTAGATATAGAGCGTCCTTGTTCCTTGCTAGCCTTTGTTTGCATAATCGAACGTAGAAGAAAACTACATCCACGACTCTAGTTTCAAGGTGAGCTCACCATCCCATATCTTGGCGACGTTACATACTGATTTATCGCCTAGATTTCAGAAATGCCTGCTATTGCTACTTCCGCTGTTGCAACTCCCTCTCCTGCCTCTCTCAAGGGCGCCATCGATGGACAAGTCGATGTCGCATCTCTCTTTGTCGCTGACAAGGCTACTCGCGATTCTGCTGCTCAGCTCTTGGCTTCTGCCGCCCAAAAAGATGGCCCTGCGGCCTTCACCGCCGTAGGCTTCGCCGAAGCCACTCTCAAAGCTCTCGCTGACAAAAAATCGCCTGCCGCTCGTGAAGGCGCCGCCTCTGCTATCACCGTACTCGCAAAGGGCGGTGCAACCAAGGCTCTTGAACCAATCTTCATCGATTCTGGTCTTTACGATGCTCTCATTGACACTTTTGCCGATAAAATGCCCGCTGTCCGCGACTCTGCTGTCGGGGCTGTCCGGGAGTTCGTTGCAACCATGAACCCATGGGCTGCTGCTCTTATTCTTCCTGCACTTCTTCACCAAATAAAAACCGCCGGTAAATGGCAAATCAAGACCGGCTCTCTTATCGTTTTAAATCAGCTCGTCGTTAGCGCTCCCATCCAGACCGCTGGTCTCATGCCCGACATTGTCCCAGTTCTTGCCGAAGCTATCTGGGATACTAAGGCCGATGTGAAGAAAGCTGCTCGCGATTCGCTTACAAAGGCTACTGCATTGGTTTCCAACAAGGACATAGAACGCTTTATTCCGGCTCTTATCAAGGCTTTAATCAACCCTGTCGAAGAGGTTCCGAATACTATTCTGCTCCTCTCGGCTACCACATTCGTTTCTGAAGTAGATTCAGCTACTCTATCTTTAATGGTCCCCCTTTTGTCTCGTGGTCTTTCCGAGAAGCTGACCGCCACCAAGCGTAAGGTCGCAGTGTGAGTGCATTTTTTCACATATATTATTCAATATCTCATATTTTTATTGGCAGTATTGTTGACAACATGGCGAAACTGGTCGACTCTCACGTGACTGTCCGTCCCTTCCTGCCCAAACTTTTGCCCGGTCTCCTCAAGGTGGAAACCACTATTGGTGACCCGGAGGCTCGTGGTGTTGTTGGCAAGGCGATCGCAACTCTCCGTCAAATTGGACAGGTTCCTGAAGGTGACGGCTCTGACCTGCCTCCTTTGAAATTCGCCGAGGCTCCTCAGCTCGCTCAGTCGCTTGCTTCGGTATACAAGAAGGCTGGTGGTGCTCCTCCCTCCACCACGGATGTGACGACCGTCTACGTATCCCGCTTGGCGACTAATCTCGTCAACGGTAAAAACTTCGATGTCCCCGAGTGGGATACCCTTGCACCTTACCTCGCTTTCCTCGCCTCTTCCCCCGAGCCCATTTCTATTGCTAGGGAGTGGGTCGTTCGCTCTGCAACTGAGGACTCTGGTGACGATGATGTCCCTGAAGACGAGGAGGAAGGCGAAGACCTTTGCAACTGCCAATTCTCCCTTGCTTACGGTGCCAAAATCTTGCTCAACACTGCCACTCTCCGTTTGAAGCGTGGTCACCGTTACGGTCTCTGTGGAAAGAACGGTACCGGAAAGTCCACTTTGATGCGTGCTATCACGAACGGTCAGGTTGAGGGTTTCCCCTCTCCCGATGAGGTCCGCACTTTCTACGTCGAGCATGACATTGACGGTAGCGAGGCAGACACCTCTGTGCTCCAATTCATCCTTTCTGACCAACGTATTTTGGCCGAGGAAGCCGAGGTCATCGACACCTTGGCATCGGTTGGTTTCAGTGACGAGCGTCAGAAGGATGCCATCGGCAGCCTTTCAGGTGGTTGGAAAATGAAGCTTGCACTTGCCAGGGCTATGTTGTTCAAGGCCGACATTCTCTTGCTCGATGAGCCCACTAACCATTTGGATGTTGTAAACGTTGCTTGGTTGGAGAACTACCTTGTCGGTCTCAAGACCTGCACTTCCAGTATGTTTTATCTTTTGCTGTTGTTTCGATATGCTTACATTCGCTGTTAGTTATCGTCTCCCACGACTCCAGTTTCCTCAACAACACTATCACCGACGTCCTCCACTTGAACCGCTTCAAGGTTAAGCGCTACAGGGGTAACCTCGAATCTTTCGTTAAGCAGGTCCCTGAGGCCAAATCATATTACACTTTGGAGGCCGCTGAGGACTACAGGTTCAAGCTCCCTGATCCCCCTCTCCTTGAGGGTGTCAAGACTAAGGAGAAGAGTTTGCTCAAGATGCGTAAAGTCGGCTTCCAGTACCCCACGCAGGCTGTCCAACAGCTTTATGATATCACTCTTCAAGTTTCGTTGTCCTCTCGTGTTGCCGTCCTCGGTCCTAACGGTTCCGGTAAATCGACTCTCGTCAAGCTCTTGATCGGTGACATGGAGCCGAACAAGGGTGGTGAGATCTGGAAGCATCCTAACTTGGTCATCGGTTACGTTGCACAACATGCTTTCCACCACATCGATCACCACCTCGATAAGACCCCTCTGGAGTACATGCTTTGGCGATACCAGACTGGTGAGGATTTGGAGGAGATGACCAAGGCTAACCGTCAAATCTCTGAGGAGGAAGCGCAAAAGATGAAGGATGGTGCTGTTGTTGTTATCGAAGGACAGAAGCGATTGATCGACGAAATCATTGCCCGCAAGAAGTTGAAGCAGTCGTACGAGTACGAGGTTTCCTTCAAGAATCTCAGTTCGTCTGAGAACATCTGGCTCCCTCGTGACGATCTCATCAAGCGTGGCTTTGAGAAGGTTTGTGTCCTGTTCATGTTGTTCCACGCATATCTAATACATATATCACAAACAGAAAGTCCTCGAAGTGGACACTCGTGAGGCTCAGCGTCTCGGTCTTCTCCGACCTCTCGTCCGTCGTGAGATCGAGAAGCACTTTGCTGACTTTGGTCTGGAGCCTGAATTCGTCTCGCACAACAGCATGAGGGGTTTGTCTGGTGGTCAGAAGGTCAAGATCGTGCTCGGTGCTGCGACCTGGCGTCGCCCTCACGTCATCTGTTTGGATGAGCCTACTAGTACGTTGAATGATTTGAATTTGTCAGCTATTCGTCCTCATGTTTGATGCTAGACTACCTCGACCGTGAGTCACTTGCCGCCCTTATCGAGGCTTTGAAGGTGTTTGAGGGAGGTGTCCTCGTTATCACCCACAACCGAGACTTCTCGGAGTCGCTGTGCACAGAGTGAGCAGTCATATACTTTGGTGCTGAGGCATTATGTCTGACATTTCATCGCAGAGTCTGGGCCATGCGCGATGGCCGTCTCGAGGCATCAGGCCACAACTGGGTTGAGGGTCAGGGATCCGGGGCCCGTATTGACAAGAAAGCTGGTGAAGAAGATGACACATACGATGCTATGGGTAACAAGATTGAGTCGAAGAAGGCCAAGAAGATTACTGCATCAGAGGCACGGAAGCTTAAGAAGGAGCGTATGGCTCGCAAAAAGAGGGGTGAAGACATTACGGACGATGAACTCTAAGTGCGAGTTGTATGTTTTCTTTTCCCCTACCATTGTTCCTGTTTCACTTTAGGATTTCTGTATGCGCCTCTGTATGTCGTGTTGTTGTTACCATCATGTCTTTCTTATGGTCTGTTGTTTGTACTCTCTTGTTTACTATTACCCTATAATATGATCACGCTCTTCATGACTTCACGAAATTGGCTTGGTGCGAACGGCAGTTAGATTTGCAGCAATGGTGAATCCAAGTGAATGCTGCGATCAAGACGGGAGATGAAGAAGTACACTAGGATCACGTGAAGGCCAAGTTTTAGTGTAAGCCTGAGCTGTGTTGGTTCAGCGAATCGCTGTCTGAAGTTTTCCCGGCTTCTTCTACTAGTACGCACTGGTTTTAAGCTGCGGTTTTTTGCCCTTGTTTACGACCCACAACCATGCCCGCCCTCGATGACTACCACACTTTGTATTCTAGAGATTCCGCCTCATCACTCACCCCCACTCCTACTCAACGTACGACTTTAATTGTTGCCGGCTGTTATATCGTAGCAATCGCGATCCTATGGTGAGCAAATTCACTATAATCCCCACATCCTATTTGACGAGTATATTTCAGGCATGTGCCATTCCTGAGCTGGATAAGTGAGTGTATTCGATCTGTCTTTGCGTTTAAACTAAACTGACCATATGACAGTTTATCCTTTCAAGTATGTTTGGCAATATATTCTGGCGAATAAGAGGTGTACTTAACTTGTCGATTCTCAGATTACTGACCGTCGGCTTTCATGAAGTGAGTTCCGAACCCTTGCTACATTTTCAGACCATGTCATTTTGGATACTAGATGAGCCACGCTATAACCGGCGTTTTGACTTGTGCAACGATTCATTCAGTTGAACTTGATCGTAAGCAAAGGCCAGTTTATTGTTCGAGCGCATATACTCAGGTTATATTCGTCGTGAAGCTGATGAAGGGGGCGAGACGCGCATGTCCGGTGGTATACCATGGATAACTCTTCCCGCAGGGTACCTCGGCTCGTCGCTCATCGGAGCTTGTCTCATAGCATGTGGATTTGATACCAACGCCAGCAAAATTGCCTGTCTGGTGCTCGCAGGATTCTTCCTATTCACCCTCTGGTGGGCCCGAAGAAATTGGCTGTAAGTTCAAGGCCCTGGGAGATTCCTCTTCGACCTCTTCGTCCCTGATGCAGGAGATTAATTATGCTTACGTGATACCCGTTTGTACAGAACGTGGGCCCTGATCGCTGGAATGTCGGGACTCATAGTTCTGTTCTGGTTTGTGGCCGGAGGGGTTGCGCTTCGTTATTTTGTAAGGATGGTTTCAAGGTCAACCTTCCGGTCACTTATAAATCACTAGATTCTTTTCATTGGAGTCATGTCGTGTATGTATGTCCTCTGGGATGTCATAGGTAAGCTCTCAAATGTATCGCCTGCCCAATGCGCTGATATTAATGCCGTCTCATTAGATGATACCGTGGCCCGTAAAGTCAACAATTCGGACGCTTCAGCTTTTGCAAGAATTTGTGGCTGTTTCCCATCTCAAGGTCAGTTTCTTTGAACCTGATGATGATCACTTCATCTAATTCATTCTTTTTAAGTTTGGGGCGTGATCTGGTTGATCATAGCCTTCCTCTTCTTTGCTGCTGGGGTGCTCGTTGGCCTCGTTGCCTTCAAGGTGCGCCTCTTTTAATTTTTTCAATACCTATTTTCAACTCATTGCAAATCAACACAGGAATCAGCCGCAGTACAGAAAGAACAATCAGAACACTTCCTTCCCGTACCTGGATCTAGCAGCGCAATGTCTTCTGTATCAACGTCTGGCTCGCTTGTTTTGTTAACGACCCTCCTCTCGTGTATTGTGTTGAATTTGTAGAAGGGAAGTATTGCAAAGACATTATACCTATCTGGATGTCGTTTTTTCCATGTTGTAGCAAGTGTTGTACTTGTTGTTTTTGCCTGATCTTGAAAGCGGGACATATCTTGTGTTTGATGTCACTAGTGTTCCTTCCTATAGGTTATTACATCCATAACGAACTTGGAGCATTGTATCATAGTTTTATTGGATACTACCTCACATATATAACGTGCAAATACTAGGGAAAGTACATGGTTGAAAACAGAGCGTACATGAACAGCATCCACCCCGCAAATTACAACGGGAATTTTCACCGTGGGTTGACTGTAGAAGGGATCATATATTGTAAACGTCTCCCAGTTCCCTATCTCCGATCATCGTACCCTCTGTCAACGGACATCCTTTTCCTGTCATCCCTTCTTGGGGGTGGAGTGCGTGTCCTATCTCTGCCGTTTCCTCTGTACCGATCTCTTCCGTACCCGTGGCCACGTCCATCTCTGTCCCTCTCCATCGAGTCATCTCTTCTACGCCTTTCAATACCATCCTCCCTGCCATTCGACTCCTTAACACGACCACTCGTACTTCCCCCAAGACGAGAGCGGGGTGGGGGTGAACGCACCGGAGAGCGGTCATGCCTGCGTTCGCGTGAGTAATCCCTCTGTCGATGAGGGGGCGAATCACGTCTTCGAACGTCACGATCACCACGGTACCGGGGAGGGGGGGAAGGAGAAGGTGTAGGAGAGGGGCGGCGGCCACGGCGTGGAGGGGGGGGATCGTCTCTCTCTCTTCTCTTCTCTCCATCCCTCTCTCGTTCGCGGTGCCGGTCTGGTTCTCGCTCTCGATCGTGCCTAGGTGGAGGGCTGGCAGTCCGCCGGCGACGTCGTCTCGAATCTACAGACGATTCCGATTCTGACGCTGAAGGGTCTGAGTCTGATTCGCTGTCCGAGTCCGATGAATCCGAATCCGATGAATCAGAGTCGGCCTCTGAAGACGACTGTTCGAGCATCGCCCGTCTTTGCTCCATAATCAGTCTAGGCGCGTTCTGCCAAGCATATAGTTAAGCACCATACACAACATAGAAAAATCCCAACAGACCTTCAAATACTCTCTCATATCTTCCGTTAGGACACCGAGACCGATACTCGTGAAGTAGTTGATCGAGAACCTCGTGTTTTTTGGGTTGTCCATAGGGAACATGTTTGTGCAAGATCTCTTCACCTCTGGGTCCTTGAAGCGCTCTGCCAGTGTTTTCAGGCCCATGCTCTCCATCATTTCCTGCATCATGATCTTTACGAAAATACGACTACTAGAGGTCGTATCATCCTCATTTATTCTGACGCACTCGAATACGGCCCATGAAATTGCGTCGGTTCCGAATAAATGACCGAAAAAGCGCCCAATATTTCGCAGGCGATTAGTCTCGTAGCGATGGATTGTGGTGTAATAATTGTTGAAACCTTCTTCCAGGCAATCCGTCCAGACACGGTTAAGCTTACTGAAGCGTTCACCGATAAGGCCATAGAAAGTAGAGTATGAACGTTCTTGGGAGCAACACTCAATGATCATGTTTGTCATTTCGATCTAATAGTGTGTTAATGACTGAAGATTATAAAGGATGAAAAAGAAACGCACCTCTTGGCCTTCCATTACTTGCACTTTAAGCAGCTTATGTACGGCTTCCTCGTAGTTGAGAGCATTCATTATCGTGAGGTAAATGATACGTCTTAAATTGACAAGGTTGGTCTCCGTACGATCCTCGATACCTTCCTTTTCTTCCACAGCTGTCATAAATCGTGAACACAGGGAGGATAAATACTGATTGGGTGTTCATACCTTCTTCATCCTCATCCTCAGACTCTTCTGACCCTGACTCATCCTCGTCGGAGTCTTCACCAAGAATTTCAGCTTTAATGGCTTTATATTTTTCCTCATTTTCGACGTAGGTGGGATCGAACTTGAAAATATCTGTAACATATCTCTCAGGACAAGACACTTTAACAACAAACATATGCACTTACTAAGGCCTTCTTGTACTTGAAGCTCCTCGTCCAAAAGTATCTCGTGCGTTATTTGTTCGTCTTCTTCTACGAGATCCAATCCCTCGGGCAAAATTGGGTTGTCTTTGTATTTATCCTTCCTCACTTGCATCAATACTTCAATCATGTATTGGACACGATGACTTATGGAACCCTCGTTGAGAACTGCGCGGAAACGTTCGAAGACAGTGGCGTTGGCCTTCGGAGAGTTCTCAGAGAGAAAAGCACCAACTTCACGCATGAACCCAACTGCGATCTCGATGGAGTCATCCGTTGGACGCTCAAGCAGGAGCATGAGTATTTGAAGAGGGATGATCTCAGGCGCAACAGCTTGGTTGACCAGATGAGCAATGAAGGTGGTCGTTGAATGGCAGACGATCTAAGAGCTAATGTGTCAAAAATGATCAAAATATGTAATCCATAACACACACCTTGTCGTTTCGCTTGAATGACCGTCTGAACTGACTGATAAGCCGAACCAAGACAAGTTCGCCAACCTGTGGTAGTTTTGTGTTTATGATGGCGACAAGGGCTGCGAAAACGGGTGTAAACGGCAAACTGGCTGCTTGAGCTTTCATCACACTTCGAGCGAACAAGCCGCGGCCGCGAATGAGATTTTCAGAGAAGAGCTCTGGAATAATTTGCTTGATGTTCGTCACGTTGACTCGATTGACAATACCCGTAATAGATTTTCTCAAAGCGTCCCAAGATAGCCTCTGATATTCGGGACTGGTTTTGTCATCCCCAGCAGCAGCCTGTAGAGCACGTAGCCTGGCAGGGGGCATATAGACACCTCCAGAGCGAGATCCAACGAGTTTTGCAAATTCAGCCTGTTTGTCAGAAACCGCCTTTGCGTTGCTTTTTTCCGCGTCTTTGGAGGCTTTTTCGAGTTGGATGGCTGCCATACGGGCGGCCAGTTGCTTTTCACGTTCAGCACGTCGCACAGGGTCGACATCATCGACCTTGGGTAAGCCTAATCGTACACGAGGAGGTGGAGAATGCGAACGTCGCCGTGTTGAAGGAGGTGCATCATCTGCATCTGGAGAACGCGAGCGAGACCTACAAGACCCATTTCAGTTTCGCTGAACAAGTTGTATGAATTATAAGCTTTTTGTTACCTTTTCCTTTTGTGAATGGTTGCTTCAATGGGGCTCGTAGGAGGTAAGGCTGCGACCGTCGACATTGTCGTTCTCTTTGAAGTTTGTGAAGAACGGAATACAAGTACAGCGGACCAAAGAGAGTGACCGTGGGAATAACGCACAGCCTATGCTTGGTCTTGTTTGTCTCCTGCGGCACGTCGAACTGTCTACGGTAATGTGATTTTCGCAGTTCCGGACTACTTATGGCGCCATTGCAGGTGTTGCTGACTCGGAGACTGCATATTCTGGTCAACTACTGTGTGCATCTACACTGAGGATACCGGTCTTAATATTTTATGGAGAAACTGGAAGCGTTATCGTCGATCACAAGGGTGAGGTTCTGAGTAGAGGTCCATATAACTCTTATCTTACCAGCACCGCAGTTGAGTGACCGTGTAGTAAGAGTCCTGGGTCAGGTAAGTCGCCTATATTTCGCCTTCTGTATCTCCTCCATAATCTAAGTCTCCGTAAGAACCCTGGAAAATTCACTCTACAAGGTAAGTTCTACGTCATTCCCGATGATGAGGAATCAAACCGTCAACTCTTCAAATTAGGGACAAACACCTATCTCATAGGCTTGCGAAACCCGTATAAACTCGTCGACACGGGAGAGGGGCACGCAGACTACATCCCCCTCTTAGAGTCCGCACTACGGGACTCGGCAAACACCCATGAACCACATATCTCAGACATCATCATTTCACACTGGCACCACGATCACGTCGGCGGCATTTCTTCCGTGCTACAGCTTCTCCGTCGTTTATGGGACGACAAGAACGACGGTTCCTCGTATAGACCGCCTCGCTTGCACAAATTTCCTCTGGCAGCATCACCAGCAGCCACATACGATTCTATCATAGGTTCAGTTCCACGTAACCTCTACACACCCAATCCTAGTGGATCCATGTTTCACGATCTTCATGACATGCAGACATTTGCCCTAGATGACTCGTCGATCCTTCGCGTGCTGCACACTCCTGGGCACACTAAAGACTCCATCTCTCTCCATATACCGGGAGATAATGCATTATATACTGCCGACACTGTTCTCGGACAGGGCACAGCGGTATTTGAAGACCTTGCATCATATATCGCAAGTCTCCGTAAAATGCTAGACTATCAATCAACAGATGCGAGTTCAGACTATACCGCCCTCTATCCTGGACACGGCCCTGTTGTCACCGACGGACCGAAACTCATTAGCACTTACATCGAGCACCGCATGGAACGGGAGAATCAACTTGTTCACATCTTGAAACAACCCTCACCCCAAGGTCAACCGTGGACAAACTGGGACATCGTATCCACTATTTATGCTGCATATCCACCGAATTTGTGGCTGCCTGCATCCAATAGCATAGACCAGCATTTGAAAAAGCTGGAACTCGAGGGAAGGGTCCGAAGATTGGGCGGGGAGGGAAAGGACGGAAGCTGGGAGCTACTTTCGAAACTTTAGTATACGTCACGTCCGCCTGCCCTTTTCGCTATCCAACGATAATATGGGCTGACATTGAAAGTTCAACCGTAAATCCTGTTCCTCTACATTATGTAGTATATATAAGTGCATATCAATCGTGATGTCCATATCCAAGTGATCACAATGCATCAAAGTTAATATGATGTGATGCCCTCCTTCTTTCCAGCTCATCTTCTCTCTGTGAAGAAAGAACAGGTTATTTTGAGTTTCTCCATAACAAAGCTAACCACGAACCTTCTCGTTTAAATGCAGCACAAATACAATAACCGCCAGTATGACCATCGTCACAATGACAGTAAGCGTCACCCATGGTATCCACTCTCCTGGCCTCAAGAACAACTCGCGTTTCCATCCATCGCTTCCTGTACTTGGCGGGCGTATGACTACACGCGAATTTGGGATGACGCCCTCCATGTTAATAAAATGCTGGTCAGTGTGCTTCGTAGATCCAACGAAAAGGTTTTCGATATAATTATTCGTCCGTCCAAGCCCGAAGAACGAGTACGGTGTGAGGAGGGAGTGATAGGATGTTTGTGGAAGTTGGCCAACTGTGAATGGAACGTTCAATGTTACCGAATCATAATCAGTCTCCTGAAATATGTTACCTTGAGCAGCAGTACGGCGTCCAGAGGTATCAAGCACTGTGTACTTGTACGAAGCACCAGAATAACTAACTCCAAAAGGCTAAAACAAATCATTACAACATAAGATACAAACTAGATTGTGGGTACTTACAAGGTAATTTGTGCCATTCGACGACGTACACCATGAGTTATCGCAAGCACCGTTGAGTACTGAGGATGACGTTAGTATAAGAACTTCTCCATGATTTGAACCACGAGTACCTATCGCTTTCAGGAAAAACGCGTCGTAATAGAAGTTGTTTTGGATAAAAGAAACCGTTCCCTGGCCCTGTTCACCGGTCCGTTGTATCAAAACATCCAACGTACCCTGGGTGCGATAACTCAGAGCCATATTACTTGACTTTGATTTTGACACTCACATCCTCATCCATATCTAGAAATGCAGCCCCTCTAGCATCCTTGATAGTTTCCAGAGTCTCTGCACCCTTCGATACAAGCTTCCAGCCTCTCCTCCCATGCCCGTTCTGGTCACATCCAGCCAGACCTTTGGCACACGGTTCAGAGAATAAAAGTTTTGGTGTATGAGAATCCCCAGACGCAGCTATAAGCAGAAAATCAGGGAAACCATCTAGATTAGCATCGCCAAGCTTGATGGGGATAGGGATGGATGGAGTGTTGGTGGTGTCGTAGAGAAGAAGAGAAGAGGAAGGCGCCGAGTTAGCCGTGGATGACAGGAGGGCAGAAACGGGCACTTGGACGAATGCCTATAAGCCAGGTTAGATTGTTTAAAAAGACATATCGAATGAACTGACGTCGTTATCGCCGCTTGTGCTCAAGTCAAATTTAAAGTTGGGATCAGCAATACATAACTGCTCTGGTGATCGACATAAACGTTGTCCTTTGCTGTTAACACTGGACGTTGTGGCTGACGCACAAACTGGGAGCTGTTTATTGTATGCAATATTGATGGTGCATCCCATTCCAATACCAGTGGAAGGAGAATACGAAGAACAGGTAGGGAAGACCATATCAATCGTTCCATCGCGGTCTACGAGGGGTCACTGAGAAAATAACGACGGAACCGAACAGCGCACTCACCAACATCAGCGAACGATATGGAATGGACTCCGGAGGGTAAAGATCCCTGCTGTGCCAACGAGAAACCGGCGTCCTTGTTGTTGATCCATATTTGGAATGATTTATGGCCAGAGCCATCATCGCATACAAGGAAGACGTCTGTACGTAAGTGAAATATATGAGCCAAATTTCGAGAATGAGATGATAAGAACAGGATCTAACCTGCTAGACAGTCTCCGTTGAAGTCTATAACAGCATTACTATGTGGGTTGGATAATGTACACTGGGTACCATTAAACTGGGGGGTGGTTCTAGAATATAGATGAACTTCAATCAGATACAAAAACGCTGTTTTCACCACGAATAGGAGACTTACAGATCAAACAGAGAGTTAGGCGTTTGCGACGCGTTCCATGAATTTTTCCAGACCATTAGTGGAGAGTTGGTATTGCTTTGTGTGTAAGGTATTCCAAGTAGGTCTATCTTCATATCTCCATCTACATCGACCGGAATAGGTTGGGACAACGTTGATGGAGGGACGGATACGGGACTAGAGTCTGATCCAAACAATCGTAGGATGAATTCTACATAGCGTACGTTGACTTACCAAATTGATCATTATGAACTCCCTTGTACAAAACTATATTCATTCGGTTTGGTGTCTGACTCCCGCTCATAACTAGTAGGTCCAATTTTCCATCGTGTGTGAAATCTCCGGGCACGACATTGGATACTGGCGTCGGATGTCGAATGGAAGAGGACTTGTGAAAGCTAAAGTCCTCTTCACAGAAGAATTATGACGATGACCAAATTGCCAAAAAGGTGCGGCTTACCATGATTCCACAAGTACACCGACAAGGTATGCTGGTCTTGGTCCAGCGACAGCACGTCCAGACTACGCGAAATATTGCAATAACTAATAAATCCACAAAATATGAGCGTCTATACTCACAACTGATCTCCATTAAAATCTCCAAATGCAACTATTCGGTCGCCACTCGCAATCCCCATCGAACCCGCTTTCATGAGTGAATTCTTCGTGAAACGCTTTGGAGAGAATGGCCACATTGATCTAGCAGGCAACGCAAGGCATAGGATACAGAGAAATATAGAAAATGTGCTGCGTTGTCTTCTTATTCGCCGTCCAGGATACATCTCGGTGCTCAAGTTACGTGTGAGCAAGATTTGTGGTACTGCCTCGGGTCCCTAGCCCTCGTATGATGGAAAAAGCCGGCAAAGTGTCCTTGTGTTCTTGCTGAGTGCAATGACCGCTCCCTCTTTGGCGTGATAGGTGTTGAAGCTGAAGGGATAAAAGGGCGTACTACAAGTGGTGCAGTACCCACAGCGAAATCAAAGTATGACTGCCACCATTGTATCCGTGGGAAACCTACCCAGTTGGGTGATCTTCCTATGCTTCCAGAAGTGGTCTACTACTCCTGTGTATCTATAATCTCAAGTTGCAGTCAAGCGTCGAGTCTATGATGAGGAGTAATACGTCTGTTAACATTCCAGGAAACAGAAATGTGACCCTCAGGCTAAAACGTGATAAACGTGCAAAGGCCGCATCATATCAAAAACGCTAGATATCTCGACTACAGCTGATGGTATGCGCAGGGCTGACACCCAGGCAATTCAAATCTCTGCCATTTGTCACGCAAGAGAACCGTAACTCAGACATGCACAGACGCTCGATGTGTTCAAGCGCAAATGCCCCGAACTGCCATCATGATTAGCCCATTCAGCTCGGGGTAACATTCAATTGAAACATTGTGCATTACCGTGACGCTGTGACGAATCTCTCAATGTAAAACATCACCCAACTTGCATGCAACAATTCAAGAGCACTCACATGAGGGAGATCCCTGACCATAGGACAAGGCATCAATATAAACGCTCTAAGACAACCAAACTGCGCGGAAGATAAGCGGCCCAACAATAATCAACCAAGAAAGACTCAGATTTTTCTGATCAGTACTGCACACTTCAGCGAACTTTCAAGTGGACCTAAGCTTGTTATTGACAAGATGGTAATGACATTTGGTAGATGCAGAGTAACCATCACCCATGCAGTACACCGTCGAATCGAAAGACTTCTTCAACTTCCTACAGGAACAATAAGCATCAGCAATACGCCAGGCATTCACTATCGCTCACCGCCCACCAAGGTATCTCTTTCCCACTTCCTTCTGCGCCATCGTTGAAACTTTCCTGCATACCATCAGTCAGCTTCCACCACCTTTGAGTCTCCTCATCCTCGCCAACTTCCGCCATGTCCTTCTCGTAGTCATTTCCCGTGTATTTGAAGGTAGCGATGAGCAGCTGGAGTGGTGGGTAGTGGTTGATAGAATAATCAACGATGTGATGGCGCGCCAATGCGTTAAGGACGCCAGGCCAGACCTGACTATGGATTTCTTTGTACTCTTTCACATATTCTGGCTTGAGCTAAACCGCGTCAAGAAATGTTCAGAGAGTACCATAGGATGATAACAGTCGATTCACCTTTATGATCTGACAAATACGCTTGGTGTGAGGAATAGACATATTCAGAGATGGTAAACCTGTGGATAATATGAAGGTGAAGTTATCCGGGTTGCTCCTTCATTGCCCCTTTACTAGGCCTTGATGCTTATAACGCCTGTCGATACTCAAGAGTGTCATCGTGACCAGCCATAGACGGGCCGCGCTCTCCGTCTGAACAATCCTGAAGTGTAAACCTGGGAATCTCTCATGAACTCCAAGCCATGGTCGAACACATACTTATAATTCGCAGAAGCATGGAATATGGCTCAAGAAGGACGTTTGTTAGAGACCCAGACCATGGAAACCTACCCGGAAGAGCGCCGAGTAACAACCAAGGTAGCGTCAATGTATGCACTGGCGTTGAGTGGGAAAGGGACTTTTCGTGTCTTGTTCGACATATGGCAGATAGTTGCGTAGTTATGTGTATGCAAATGCTGTGTGATACGATATCAAGTTAGAAAATATCAAGTGCTATCAAGTGCCACGAGCCGTAGCCAGCGTTGCCAGTTTTGTAACTCCGCTTCATCCTTGCCTTCACGAACGTCGAGCACGTAACAAGAGTCCCAGTACCACTTGCCGAACACTTTTCACAAGATACAACATGGCTGAAGGTAGCAACTACGATTTCCTCTTCAAGGTATGTATGAGCCCTGTAAACGTTTCGTATCTCACTCTGGCTTTGTACCCAGGTCGTATTGATTGGCGACTCTGGTGTCGGAAAATCGTAAGCCTTCCACTGTGGAGCCCGTGCCAGATTTGTTTCTGATACTGACTTCCTTATTCATTCAGAAATTGTACGTTTGAATGGCTAAGGTTGCCAAGGCAGTGAGTTAATCGTTGAATGTCATTTGCTGCTCCCAGTGCTCTCGCGTTTCACTCGCAACGAGTTCCACGTCGACTCAAAGTCGACAATCGGTGTTGAATTTGCGACTCGCTCCATCAACGTAGACGGAAAGACAGTCAAGGCTCAGATATGGGATACTGCTGGCCAGGAACGTTACCGCGCCATCACTTCAGCGTCAGTATCGCCATCTATCCGCAGCAACCTCGCATGCCAGCTAATTGCTACTACTTACCCCCATCGTTTCACGCTTTTATAGATACTATCGCGGTGCAGTAGGCGCTTTGCTTGTCTATGATATTGCCAAACATGCGACGTATGACAGCGTGACACGGTGGTTGAAGGAGCTCCGCGATCATGCAGATTCGAACATTGTGATCATGCTTGTTGGTAACAAGAGTGATTTGAAGCATTTGAGGGCAGTTCCTACTGAAGAGGCCAAGGCATTCTCAAGTGAGTGTTCTAATATGCCTTATGATCCGTGATAGCTCAATGCTATGATGCCCACAGCGGAAAACGAGCTATCATTCATCGAGACATCGGCGCTGGACGCCTCGAATGTTGACTCGGCTTTTCAAACGATCCTTACAGGTAGGTTCTTCGGATCTACCACATCCCACTGATATCTCACACTGGCACACAGACATATACCGCATTGTTTCTAGCAAATCGCTGGAGCAATCAGCTGACCCTATTCGAGCACCAACAAGTGACACGATCCCTGTTGCAATAGACTCGTCTGCTCCCAGTCAGAGCAAGTGCTGCTAAATCTACTGTGAGCTGTAGATGGGTTGTCGCTTCTTTGTATGGCATGTTTGTAATGATGGTTGGAATGCGGCTGTTTTCGTTGTGTACAGGTACTGTTTGTCTTCATTCTAATAGTACATTTTTGGCTTGTACTCTTTCGACTATTATTGACCCGCTAAGCTTGTGAACATATTGGCTGTGAAAGAAGTGCTGCCCTGTGTACGCAAGATGATGTCGTTGATTCAAAAAGAATAAAACAAAAGGTTTGTGAGCAGCGCGATCCACTGCGCGAACTGACGACATACCCTGTTCTCCGAAGACTAACTCGGCCAATCCTGCAGGTTGCGGAATTGCTTCCCTGGCCTGTCAAGAACCAATTAATCCAAGTCAAATCACGCCTTGCGGTGCGACAAACGTTGGTTTACCAAGTTTTCTGGAGGGGACAGTCTCGAACCAGCGCACGAGTGGACTTGACCGCTGTGAAGAACCGGCTCACATTCCCACGTTGGGCCGTTACAGCCGCTATGCCAGAGGTGCATAAAATGGTAGGTTGAAGCAGCGCTATCGACCCAGTCCAGTCGCTTCACCGTGACGGCCTTCCGAGCCATTTACGCGACCTCCCTAATCTCGACTCCAAAGACTCTTCGCTTCCATTCATCGCACTCGCCTTCTCTCTGTCCATCATGTTGCTCCAGCCATTCCTGCACATATTCCGGTATGCTCTGCAACCCGTCGCACCCTTCACCTGGTTCGGACTGGGCGTCACTTCTCTGGACGTCGTCGCCGCCCTTCGATTGTGCGTCGCTCTCCGACAGGTCAAGGACCACCTACGGCTCGAACTCGCCCTGCGCCGTGCAAAAGGCGAGAAAGTCGACGAGCCAGAAGACAGGTCGTTTGCTAGGGATGCCATGACGACGCTCACCGTCGTCTACGGCGGCGAGGCTCTGGCAGGTAAGCCTCACCACCCATCTCCCGAGTCCCTGCCTATCTAACTGGCGCCCGCGCCCGCAGCTCCCTATCTCGGCGTCCCACCGTCCTTCATGGTATCAGGCGTCACGCCCGCGCTATACGCCGCCATCCAGGCCCTCGTCGAACACATCCCCACCGTACCCTCCATGTCCATCCACACCGAGCTCCCGCTCTCGATCGTCGACGGGTTCTCCCGCGCATGGCTCTTGTGCGACCTCATCCCGCCCGCCGTGACGCAGAGCGCCTCTCCGGCGATCGCACACTCGCCCTGGACGCTCCTTCTCACTTCTCTCGTGCGTAAGCCGTCCGTTCCGATAGCGCCCCCTCCTTCGCGCTCTTTCCGCATGTATATGTATTCGCACCGCGTCTGATTCTGACCCCCCCCCCCCCCCTCTTTGCACGCAGATAGTCGCCAACGGAGGGTTCTTCATCGCCAACCTCGTTTCGTTCCTCCACCCCACGCCTCTCCGCCTCACCACGCCCACCGAGCTCGGGCCGTATGGGTGGACGGCGACGGATCTGTGGTGCGCCCCGCTGATCACGGGCCTCTACGCCCTCCTTACGCACGCGCAACCGTTCTGGGCCGACGCGCACGCCGTGATAGCTGGCATGCTCGGTGCGAGCGGGAAGGGCCTGCAAGCCGAGGCGTTGGATGCCGAATCGGTTCGTGCGGTCTGCGCCCTTGTGCTGGCCGGCATGTTCCTCACTAGGACCGCGAAGAACTTTGGATGCCAGTGGAAATCGAGTAAGTGTTGGGTGTACGGTATCAGATATGATATATGCTTATTGCCGAACACCGTACAGGCGTCGGGGAGAAGATCAAGATCCAATAGTGTTCTTGCGCCAAAGCTGGCTTCGTACAAATTGACGGTTTATGAATTCATTTCAACGCACACGATTGATCACGCTATCTACGGTTTTCTTGTTTACTTGTTATAGAAATAGAGATGTTAAGAATGGATGGATCTTGACATGCTTGACAGGCAGCCCATCGACTTGTGGTGTAGACAAGATCTTGATCACGAAGCATGCGTCTTTTTTGAATAGAGCCCCAAGAAAGTTAGCGTCGTATGAATACACAGAGGGAAAGGTGGGAAATTGAAGGTGGCGGGAACTACGGGTGTATGGTAAGGGTATTCAAAAGATGCCATGCTTCAGGAGAAGAGATGACTAGGAGCGGTTAGTAAGACAGAGGGATCGATCAACCTACTAAGAGCAGTCACAGCAAAGTTACCCGTTGTGTGCGCCAATCAGCCGCGTCTGATTTCAGTGATGCCATTGCGTAATTAAAGTATAACATGATATTCTTATCTCTTGCCTGAACTTCTCTTGCAGCGTGTCGATGAGGATCCGTTCACCCCACAAGGTCATCGGGGAGGGTGAACAAAAGAAGTGATGTTCTTACCTCCAGCCTAAAGTTCTCTTCAGGTTGCAGCATGTCGACGAGGTCGGGGAAGGTTAACAAAAGAAGTGATGTTCTTACCTCCAGCCTAAAGTTCTCTTCAGGTTGCAGCATGTCGACGAGGTCGGGGAAGGTTAACAAAAGAAGTGATGTTCTTACCTCCAGCCTAAAGTTCTCTTCAGGTTGCAGCATGTCGACGAGGATCTGTGCACGCCCCACACAAAAGCCACCTGATAAACCCGCAAGTCGGTGGAGGGCTAGCAACGGATTAAAAAGCTTCTGGCGCCGATGTGCGTGGTGGAGGATGGCTATCTAAACATACGAACTTTTGATTGTTTTAGAACGAATGAGCCATAAAAAAAAGCTAGCAGCTCACGTTTACACCAAAGTCGCTTCGCTTCCATTTCTGCTATGGTACACTGTCGCTCTGAATTGCGTATTGCATCGTTTTGATGGGCCCCGAGATGAGATGGTGAGCATTTGCGCGAGGCATGGAGATTCATTGGATGCATGGACTGTGCGGTCGATGTATCGAATAGGGAGTACTGAAGTGACGCTAATACTTGCAAGCATGTCGCACTTGCATTTCTCCGCCGTTTGATTCCTTCAATGGTCTGGAAACCGGTACTAACGATATGGCACCCTGTTGAGAAAGTCTAGGTCGAAAATTGCAAGTTTCATGGGAGCGATGGAGCTGGGTGTTCATTCCAGTGCTTTGCAGAGATAGGTCATGCGGGTCGTGTTGTGTCTGTTTGGGATTGACACACTGCCTTGGGTTGACGATTGCCAATCCAGGCTTGATGGCGAAGACTTTCGAATATACTCCCGTCGATGGAGCGAGCCTAGCCTCGAGAAAGCAGTTGGGAGGCCTAGATATGGCCTAGACCTCGTAATGCCGCCGGGTGATGATGAGCAAATGATGTCATGGGTGACATCGAGTTAGACCGACTCCACAGACATCAGACATCGAACGTTGGTGGGTGCTTCGACGGATACTACCTAGGCTTCTTAGCGTATAACTGCAATATAATTTCTCAGTAAAATTCATGGAGTGTTCTGAGGGGTATTTAATAACTTTAATCAATAGGCTAAAATCAATCGTGAAATTTGATCTCGCGTGGTATCATCGATATACCATCTTTAGCACATCATCCAAAATCATCCTGCTATTGTTATGGTCACCAGCCATTCGTGACAATGACGTGCTCCAAGAGGGAAGTTTCCTGAATATTCCGTAAAATGCGGTATATCCCTGTTATCATTATTGGCGTGGTTTATAGTGTGCCGGCAGAAGCAGGCACTGGCCCAGGAGAGCAATGACTTGTGTGGGAGTGGAAGTTGGGTGGGAGCGGACTGTGGATCATTTCCAGTGGACAATGGACATCGAATGGCCAAAAAGATTGGATAGGCTTTGCTTAGTAAACAGCCGCTGTGTATGAAAGACACCACTCCATCCGTAAAAGGCATATCTCGCACGTGAGACACCGATAGTGAAAACATCCAATCTCACTTTTAATACAATTTTCACCATTGCCACCTCTTGTCTCGTCCGCCCGCTGCTCTTCACAGTCTTTGGGTCGAACAAGCTCGTCATTCTTTTCATCCCTCACGTCTTTCACGCCTCTCTTCCTCAGCTTACCCGTACGTCTCCCTCTCCCTCTCACCACAAAGCTCTCTCAGTACATCTCCTTCTCCGACTTTTGCATCCTCGTATACTCCATCCATACCTTCTTCTCCTTTTCGTCTTGTAGACCCATCACCCCTCAACTGTCCCCGCTGTTGGCGCACGTTTGACGTCAGACAAGCGTCACACATCTCGGACCTTTTATCATTTTCCCATCTCCTCCTTTCTCTCGACACTGGGCTGCCTTTTGCGCTGCTACTGTATATGTATCCATCATTCATCTAAACCACACAACTAGGTTACTTGCCTTTTTTATGATTTCTTATTGGCACTTATCCTTTCGTCCCACAGATATCTGGAAGCACACTTTATATCTCCACGCCCCAAAAATCTACCCCATTGTCATACGCTCAGATGAGCTCGACAACTTGCACCGTGTCCGACTTTACCTCCTCTTTTTCTTATTCTGACGCTCTCCACAATCGCTCGTCTAACACCGCAGGTGCTCCACTCCCCATCATTCCCCGCCGCACTTCCTTTTTGCGCTCTGAACACGCCGGTCCCCTTCTCTCACTCTCCTCTTCCATGGAAAATACCAGTCCCAAGGCCCTCACCACACTGCGCGCGGACGTACCGTCCATGACACACACCCCACCCCTGCCTATCCTCTCCCAGGGCGATCTCTCAGCGGGAAACGATTTCGAGTCGAGCTCCTCCTCTGCGACCCAGACGGATGAAAATCGTCCGACCATCATCGCTAGGTCAATGCGCATATATGACCAGCGATTCGCCTCCGTCTGTCCGCCCGAATATTCGACGCCTACGCCTGCTGTGCTCAAAGCCAGAGGTGAAGGTGGTCACCATGGTCATCCAGAGCTACACGGTCTCAGACGTGCGGCACCGACGACTTGCTCGCCAGCTGACTTTTCTGATGACGACGACACGCCACGGCTAGCCCAAGGACCTATACAGCCGTCGTCGGGCAATAAAGGAAAGCTGTACCTCAATATGGACGGACTTAAGGCGAGGCATGCCTCTGAATCGCATATCGATGTGTACGGTGAGAAATTACTGAGGAGGGCAACGCCCTCTCCTGCGTCGTCCGCTCAGAACTCCACTCACGGAAAGCTAATACGGAAAAAATCTGGGGAACCAGTAAAGTCGTCTATGAAACTCAAAAGGCCGGGTCTTCTTATCATGACGAACACCACACCAAGCAAGAGCGAGCCTAGCACGCCCACTCACACCAAGGTCGTTCACTTTGACGCAAAACTTGAACACGTCAAGCTTTTCCTTGCAGAGCAAAAACCGTTGGCTGTCTCCAGGGATGGCAGTCCGACGGATACCAGTGGAACGGATAACGAGTTTCCGTCCTTTATATATGGAGACGAGGAGGAAGACAGAAAAAAAGTGACGATGGAGATTCCCAACATGCCAGCCCTCCCTTCGAAGGTGGCCAACGTGGCCCTCCAAAGCCTGGAGCTGATACAGGATACGCGGACCATCAACGGACGCGTGCGCGTGCGCAACATCGCTTTTGAAAAATGGCTTGCGGTGCGCTTCACCTTTGACTGGTGGCAGACGACGAGCGAGGTGACGGCACGCTATGCGGAGTCTGTCGAAGGCAATACCTTTGACATTTTCACCTTCACGATACGCCTACACGATATATGGACGCGGATAGAGGAAAAGACGTTGTTCGTCGCGCTGAAGTATATTGTGGGGGGTCAAGAATTTTGGGACAACAATGACGGAGAGAATTATCTCGTGAAGTTCTCGAAATCTCAGATGGCGCCGGAGGTGGCGAGAGCAGACGAACCCAAGTCGGATATGGTTTATCTCAGGAACCAGCTCGAGCAAGTGGTGAAGGGAAGGGATCGGGAAACGCGTCGTCGGTCTTCAGGCTCGGGTCAACGGATGCCCGCCGTGCTCACGGCGAACACTCCGTTGGCCACTCGGTACGACTTTGGGGCTTCGTTGAAGCACCCTTGGAAAGGTGGCGTACCTCCTTCCCCGCCGCGCCACTTGAGGACCAGCACGTATCCTTCCTCTCCCAACACTATACCCTGGCCGCCAAAGCGCTCCCAACCCCTTGCTGGCAGAACCTCCCCCTTCTCTCCCACGCGTCCCGAGTCTCTAGGCTCACCTCGCGATGCTGATAAGGAGGATGTCCGTATCCCCTTTCCGCCCAAAGCCGAGGATTTGTCCTTCTCTGGACTTGGTCTCGGTAAGCAAACGCGTCAGCGACGTGATTGCTTCGAGCAGGACGGGGACGGTACTGGTTTCGCGCGAAGAACCCAGTTTAGCATATCGGTTACGTCGGAAAAGGGTAGGAGTGATAGTATGGACCACATCAACGAGCTGGCGGTCCCGAAGCCGCCACTTTCGCGGATTCATTCGTTCCCCCAGCCGGCTTTGAGCACGGGGGGACACTCGACGTTTGGTACGGGCTGGACCAATACGAAGCTGTTTCATCTGCGAGAGGACAATGACTCCCTCTCGCCGTCTATTACGTCGAGCTCGTCAGCTTCGCCGTCGCCGTCGCCCACTTCGGACCATTTGGCGTTGAGGACGGATGGTGTGGCGGATCGCGAACATTCGCCCCTTGGTGAAACTATGGGAGATCGGGATAACTATAGTGCATTCCTGAACAGGTACGTTGTTTGCTTCTAGTCGGGGGGGACAAACGAGACTGATGCCACTTCAATGCAGATTTTGCTTTTACACCGGGTCAGACTCGCTGTTGGATACCCCTTCTGAGATTATGCCGCGCTCTCACTCCGCGTCCAGTGTAGAAGAGTTTTTATGGTCCCAGCCCCCTCCCACCAGTACATTTTCTCCCAACCTCCGCGAGACACTCATGCAGTACTCTTCGCCCTCCCCCCGTTCTCCTCCTTCTGACGACGTACGAAGTGGCTCATCGACGCCTACCGCTCAATCTCTCCTCATTTCCAAGCCACTATCTACCCCGCCTATGATAGGCTAGGCAGCATTTTTAGAGAGGCTTTGGCCACTCTGTCTTGATTTGTTTACTTGCACACAATTTTTTTTCGTTTGTTTTGTTTTTGGTTTGGTATATACGTGGTGGTCATATAGAGGGACAGTGGAGACGACAGGTTTTTAGTCTGCCCCGCGCCGTATACGGACGTTTAGATGACCCCCTTCATGGTTGGACTGTGTCGCACGCTCTCGGCCTGAGTACATCGTTACTCTGGTTAACAATGGTTTTTATTATCTTTATCTCCCTGGTCTTTTTCTTTTTTTACTTGTCGTGTCAAGCTCTGAAAAAAGCATGTACCTATTTTTATTATTTTTTTTCATCAAGGTGTAAGGTTGTGGCTGGTAGTTGTGTCGACTTTTTTTTTGTTTTTTAGATTTATTGATTTTTCTCCCTCTTTATGCTTGCATATTCACAATGAATCACGGTATCTTACATTGTAAACACATTTTCCCTTGAGCATGAACCGAGTCTTTGAAGTCTGGAGTAGAACCTCGTTATGAAGTTGCGAATGCGATCAAGGAATACGGTAACTATGCAAAGTAATAGTTAATATCTACCCCTACGTTGGCCCCACCGATGTGAACGACCACCCGGTCCCGGTCCTGCACCACCGCGATTACCCCACTCCTCAGCACCCGTGCCGAACATATCTTCCTGAGACGGTAAAGGTCCGTTCTGCCTCGGCGCAACAGGCACAGAGTGATCGATATGATCAGCTCCACCCAAGCCAGGAATGAAATCATCCGAGCCGCCCATCATCACCTCATCCGCCCTCCGCCCATAACCCGCCTCCTCCATGCCCAAAGCCGCCTCCGCCGCCCCCGCGCCCAAAGCCGCCTCCTCCTCCCTCCCCCACCACTTCCCGCCGCCGTAGCTGAAGCCGGGTACGACCGCGTCCTCCTCCTCGTCCTGCCCGCCGGCGTCTTGGACCTCGGGCGGCTTCTCGCCGCCGGCTGCGAAGACGGCCGAGGCGTCGCCGGGGCGCTCGCGCGACCAGAAGCGGGTGGTGTGGTCGTTGGAGGCGCTGGCGAGGAGGTGGCCGAGGGGGTGGAAGGCGAGGGACCAGACGTTGGAGTCGTGCGCTTGGGAGAGCGTGGCGCGCGGGGGGGAGGTGGGTTGGGGGAGGAGGGCGGGGGGTTCGGGGCCGGAGAGGTCCCAGTGGAGGATGGCGCCTTCTGAGCCTCCGGAGGCGAGGATGGGGTGTATGGGATGCCAGGTCACGGCTGCAGAAAGAAGGGTGTTGTAGTCAGCGAGAGTCAGGTGAGATGAGGAGAGGTAGCGTACAGCAGACTTCTTTTTTGTGGCCTTTTAGGATGCGGTATTCTTTCATGGCGCGGATGTCGAAGACGCGGACGGTTTGATCTCGGGAGGCGCTGGCGACGAGATTGCCGTTGGGGGACCATGCCAGTGCTTGTATGGTATTCTTGTGCTGATGTCTATAAAAAGTCTAAGATACGTATTCACATTATGGGACGGAGGACTCACAGCGTTGATAGGACCTTTTGCGTTCGAGGGTCCCAGAATTTGATGAGGTTGTCTTTACTCCCAGAAACGAGTAGCCCTTTCGTAGGATGCCATTCGACACATTTCACGTCCCATCCGTGTCCTTAACAAACCTATCAGTGAAAATATAAAAACTCTCGACTAAAGAGGTGAAAATACCCGTCAGCACACTCTCCTCCCGACTCTCCTCGAAAGACCAGATGCGGATGGTGGAATCATCACTCGCCGTCGCAAAGCGCCCATCGTCCGGACTAAAGCTCAGGCCTCTGATAGCTTCGCGGTGTCCTTGCCATGCGGTCAAGTTGTTCATGTTGGGCTGGAAATATTTGATGATGCCGGTCTGGTCGGCGGAGGCTAGGTAGGCTCCGGAGTGAGTGAATGCGAATGCGCGGATGGCTGTGTCGTGAGCTTGGAGGATGGTCTCGAAATTGAACGTGAGACCGTTCCATAGCGTGAATTCTCCACTCGTCGAGCCTGTGAGTACGCGTCGTCCCTCCGGCGTCCACTACAGTTCATATCGACGCCCTCAGAAAATAGGGAATGTAAGAATTAGGAGCAGACACTTGCCGTGACGACGTTGACAGGACACCGTATCTTATTTGTCGACGTGTGTACGAATTTTGTACATAGGGAGGTTGATGAGTTCTCAGGATATGCGTTGGGTGGAAGCAGCTATATGGACGATTATATTTTGTAAGTCACGTATGCGATTCACAAATTATTGAATCCTTCGTACATCGACGATATAAGGTGGAGCGGGCCTCATATAGGGCACAAATGTAGGATTCGGTCGTAGTTTGCGCAGCTGGGAGAGGAATCGAGTGCTAAGAATTGGATAACAGGTTGATAGTACATGATGTCGACGAACCAATGCCCATCTACCGATGCCTCCGTTATAGTCCACCGTCCGTCTGGGTCTCGTCTTTTTGACGGCCTTTCCATCGACCCCTTGCCTGGCGGCGGCCATTTCTTGCTCCATGACCTTGGCGTCGTCCATAGGTGGGGGCTGGGGAGCCGAGAGATACCTTTGGGGCGTCCATTCAACTTGCGCGTTCTTGGAAGCTCGCGGAATTGAGCTCGGGGGAAGGAGTAATGGAAGAGCACTCATGATAATGTTAAGGAGTCTTGCGACTTGAAGACTGCACTTGAAGTTTGAAGGTTCGCGGTACTTTTAGCCACGCGGTTCCACAAAAGACTGGGCCAGGAGTATGGCAAGGTTTATCAGGATTTTTAAACTGATATATTATCAGACGTTTGTCTCTTGCCCAGGCCAGGCTGCGGTACTAGTTCTCTTTTGCCGGTCGAGTCCTAGTTTCGAGGAAACCACCAAGCGTATTGGTATGTGTTTGTTTGCAGTGGCAGCTCTTGATTGTCGCGCCAGACATGCCACCTATGCCACCAATATGACTGCAAAGAAAGCAAAGGGAATGTCGCAACACTTGATAACAGGTCTGGGCAGACGAGGAGCCATAAAGGAGTCAGCAAAAAGGAGCATGAAATGGTCCTAGAGTCGTATCAAGCTATATAGCCTCGCAGGATGTCCCCCTTCATGTCCCCATCGTTCCGCTGATCTCTTCTCGACATTGGCATTCGGATTTCTAACCAGCCTCATATTCGATATGGCTCGTACCAAGGTGAGCCTTCGTTCATATATGCAGTCGAAGGAGTCGCTCGTGATGGCAAAAGCACGAGAGGGTCATCGATGTCCCGACGCGTCTTGCGACGCGAGAGTAGTGGGGGGACTGCTGACTTCACTCTCCTCGATGTTTCAAAAATGCATGTTTCTGCATGGAGCCCTTCTGCGTGTCCTATCTCATACCTTAATTGCTCTATTTCCGAGCATGTTTTTGACTGGCTTGTTACATAGCAAACTGCGCGCAAGTCCACAGGAGGCAAAGTTCCGCGACTACAGCTCGCGTACAAGGAGTCTAGGAAGAAGACTGGAAGGTTGATGCCGGTCGGTTGTTAATTCACACCTGAATGCCCTGATGATCATGCTCAGAGACGTCGTAGAAAACGACGATGAGTAGCCAAGGTGTCAAGAAACCTCATAGATTCAGACCAGGCACTGTCGCCCTTCGTGAAATCAGGCGTTACCAGAAAACTACCGAGCTCCTCATCCGTAAACTACCCTTCCAGAGGCTTGTGCGCGAGCTGGCCCAAGAAATCAAGGTGAGTGAAAGGCGTCGTTTTTATGACTGCGTAATCTAGGCTAATCATATTTTATTCTACTAGAGCGAACTCCGCTTCCAATCCTCTGCACTTATGGCACTCCAGGAGGCTAGCGAGGGTAATTGGCATCACTCCGTACAGATGCTATATTTGATGCTGACTTTACACATTACCAGCATATCTTATTTCTCTATTCGAGGATACGAATATGGCAGCCATTCATGCCAAGAGAGTAACAATGTAATGTTTTTCTCTTTCTATATCTTCTAGGTCACTTCTAACCAAATCACCCACAGTCAACCTAAAGACCTTGCTCTTGCACGTCGCCTCAGGGGTGAGCGCAATTAAACCAAAGGCATCCAATCTGCCTTCATCATCAATCATTAGTGTATCGTAGTACCTCATCATGACCTGTATGCAAAGAAAGCATGTATCAAGTTGTTGTATGTGTTATGTTGTAACACCTTAAAATGTAACAATCTACCGTTCGAAATCTAAATTAGTGTCCTCAATCTCAATCAGCATTATTTCGACGATTTGAATTAAGGCTACAGGAGATTATTATGTGCAGTGAGCCGTAGCTACAAAAATTAAGTTTACAGACGTGATATGCAGGGTAGGTATGTGCGCTCTCTCGTCAACTCCGTGTCAGATACTCTGTACAATGATTGAGGTATCGTCCAAGCAATAAGCATGCTTGCCTTGCTCCAATACGCTTGAAACGTGCTTGTCATCGCCCCCCAGAGCTTGCCATAATAACCGCAAAGCCATATTCTGCGGCTTTGCCCCAGCCGCAGTACCTCGCTTGCCACCATTTCGCGCCCACTCTCTGAGTACTTTATCATGCTGTGAGCCACAAAGGTCTGCGAATCCGTCGGAACACAGTACAAGATATCTGCGAGGTGGATGAGGATGCCCAGAGCCCGCCCATCTGGCGTCAAGGGCATAGTGAGTTACCTCTGGCGTCGCTGAGATATATGGAGGTGTATGGTTTCGCACTAAAAACTCTTCCCAAGGAGACTTATCGTGGTAACCTGGATACAGGTTATAAAGTATCCGTCGAGTAAATTCAGGAGGCTGCTTGAAAGGAGTATCTCCTATACCTGGGTGATGGTCAACGATTTAGGATGTGTGGGTGTGATAACACGACTGTCAACTAACATCGGAAAGGAGCAATGGCTCCAAGAACTCGTCCGTCACGAACGCAGTCTAGTTCTCCGGGATGCTCGCGTTTAACGCGCCGAACTTCCAGGTGGTTATCCCCATTATGAACAGTTGTCAAAATGTCGATTTTCCATTCGTCGGGAGACGTTTCTGTTATAACGGCTGCACAGTCATATCAGCAAATGATAATGAAAAAGTATCGGAAAGTAATAGAACATACTTCCTTGACAATCTCCCAGGTTTGCGATCCACAAATTACGATGATCTGGATCTATAAGTGCTACGAGCGCAGTAGTGCCATACATGCACAGTCGTGCCTTTTTGTAATTTATCCCGCCATATAATTGATCGTTGATGACATGTTGAATCTGCTGATCGGAGAATTTGGATAGCGAGGATAAACCCCCAGGAAACAACTCAAGAACATCATTAGCAATTGCATCGTCAAAAGAAGTCATCGCGCGCGAGAGCAGGTCCGCTATCAGTGGAGGAGGGATGGCGCGATCGCCGTGTTTTTTGAGAATTTCTTCCAAAAATTCGCGTACGATGATCGGCAAATGGTAAGCGCAATGTTCGACTGTGGCATCTCCCAGGTGTCCTGCGAAATATACAGCATGAACAAGCCATGATCACGGGGGGTTTCATGAAGACCCACCATCGAACACTCCAGTTAATGCCCATTGATGCCCATTGACGTCGATTTGTTGAATAACGTATCGGTCTTGTGATTGACTGGCAGAAAAAGGCTGAAAGTTCACGCCGTCTGCCCGCCATTCGTGAGCAGCGCCAAAATGCATACTCCTTGGATCTGCGCCAGATGACAACTCCTGCCAGATATCTCGGCCTTTCGGGGATGGGTCTGGATGGGGGCGTCGCCCATCTTGAGAGCTGCATCCTAGCCCAGGAGCGCCTTTCTCGTAGGACAGTATCGGATCGGCATGGCCATTGTCCTGTTTCTCGATGGCATTGTTAGCACCACCGGGTACAGTAGTCATAGTCCGCTGCAAGGATGCAGAAGGTGAAAGACGACGAGCTGAGACGTACAGTCAAGCTGCTTACCGCCCAATAGTGGGTAAAACTGGGCAGACGTGGAAGTTCAAATTGAATATCGCAGAACCATATATGCATATCAATAAATAGCGCGCGGCATGGATCCTGTCCACCCTAGCCTGGTTGCGTACATAGCACACGTGATGGTCAAACGCACACTGCACAGTCGATATATGGCAAGGTTGCTGTCGATTGTCATCGCACCTGCGAGTTATAGATAAACCAGCGGAGGATTTCATTTAAGCCTAGAGCTGTTCCCGTCGATACTGCAGCCCAACTGCGGTAGCTTTCCTCTACGCGGCGAAGACCATTTGAGAATTACCGCGGGCGCAGCTTTCGTGGTCACTTGCTCAAAGTAAGCAACACAGAAAAAAAGGATATTGAATCCGTCTTCTAAGACGGATGAGTTATGTAAGACAAGCCCCTTAAGGGAAAAGTCGATGTGAAATAGCTACTAAGATACAATGCCAGCTCTGTCGTAGACATGCTGGTAACTAACGTCAATGTGAAACGAAACCGAAGTGATACAGTAAGTATGGTGATGTTGTAGTATGTGCAAGGACCAGTCGTCAGGTGTGTGTATACACTGTATGTATATATCCAAGTCCAGTCTAGTTACCAGGCCGAGGTCCATGTGAAGATAAGAAAGAAATCAATTATTTAAGGAATGGGTTTTTTGATCCGCCCGTACTTGCTGGGGTCACCCAGTAGGATCCGCGAGGCTCAGGCGACTGTCTCACAGACGCCGCATAAGCTTCTGCATCCGTAGGAGGACTGGGAACCGCAGGAGTCAATCCTCGAGTCCGTGAATTATGCATCGACGAGCCTAGTGTCGTCGCCGAGAACCGGGACATTAAGGGATTGGTTTTAACCGGTTGACGGGGTTCAGGTCCGTGTCGTGGTACGCCCGTTACTTGGGAGTACAGTGATCCTCCTGACAACCGGTGAGAACCGTTCGTGTAAGGATAATCGTACGAGTTGCGGTGTTTGTGGTCTTCGAGAGGGGGAAGAGGCGAAGGAGCACGGCTCGACCCTGCCCTGGAATATTCATATGCGCCGATAAGCTTTTCCATTTCTTGGTGATGTCTGGCTTCCTCGGCAGCGCGCAATTTCGCTAATTTAATGTCCTCACCCTCGGGCAGCCGACTGGGAGAATGTCCAAAAAGTCTTTCACCGAAACGTGCGAGACGCCAGCGCCAGCTACGCTTGCGGTTGAGATTGGAGGCAAAAGCTGCGGTTTCCTTGGCACGTTGCTTACGAGCACGCCGGCGCCAGCACATCATGAACACTAAGAAAATAAACGCACACCCAAGGGCCATAAGTAGAATCTCCCACCACTGAAGGGTTTGTTTCGTCGTAGTTGATATCGGTGTAGATAATCCCGTGATGGACGGCAGGGCTGATGCGGATGTTCCGGAGGCTTGGGGAATCAGAACCAGTTCCGACAGACAAGCGCCGAGACCTGGGACAACACTAGATCCGCTACTACAATTAGCAGACGTACAAGAGCCTCCGCGGAGGACCTGGCTTGAGCTGGAACAAGCTAGGCAGTTGCTCGGTCCAGATCCGGAGCAGCTGGAGCAGCTTTGGTCGCACGATTGGCAAGTAGAAGAGGTGGTGTCAAAGAACTGCGACTGGCTACATGTAGGAAGACATCTGCCGTTGGTAAGCACAGGCAGAGCTTTGTTGCAGCTGGTGCATTGGCTGAAAGATGAACCTGAACATGTTGCGCAGTCAGGGTGACACGAAATGCAAGTATTGGAGGAACTGAATGTGTTGGATGGGCAAGAAGCAACACACTGGCCGTTTGAGGCAAGCTGCTTATTGGCACAGGTCAAGCAGAAGTCGGCACTACCCAAACATGTAGAACAAGAAGAGCTGCAAGCTACAAAATAAAATGTTATGAGCGGAGCATCATAAAGTAAGAAACAAAGAAACTTACCAGTGCACGTCAGATTATCCTGAGGTGAGAGAAACGCGCCACTTGGACAGCTTTCAACACATTTCCCCTGCGAAAGTACAAAACCCGGAAGACAGCCTGTACACTGCGCTTGGTCTATAGTGGATCCAACGTTGAAATTAGAGATCTGGCACGAAGTGCATTTTGGCCCACAAGCTATAATAAATCGAGACTTAGCTTACATCAAGATTAAGAGAAACGAAGACTTACTATCGCATTCATGCTTATCATTATTTCCAATGAGACTGGAGCCTTGGCAGACACCTCCGCTATTGGTCTGTACACACGATCCACCGAGCGAATACGACCCAGAAGCGCAGATGATGCAGTCGTTGGATGTACCCCCACTACACGTTTGACAAACTGGGGAGCAGACAGGGCATGCTGTCCCGTTGCTGAAGCTACCTTCTGGGCAAGCAGTACCGGTTGATGTCTGCTGTTGTGTGGCATCGCATTTTGTTCTGTCAGTCGTATCTTGCGTGAATCCGGATGCGCAAGTAATGCAATCGCCAGTCCCAGCCGCACATTCTGAGCAGCCTAGCTGACATACTGGAAATAAGGCTGATCAGAAAGGACATTGATTCGGAGAGATATTGTACCCTTACTTTCGCAGTTGCCGCTTGAGTCAAGGAAAAACCCAGTGGAACACTGTGCACACGCAGTGCCGTTGGAAGCAGTGGTCCAGCCAGTGATACAAGTGCATTGCCCGTTAGTGCCGCACTCGCCGTTGATGCAGTTACAGCTTGAGGGAGGATTACTGACTACTGGGACAAGACATTTCCCAGAGCCCGAAATGCCATCGTCACAAGACGTGCATCCTGAAGGGCAGGCCTGACATGTTGGGCCGAAGAACCCAGAAGAGCACATTTCACAAGAGGTTCCGTTGAATCCAGTAGGGCAAGTGCAAGTTCCCGAAGCGGAACACACACCGGAACCTGAACAAGGAGGCGAACAAGAGGAAGATTGCATGTCAAGCAGGGCGAGCGACCCTGAGGAACTTGGTGGCAGCTGGCTTACATCAGGAACCGAGTCCCAAAGGATAACACGGGAGTTCGATCCTGCGGAAACGGCCACCCAAACATCAGATGATATTGCCAGAGACGACGCGGATAGTGAAACGGATGCGTTGACAACAGGTTCCGTAGGAAGTGATGAGAATGAACCTTGGCCTGAGTACAGAGTTTGAGGATATATAGCGAGCCCAGGTTGAAGTTGGACAGTGAGGGGAAGTGTGACTGATGAACCAGAGCTCGAGTTTCCGAATCCAGTAGACTGGGATAGTGAAGCGGATGAAGACGTTAACATGCTATGCAGAAGCTCTGGATTTGAGGTTGATGTATATTGACCAGGCAGGAGTAGTAAGTTGGATGGCGCTCCTGACGCCGATAGCGCTGCTCCGACTGCAAATTGTGTCAGCAGCGCGTTGACGAATGAAATAAAGTACCGACTAGTGGTGTTTGAAAAACCCTGAAGGCATTGTCCCGCAACGCAAACAACGGTGGAAGAAGATTGCGCGGCTTACAAGATAGCGTTAGTCCCAACGACTCTATTATTATGGTAGAGCTTGCTCACCGACAGACGCGCTGTAAAAGAGAGAAAAGGCAAGAAATTTCGAAAACATGTCGAACTAGCGAACTAATGATGGTAGAAGGAATGAAGAAGAAGATATAGAGACACGAGCGACGCGCTCTTCACTGGGAATCTGGCTTGGACCCATGCTTTTTGTGGTTGGCTGTAAGAACAAATCACGGCAGACAATAATAAAGAACAATACAAAGGTGGACAATAGCAGTTAAGCGACCTTGGTAACATGCCCTTTATGGAAATATTACATAATAACAACGCCACCCCGCCCCATTCCTTCGCTTTGTCATCTTTCCCACAACCGGAGCTCCCGCCCATTATTTGTTCTTTGAACTTCTTTCCCAGCAACCTTGTCCTGCTAGTAATGGAAGACAAGGCTAAATCCGTTGGGCCCACTGGGAGCCTTTCTTCTGACTTGTTTGAACCAGACGATCCAGAATTTGCCGAGTTTCTTCAGACCACCGTTTTACCGGGCGACGAACAAGCCGAACGGCCTTCAAAACTCGATAACGATGACAGTAGCAGTGGAGAACGCGGGCTTACCTTGAGCAAGCCATCTTTGAAACGTCGTCATTCTGAGACTGAGCAACCTATACCTTCAAATCCTGTGCAACTTGCCCAGTCAGTTGAACAACCAGTCACATTAAAAAATGCAGATATATACGGTGCTGCGCGCTTCGGTCACTTTGGGGAGTATATGCGGAGAAAACGTGCAAAACTACAGATACAAAACGCAGATATGGATGTCAGCGAGAACGATGATAGCGAAAGAAGAACCATTTTTAAGGGCTTGGCTATATATGTGGGTTTCTGAGAGTTACAGCCTATTCTTCGAAGCTCACTTCTTCAATAAGATCAATGGATGGACCGAACCCTCTGTGCAAGACTTGCGTCAACTTATCATAAAGCATGGAGGTATATACCATCCTTATTTGGATAAGAAGTCATTAGTGTTCGCCTCCCATTATCTCTATATATGCTATATTCTCACTCAGTCCTGACAATATCTGCATGCTCAGAACTCACATTATAACGTGCTCTTTGACTCCTGCCAAGATACGCGAGTTTAAGAACATGAAAGTGGTGAGGCCGGAGTGGTTAGTAGAGAGTGCTGCATCTGGTTCGTTGCTGCCCTGGAAGAATTACATCTTTAGACCGGGAGACAGGTTGCAAGAATCGCAGGGAACTCGGACAACTCAGCAATCTCTCTTTACTATATCTGAGTCGCGACCTCATGCAATCACTGGTCATCCTAATAATCAGACACCACAAGAGGCCCCTCAATCTGAAGTGAATCCCTTTAATGATTCGCCAACTACGCACCCTGCCACGAAGACTTTTGATTCTCGTCCTCTATACATGACAGATCCAGGGACCTACGAAGAGGCCGCGCGTATACCAGGGTATGCGGCCCACACCTCTAATCTAATGGCAGAACGAGTGATGGCCAACCCAGAGTGGAGAGCAGCACATACCTCTATCGCTCCTGACTTTATAGAAGGCTTTTACAAAAACTCTCGGTTGCATCATTTATCTACTTGGAAGGCTGAGCTGAAAAATCTGGTTTTGGAAGCACAAATACGTGCTGAAAATGGGGCTATGGTGACTCCTTCTGAAAGCTCTCATACGAAGAATCCGCAGGTTTCCAGGAAGCTACAGGACGACCCAATTCCCGAGCCGGAGGACGGCGTCAGCATGAAGGGGGCTGAGCTCACTATAAGAACATCACCCAAAGGAAAAGGGAAAGCAAAGGCTCTTCAAATTGAAAGGGTCATCATGCATTGTGATTTTGACTGCTTCTTCGTATCAGCTGGGTTAGTCAGCAGACCCCAGTTGCGGGGCAAGCCAGTCGCGGTTTGCCATTCGCAAGGCTCTCAAGGTGGTGCGGCAAGTACAAGTGAGATAGCTAGTGCCAGTTATGAAGCAAGGTCGTTTGGTGTTAAGAACGGAATGAGGTGTGTCCTGTATTTTTCTAGCATCGTTGCCATCTCTTACCTTGACGGAAAGTCTTCAGCAGGCAAGAAAGCTATGTCCGACGATCGTTACTATACCATATGAATTTGAAAAGTGAGATATCCATGCTAATACTACTGTCTCTTCATACTTACAAAATATATAGATACAGACAGTTTTCGTTGCAATTCTACACTGTCCTGATGCGATATGCAGATGACTTGCAAGCTGTATCTGTTGATGAGGCATTACTGGATGTCACGAGTGCTGTCTCTGACGTGAAGAACCAAGTATCTCGCCTTCCAGTTTCCGAGGCCATCACAAGGGATCCAGCAAAAGAGCTGGCTGAGAAAATACGAGATGAAATCAGAAAGGCCACCGAGTGCGAAGGTACCATTATCCGTTTGTGTCTTGCTACGCGCTAATTTTGTTGTAGTCAGTATTGGAATTGCTGAAAACATACTCCTAGCGCGCCTTGCCACCCGTCGCGCCAAGCCTGCCGCTTCTTTCCACCTTGTCCCAGAAAAAGTGCATGAGTTCTTGGCCCCTCTGGATGTTGATGATCTTCATGGGTTTGGACATTCCACACGTCAAAAAACACAGGAGAAATTGGGCGTGACTACGCTGGGAGAGTTGGCAAAGAAAAGTAAGGCTGTACTCTGTGATGCTCTAGGGAAAGGGACTGGTGAAACGCTGTACAAAGCCATCAGAGGCATAGACGAAAGGAGGCTCGAATCTGATAAGCCAAGGAAATCTGTCTCATGTGATATCAATGTGAGTCCCATTTGCACAGTTTTATTTGCAGCGCTAGCGCTAATCATCAAGCGGAGTATGGAATACGTTTTGAGAACGGCGAACAAGCAAAGACATTCATATATCAGATGGCACAGGAAGTATCCCGACGTTTAAATAGCATATACATGCTTGGGCGCTCGCTGACTTTGAAGATTATGAAAAGAGACCCCAATGCGCCTGTTGAAGCGCCAAAGGTAAGATAGCTTCCATCAGAACTCCCTCATACTCACGTTTTTATTTAGTTCATGGGACATGGGGTATGTGAGACATTTAGCAAGCAAATGGCTCTTTCTGGGCCGAACGGACGTCCTACTAGTGCCACTACTGTCATTGGAGACCACGCATGGAAACTTCTGGAGTCATTCGATTTCGACCCAAAGGAACTTCGCGGAATCGGCATACAAATTCAGAAACTAGAAATGAGTTCAAATTCTGGAAGCACTGAACCAGGTCAAGCCAAACTGCCGTTTAAGCCAGTGCCAGAGAGTCCTAGCAAAGTTCAAGCTAGTTCTTCCCGTCGGGATTCGATCAACAACCCAATACCGCCTGTCATTGTTAACCCACCGTCACAAGACAAAAAGTTGCTAGATGGGCTACCAAAGAAGGCGGCCAAGCCGTTCGTTCCAGATCTTCCTTCCTTTTCGCAAGTGGACAAAGGTGTTTTCGACGCGCTACCTGAGGATGTAAGGAAGGAACTCGAAGTGGAGTATAAACGTCGATCACATTCCCCCATGCCTGCCCAAACATCCAGTGTGTTTCCTATAAGGAGCAAGTCATCTGAACCCATATCCGACTATAACAACAGGATCACCGTCAAAGGTACCAACGTCAAGCGTATCACTCAGCAGTTGGCCCCTAGAAATAGAGCGAGTCTTTCGCCCAGAAAGAACATGCTATTTACCAAGCGGGACGGACCTTCCGCTTTGCAGGTGTCTGAGGCGGAGCTGGAGAAGCTTGAAATCGATCCAGAGGTGTTTTTCGTATTGCCTATTGATATGCAACGCGAACAGCTCCTGATGGCTCGACATTCAAGAGCTCGTGGGGCATCTGTCTCGGGGGATCATAAAGTAATCAAGCTCCCCGATCGATTCCCCTCTACACCGCAACGTAAGAAGCCTATACCAAAGGCGGTTCATCCACATGTTCCCTTCCTGAAGCAACAGGGTAAACAAAAAGGAGAGAAACTTTACTTCACGGAGACAGACGATGTGCAGCGCGTTATCGAGGTTTGGGTTGAAGGCTTCAGAGAGCGAGCGCTTAATCGGAGGGATGTGGATTATTTCAGCAAATTCTTAGTGGAAAGTGCGGAATCAGGGGATACTGGGATGGAGAAGGCTGCAGCTGTCATGAAATGGTGGCTTACGCTCCTACGGAGATACTGGGAAATTTGGGAACATAACAATAATGGGAGCAGCGAAGACAAGAAATTTACAGGAAAACCTACGTCTGAAATCATAGGGAGGACGTGGTGGAAAGCCTTTAGAGAAGTCAAAGGAAAGGTTGATGCTGTAGCCAGAAAGAGATTTGGCGGTTCAATAGCAATCAAGTGAGACACATAAACAAGTGCGTCGACTTAAAAACAACGATTATATCAATAAATTTATCAATCACTGTACATTCACTTTCCATAGATTTATATTTCTACAAACAGGTATCAAATGCATTCCTATATCCCATCAAACGAGCTTGTCTCCTTTAGCAATGAAGAGCTCGATCTTACGTCCAAGGTGCGTACCCTCGGCCGCCTTTCCATAGGTGAAGTTGACAAGACCTGCGCCATCAAACACCTCTCGGATATCTGCTTCTCCGAAGCCCCCTCTGTGTGGAACCATGTGGTGTACTTCAGGGGTAACGATTTCACCCCCCTCGACCCCTTTCATGAGGTCTGCTACTAAGAGCGAACCACCAGGTTTAAGGAAATACGCCAAGGTACGAGTGACGTCGGCGATGGAGCTGAAGTGGTGGTAAGCCGAAGCACACTGCAGAAAAGTTGAGAAATAGTGCGCCTTCCGCAGATCAAGACAAAACACTCACGACTATCACGTCGAACTTTGCCCCATCCAACTCGCCCTCCTCTCCCTTTAATTCGACACATACCGCTTTCATCTCCTCTGGCGCTAGTCCTTGATTCGCGACGCTCTGATTATACTGATCGACCATGCCTTGGCTGATATCAATACCCACGATGGCTTTTGCATAGGGTGCCAGCTCTTGCGAGACTAGACCTGTGGATACACCAACCGTAGTGTAAGCTGGTAATGTTCATTACAGGATGATGAACGTCCGCACCAGTGCCGCAAGCATATTCCATAACAGTTGTGGTGTCCTCACTGAACGTGTACACCTTTCTCATCTCCTCAGCGATTCTGCGACCACGCTCCCTGGCCTGGGGGACATCATTATACGTATGGGCTGTTTGGTTGAAATGCTGCCTGTTGGCCTCTGCGAAATCGTGCCCATGGTGGTGCTCGTGATGAGCATGCGGACCTGAATGGGTTTCTGAGTGACCTTCGTGGTGTTGCATGATTTACAGTTGTTATAGTTGTGATATAGATGTCAATGGTCTAGTCTTACTCTTATATATGATTTGGCTCCCTCCAATCTATCCTCAGTTTTGGGTATGCGAGATATGGTTGGTAATGTAGTGCTATGACTGCGAGGGTCCTGCTTGCCATTATCAATCCGATCATTAAAGTCACTCAAGCTGTCACCCAAGTCGTGACATAGGACAGCCTGCGGAGGCTTTTATCGAAATTTTATCGCTATTTCTGGCTTCTTCTGCACCTGGACGCTGTGGCCACGAGACCGTTCACGAAGACCATCATATTTTTTTTTTCAAATTTTGTACCGCCATTGATAATCCTGTCAGAACTTGGAGTGGTATGCATATGACATTGCCAGTTTTGAATAAAAAGTTCCCGGCTTCTGGAGCTCTATCAAATCGACACATGCACCTTCGAGCTCGATTTGGAACAGTCACCCCAGCAGAAAATGTTGTTAAACGCCGTTCACAGCGCAGGGCTGTACGTGAATGTGCTCGCTGAGCATTCAATATTCAATCCCTGCGCTTTGAAAAACAGATGCAATGATTGCATCCGAAATCCAAGTGGTCATTTTTATTATGTTATTTACAGCCAGTCAACGAAAGATCCGTTATGACAGGACCAGTGAGAATCATAATATCTTCCGCATGCTCTATTTCTCACTACCTAGACGGACCATGGTTCTCTCTGAGTTCCTGCACTCCTTCATTGAGCACAAGTCCCTATACCAATAACATGGTACGTAATCTTCACCCAAACTTGACTAGCATATCGCAAGTTTCCGACTTGGACCATCGCCAGCGTTCGGGAACAACAAAATCGAAGTTCCACCACATGCGCCGTACGTTATGTACATCACTACTTGTCGGACTATAAGTAAGATAACCTGAGGGCTCGCAAAATTCACTAGCCCTCAATTATCGTCAACCGTGACTATGTCCACGCAGGGGCGAGGTGTCCAGCACGACGAAACCTATAAGTTAGATACGGAAAAGGGTGATCGTAAGTCTATTGCTTCATAGAAAGGCGACGACCTGACTGATAATAATTGAAACAGAATCCCCAGTCGTCGTCTCCGTAAGCCGTCGTCTTAAGTTTTTTTTTGCCTTTTCGATTAGAGAAAGCTAAGCCATAGCTATCTGCACATTAGAATCTCACTGGCGCCGAGTTTAATGATCCCAATGTGGACAGCGAAGCCATGGTTGTTGGTACGTAGTATTCTATTGAAATCTTTATCAGGGTTACAAACACGGTCTTATTTGTTAGAGGAGGATTCTCCATATCCTGAAGTTCGGTCTGCCGTTGCCAATGTCGACGATCCAGATATGACAGTCTCTTCCTTGCGTACCTGGGTAATAGGTATATTGTATTTCTCATTGAATCTTTATATTGATCAGGAAACCGACTATGACCGACGCAGGCTTTTTATTTGCGATGCTGATTCCTGGGTTGAACCAATTCTACTTTTTTCGGTACCCTAACATTACTATCACTGGTGTATGTCACCTTTACTTTGATCCAGTATAGGCATTCTTAAATCTTCCGTTGAATATGTAGCTGGTTTCCCAGCTCCTGTCTTTCCCACTGGGCCGTTTATGGGCATTGCTTATGCCTAGGAAAAAGATCTTTGGCGTTGAGCTGAATCCTGGGCCCTTCACCATCAAAGAGCACGTGATTATCACAATCATGGGCACGGTGGGAGTGAATTCAGCTTATGCTACAGATATAGTCGCCGTCCAGCGCGTATATTACTCGCAGCGTTTGACTTTTGGGTATCAATGGATGCTCGTGATGTCGACACAACTTATCGGCTTCTCTATAGGAGGCGTCGCTCGTCGCTTTCTTGTATCTCCCCCATCAATGAGTCTGTATTTTCGTTTTCTTTATTGTTAATAAACTGATATTTGGCTTTAGTTTGGCCTACTAATCTGGTCACTTGCTCACTCTTTAATACACTGCACTCACAATATTATGCTGGTATTGGGTCTCGTGGTGGTATGAACAGAGAGCGGTTCTTCTTTTATGCTTTCCTCGGCTCTTTCTGTTGGCATTTTTTCCCTGCATACATATTTACAGCCCTATCAATGTTTTCCTGGGTTACTTGGATTGTCCCAGACAACACCGTATGTCATATTTTTGCACATACTGATTTCTCCTCTAAAAGACCTGTTACAGGTTATCAACCAGTTGTTTGGGTATGAGAGTGGGTTGGGAATGTCTGTGTTTACATTTGATTGGTCGCAGATAGCGTTCATAGGCAGTCCGTGAGTGACTCTGGCCTATCGATTGAAAGGTTGATCATGACTTACGAAACAAGCCTGGCGACACCTTGGTGGGCTGAAGCTAACGTCCTAGCCGGCTTCGTGTTTTTCTTCTGGTTCTTGGCACCAATCCTGCAAGTAAGTATACTCTTTTACTATGGTTTTCTCTCGACCTCATGGCTCCCAAGTACTCCAATATCTGGTACTCTGACTACTTACCGATGTCAAGCCGTACTTCCTACGACAACACAGGTGCTAGCTACAACGTCAGCAGAATTCTCAGTTCCGATAGCACGTTCGACAAAGAGGCGTATCGGCAGTATTCTCCTCTGTTTCTCTCAACTACGTTTGCTCTGAACTATGGCATTGGATTCGCTGCTATCACTGCAACTATAATGCACACAGTGCTCTACTTTCGCAATCAGATAGCCGTACAGGCCAGGCGTTCGCTGAAAGAACAGCCTGACGTCCATGCACGACTCATGAGCCGATACCCGCAAGTCCCAGAATGGTGGTATGCTTGTATTTTTAGTGCGTTATGTTCTTGTGGCCCTTAATGCTGTTGATCAATGTGGCGCTTTACTTTTTAGTTCCTATGTTTGCTTTTGGTGTAATTTGCATTGAAGTTTGGAATACGCAAATGCCCGTTTGGGCATTTGTGCTTGGTCTCATCATTTCTTTCTGCTATACTATCCCTATTGGGATGATCCAGGCAATCACCAACCAGCAAGTCGGTTTAAACGTCATCACCGAGCTTATCATCGGTTATGCATTACCTGGAAGACCCATAGCAATGATGCTTTTCAAGGTAACGTCTCATATACTTCTTGATCGAACCATCTCTTAAGCGTGTACCCCGATGCAGACGTGGGGTTACATTACAATGTACCAAGCTATACAGTTCACCTCGGACTTCAAGCTTGCTCATTACATGAAAGTCCCTCCTCGACCTATGTTCTGGTCCCAAGTCCTTGCCACAGTGGTTGCAGGCACAACCCAGCTTGGGGTCCAATCGTGGATGTTCTCTAATATCGAAGACATGTGTACTCCGCACCAAAAGGATGGATTCTCGTGCCCTTCGACGGAAGTGTTTGGCACAGCGTCTATCATTTGGGGCGTTATCGGCCCTGCACTGCAATTTTCAAAAGGTCAACTGTATTAGTGCGTATCTAATTTTGCATGGTTACCCATATGAAATGCTCAGAGACCATCCTTTGCTTGGAATGGAATCTCTAGTGCGTTATTGTGGTTCTTCCTTATTGGAGCGATTGCGCCAGTCATTCCTTGGGTGATCACAAGGAAATACCCGAACAGCTTCTTTAGATATGTCAAGTTAGTCCGTCGTTTCCAATCTATCTCGCAAGCTAATCAGATTTGTGCAGTGTTCCTATCTTATTTGCTGGGACGGGACTTATGCCCCCGGCCACTGCTACTAATTACATTCCATGGGCTATCGTTGGCTTTATCTTCCAATATGTGATTCGCCGGCGTCATTTCTCGTGGTGGACGAAGTACAACTATGTCTTGTCTGCGGCTATGGATTCAGGGGTCGCTATTGCCACGATAGTGATATTCTTTTGCTTGCAGTACCCTGAAAATGGGATGATTGGGGCCAAAACAATCCAGACGTGGTGGGGCAACACTGTTTACACGCGAACAGGAGATTACAATGGGGTAACATCGAAGACAGTGGAAGGGAATAACATCTTTGGTCCGTCTACTTGGTAGGTGTGAAGTTGTCTTAGGTATTTGTTGAATCAGGAAATGTAGGTAGTTGGTATTACTCGAACCATAGAATGTTCGTATTTGCTGTACTCCATTGTCGTGTCTGTCTTTGGTTCTTCTTATCACGGTTCTTGTACTTGTAGTACCATTTGGGCTGGTTGTTCAAGTACGTTATAGCGTTCAGCAGCATGGTGCACCGGTCTATTTCATCGGATTTGCTATGATGCCGCGATGGTTACCCAAGTTGATCATGCTCTCTGCCAGTGGTACTTGTGGGCACGTCAGCGATGACTTTATCTTACGAAAATTCTGTTGGAAGCAAAGCAAAACAAGCTTGGTTCAGAGTTGTGGCTGTGTTTATTGGGTAATAATCGTCACGATCAACAAGATTTTGACCCTAACCGAGTGCAGTAATTGCTCAACGTGTTACAAACTCTCGGCGTTGGATGCAAGCAATAATTCTCGAATGAGGATACGGTGAAGGTGCGTGACAAAGCGTGTACATCCTAGTGCGAATGAAAACATGGAGGCAGCAGGTTTGCGACGGTGAACTTGCCTCGAGAGTTCAAGCTTCGCCGCTGTAAGTTACTCAGGAGTTGCTTGATAGGGCCGTTGAATCTATGATTCTGATGCGTTCCAAGCTCCACGCCGTCTACGGCAGCACTGGAAGGAAAATACATGTGCCTCATTTTAGCGTAAGATGTTCGGTTATATACCCTTGTTCTCTTTTTATCCTAACCTCCTCCTCTCGTTCCCCTTTTCTCCTGTCTCCAACGTTTCATTTCTCCTTTACCAGTATTTTCTCAGTTGCGTGTAGATCATGTACACCTCAATGTCACTCTTTTTCGTCTTTGTGCTCCTCGTTGCTTTCGTCGATGCCCTCCCGATGCGTCATAGCCACATACATAGGGCTTGCGCACACCACCCTCCTTCAAACAATGTGGCCGCGGGGCTGGTGTCGTCTACACCAACGTTTATCGTGAGCTCGACGTCTACGGTCAGCCCTGAATCTATTTCCGTGTCTGCTTTTCCTTCTTCGGGTTCGGTGCTCTCCCAGTCCAGTTTTCAATCCGAGTCGGCCACACCAACCTCTACTTCTACATCGTCATCAGCCCAGTCCTCTCAAACTGGTTCTGGGTCTGGTGCACCTTCGTCGGTAGCCATGATCCTTGATGCAGTCTTCCCTGTTCAGCAAAAGACAGGAAACTCGGGTTGGACCACTGTTCCCGACGTGAATGTTGCCCTTCCTCTCTCGGACACCACTCTCAACCCCAATCATATTCTCTCGGAGCTCCCCATTGATTATACCAACGCTCCTGATGGCAAGCTGGCCTTGAAGGCTTTCTACCCAGAGGGCTCTTACACCCTTACTCGCGAGCCTAAGGGTGGTCTGTCATTCTACGCCCCAGGGCCGGACAACGTAGACTTGACGACTGCCAAAGAAGCCACGTTTGGATACTCCGTCATGTTCGAAGACGGTTTCGGATGGCAAAAAGGTGGTAAGCTACCCGGTCTTTGTGAGTTTTGCAATATCATAATATGACATCTCTTAAACTTGACTGATAATTGCCATCACAAGTCGGTGGAAACTCCTATGATGGTTCCGTTGGATGTTCTGGTGGTAGCAGAGACGCTGCTTGCTTTTCGGCTCGCCTCATGTGGCGCGAAAATGGAGCTGGCGAGCTTTATACCTACCTACCACCATATACCGATCCCGAATTTGCTGCAAACCAAGCCGTCTGTAACATTGCGCCTAAATCAATCTGCAACCCAACGTATGGTGCCTCTGTTGGTCGCGGTGCTTTCACTTTCGCCGCTGGCCAGTGGACCACTGTGAGCCAGCGCGTCAGGTTGAATGATGTTGGCCAAGCAAACGGTGAATTGGAGCTTTACGTTGGTGGACAGAGCGTCATCAATGTTGGAGGCCTTATTTTGAGAAATAGCGAGGAAGGAAAGATACGAGGAATTCAGATGCAGACGTTCTTCGGTGGTATGTCTTGGTTGTTTCTTTTCAGTCATGTGAATCATGTTCTTCCCCGTCTTTCTCATTTGTTGCAGGTTCCGAAGCAGACTATGCATCTCCCAAGGATCAGAGCACTTACTTCTCTGACTTTTCAGTGGCTATTACTGAGTTGCTTTAGACTATCATCTTACTCCGTCATGTCAGGATCAGCATTCACATCACTCATTGGACACAACGTCCCACACGACACATACACTCACTGAACACGCAACACCACAACTCGCATCTGCATGGTCACGCTTTTCATCTTTTCAATTTTTTTTTCACAGATTTATGAGGTTACGCTAGTCGCCAATGCTCTTTTGTCTCATATATCACTGGGTCAGTACACACCGCTTAGTCGATGTCATGGTTTGGTCGGGTGCTTTACCATGCGAGGTACGAAGAATTCCGTGATACTCTCTTTAATCGAACACACGATTGTATCGTGTTGCTGGGATCAAGGGGGATACTTACCAGAACTTGCGGGGAAAGGATGGTGTTTGGGTCTTGATGGCTCGATCTTTTTTATTGCTATTGTACATATCGAACTCCACAATTTTCCGTTGTACTCCAAGGTGGTCAAACAGGGAATCGTGAATTTCTTGCGTTTCCATTTTACAACGTTATAATCTATTGTGAGAAAATTGTAAGAATTACATGACATTTGACATGACAGGACGTTACACTATTTTAGGTGTATGGCTGTATAAGGCCTCCCATAAGATTCAGGTTTCGTTTATGTTGTCTCACTCACAACGCAACTGGGAAAGTTGCGTTGTGAGTGAGCCAGGGTCCCAAAGAACCAAAACACGTTCTACGATACTTGCTATTTTCGGTATAGGATGTCGACAAATACGAACAAATTCCATCCTTTTACCTACTCGTCACCATATCTACTAGTCGCTTTGACCTGCACGACCATGGTGAATTCGGAGCAGATCTACTTCACAAATGAACCCACGAATGGACAAGTCCAATGTTGCACGACTACCACGAGCCTCTATAATGCTTGCGACGTCAATTTCGCTGGGAGTGAGGATCGTGAAGAGCTATGGATCAAGCACGTTTCAAGAAGCAAAGGGCTGACCGAAATCGTTGAGATCTCCTATTAGTGTAAGCCGCCATCGCGAACCCGATGGCGAGCATAGACCGTGTGCGTAGTGCTATTTCGTTATATGCATGCATTGACGCTTTGTTCGGATGATGGGTGCGCCAGTGTGGCATATCCTCAATGTATAGCTGCTACTGCTCCACCTCAGCTAGTTCCACCATGGTTTTCTGCATCCTACTCATTGATCTACTTTGTAAAGCTGAAAGAGACCAAAAAGTCGAATCCTGCATTTTCGGTCAATTCGCAGCCAGATCACTTTTCGTGACATAGGAATGCTGACTTGCCCATATCGTCCGAGACTCTGAGGAAGACCGCCGTGAAATTTTTGTATTACATAGGCGATTACATCTTTCGGTCTTACACTTGTCTTCTTTTTTCCACAGTCTGTCGCTGATGATGCTCTATTGCGTATCGCGTTGTCCAGTACAATAGTGTGCTTGGCCATTTTGGTCAATGCAACTGGTAAGTGAAGTTACCTAGCCGTATTACGATCTTGAAAATTGACCTGAGTTGGAGCGTTAGTTTTTGTGCCCTGAGGATTCTAGATTTCCGACACAACGTGTTTGTGTAGCAATCGGTCACTTTTCTGCTCATTTTGCCGTGCTGCAAACTGCTCAAGAACTTTTTCTCCTTCGGAATTTAACAATATTCCATCATGAGGCAAGTCCCTGTGGCGTATCAAGCCCCCGAAAACCAGCCATCTTTCCTCCTGGGAAGTACTTCGTGCTCTCTAGCGCGTTGAAGAAGTCACAACCGGCCTTTTGTTCGTATTTTCATTTCGGCCATCAATTACACTGCCTGGTATGGTAACACCTTGCATTATCTCTTCGACGATTATCTTACGAAATACTGGGAAATTCCGTTGGACTTTTCATATTACCGGTCTTTTATATTGTCTTTTTGTGGGGGTGAGTTATTTGCAAGTTCTTGAATCAGATTCTAGATAACGGTGCAATTTTACGCGTCTCAGCACATCAGAAAGTATCAGAAAGGTCTTAGTCACGCGCACGCCAGACATAGCACCCTCCCCGACAATGCAGGTTTAGGCCAACTTCTGTCAGAGCGTTGAAAACTCCTAACTATCCTTGTATATCAGTGAGTAATTTTGGCCAGCCGAGATATGATGTGAAGCGTTAATGCGTTTACGGCATGTTGCTACATAGTAGGCAAGATGAAGGCTGGCTTATTATTTTTCCATCGTCATCATCATCATTGGTATTATCGAGCTTACCATGTTCTATAAGGCACCAACTCGTGACCACTACTTAGTAGAATCAGCTGTCCGTCAAGTACGGCTGCGACATGTGCAAGATCTCTCACGTTGTGTTCTACTTACAGGCATGATATCTTGCCTTTCGCTGCCGCTCAATCTCGTGATGCATTGTATCAGCGTTTGCCAAGGGCTGCTTATCGTCATCGCACATCGCATGCTTCACCGAATCCCGTACACCCCTAACTCCGGAGTTGATTGTTCAATTCCAAATAATGTTCACAGGATGTCAAGTCTAGCTCGATCGTGCAAAGAAAGATTATATTGTCTGCTTTTAGAACACCGGTTGTATTCCATACCATTGCGGACCCTTCGTGTAGCTGATGGACAATGCAGCATTCCCTCTCCGTAATACTGCAGAAGATATACAGCAAATACTCTCTGGTGTAGATCAAATCAAGTCTGCAAGCGAATGACTGGTTAGCCAGTTGCCTGAAGTCACATGTACCTGAACCTGGATGTTGTGGAAGCCGGGACTACAAAAACCTCAAATAATTCGAATGATCCTATTTCCATTTCACGACAGTTCAGGCGGAGAAGGCAGGCAGCTGGTTATCATATCAGCTGTTTTGTTCACCTTATTCGGGACTGGGCCTCATGTATCGGCTACAGGTAGTAAGTTTGCTAGTACCTTGATGAGGTTCAATGTTTTGCGGAGTTGCTATGTTTATCCAGTGGTTTGGTTTTCTATTTCCGCCCGGCGTGGTTCCGAAGAACATGGTATCACGAACTCGAATGAAGCATTGGTGAGAATATGCTGAACATAATGAATGCTGGTACATCCATGTCTTCATTTGTCTGTTCGTTCAGCTGAGCAAACATTCTACTAGTCAAAAATTCTGTGTCGTTTACTTCCTGCTGTCGAAGCGTCGCGAAGACGGGACACAACAGCAACACGAGGGAGAATACGTGTAAGATATCTCAAATTTTCGGGGTCCGGCACGCTGGAACCTTCAGATCGAAGGAATCCTCTGAACCGTTTTACACGGTGTTGACAGCAGTAAACTATCTCGTAAGTATACTCCTGATCGCCACTTCGTTTATCGATATCCTAGCAATGGGCAGGAGAGGAAAAACTGGAAGGGATGGGTGATATGGTGCGTGCCACAAGGCATATCGCGCAGGTTATTGACTAATCCCAGTATTGAAAGGCTGTATTACCAAAAGGAAGTGTGGTATATCCAGCGCTCAGCGTGAGTGCTAATTTCAAACTGAAACTGATCCTACGAAAGGTTGTACCGCATCTAATAACATAATCTGTCAGCTCCGATCACAACGAAAATGGAAAGAAGATAAAACTGCCTCATGTACCCATGTTTGTAGGTCGTGACTTTCATTCTTCAACTACATAATACCGTCTAACCTGTTGAAACTTGGGGGGTTTTAAGCGAAGGCCTGAAAAATCCTGAACTTAACCTTGATATGTTTTAGGATGGTGCCATGGTAGACGCCAGTCATTTACAGGAAGTGCTTATAAGGCACTCCATGCATTCTCTTTTAATTGCAGTCGCCTTCCCCCCTCTCCCTTCAGCTAAAGGTGTTCTACTATGTCTACAGTATACTATCAGCTCCCGGATCTTCTTTCTATGCTCCCAAGGAAGACTGGGAAGACCATCAGCCCACATTTCGCAGAAGCAGACGCTAGGTATGTGGAATGGGTAAAGAATTGCAAGGTCTTTGGATCTTATGCCCAAGCCGTTAGTCGTCTTATCGTCATTTTCAAATATTTCACTTTACTGACATTCATTTTGGTCGTCTCCTTTCATCCGATACTCTTCCCCGACATATGAATCGCATCAATCAAGGCTTTCCGTAACGCAGAAATGCCCCTATTGGCCTCACTAGCGTGGCCTTACACCAGCGCCGAAGATATCGGTTTTATCCTGGACTACATGAGTCTTTCTTTTGTCCTGGAAGAAATGACGTGAATCTTTTCCATGTATCTGTTTATCACTCTCTCACTGCGTTAAATGCTTTTAAAGTGATACCGAGTCGAGCGAAGTCGCACAAAAAGCCTCCCGAATCTGGATGCAAGTGCTCGAAAACCCTGCTGATGGAGAGAAGTTCCCTCACCAAATGATGGACCTGATCGTCGAGTAAGTAGATAATGCTGCTTTGTATAAACGAGCTAAATAACTTTCGCCTAGATTATCGACGAGGTTGAATGACGCCGTGTCACCTTTTCATCGTCCTCAATTCATTGACACTAATGCCGACTTCGCGAAAAACGTTATTCAAGAAGCAATCGACCGCGAAAGCGCTGCAGATGTCGACCACACCCGTTCTGTCGACGCGTACATGATCATTCGCCGACATACTATTGGCGTGAAGCCGTGTCTGGTGCTGATGCGCTCAACCAGACATTTGTACATTCCCGATCATGTATTGAAACACCCTATACTCGAGGAGATAGAAGATGCTATCTTGGATACAATCTACATCGCTAATGTATGCAACGTGTTATCGGATCATTACCAATGCTAACAGTCCCTCCTGCGCAGGATATATATTCTTATAAGAAAGAAGTCGGAGACAATGGGGCTCTGAATAATATAATCACCGTCATCGTGAAAGATCCAGAGACGAAACACCTGGATGCGCAAGGAAGCATCGATCATGCTGGTAAGATATTCCAGAGTGCTGTGGCCCGTTTCCACAAGTACAGGAGCATGCTTCCGTCCTTTGGCGAGGAGATGGATCGGCAAGTGCAGGACTACGTCGACGGATTGATCGACTGGTCGGTTGGTAATATCGAATGGAGTATGGTAAATCACCGCTACAACACCTTTGACGACGAGCAAAGTAGACGAAGTGGCGTAATGAGAATGGTTGTATGATTCAGGCGTGGAAGAACTTTCACCAACTTGTATTAGTATTGACTCCTGTGGCGTTTTATGTACTATAACATGATGTATCACTATAATACCGTACGAAATGCCAATGATAGTCCCTACATTACTATCACTTACAAACCGGAACGTACCGGAGGCGCAAGCAGCAAAAATGCGGCGTATCAGCGCTATATTCCTAGTCTCTGATTGGATACATTTTGCCACCAACTACCTTGACTGGTAGTACGTGCTAGAGCTTACTGCCGTCACCGAAAATTTTGCTGTAAGAGGTTTGGGAATGCTAAGATAGTGGACTTACAACGACCAAGTTACGTTACAGTCATACATACTAACAATACATGCAACAACCGACGCTTCGAAACAAAAGTCCTGGGGTCTCCTGTACAATCTCGCTATACAATAAACGACGCCACTGAAGAAAAAAATAGAGAGATAAGAAACCCTCGAACTCATGACCTACAACGACTCAATGAATTTGGTACCACCCTCGAAAGTTCGAACCGATGTGCCAGACTGGGCAGTAAACTGACGCTGGTTGTGATGGATGCCATCCTCTAAACTAGATTCGTGAAGTACGGCAGAGGTCACGTGGCTGGCAGACAATGAACCGGGCGAGGAAAGGGCGGGTGAACGAGAGCGATCGATATCCGACTCTGTTGGGGAGAAATTAGGGCGTGGCGATTCCTTTGAGAACGGGTCGACGTAAGATCCCGTTATGTATGGATGTAAACCCGAATCTGAAGGCGGGGATCGGAAGGGGGAGTCTACCATCCTGTGATCTGAAGAGGGACTGCTGTCATCGTTTCCAAAATGGTGTGTTCTTCGACCAGGATAAGGCGCTATTTCCGCATCATCTTCGTGATCCGACTCTGGTTCCCACTCATCGCCTGAACCAGTTTGGACCCAACCGCGGCCTGTGGGTCGTCTTGAGTACAGTCCCCTTCCAACGCCTTTTTTATTCCAGAAACTGAACATGTTACCAATTTTCTCTCTGAGAGGTACAGTAGTTGAGAATTCTGGTTCTTCTCTATAGCGATGGCTACGCTCCCGGCGGATAGTACGTTCTTGTTCTGTGGGTTCGTGGTTGCGTAGAAGAAAGAATACAGCAGTACAAGAAATGACGATAATGATACTAAGTGCGACGACAAGTGCAATGAATCCTATCAATTCATAAATATAAATGAGGAGATATAGAGCGTGTGTGATACGCATGGATTGAACTCACCGCCCTGCGAACCGTCGAGCTTGGGAACTTCCCGCCTGACATGTACAGGCGCTTCAACGTTTGGTCTGGCGGGTTCCCAGATGAGAATATGTAGAAATGGGGGCATGCTGCAATTTAGGGGGGGGGTCGTTATTAAAAAGCTGTGATGATCAAAATGTGACTATAGTGGGCGCAAAGGCGAACATAAATTGGATGGCAAAAAGAGATCACAGGGGTGCGAGGGACGAACCTTGACGGCCAAGCGAGAAGTTTGAGGGACCCACAGGCTTTACACTGCCTATATGTCTTGAAGAGATAATTAACAGGAGTTTATATGTTGAATTTGGTGGGAGTGAGACTGTCTCACCAAGCCCGACTCTGTCTGTGGCGGCGAGGCGGATGGTATGCCCACTGCCGCAACGTAAACGCATGGCGCCGGGGCCAAATACCTTCCTTCCACATAAGGAAGGTACGCTTCCCACGCTTTGCTCCTCTCTGCTCATCGTGGATCATCGTTCCTACAGCTTCGAGCTGGCTTTCATCTTGCAATTGCACCATTCTGTAGAGGCATCTGGCCGCGAGCATTATTGTGTGGATTATCTAATCGCATCTCTTATCCATTACCCATTAATCTTTTATCTCCTTTAGCGTATAGGTAAACATGGACCAAGGCACTAGGAGATATTAAAGATTTCACTTTGTTATGTTTTGTGTATGGCCTAGAAATCCAAGACTTGGACCACTCTGCCTTTGCGATAAGTCTAGAGTTAACGAACTGCCGGAGCTTGGGCCAAGAAGATTCTCCTCTGTGTGTGCATTCAGTTGTTATAGCGATTTACTTACTACTCAGCATCAGACCCAGGATATTTGAGATACTAGAGAAGTTTTTACAGCATATATGGATCTATAACTTTACTAGGCAGATTCTAGGCGTTACGATCGAGTATTCAGACTGAATGCGTAACCGGAGTGCTATTCACCATGACCAAATCCAGCACTATTGAATTTATCTTCGCGGTGTGTATACACCCCCTGAAAGTATATCTCAGCTAATAGGTACACTTCTCTCAGACTCTGCAGATACAATGAATCGCAATAAATTTGTATAAACGTTCCACGTGGTTCCTTTGCTTCGAAGAGCTTTTGAATATCTTCAGCCTGCTTGGCGTTTTATTTGACGGCCTATTTGACTGCCTGCAATGGAATATGATGGTCTTTCGCAAGTCTGATACTTCTTCTGAAAGCTTCATTTGCTTGTAAGCTTTTCGCATAGTTCACCGGTTACCGGTCCTATTCACGTCATATGCTAGCGTTTACTTCTGTTCTGACCTTGGGGCCGAGGAAGTAGCATGACGTCTACAGTGCGAACTAAATATCATCGAAAGCTTGCCCAACCTATCCTATAGTACTCAGTCTAGATCTCCGTATCAGAGACTCCAGTCACCGGAAGTCAACTGTTCCTGGCCCCACAACGCGAACTAAATATCATCGAAAAACTAAATATCATCGAAAACTTGCCCTACCTATCCTACATTCATCAGTCTAGGTTTCCACATCAGACTCTAGTTTCCGGAAGTTAACCATTCCCGGTTCTCAGCTCGAATTAAACATCAATGAAAGCTTGCCCTGGCCGATCCTACAGACGCCAGTCTCGGTCTCTATATAGTTACCGGAAGTCGAATATTCCCGGTCCTATTTGCAATGGATATTGGAGTATACCTTTCTGTTCAATATGCTCACTACATTCACACCTTCATGGTTAGTTTGCCTGGTACACAAATCGACATCTGGACATCCATTCTCCACCGATACGTCAACGGTTTCTGGCTGCTTACTCCAGTCCGTATCAAAGGACATGTTCAATAATACTACATCACTGTTCCATCGTGGATGTCCCGCCGCAGTAGTCCTCTTTCGTGAGGAGATCTACATTGTCACGATCTACCACCACAAACGAATAGTCAGATAGCGTCTGGCGATAGAATCGGCTGCTATCGACGCGCTTGACTTCGGCCTCCGCTCGAGAAGATACTATTGTCATGCTACGCTCATGTTAGTCCCGGCGCACGCTTGCTAGCGTGGTCAATGGATGGAGAACCATCTAATTAGTTAATGAAGATATGCCTGGTATCTTTTTACCGGACCGGTTTAATTCTTAATAGCCGATTCTACCAAGTTTGTCTGATTCAATAATCAGATGAACTAAATAGAATTATCAAGTTGAAAGGGCTAAGGTTACAGAGACCGTCGATTGCTGAAAGGGGGAAAACGAAGACCGACTAGTATATGGCAGTCTCACTAGGTCCTCGACTTTGGCCAATTTCTGGTGTCCCAAGACCCAAGCTACAGTGCACGAAAGAGCCTCAACGTCTGTTTGACCGTCAGTCTCGTTCGCTAATTTTCATAGAGTTTAGGGTGATGATTATTAATTGTTTACTTGCTTTGTCTGATTCGCGGGTGCATTGGCGCGTCTTTAGAGTTTCTGCCACCATGTGCGAGAGCACAGTCAATGTCCATTCTTTCCTGTCGGCGGAAAAGATATGGAAAGCCATTGCCTCATCTCAAATTTCCAAGCATCTGCTGAGGGGGGCACCTGATTTGCAGCTGCCTCCTATCTGAAGTTTTGTTCGATCAATGCAAGTCAGGCACTCACACAGCATTCGGCAAATGGGTCGTTGCAATGTGTTGTTGGTTCGATGTTGACAAGATTAGACCTCGACATTCACGCTAGAAAAATTTTCTTTCAATCGTTCTCCCTCGAACTACTCGGGGTTCGCGATGACAGCAGTGTGAGTTTAGACACCGGCGGGGCCCCCTCGACGACGCGGAGTGCTATCCAGCTTTCCTTCACTCTCGACAACATAGTGTAGCACTCCACCCCTAGAGCATTGGCACATACATGAGGTCCGACCCGCGCTTGGCTCGACAAGCATGTGTCTTACATTCATTCAGCCACTACCTCGGACTTCCGGCGGTGTTCAAGCTAACTACCATGCTATCGCTCAAGTGCAAAGTATCGTTTATGGCCCTGATACTGGCGGTGATGATAAGGCGCTCAATCCCATTCGCCGCGCTCGTTCGTGCTAAATCGAATTTCTCTCTTACTACATCCAAACAACTAATCCTTGATACCGGGCCCCGCGTTTCATGAACAAAGAGGTCCTCTGCTAGGGTCCAGAGTTGTCCCTGCGCTCCATTGTCTCACAACGGCCGTATCTGGCATACGAAAGTCTACTGCATCCGGGACCGTATCGACGTCAAGGACCGTTACGCCGTAACAGAGTGATAGCTGTCCGATGCATTCTGAAGGTCTGGGATCGATATTCTGGACATCGTTCCGGTAAATGCTGATACCGGTAAAATGTACAAGTCGAAGAATGCCATACAGCACTCATAACGAGACCCTCTGTAATCCAGTTCAACCAATATGATGCTCGAACGTTTGTGCGGGCTTATCTCCTCAATTCTCATTCCGAATCGAAATGATGCAGAGGTCACGGTAGCGTTACGGTGCAGCTTGGTCACTCTCAATTTAGCGTTCCACTGATCCGAAAAATTAAACGTCACCCCATAACAGGCACGTCAAGTTGTGGAATTAATTACCGATATTCTTGCATTGTCAAAAGCCTGAAGACTCCATCTCGGCGGGGAATAGCTGCCTCTAAGAGAAGCTATCAGATCTATCATCATTGATGATGTGATGCCGGCAGAGTCTCGCGGGAGTGCTTCCTTCTTGCTCATCACGAGTCTATTCTAAGCGGTGGGCTGCGGTAATTTTTGATTCTACGTGATGGCACGACCACACCATTATCGGCGGCCATTATTATGGAGGGAATTTCATGTTGGATGTAGGGTCTACACGGTACACCACGGTCTGCAACACCTACGACGTCAATCGTTCGTAGCTCCCACTATTGGTCGATCACTATTTGCAATAAGCCTGGGACTTGGCTTTTTGTTTGCACAGCATAGCTTGAAACTGTTGTGATGCAGTTATGATACTTGACGTTTCCTATCTTGGGAATAGTTGAATCGACGAGGGGTAACGGCCTGCACAAAGGCCCAGATAGCAGCACACTGCACCTCCTCCGAATCGGATACTACATCATATCTGGCTAGATCTGGACTCATCCTATCAGCCGGACTGTCAGGTACGTGAAGTCGCTCAGACAATGGGATAGATACTGTCCCCTTTGTGTGACCAGAGGCTGAACCAGTGGGCAGAAAACAGACACATTGCTTTCAGACACCGGAACTGCATCGATGGAGTATAATGGAGGCAACCGTAGCACTTGGCCAAGCTGGCTGGGATAACAATGATAAACCCCATAATTGTTCGTATGAAGTGGACAGTTACCGTAAGGGGACCTTAGTGACATCCGATCATGATCGAAATCAACGTCAGATTTATGGAATGAGATCTATGTCACACGGACGCACTTGGCCAAGTTGCTGGACTGGCCGCCTTGGTCAGCCTCGGAGAAGGCCTGAGCTCCTACGACGCCTATACATATACTTTGCCAGGCGTCACTAAGCGAGAATGAATACCGGTCCCGTATCACATCTAAAAAAGTCAACACCCCGCCCTGAAAACACCCAAATAGTTCTTATAGGCCTCACCAGCGTTTCCTTTTCATTTAGCTCTTCTATTTTCTCCCCTCCCATTAGCTCGACGCTATTCAATGGAATTCACCATCAGGGGGTGGTCCCCTTCCGGAAACGACGACGAGGACATCTACCTCCCTGAGAACATCTATCTCGTTCCCCCCTTTGAGCCACTCAAACCGTGCGATGCCACTGACCGTCCATCCTCCACACCCTTTTATCCGCCAACGCCTCGCTGCCATCATTCACGTCTTTTAGACACACCCCCTTCTCTCTCAAGCATTCCGTCCTACTGTTCACCATCATCATTCTCACCGTCGTATCCCATGGCCCCTTCGTCGGATCGTCGTGCACAGAGAAACAGAACTCGCGATCCCGCCTGGGTTCCACGTCCCCGAAACGCCTTCATCATCTTTCGTTGCGAGTATTCGCGCGACCATCAGCAATCGAACCAGGATGTGAAACAGGATGAGGACTCTGAATCCAGATCCCCAACCGCCAAAACGCTTTCTAAACGTGCGGCTGAGGCATGGAAGCTTCTGACCGCGAGCCAGAAGACTCGGTACAAGGAGCTAGCGGATCAGGAGAGGGAGGAGCACGCACGACGGCACCCCAATTATCGCTTTCGGCCGATGAGACGCCAGAATCTCTCCAAGTCTAGGCAGAGGTGCTACGGACCCCAAAGTAATGAAAGCTCCGTCGAACGCACTGAGGATCGTTGTTCGCAAGTGGCTACGCTAGTCATGCAGGGTCAGACTGGGCCACAGCTTGAAGAAAGTATGCGCCAATGGGGATGCAGCGAGAGCGAATCTTCGGAGTGTCCACAGACTCGTTCATCTTCACAGCAGGCGAACGAGCCGGCTACGGAATCGGAAGTGGTTCAGCGTCGTCCATCTTCAGTTCCCATACGTGACAGCTTCCCAAACCAATACATAACACCAACGTTCTCGCGGGACGCTTTCCGCAGAGCAAAGTCAGCAGAAGGCAGGGTCGTCGACTCATCCTTTCAGGATTCATTGGATCACTTGTCGCAGGCGGCATACGACCAATCCATCTCAGATGCCTCTTTGACCTATCCATATCCAGCCACGACCCCCGCGGACCTGGAAGATACACCGTGTGTGTACGATGTATTTCCCTTTGTAAATTATAACACGGTAAGAATTCTTGACTCACCTCGAAATAACACACATTAATTTTTACGTCTTTAGGATATTGGTGTCCCACATTATCCCAACAGCACCTACCTCTCTCCATTAGAGGCGGTTAACTATGCGGCTACTCCAGCTCTGAGCCATAGTTCATCACAGTGTTCCACCATATCCTCATCCGCAGGTTTAAGCCCTGCGAAGCAAGAGGTGGATGAAGCAGGAAATTCTTCCAGTGCGTTACTGGCAGCGTTGGGCGATGAGACGCAGCCCGCCGTCACGACTTCCCCACACGACCTGTCTATATCTCACCTAGGGGGGCTAGCTCTCGACCTTGCTGGCTGTTACTACGACACTGAACAAGCGCAAGCTCTCCAGTCTTATTCGACGGGACTTCATGACTTTATGATACCCACATTCCCTCACTATCAGGATAGCTTGGTCGGAGATAATCCCTTCCAGATAGATTTCAACCAAATACTGTAATTGTTCGAATTGCCTGATGATTGTAAAAATATGTGTTCGATATAAGTATAATTCATAGGGGTGTACTGACTGTGTTAATACTGGTTTTCAATATAGCTCACGTTCTGCTGACTGTCGCGACGTTGAGGGAATCCTTTGAGATCAGAAGTATCAGCTAATAGTCGAGAGATTTAGTCAGTCCAGCCTGTACCATGAGGCTCAGGTCGAAACGCACGGTTGCAGTGAATGATTCGGCACGCCGGATACCGGCCGAATTGTTACATTTCGTTGTAACTTGGACTTCGCTGTCAAAGAATGGCTTCCAATCCCTCAAATGATCCTAATGGCCAGCCAAAAGCAGTCACATATCTGACCAGAATTGCGCATGGCTCAGCACCATTCATAACCACATTCCTTTTAATTCATTTATCTGCTCCAATGGTAGCGAACATTGGTGGATCAAGCCTTTCATCTCAAGTTATGGTTCGTAAAAGTCGTTGCTCTCGCGATGCAGTCAATTAATTACGTGTTTTTCTTTACAGCTTTTAGGTAGAGAGTACTACCAAACGTCATTCGGAGAGAAATATCTCGTTTTGGTGCCTCTCGGGATTCACGTCGCGTCTGGCATAGCCAAGAGAATCCTTTCGCCCCCACAGCGAAAACCACGTAGCCTGCTCAGCATATTGAGTGTCACTGCTTATGCAGCACTCTCGGTCTTTGTCCCTATCCACTTCTTTACGCATCGTATATCTCCTTCGGATCCTGCAGCACCCATTTTGGCTGTTGGTCCAGCGGAGCTGGACTACGAATACGTTAAATTCGCCCTGCATACGTGGCCCTGGAGAAGCTGGGGTCTATATGCAGGCCTTGTTGGCTGTGTTTCCCTACATGCTGCGGAAGGCATGGGTGTTATATTCAACACATGGTTCCGTGGTGGTAAGAAGAGCTGGTGTATACCCAAAACAAACACGCGTAGACTCGTTGCTGCGTGTGTAACATTGCCAGTCTTATCGGGCTTGTTTGTATTCTCTAGAGAACCTCTGATGACATTATCATCTTTCGCCGGTAGATTCGAGGCAGCTTTCACCCAGTCATGGATATATAGATTGTAATATACTGTATCGTCATGGAGAGGGTGTTTATCTACAATAAAACATATTTGTTTGATCGGTCGACGATGAAATTCTTTTGGAGGGTCGACCATACCAATAGCAAGATACTAAATGCACAAGGTATGAGACGGTAGGAAGCAAACGATACGAACTACCGAATACGACGTGAAGTGAAGGCGTATAGATACAAAGTCCTTTCACGTGACTGAATCTCGTACTGTCTATCAGATTAGTCCAATTGAAGCACAGCTATGCTAGTATATTATATTACTCAGGGCACTAGGTACAATACCAATAGTCTTCACTATCCATACGATAGCAACTTGAAAGATAAGTACTGAAAGATACCAACACAAGACAAATTCGACAAGCAATATGAAATCACGCCGCTGATATCATTTCTCAACTTCTCAAGTCAAGTCAATCACGTCTGTAGTAGAGATCGTGGCCTTTCTTCTTCTCCTTTTCCCTGTGACTGCTGGTGATGACGATGATGCGGTGGGAGCGGTGCCTGTGGATGCATGAGACGAAAGTGGTTGAGCCACTCCGGACGCCACAGCTGGTGCTGAGACAAAAGACAAAGGATCTCGATTTGGCGTATGTGCTGCAAAAGGGGCCGTTAGATTTGACATGGCCACACTGATGCTTGACGATGCTCCACTCGTGGCGAAAATGTTACCGAGTTCAAAACTTTGAGTTCCGTTGAGCGCTCTACCGATATCCACATAGCGAGAGCCCATGAGCTTCTGGATGGTTGCATTATTGCCAATGCTCGCCAAGAACGTCTTCGTGCTCGTTTGACGCTCATGCCATCTTGTCATTGCTACAACATCTTTCGACTTGGTGACCTCTAAACCATGCGGACTCCCAGTACGGACGGTTTCGTATATTACTAAATCTCTGGCTGAGTTGAGGTACCTTCCTAGGTGTGTCCGTCGAGCTTGTCCAAGCCAAAATGTTTGTGATTGGGTTGAAGACATGACAAAGCTATCCAGTAGATTGCAGTCCTGACATCCACAACCAATCCTTCTAAGCTTCGGGGCCTTCGATATCTTTGGTTGTGCACCAAGGACATGGAATAAGTATGTCGCCACGATGAGCCGGAAAAACTCGTTGAATGTTGGCGAACAGATGTCGATGCCTGAGGTTCTGAGAAGGTTTCGCACCGCAGGGACCAGGGGCTCGAGTATGGTCTTGCATTTCGCGTCTATGGAGTCTTTGGGTTCGTTGATCACCAACACAAGTAGCCGTACGCAGGCACCGGCATGGCCTATGGAAATACATAGGTCTATTAAGTTGACAATACGAGCCACCTTGCCGCGATTCGAGGAGTAAATATCGGATCTATCAAGAGAATAATATGGGTAAGGCGGTTGAGCAACGACAGCGTCCCATTGTAGCATGACTATGTCAATGCACTGGGAAAATGCTTTCATGAAGATATCTCTATTTGTTTTTGGTGTATCTGCTTGTGAGGAGATTTGGCCGTGGGCAACCGGTGGAGGTTCCGGAGCGCCTATACAAAGTACATTTGCCTTGCTATGCAGAGATCGTATAAGCAACATCCAGAAGCCAAATGTCGATGTGAATTTTGCAAGCTGCGGCAGAATTCTAAGGGAGAACTTCAACATTTCAAAGAGTGCTCGGAGGTAACGTCTTTACTCACACTTCAGCGAATAACTTAATCCCTCTCTGAAGAACGGCTGCCATGAGGATGGGAACGTCAGATACCGCAGGTAATTTCAGACTATGAAGAGCGTGCAACATCTGTTCATTGCACCAAATATCGACCACTTGTCGTTCTGGGTCAGACGGTCCAGGACGTAGAGATTCTATGAATTCAGTTCTGTTCTTCAGAGTTGAGCATTCTGCAGCAATCTGGGTCATGCTTGAAATGAGTTTATGATACGTCAGTCCTGCAAGTTACGATTAGTAAGTGGCATGACCCTCACATCACTTTGACATTCTCAAACCCAAATTTCTTCAACCCTGCAACCAACTTTTCATTGTCTATGACCCCAGCCTTTTTATCCCCTCCACATTTAGCCAGGATCGACTTCCACAATGCAATATCTCCCCAACGTGTAGCGATATCTACCGTGAACCGGGCGAGGCCATTGTTATGGGGTGTGATACGATCCATAAGATAATCGACTAGCTTTCGGTGTGAAGCCGCGGGTTCATGGACACCTGCGAGCTTCTGAAGAGCATAAGGATATCCTCGCGCTTTGAGGATTATAGACTCCTCATCTTCTCTGCGAAAAAGCAGCAAAACCGTGCGGCGATACCCTGCAAGCAAAAAATAAGCAACAAATCGTTTAGAGCACTATACGCACCAACAATGCTCGACGGTCCCTCCATACTACAGCTCGTAAAGTCAGCGACACAGCGCATATTGCAAAATGAGCTTCTCACATTCCCCATATATCCTTCGTATTCCTTATCGTCCGGCTCCACATCCTCAAAAGGGTCACATGGGATCAGGTCTTCCATTTCAATCGACAAATCACCGCTGCGGAGATAGCGTTGACCATATAGATCGACCACATTGCTTAATGATAAACTCGACTCCGTTTCCTCGAGCATGGAGGGAGTACCGCCATCAGATTCAGAATCCCCATAATAATCGTAAGCACAGCGCCTTCTTTTCATCCATCCATGATTTCCATAGCCACAATCATCAGCCACACCAGTGACGTTGTATTTAAATTGTGCTCACTATATTGATGAGCGAGAAGATAAGCAACCAAGAGCCTTTTCCCGACATAAGCGTTTTTCCGCCATTTACGGAATATTCGACGGATTTTCCAAGTAGCGCTCTCCATATCTGGAATAGAGGGAGCTAACCCCGTAGAGGTGTGTATCAAGTTGTATGACAATGCTAGACGGTATCCCGACGCTACTGGCTTGACCTCATGCATGACATCTGTATACCATGCAAGCAGGGAAGTGGTGAATGCAGAGCTAGACGCCAAGTCGAAGATTTGTTTTGAGGCCCCGTGCGAGACATGAACCTGCCCTCCACTGTATAAAGAAGGTAGGACAATGATTATAGTAGCAAACATGCCGTTGGCTTTCTCGGTGCTGGAACACTTTAGTTTAACATCGCCAACCAGAAAGCAAACTCACTCTCGGTGAGGCAAAAAACTAAAATAAATAATCAATGCGAGACGTTGTAATCATATCGTTGGTACTTACTGTGATCCAGTTTCATACAGTAACATCTTATACAGTTCACATCTTGGAATAGCCGTGTACGGTGCGACACCCAAGGTCGTCCACACCTGCCCCACCACGATACTGTCCACATATTGCTGCCAAGCCGGATTTAAGAACTTGACTCGCCCTGGTTCGATCTCCCAAGTATCTCTCACTTGTTTGTCCACTATCGTTCGCTCACCGTGACCAAAGGGTGCCTGTGCAGATGCACGTTTGATAGATTGTGCATCACGTTCGCTTAGTGGTAGTCCTATGAGTCCAAGACCATCGACACAAAGGCCTGGATTAGGAGCGTGTGGTAGAGGGCTCGAAAAGGCGTATTGCCCTTTGAATTTGAAGTCACCGCCAAACGCTTCTTCAAGGTCATCCTACACATACGATAAATGATGCATGCCAAATTTCTTGCCATATACTTTACCTGTACATTTTCGCCACCTGAAATATCAGACAGCATATCACTGTCGTGATCGCCGTCGTGATTGCCATCGTCACCATTTTCAACATCGACATCTACCTTCATAATCACATCCTCTGTACACAGGATGGATTGGCTGTTGTTGCCGTTTGAACTCGAAGATTTCAATATGACAAAGCAAACGACACTGACCCATTTAGAGACCCATTTGCATTACTGATCCCAGTTTCGTTCCGCGACTCCTCCAAGGGTGGACCGTAAACCACAATAGATTTGCCACCAACCTGACTGTGCATATCCGGAGGTCTTTGGGGCAAACTACGAGATACGATTGTTTTGTCAGGGCCTGTCGACCCTATGCTGTGTCCATCGCGTACTTCCATTGACCCATTTTCTGAGGGTCGAGAGGACGCTCCCTCTCCCAACGACTCACTATGAGCTGGCAGTTTGGTCACATTTTCAGAACGTGGTGTCGAATATTCCAGGCCAACTGGACAACTGTCCCCAGAAAGCGCCGTCGCTGAAGACGCAATCGGTGATTTGATAGAGTAGGTTAGTACCGCATTTGAAGTTTCCACCTTAATGCAAGTATTAGGCAACTTCTCCGAGTGCGTTTGCGCTGTTGGTAATACTTTTCCGCAATCGTCATCTGACGTTGGCTGCAATAATAAAAGTTGCGCTTCAGCTGCTTCGCGTTTAACACGGCTGTTGATGTCTGCGACCGCGACGGTCGTAGGCTGAGACTGTCCCTGGACCAAGCTATTTCTGTCTGACATGAGAATGTTACTGTCAGTTTTAGCAATGTGATTAGACATTCCCCAGTCTATTCGACTTCCCAGAATTAACTAAATTTTATGTGCGACACTTTAGCAAATGGGTACAACGCGTTCGAACGCAAAGGACCTTGAGCGGAGGTCGAGGTCGCGGTGGTGAGACACGTCGCACTCGCTGCTGTTGAAAGCATCAGCGTCGGAGTTTGCTGGCAGAATTTGACGCGTCTGTGGCGCAGCCACTTGGGGCCAACTGAAAACTGCGATCAGGTCTCTAGTAACTTACTTAGATTCTCTATCTCTCGTCCAGGCCATCTCGAATCCGGTACCCTAACGCTGTCTTATGGGCACGATTATCACTTACAGTGGTCATCATATTCGTATGTTTTCTTGTCGTCCCCCATAAATGACTCCAGGAACAACCAAGAATTTTGCGGCCTCGAAGAGCCGTCTCACCTCAAATAATCGTACCTCCATCATCCCTGTGGAGGTGGCACTAAATCATTCTAATTCTAATCTCCATTGCGTCTCTTAAAATATAACTCTGGAACGATCTTTGCAAGCAGCCTGAGGCTAAGGTCTTTTGCAGCCACCAGCGGACGGAACTCTTACTAGCGCCTCCATCAGAGCGCCGTAGTACTCGGACACAATTCTAGTAGCCCTATGGTTTCGAGGGTGTGCTTCTACTACTCCTAAGCCCAAGGACGAGACGTATGACTCGACCGAGTTTCATCTACCTCCCTTGCTTCTTCACTCTACCCCAGATGTCCGCACTGAACCCTGCGGCCTATGTCAGCTGCAAAACTGCACTGCTTCTATGGCCTTTTCTTTGATTTCAAATGACTTGGCCATCCCCTCCAGATCCCGGTCACGCGCAGTCGGCATTTCAGACATCCCTCTGCGCCCCTATCGAATCTGTGCTTATGACTCAACAATGTGGTACCTAACCATATGCTAGTTATTTGACTCGCACAGCACTTTCATCCAAAGACACTCGTTCTTCGCAGTAGTGCTCCTACTATTATGAGAAACCTCGCAAGGTTACTCACATATACACCTTGCCGTCCGAGTTTTATAATGATGATTTCCTCACATTTATATCCTATTGACGCAAATGATTCCCAGTTTTGCTATTAGTGATCCTCGCAGCACGGTACGCCCATCTTTATATTGAGTTCACGTAAACGCGGGGAATACAGCTCACTTTGCTTAGACCCATCATGGGCGTCTCATCCTTCTCTATTCAGGTACCTAAAACGCGGATTTGTCCCACCATATTCACTCACGGACAACCTGTCATTCAGCGTTAACTCATACCAAATTCCAATATCCTCGAACGCCGAAACGCAGTACTCCATTCCTTCCGTCACTGCCTCTTCGCAAAGTCAGGCTAGGGGAGCCCTGCTTGAGAAATGCCGAATTCGAACTGGGTCCAACCTCGTATCTGTACGCCCTCTCAGAAAGCTATAAAACCCCTCTGCAACATACCATTCTACATCCGCACAACTACTCTACCTTCTCTCATTCAGAACATCCAACGACCTCGTCACCTTCACAATGAAGTTCACCTCTGCCATCGCTCTGCTCGCTGCCTTTGCCTCCCCCGCTCTGGCGACGTTAGTCAACGTCACTTACGACCAGACCTACGACAACCCGTCGACCTCCCTCGCTAGTACCGCTTGCTCCAACGGTGTCAACGGCCTCGAGACCAAAGGGTACACCACCCTTGGCTCTCTCCCCTCCTTCCCCTACATCGGCGGCATTCCAGGGCTCACCTGGAACTCGACTCTTTGCGGCACTTGCTGGAAGTTGGCATACGACCCCGCGAACGGTACTGCTGCCAGCATCAACATCTTGGCTGTTGACGCAGCTTTCACCTATAACATTGCGTTGGAGGCTATGAACAATCTGACCAGCGGACAAGCCGTTGCGTTGGGCAAGGTTCAGGCGACTGCAACTCAGGTTGATGCCTCCGTGTGTGGATTGTGATGAGAAAGGTGTGTCGAGTTTATATGGAAATAGAGTGTTTGCTGAGTTTTTTTCTCAAGATACATCCGTGGTTGATCTTTAGGTGTTTGGCTGGCAACAGTCTAAGGGTGGCATTTTACCTTGCACATCTCTCGTGTATTCGTTTGTGGTTGTGGATAGGTTCACGGACAGTTCCTTCTCAGAGCTACCAATTTGTAGATGAAGGTGTAATATCTTTTCTTTCGCCTTGTACACTTAGCTGTTTCGCTTTCTGTTTTTGACTTTATTTCAATTGTTGGGTTTTAATGTGATTCAATCCTTTCTAGTGAAAGCCGCGAGCTCCAAACTTGCAAAAGTAGGAAAACAGATTTGAAGAGTAAGGATCTTGAGATGTTTCAAAGAAACTAACAATTGCGGCTCTAGTTTATTATACAATATCCCCCAGTCTAGAACAGAGGTGTACACCACACATCAATGAATAGACATGTACTTCCTGTACTCCAGGATGACAACTCCCGAATGTACGTGCTCGTAGTAAACAGAGCCAGAGATGTATTCTGCATCGAACATTTCTTGATCTTGTGAAACCCAAGCGTCGGTCGGGTGTGTAATCTCATGAAACTCTTCCAAGCTGACAGCTCCTAGTCGCATTCCAGCCATGGCATAGTACCAGAGAAGCCGTATAACCCAGTGCCTCTTCGCTGCCATGGAGCTATCCGGAAGATGACAAAACATCAACTAGAACTTGAATGCTCTTGCAAATGAGCGCTGCAGCGGGCTTTGATTCCTATAACACAAGAGTCCTTAATTATGATGAACATCCATAATCGTGGACGCTTGCATAGGGACATACCTGTCCGCATGCGTGTTGAAACAATCGGGCGAGATGGTTCGTTGAGAGCTGCTTTGTGACGATGCTGCAGACGGTGAAATAGACAAGGCGCTTCTCGTCGCAAGCTATCGTACATCTTTAAAAGTTTCTTTCCGCCAAATTTATCACAGCACGCGAACTCTATCTCGTTACTGAACCATTTCAGTCCATCCAATGCGTAGAGACCTCGTTATCTACTATACCTGAAAAGGCGAGAAGCATTTATAGTTGATCACCCCGCAAATATAACACTACAACATCATACTCCTTCTCATGACTCCACCCCAATATGGCTTTGTTTAGACGTTAGCTATGTCAACGAGATGAAGTACAGTTGCGGATGAGCCGACAGAATATCGAGGACGTTGACTAGGGACTTGTTCTCGATTGATCCAGTAATATGTGTTCGTTCTCAAATTGTGGAGACTGGATGGCGCACTAAAGGTAAGCCAACGGCGAGTGTAAACTTGGAACTTAAAACTTGGAACGGGAACACGATACCTGTACCATTCTAGCATTCTAACGTCCGATGTGCTGAATATCAAGAACAAGACGTACCGTGAATGAAAATTGGGCTGCATGTGCAAAACGCAAGTACAGCTCATCCGGCGTACGGGAAACTCATACAGTTACAGTCATGCCAAGAAAAACCCTCCATGTGCTTGGTTGATTCCAAGTTATGCATAAAGTCGGATGATATCGGTGTGATTCTTCCGCGGTGCACAAACATAGCTCGCGTTAGTGTGTTGTACGTCAGTAAGTCGTCGCCGAGCCAAGGGCGCGAAGGGCGATGTCAACGGAGGTGGGAGGCAATGCCTGGAAGGCCATATCAACCCGCCTGCTCCTCCCTAAGGAGATGCCTACGTTCAATTTCCGCAAGCACAATCCACTGCATGGCAAACCCTACGGTTAATTACCGTTATGTTCGTGGCCTCCAGTATTACGGGAAATCGTGGCTCTGCTTATCGTCGTCAAAGTTTAAGACCATCTAGAGTGCTCGAGGGTAATGTATGATTAGTTCGATGAAGTTCTATCATGATTTCGTGACTCATATCAAAGAGACGATATGGCATGGTCATCGGTGGCCGGTGTGGATGATTGATATGCAGAAGATCTGTCATGATATCTGCGTCAACCCACGATACCAGTGATTCGGGATATCGCCTTGAAGCCTGAAGCTAGGAGGATCGCCAGAATGCGGTATGGCAAGGATGGGGTCTCTGATAACATGGTTGTCGACAGACATAAGATTTTGGGGCAGTGACTGCACAGGAAGAACATTAGAAAAGACCTAATCGAGCGAATGTCGTAAAGTATGTCTTTCGTGGGTTTTTGTTGAATGTGCGAACTTTATCTCTACCAAAGTGTTCATATCAGGTCTCACAAAGATGCACCATCCACGCGCCACCACCTTCTTCCTCTGAACTCGTGCCCAATTTACATTCTTCTTCTTTGACCTCAAACAGAAATTCTACGACATGCGATGGGCGGTTATCAGTCCCCAGATCTCGTTAGCTCTTTTTGAATGTCGTAGCCGAGGCGTCTGGCACGGCAAGATGAACCCGTAGGTGGTCCGCTGATCATTGCCTTGACTGACATCGACGCGGCGAAGAGACGTACTTACCACGGTTACTGTGACCGGTGTGCGAGGGAACGGCAGTACAGGAAATCTCGAACCACATGGCAGGAAAGCCTAGGAGATGCAGATTGAGAAGACTCGGGTTTGGTGGGTGGGTATCCTTCTCCGTCTCAGTCCGGATGTCTATAAAACCTGACCTCTCCCCTTTCTAGCATCTGCATCCGTTCCATCTTCTTTTGTATCTCAACGTCTCTTACGCCTTTCCAATCAAAACCTCCCGTGTTCTACCCAACCACATTCATCATGATGTTCACGTCTGTTATCGCCACCCTCGTCGCATTTGCCATCCCCGCACTTGCTCAGACCACAGTCAGCGTCTCGTACGACACTTCCTACGACAATGGTGCTGCATCTCTCAGCACTGTAGCATGCTCTGACGGTGTCTACGGCCTCGAAACCGAAGGCTACACCACCTTCTCATCGCTCCCTGACTTCCCCTACATTGGTGGTGCACCTGCTATCACAGGCTGGGACTCCCCGTCTTGTGGTACTTGCTGGGAGTTAAACTACTCGGCTGGCAGCATCAATGAGACTATCTACGTGACTGCAATGGACGTCGGACAGGATGGGTTCAATCTTTCTTTGGAGGCGATGAACGCTTTGACCAACAATCTCGCGCAACAATTGGGTAGAATCAGTGCTACCGCAACTCTAGTCTCCAACTCCAGCTGTGGCTTCTAATCGGAGATGTGAAATAACGCGAGTAAGTTCGATCATTCGCCGAGGTTTTGCAGTTTCTGACATCTGATTCGCAGTCCATGAGCTTTCATGGTAATGAGATTGCAAAAAATGATGGACGTTTTATTCATGGACACTCTACGCATTGATGGACTATTTTGCAACGCAATGATTTCTTTTTGTTGGTTCTTGGACTCTTCTTTTGTGGTGACATGTTTTCTGTACAGTACCGTAATTTCATTCATGGGACGCTCGTAGTTGATTTTAGTGCACGCTTCTTTTTGGTATCGGTCGTAGAACTATGATTTGTTCGCAATACACGATGGCTCATGATCTATAGTGGCGCTTCTTGGTGTCTGTCTGCTAAAACGCTAGTGTTGCGTCCATTCCATGATGCGTGATCAGTCTGAGAACATGTCGCAGATCTTCTGTAGACGCTAGTCTCGGACGATATATTCGACGACGAGGTAGCGTTCTTCAAGGCACAAGACCATCCTAACTTGAACTGTAATTTAGAGAAACGGCATATTTAAGCCGCCTGATCCGTCTGTCTGAATCGACTTCAGGTTTGTGACCAAATCATCCGTCATTCCTCTTTTGTGAGACTTTGGGAGCTGCAAGGAATGAGAATAAAATTGGAGAGTCTTGGATGTCGCCCGTATACTCGCCAGTATTCAGTGATCGAATGAACGTTTAGACTCAGCGAGCCAGGATCGAAACCTTCATCTGGGGTTAGGTTTTATATTCTAATACAGTTCATCCGTATCTTCTCTCCTTCCCCTACAATTCACACTTTGTCCATTTCCACGTTAACTTGAACACGAGGGCCATACTTATCATTTCTCATTTCAAATGAAACACGCTCGTTCCTATCATAGCATCAATACCCACTGACAGAAAAGCCAGCACAGGTGCCCGGAAAGCCGGGTGATTTTGCCCTTTTGCATGCCACGCTCGAACCGCCTGACCTCGCGGGACGAGGTGCGCTATGTCCAAACGGAAGAATTTGGACGACATGAGTTAGGCTTGGTCAGGATCTTGACTCGAGAGCGTCTGTCATGTCACGGTGGCCCCTTTCCGAGTGCGAGAAAATAACTCTGCACACGCCCGCTCTAGCTCGAATGGCTTCTTCTGCCCTGTTCTCGAAACCCCCGCGGGGTCAGAATCCCTGCAAGGTACACTCGACGATCTATAAAAGAGCTACGAATGGCTCACTATGATTCTTCAGATCCTTAGCTGCTTTCACCATCTCCACACCGAATCACTTTCCAATAAGGACTCTTACCTCGATCATGAAGTTCACATCCGTACTCACCTCCCTTGCCCTCCTCGCCCTCCCTTCTCTCTCCTCCGCTTACTACCTTACCTACGACGAGACCTACGACAACGCCGCGCTCTCCCTCGACTACGTCGCCTGCTCTGATGGGGTCAACGGCCTCATCAGCAAGGGCTACACAACCCTCGGAAGCCTCCCCACCTTCCCCAACGTCGGCGGCGTCTTCGCCGTCACAGGCTGGGACTCTACAGCTTGTGGGTCATGCTGGGACGTGACGTACACCTCGCCGACTGGGACCACGAATCTGTTGGTCACCGCTGTGGATACTGGCGCAGATGGCTTCAATTTGTCGCTGGAGGCTATGAATACGCTGACGAATGGAGAGGCTGTTTTCTTGGGGAATGTGACGGTGACGGCGACGGAGGTGGCGCCGTCGCAGTGTGGATTGTAGGGACGATTGGGAAGGGTAGGATGATGGTTGATGGAACTTGAATGGTGGCGCTGTGGACAAGAATCAGATGTGGAGGAACCGGGTTTTCTGACAATCTTTGGGGGTCTTTGTGATGTTTTTCTTCGGACTTTTTCTGGTCACAAGGGGTCAAATTGTAAAGCATGTTAGTGTAAAGGGTGAGATATGGACTGTACTTGGGACTTTTTGTACTACACACGGACTGACAAGTTGTAGCTTCGTATACTCTTCGTATTCACTTGCCATCATGATATCTCACCTCATTTTCAATGTCCGCGTTCGTAAGTTTTCGATCATTGAAACTGCAACCAACCCAATCCACTTTATAGCCTTCTTATATTCCTCGAAGTTCGAAGCCTCATAACTCCTCAGGCTTACGCTCTTTCGACACTCGCAAGGGGAAAAAAACTCCCATCAAGCACGATGTACCACTAGTCATTGGCATACGGTGGAACAACTGACGACGTGCGTGAATGAGAAGTGCATAATGCGATCCAACGACTGCACAACAAGAGTGTGGCCTGATATGCTCTTCGAGAACGTGATGCCAGTGGGTCTTTCAGTGATACGTGCCATAGATGCTGCCCGGAAAACATTGAGAGTAAGGTTTGCATTGCCGACCCCGTAAGAAAGTCCTCGTGGGGTCCAAAATCACGAAGATCGCGCGGTTGTAATGGTTTTGTACTGATTTCCTCGTAACAGCGAAGGACGGCGCGTGGATCAGCAAAGAGATACGATCCTTTGAAGTCACCTGCAGTGATATGTTATATGATGGAAAGAGATGGGATTTGGACTTGGATACAAACAGCCTCCTAAATAAACAACGAGCTTTCCTTCGGCAATAAGCGCCCAATATGCGATTTCTTCTGAGGTCTGAGGACTTGCGATACTCGGTCATCGGTATGACTGGGACACTTCCCATACAAGAGCCAGACGCGATATATGACGCGCTGAAGGCGCCAGTATTCGACGAACGAGAGCTTACTGGTCCGCGATGTTCGATCCTTGTGCCTGTTATGCATGCCACACAAGACACGGTCAATCCAAATCTTACAAAGAGGCACGCCCAAACTGTACCTCCAACTGAGCAGATCTTCCAAAGCCTTCACAACTTGCGCATTAGCACTGAGCAAGCGCTGCTCTTCGCGAGTGATGTCCTTGTCCATAACGTCGTTCTCAGTCGGGAGCTCTTCTACCTTGCGTTGTTTGAGGTTGGAAGCCTGGCATCTAGCTAGTCTGAGAGCTTGCTGCAAGGCGGGTCCAACCTCCATGTAAGGGCCGGTAGAGTGAGACGGGGCTTGATGGACGTTATCATCTGAGCGGTTCATCTTGCTGGTAGAGTTGAAAGGCACCTGGCAAATTGCACGAGGCTTGGACAAAGTTGGACCCACAGGCAGCAAAACAGCCACTCAATTCAACGAAGCCTCCGAGTCGGCGACTCCTATGTAACACTCGATAAAGTACCGTCGAAGCCTTGTGGATGCATGGGGAACAAAAATGCAAGACCAACGTTAGCCATGTTCTGTGGGTGACAAGGCATAATACGCATAATACATCGACAGATAATAGACATGACATGCCAGTGTCACGGTATGGCTCAACGCGACGTATCAGAAGGTAGCTCTCCTTCATCCGAATCACCCTCTCTGTCCGACAAGGGCCCAAGTGAACGCATGGCGAACAAAGGCGTGTCTGGAGGCGTACGATCGTATGGTCCACCCTCAAAATCGGGATCAAGGGATCCACGCTCGGCCTGGCTTTCGTCAGCCAAACTCCAAAGCAAGTGACGAAGGAGGAACAAAAGCGACTCTTCGAGATCATCGAGTCTCTGTTGTCAGATGGTGAGACGGTTGCTAGTGGTCATTTTCTGGAGCACTTGAGCATTCTCTCGGTCAGTCTTTATATTCACTCTCTCATGTTATATTCTTTCTCATGTATTTCATTCTCAGAACACCAGGTTTTCATGAGTGAAACGCTACATTTTCATTTTATTTCAGAAATAACCGTGCTCCCTACACAGGTACAGTCATTTCCGTCTACCTTAAAATTAAAAGACCACCTTCAACCCGCATCAATACAGGTCGTCATTTTGCCTCGAAACCAACCTCGAACGAAGCTATTATCATGTAGCTGTGACCAGATAAGGTCATGATTCATGTTAAAGGGATGATATATGGCACGGTCATCATATCGTGGCCGGTGTGGACGATTGATATGCAGAAGGACTATCATAATATCCGCGTCAATTTACGATACCAGTGACTCGGGATATCGCCTTGAGGCCTAAAAAAAAGTCGCCAGGATTCGGGACGGCATCGTAGGTTTTCAAGTTTGCCTTGGTTTTTGTTCAATGATTGTGCGAACATTAATACTCTCTCTGCCAAAGTGTTCATATCAGGACTCATTAATTTCGGAAAGACGCACCGTCCACGCAGAATCACTGAGAAGACCCAGTACACGGCCGCCACTCGCAAGATCGCAGTTTCATTTCGACGTTTAGAAATGGTGTAGACGGAGAACTAAGCAAGCCTATTCGGATACCTATAAAACCTGACCTCTCCCCTTCCTAGTTTCCTAACATCCGTATCTTCTTTTGCACCTCAACGTCTCTTACGCCTTTCTAAGCAAAACCTCCCGTGTTCTACCCAACCACACCTTCATCATGATGTTCATGTCTGTTATCGCTACCCTCGTCGCCTTTGTCATCCCCGCACTCACTCAGGACACAGTCAGCGTCTCGTACGACACTGTCTACGATAATGGATTTACATCTCTCAGCACTGTAGCATGCTCTGGCGGCGTCTACGGCCTCGACACCAAAGGCTACACCACCTTCTCATCGCTCCCCGACTTCCCCTACATTGGTGGTGCGCCTAATATCACAGGCGGGGACTCCCCGTCTTGTGGTACTTGCTGGGAGTTAAACTACTCGGCTGGCAGCATCAATGAGACTATCTACGTGACCGCAGTGGACGCCGGACAGGATGGGTTCAATCTTTCATTGGAGGCGATGAACGCTTTGACCAACAATCTCGCGCAACAATTGGGCAGGATTAGTGCTACCGCGACTCAAGTCTCCAATTCCAGCTGTGGCTTCTAATTGGAGATGTGAAATGACGCGAGTAAGTTTGATCCCTCACTGAGATTTTGCAGTTTCTGACATTTGATTCGCAGGCCACGAACGTTCACGGTAATGAGCTTGGAAAAAATGTTGGACGTTCATTCATGGGACGTTCGTAGTTGATTTTTTGTGCACGCTTCTTTTGGGTATGGGTCGTAGGACCTTGATTTGTTCGCAATACATGCTGGTTCATGATCTATGGTGGCGCTTCTTGGCGTCTGTTTGGTGGCTAAAGCGCTAGTGTTGCGTCAATTCCACGAGGCATCTGAGAACACGTCGCAGAGTTTCTATAGACGCGAGTCTCGGTCAATATATTCAACGACGAGGTAGCGTCCTTCAAGGCACACTGGTAAGACCATCCTAACTTGAACCATAGTTCAAGGAAGCGCCATATTCATGCAGCCTGACCTGTCTCTTTCAATCCACTTCAGGTTTGTGACCAAATTTTCCGTCGTTCCTCTGTTTTGAGATCATGAGAACTGCAAGGATAAGTGGAGTGGAAGAGAGTCTTACATGTCGCCCATGTCGATGTGATCGAATGAATGTTTAGACTCAGCGAGCCTTGACATGCTTGACATCTGGGGTTAGGTTCTATCTTTTATGTTCGTGACCAACATATTCAAGTGAGTTTTCGGTCATTGACTGAGACTGCGACCAACCCAATCCACTTTAAAGCATCCTCATATTCCCTAAAATCCATAGCCCTACAACTCTTCAGGCTTACACTCCTTCGAACCGCAAGGAACAAAAACTCCCATCAAGCACGATGTCATCCTATGTGTTGTGCATCTGCGGTCGTTAGCTTGCGGTGAAGCAACGGCATGCGTGTGACGAACGAGAAGTGCAATGCGATGCAACGACTGCACACAAGAGTGTGACTTGACATGGTCTTCGAGAACGTGATGCCAGTAGGTCGTTCAGTGATACGTGCCATAAATGCTGTCAAGGCGGCGGAATCCACACCACTGTTCAACGCTCAACGTTCACCCTCTTTGGTTGCATGTCACGATCCCAGGTCGCCCCCGAGAATTGCATGGGTCTTTGAGAGATCCGTACGATCCGTACTGGTGCTCGTTCGACGATAGCTTGTCGAATGACTTGGATCCATGGACATGATGCTTGCTTTAGCTCATCCTTGGCTGCACTATAGTATCTGAATTCGAAGAACAGAACAAGGCAGACAGGACGCTGTGATCGCACCCACGATCTATTGGTTCTGCGCGATGTTTTCGACAACCTTAGTCGTACGACGGGCTATATAATAACTGACACTGTTTTCCAGTAGTCTCCCCAAATCTCACTCATCTACATCCCCCACCGCCTCCACTATGAAATATCTTTCCTTCCTAGCCACCCTCATCATCTTCACGACTCCTGCCCTCTCCCAATACAATGCCTATTTCAACCCGCTTAATACTGCTCCATACGATGATCCCGTCTTCCCCACTTCCACCGTCCGGTGCTCCCAGTACCTCGCAAATAAAGGCTACCGCACCTTCGCCGACATCCCCACCTTCCCCAACATTGGCGGCTTTGTCAACATGACCGATGCGACGTGTGGGACGTGTTGGAAGATGACTAGGGTGGGAGGGAACGAGACGTTGGTGGTGGCGATGATTGATGGCATTGGTGAAGGTAGCCCTAATACTGTCACTTTTGATCTATCGCATAGTACGATGGTGTCATTGGGAAGCTATGCTATTGATTTGGCCGTTAATGCGAAGCAGGTTAAACCCTCCTTCTGTGGTCTTTGACGGCTCGCCAGTAGGGTGAGCATCTCTTCGTAATTTCGCTGAAACGATGCGCTTACTAAACTTGTTCATGATCCTCGTGTACTCAGGAATGACAGGACCATCAAGAGTGTAACAAGAGCTTTTTGCAACCTTTTTCTTGACCTTTTTTGTACGATTTTCTAAATCTCACAAAGTGCTCATACCGCAACCGCCTGCTGAACAAGAAGTCAGACGTGAAGGATGTGTGGAATATGATATGGTGACTTTTTTGTGATGTTCTTTTCTTCCCATCGCTATTCGAACATCTTGTCTGAGCTCAACAAGGAACTTCAGTACTTCAGTCCTGGTATAGGGGTTCAACATGTTTATCCCAACTACGCAACCCGCAGCTGTCACAATGATTCACAGTATGACTGTCTGATCCTGATTCCGGTGAACAAAAACGACAAGATGTGGGTACTCGTCGACAATGTCAACATGAACCTTCGATGCGCTAGGATTCCTTGCTCGACTTGCTAGAGTCTTCCGATCCTGTCACTTTTTTCGCCTCGGCAGTCTGATCAGTGGGTGTATATAACCTAACCTGCGTGTTCAGGTCTTTGTCTGCGTTTAGTGTGACCATCGCCATGTAGTAATTTGCAATCGTTCTCGGAATTTGTGCTCAGTCTTTCGATGATTCTTTGATTTGAATCTTATCTGTATCTTATCTGCAATGATTACATTCGCTTGGATGTATCTAGTCGTCGTCGTCCTGATCATCATCTGAGACTGGCTCCCAAAAAGCATATGCGTCAAATTGAACTTTCCCTTCAACTTGGCTTTTACACGCGTTTAATTACATGAAGGTTTTCTAGAAGAGCCTCGAGTCACGCAGACCGATCGAGGCAGTGATTGATGCCAGTGCAGTTGGAGCGTACAAACTTGGACTTGGGCGCGAAACCAGTCATGATTCGGCAGCGCCGTCTCTGCAGCCATATTGATGATGCAGTCCTTCAGCCATAGAACCCAGACCAACAACCCCACATCATCCTCCCCATGTCTCAACCCATCATCCTGTACGATCTCCCAGGCAAAGGGGCCATCAAAGCCGTCTCCGGCAACGTCTATAAAACAAGGTGAGCAGCGCAGCGAGTCGCCCCATCGTTTGCACCCAGCGCATACTCTCCCAGAAACTCTGACTCTGACTCTGACCTACATTATTCGTCGGCGTAGATACACGCTAGCCTACAAAGGCCTAGCCTTCAAAACCGTCTGGGTCGAGTTTCAGGATGTCGAAGAGCGGATGAAAGCCATCGGCGCCCAACCCACCGGGCTCAAACCCGACGGCAGCGGTCCTCTGTACACCGTGCCCACCATCCAGGACCCCTCCACAGGCGCCGTCACTTCCGACTCCTTCGCCATCGCCGCCTACCTCGACCACACCTACCCGTCCACGCCGCGCGTCTTCCCCCGCGGCGCCGCGGCCCTCATCGGCGTCTTCGACGCCGCCTTCATGCAGCGCATGCGCCCCATGTTCTTGCTCCTCGCCGCGCAAGTGCCGAAGAGCGACGAGTACTTTTGGAGGCATGCCGAGAAGAGGTTTGGGACGAGGGAGGTTTCGCCCGAGGGGCCGCAGCGCGAACGGGACTGGGAGGATGCGAAGAGCTTTCTTGGCGTGGTTGATGGGTGGTATTCGAAGAGCGGTGGGAAGTGGATAATGGGGGATACGTTCTCCTATGCAGATATGATCGTAGGGGCGTGGATCAAGTGCTTCAGTGTTGCGTTTGATAAGGACCGGTGGGAGGCAATGAGCTCTTGGCATGGCGGACGCTGGGCCGGCGTCGTTGAAGAGATGGACAAGTACCCCATTCTTGACTGAGGGGTGTAATTCTGTCAAGTAACTAGAAGGATATCATGTGAAGTCAGTGAACAGAGCGGTATTCAATAGACCAGCTACGGCATGTTGTTTGTTTCATCCATAAACATGTATTTTAAATGATAGCGCCAGAAGATAAGAACACAGTTAGACCCCTTCGTCCAACCCTTCTCCCACCAACGCCCAACAATCCCCAAAGTCAATCCAGCCCCACCACCATGTCAATGCATCACCCCCTCGCACACACATCCAGACATTGACGCTATCTACCATACACAGTTTACAATTTAGCCTTCACCTGACCCGTCGCTTCCTCCTTCTTAGCGCGTTCTCTCAGCTCACGTCGAAGAATCTTGCCAGCCGCACTGAAAATCGTCAATCAGTACAACGTCAATTACCCCATCAATCACTACTTTGATATCGCCACTCCACCCGTTATCGACGAGTCTCACAGGACGCGCGTGACGATGGGTAGCTGGCTCGAGCACACTCCATCGTGGCGTCAACATGGGCTGTCGTCGTAGCATACCCCATATAGAACGCGACCAAGACACGGCAAGCAACGAGAACCAAGCAAAGAAAAACAACAAAGAAGTCTCACCTCTTCGGCACCAGCGGAATCACCACCACACCTCCCCTCAACTTCTTATGCCGCGCCACGCGCTCCGCAACCCACGCCTGTACGCTCGCCTCGAAAGCCATACAGGCGCTTGGGGTGCTCACAACGGAGGGATTTGCATGCACGACGTATGCCCTGTGAGATGGCGTGAGATGAAGCGTGGTTTTGTTTGGGCGTTCAGGTGAAGAACGAGGAGGGCGTGGATGTGGGTGTGGTTAGAGAGAGACAACAGCGTCAGCGCGTTCACCCAGACAACCTCCAAGACCGAGCGAACAAAATCTTACCTCGGCAACTCCGTCGCCTCCTCTTTACTCTCAACTCCTATCACAGCTGCATCAGCAACATCAGGATGCTGCAACAACAGACTCTCCAACTCGGCTGGCGGAACTATATCGGGGGCGAAAGATCAAACATGGTCGTTTCTCCAAAGCTGTGATTTAGACAGCAAGATGATATAACCCACCTTGGAATCCTTTGTACTTGATCAGCTCTTTTCGCCTGTCGACGATGGTGTAGAAGCCGTCCTTGTCGCGTACGGCGATGTCGCCGGTCTTGAACCATCCTTCAGGTGTGACGGATGCCTTGGTGGCACTGGGGTTGTTGAGGTAGCCCTGGGTATGGGAAGGGTGGTTAACGGAGTGTTCTTTTTGGAAGTAAAGGAGGGGGGAGAACACTACGACAAGAGAATGATGCCGAATATGGGGGAAAGCGGCCAAGGGAAAAGGAACGAGGAGCGGGACGAACTAACCTTCATGATGGTCGGGCCTCTGACCCACAGCTCACCGGATTCCCCGGGGTTAACATCTCTCAGCACCTAGCGATAACAACCGATCAAGTCGTCGTCGTATTCGTTTCGATGCGGAGTGGGAGCGCAAGGATGTAGGGAAAAGAGAATGAGAGTAGTCATTGATCAGTAAACCATCTCACACCTGAAAACCTCAAGACACGTCAAAACGACGAGCTCGGTTGGTACTCACCTCTCCCTCTTCATCCACCAACCTCGCTTCAAGATTCGGACACAGATGCCCAACCGAGCCCACATGCGACTCGCTATATTTCGGGTGAAGCAAATGAGTCGTCGGCGATGTCTCTGTCAGACCGTATCCTGATAAGATAGCCCCGACGTCAGCACCCAAAGGAAAGGGATAAAATGCGGTGAATATGCGGTGAGAAAGAGCCGCTGAGACACGGATCGCGATGACAACTCACCTTGCGTGATGCACACGTCAGCACCTACGGTCAGGAACCTTTCTCTGACAGTTTTGACGAGCTTGGCACCCAAGGGAGCTGCGCCTGAGAAAAGCATGGTGAGGCTGCGAAGGTCGTGTTGTTTGATGGCTGTATCGAGAGTGTCAGTATGGTTCAACGAGACGAGGGCAAGAGAGAAGGGCTGTGCATTTCTGCGGGCGGCAAGTTGCAAACATGGTGCATATAATCGCACATACACCAAGAGCGCAGGAAAGTGAAAAGAGAAAGCTTACCTGGGTCCCTCGCGAAAACCACTAGCAAAGGCGGCACTATAAGTGCAATAGTGACCTTGTAACGCTCAACAGCAGCGCAGAACGCAGTAGGTGCGAATCTTGGGGTAAGGACCACCGGTAATCCCAGGGAGAACGGGAAGAGGAGAAGCTTGACAGCACCTGGAGATGATTCATTTACAACGACGATTATGAGATTGAAGGGAGAATGGACAGACCATAAATGTGATAGAAGGGAAGGACGCCAAAGAAGACGTCTTTCTTGGGGTCTGTAGCTGGGAATATGCTTTGGAGCATATCAGTAACGGAGGTGAGATTGTGGTGGGTAGTCTATCGAAGGCGAGAGTGAGCGGGAGATTAAGAGGGTATGCGAAAAGGGCTGAACGAACCTCTACGCCCTTTGGGTTACCGGTCGTTCCACTGGAGTAGCACAAGACGGCGGTCTCGTGTGCGTCGTCGCCATCAAATTTGACTTGCTCCTTGAGCTCACCGCGATTCAGCAAGTCCTGGATGCTGACGAGACCATCAGACGCTCCCTTCTGAGCGTCGCCCGCTTCCTCGACGTCTCCGCCGACAAGCCAGGTGGAGCCAGCGACGATGACACGCCTCCGGATCTCGTCTTCCTGACAGCCAAGGGAGCGAAGCATGGCGCGAACGGTGTGCACGAGCGAGGGGTGGGCGAGTATGAGCTGTGCACGCGAGTCAACGTACTGGTGTGCGAGTTCGTTGGAGGTATATGCGCTATTTGCGAGGGTTGCACGAAGGCCTGCTGCTGATGCGGCGTGGAGGATGATGGGCCATGTGATGGTGTTTGGAGAGAAGATGAGGAGGGTGGAGCGGTGTGGTTGGGGGTGTATGGATGATGGGGGCGGGGAGAGGAGGGAGTGGGCGAGCTGGAGGGAGAAGGAACGCAGGGTGGCGCGTGTGAGGGTGTGGCCGGTGGTGGCATCGACGAAGGCGGGGGAGGTGGCGGGGTAGGGACCGACGCGAGACGGCGAGTCAGATGCAAAGAGATGGCTGTAGATCGAACGGTGCACCAGCGGAACAGACTCGTGCGGTGACTGGTAGACAGACATCGTGGATCAAAAGCATCAAGCTCTGGCACGTGCTCTCATATATGCCACCGCTATCACGTGTACCGGATCGAACCCAATCCCGTCCCGAGTCACCAGTGCCGTACTCATGACGAATGACATCATATTGCATCATTGCTACAACCATTGGAATCCTATGCTACTACTTAACACCGTCGCTCGCAGAAACGTCTTTCCCCCTTTCAATCATTCCGTTGGTCCTTTCCATTTAGTTCCACCTGGTTGGTGGATCGACTCTCTGTAAGCCAAACTAGTCGCAGAAGCTCTCCACAGAGTTGCGATCCTCATTCGTTAGTTCAGAATCGGATAAGCGTCAATCTCTTCCACTATGTCGCCCCAGCGTCCGCCATTCCACGACTTCATCTCCTCCCACTGCTCCTTATCCAAGGACACGCTGAAGCACCTCATCCATGCACCTACGATCATATCCGCATAGGAGAACGTGTCTCCCATGATCCATTTACCACCGCTCTTTGAATACCACCCATCGATGACTCCAAGCCCCGCCTTTATGTTTTGCCAGTCCGCCTCTCGCTTCGGACCTATGGGCGACAAGTCCTCCCATTTAGTGCCAAAATTAACCTCAACCTGCTTCTTAATAAACTCCCCGTTTTGGGGGTGTACCTTTGGGGCAACCACGGCGTAAAACACTGCGAACACAGGGCTTATGGTATTCATGAAAGTGGAATCAAAAATGCTTATGAGGGCTCTAGTGTTGTGGGGGAAGACAGTGGGTTTGGATGGATACGTCTCCTCAAGATACTCGGCGATGGCGAAAGAGTCCGAGACAACGGCGCCTGTAGAAGGGTCCTCGATAGTAGGGAGCGTGTAGCAGTCGCTTCCGTCAGGCTTGCGCTTGGTAGGTTTGGCGCCGATGGCCTTCATCCGCTCCTCAATATCCTGTGCTTCAATCCAGACGGTTTTGAAGGCCAAGCCTTTGTAGGCAAGCGTGTACCTACAACAGCGAACATGCATGTAAGTTGAATCTCGTCCACACGAAGACGATGGATCTAACGGCACTACTCACCTTGCTTTGATCGGGTTGCCAGAAAATGTAATTCCGGGCACTCGGGCTGGAATATCGTATAGTATGATTGGTTGAGACATGAGTAGAAAATATGAAGTGAGTGTTGATTGTTTGATGAAGTGGGTATCGATTGCCAGTGTTTGATGCGAAGTACGCCTTAAATATGTTTTTCTATCTTTGGCTTTCATGATCACCCGGTGATTATAATCTGCTCTAAAACTCACAGTGATTATTAACAATGGATTGATTGACTATGAATCAGCATCGATATTGAAACAAACAACCGACCAACTTCGATTGCTGAATCATCGTGATAACTAATGCTTGTGATTGGTAAATACAAATTTTACGACGCTGATTCTTGTCTCCTGCACAAGTTGTAAGACTTATTCCCGCGGAGACGGGAGTCGCTTGTACTACGCAAAGGGCATACCTGTTGAGGTGTTCCCAGTTTGGCCCGACCTCACCTACACCGCAGGTTATCTTGATCCCCGCAGGCGACTCCAACTCGTAACATCATATACACTATTCAGATCTCCGCTTCAGTAAAGTAAGGTAAGCACATGGCTGTTCAGATATTTTTTACGCTCATCCACTAGTCCAGAATGGAATGCCTGTTAATCTCTTCAACTATGTCGCCCCAGCGTCCGCCATTCCAAGATTTCATCTCCTCCCATTGGTCCTTATCAAAGGCAACGCTGAAGCACCTCATCCAGGCAGCTACGAGGATATCCGCATAGGAGAACGTGTCTCCCATGATCCATTTACCACCGCTCTTTGAATACCACCCATCGATGATCCCGAACGCCTCCTTTACGTTTTTCCAGTCCGCGTCTCGCTTTGGGCCTACGGGTGAAATATCCTCCCACTTGACACCAAACCTAAGCTCAGCCTGCTCCTTGAAACGCTGCTCGCTTCTGGGATGCAACTTCGGGGCAGCCATGACGCTCACTACTGGGAACACAGGGATGATGACGTTAATGATAGCGAAATCGAAGGCGCTCATGAGAGCTTCAGAACTGTGGGGGAAGATGGCGGGTGTCGATGGGTATGTCTTCTCGAGATATTCTACGATGGCAAAAGAGTCGGAGACAACAGCGCCTGTGGAAGGGTCCTGGATAGCAGGGACGGTGTATAAGTCGCTTCCGTCAGGTTTGAGCCCGGTAGGTTTGGCTCCGATGGCCTTCATCCGCTCTTCGATATCGGGCGATTCAATCCAGACGGACTTGTAGGCCAAACCTTTGTAGGCAAGCGTGTACCTGCAAGAGCGAACATGTGAGTAACACTGAATAGAAACGGAGAAAATTACTGCGATACTTGCCTTGCTTTGAACGTGTTGCCAGAAAATGTATTTCCGGGCACTCGGGCTGGAATATCGTATAGGATGATTGGTTGAGACATGGCGGTAGATGTGAAGTGAGCGTCAATCGTCTGCAGTGGGTGCTGATTGTCGAATGCAGGGAGCGCCTTAAATATGTTTAGTCCTGACCGAAATGCTTTGTAACATGTCCTCCCATCCCTGATTTAAAACAATATGTTGATCTACCATCATCAGCAAGGGAGACTGTTTCAAATGCCTGTTAGATCGTATTTTCTGGGGAGACGCACATTAATCAACGAAGCTATCGGCGCTAAACCATCGATTAACTGCGCTGAATCATCACCGTCATCACTAATGCTCGTTTGTCGGTAAGTACGACTTTAACGACGCTGATTCAGCTCACTCTATGGCTCGTTGGCTCCCATGCAAAGTTCTCTTATTCCGCGAAAAACGGAAATCGCGTCTATATTCTGTGTTAATAAGCTTGCTGGTGACCTTTTGGCTGCTGACCAGTTCCTGGATGCAGATCTTGACTATTATTAAGTCTGACATTCTTCACGTTAAAGTGTTGGGGCGTGTACCAGGCGCGGATTGGGAAGACAAGGTAGGCAGTCTCGCTTTTCATTCATCAGTTCAGTGGCGACTCGGAAAACCAGAGTAGTCGTCACCGTACAACGTATGACAGTGCAATAACGAACAGTCATGCCAGATGGTTGTCTATGCTGTAAGAATTGATAAAGCTGAGGTTTGGCATGTTGAGGATCGCGAAGGGGACAACTTCAGTGATGCATTCAAATTGTATATGCGACGGGAACTACTTAAGATAAATAGTAAGATTCCAAAGGCAAAAAAACCTCAAAAGGTCAAAAGTTATGACCTCCACGTGCCACAATATCCCAGTTTAGACACTCACATCCAACCATTAACAACCACCATGGCCGCACAAAAACGACAAAAGGCCTCCGCTGCCGCCCCCAACGGGCACGACTCTGACGCAGATGCCTCGAGCATGGACGAGGACCGAGCAGAGTCTCAAAAGGGGGGAGAAACCTCTGGCACTGACGACGACGAAGCCTCCAGTTCCGCAGAGACCGACGACATCCCAGACGGCACTCGAAGGACGAAATCCAAAAAAACTCTAAAGCGAAAACGACGAGCTACGGAGCCCTCTCAGTTTGGTGCCACCCTGCTTTCCCTCCTCGACACCGCCGCACCCTCTTCACTCCCCTTATCGCTCAAGCCCTCCATAGCAAGACAGAAAAATGACCAAAAGATGGAATCAAAGGCGAAGAAGGCGCTGCAGATGGAGAAGAAGGATAGGGAGGACCAGGGGAGGGTGAAGGATGTTATCGGTGGTTGGGGAGCGGAAAGCGAGAGGTCACTGCGGAAGGTGGCTCAGAGAGGTGGTAAGCCGCTTGCATCTGAATGCCGATGAAAACTAAGAGTCTACCCCATGATATCTCAGTCGTCCAGCTGTTCAACACCATCCAGCAGTCTCAAGCTGCAGCTGCAGCTGACGGACCCAAAACTTCGCTTGGGTCAGGAAAACAATCACACTTGCTATCCTCGACCAAAAAAGCAGCAGCACAAAATAGAGGGAAACATAAGGACGTTGTCGCAGGGAAAGAAGGTAGATCTCCCTTCTGCACTCCTTGTATGATACTTGCTTACGCGGATTCACTCTATTCGTAGCTACGGTAGCAAAAAACGACTTCTACGACTTGATTCGATCCGGCGGGCTTGTCTCAAAAAAATGAGATCGTTATAACGATCTCGACGCCTTTTACGTGCTGGACGCAATTGTACTGGCTTGCATTGATGGCTATGTCACAGCCAGAGTTGACGTCCGGCCCGTGCAAGACAAGCTCTACTTCAGCATCGGAGAGAGCTTATTGTGGGGAGGTTACGGCTACTGAAGTACTGAAGTTTCTGGTGTATGTAGGTCTCATGCACTACTTTTTCGATGGATAAGATATCACCTCAGCTGAGTCAGTGCTCAGGGACAAAGATTGGAATACGACCACTGGTTACTCATGCTCCATATTATCTGGGGTAACTACTCATTGTCCTACTTAAGCTTAGTGCAAGAACATAGTGAAACCCGATAAATAACTAAAAGAAATGATCGTTCAAGGCTTCAATTTACACTTGTTTACACTTAGGAAATGGATGCAAGAGACTTAACCATGAACAGGACTTCAATGAAGCTTGAAGCTGGCCACCATTGACAAGGACGACATTGAACTCGACACCACTCAGCCGCATGTAAAACGCATCCGTCAGACAGGACACCCAACCTCATCAATGGCTACCCATCGTCAGAGAACGCCAATTGCAGACCTCGTGGCTGTTCTGCTTTCAAATTTTTCAATCTCGCCGAGGCCATAGCTGACGACTACCACCTCGCTTCTGTGTTGCAGGATCTATTCGATAGCGTTTTTGAAGACACTACGTAGCAAGACACTCTTGACAAAAAGTACTTGGTAAGGGAAAACTGCTTGGCTGCGATCCAGGCCAACGCGAAACTCGCACAAGAATGCCGTAAAAGTATAGAGTCACCTGGGAGCCTGTCTTTGGTGGGAGTTCTTCTGTTTGATGCTTTCTTGTACTGATAATGAACAGCTTGGCTCGCAGAAGAGAAATCTAGACGGCCACCCCCTCAAGATGGAATTGGATTAACGTCCGCCCGTTTTGCGTGGGAAGTCGACTTTGTTGGAAAAGCACACCTTCTGTCCTTTCGTTATCTGGCGACGCTCCATCAGGTTATCCTCGCGGTGATGCATCTCTTTGGACATTCTTCAAAAACAAGATCTCTGTTGATGAAGCCCAACGCTTGTGTATCAATCTTCTTCGTTCGATAATGTGAGAGATATCCAGAAAAAAACTCCAATCGGAACCGATCAATGAGAACGACTTTGCCCGTGGCTGGTACTAACGACTCAAACCATCTCATGGTGCTCCGAGTCCGGTCAGAACACAGCTGTACACTGATGCGTGCAATAATTTGGATCATTATGTGAGTATCTGCTGGTGAATGATTGTATTGATTTTCAACTCTTCAATGAAAGGATAATGCCATATCTGCGGGGTAACGCCTCGTTGACGAATTCCGGTCCTTGACTGGTCTTTTTCCTCCCGATCAAGGCTTCCCTCGAACCATTATTTATATCCATAAGTGTCACTATCTGAGTCTTATCGATATCACCGGTAGTGGCAGGGGACGGGAACGCAGCTTGATGCAAAGCTGCAACATTATCAGCTCGTCTATCGCTCCCAATCAACACATCGCTCGATTATGTTCGCTCGCTGCAGGATAAACTCGTCGAGAGTCACATGAGTGTGGTATATGATATCCCTAACCACAACAATTATATGTACTCTGGCTACCCGTGCGAACCTATCGTTATGGAAGGGGCCGCATTTGTTTGGGAAGGCGCGAAGTATCCCGATTTTGATCCTTAAACGCTCCAACAGACTGTTACCAAGCGCTTGCTCGCGGAGGGTGAACGGGGTGAACTCGTTGGACGATATATATGTCTTCGTGGGCAAGACATCTGCATTGCCAAAGATGGCACTTATCTTATAGGAGATCAACATAGTTATGCCCAAGCTGTCCCATTGCTCTCGTATCTTCGAGCTATCTTCGGCGCCCAATGGGAAAACACTCGTTCGACCAAGGCCCAAATTCGAGTGGGTGGACAAATGTTCGAAACTGCATGTGAGGGAAAATACGTTCGCTTTACTCATTTCGCCAAGGCTGGCGATGCAAGCGCTCTTTCCGCCGCAGCAGGATGGAAAGCTCTAGCGAGAGGACACAGTTGGCAATTTTCCGATCGTCAAGGTGTTGACCTGGGTATCCCTGTTTTCAATGGGAATCCTGATAATAGCCTCTCTCGGGAGGCTGTGACTTGAATTTATCATTCAAATCAAGCATTCGAGTAGTAGGTGGGCTGTTCACTTTTCTGGCAAATCCCTTGGAATATTCGATGACAGAAAGGGCCAAAAGCAAAGATGTCGACGAGTAACTGAGAACCCCCAATATCACCACAAAAGATGCAAGAGCGCAAAAATAAGGAGGTCCATGAAACCAGCGGCAGTGTTTATTTCTTTGGACAAGCGAGGCCCGACACGCAAAGCGCACCCTTGTTACTGGGTCGAGTGTATTGGATGCTCGTCAAAGGTCTTTAACTTCGAGATAATTCCAGAAGGTAGTGTATTCAAGCAGCTTTTGGCATCTCGTGATCTATTGGATGAGGCGAGGGACGACAAGAAAGCTGCTATTCTTCAATTAAAGCCATTTTTTGAAGCTGGACCGGCCTCCTACGACTGGGCCGGAGATAATGAAACCGGTCTTACCCCAGAGACAATAGGTTACGAGGACTACGAAGCCGAAACGGTTATTGCTGTGCAAGAGGTTGAAGGTGAAGCCTACTCGGAGGATGAAGACGACCAACTTTTGTAATTACATGAGATAGTGAGTGCGACAGATGACATGTTTATAGGCCAAAAAATGAACCAGACGACGGTTCCGTCCATAGCATGTGGTATTCCGGTCGAGATGTACTTTCGTTGGGCAACTGTAGTGTTTTGTAAGGGATGAAGCATCGAGGAAGATATAGGAAGATATGGGAACATGAAAACAAGGACATAGTTTGTGACGTTCACCACAACTCTGTGACTCTGGCATTCCTCACTTGCTATATATATCGTTCCCCAGACTTATCATTAGATGTTAACACGACGCCTGGATACCCCACAAATCGCATCCCGCGATATCACGCACGCCTTCTTGAATACTCCACGGTTCTCTGTCCAAATGACTTAATCTGTAACGTGATATAACCAGATATAATGTCCCCAGTCCCATGCCCATCATCGTTCATATTTTACGCGACACCCTTCACATTGACACCAATCGGATGTGCGTGTGTTCCCCGTTCTCCAACTTCTGCTGCTATCAACATTGTTCCAGAGATGACACCCATCACGAATCTGTCAGTAATATTGTCCTGATCGTCGACCTCCGGTTTTATCATTCATCTGGATTCTATGCCCAAGCCTTTGTTTATTTTCCGCTCAAATGTGCTGCACCTGCTCCCACTCGGATATACCTCGGTTCGGAATATTATCGGGAGGCCACGTGCCGTGTGGGGTAAATGCATATCTGTCCGATCGCAAAGCACCCCCGCATCCGGGACACGTCCTCCGAGCACGTTTCCGTCCCAACGCTTAACTGCTTTATCTTCTGCACCACGTAGCACCCCACGGTGTACAATTCTCATACACAATGCCTCCCTCTGATTTTGCCAACGCCGACATCGACCAAATCGTCGAGAGTCTCACCACAGATGAAGCTATTCTTCTCACAGCGGGTGTCGGTTTCTGGCACACGCATGCTGTCCCGAGATTGGGGATACCCGCTATCAAGGTGAGCCGTCTTGCTTGCGTTTACTTTGTTCAAACGTCGTGTCCGGTTCTTTGAGTGCGTTGAAGGCGATTGGGTGTCTCGCTCCAACTGTTTTAAATGTGGCGGCCATCGTTTAATCGTCGCTTCATCACTTGATCATACCTTCCGAGAGTTTGCTATGGGGGGATGAACTTGCCTTACCTTTGTCATATCTCGTTTGGTGTAAATGAAGGCCGCCATGTTATCATGCTCGATCAAAACGTATTTCAGCGGTGCTAATTCCTTCTCTTGACTTCCTTGTTAGGTCAGCGATGGACCAAACGGTATGCTGAGCCTTTGATTGCTACACGACACCTACTCACATTCGTGTCGTCTATCTACTATAGGTATCCGTGGAAACCATTTCTTCATGTCTACTCCTGCAAAATGTCTTCCATCTTCCACTGCCCTCGGTGCTACCTTCGACACCGAGCTTATCGAATACGTAGGAAGAGAATTGCTGGCAAAAGAGGCAAGGCTCAAAGCTGCTCCTCTCACGTTGGCACCTACTTGTAATATCCAACGGGTGAGTGATCTTTGATTTGATTATGTTCGTAGAAAGATGGCGAAGAGCAGGCTTTATGTTGCCCATAGGGCATACCGCCTTGTAACCATACGTTTCTTCAATTTCTCGAAGAGTGCGAGAAACAATGGAAATCAGCGTCCCTACGAGTACATTTACTAACTACATTCTAACATTATATGTTCGTTCCTGGATTCGATCTGCTGGATTAGAACCCACTAGGTGGACGTGTACGTGGTTTCCATTTCGAATCAAGGATGGACCTTCTAACTATTCTTACATGATCTCCTTCTCAAATGTGCCCACCGCATCTCTCCTGCAATTGCCCTTTCTCAGTCCTTCGAGTCTTTCTCTGAAGATCCTCTCCTATCGGGATTGATTAGTGCTGCATACGTGAAGGGTGTGCAAAGCGGAGGAATTGGTACAACGATCAAACACTTTGTGTGCGTATATGATCATTTCTCAATTCAGTCTGAAAAGTTTTATCGACATTTCGTCTATCTTTTCCTTGTTTCTACTGCTTTAAATGAACCTTCGCTAATACACGTTCCCCCTCTTTCTCTTTCTATATATATGTTGCCTGGCTTCTTTCTGAAACAGCTGCAACGATAAAGAAAACGACAGAATGGCATATGACAGTATTCTGTCTGAACGCGCCCTCCGAGAAATCTACTTGATGCCATTCATGTTGGCACAAAAGTACGCGAAGCCTTGGTCGTTTATGACTGCGTGAGTGCTTCTTTTTCCCTTCGTAGAAGGAGATTGTTTGGATTGCACTCTTCTTAACCCGGCTCTACGTGTTCCCTAGGTACAACCGCGTTAACGGCACACATGCCTCAGAAAACACACATGTTCTACAGGATATCCTCAGGAAGGAGTGGGGGTTTGACGGTCTGATCATGAGCGACTGGTGCGTTCAACGCTCACGTACCGAAGCTTGATCCGGTCCGGGGCTAACCCTCATCGCCGTCATATCAGGTTTGGCGTCTACAGCATCGACCACGCCCTCAACTCCGGCCTCGACCTCGAAATGCCTGGTACCAACAAGTGGCGTACTCTCGATCTCGTCAACCGATCCATTCAATCTCGCAAAGTGACCGTCCGCACGGTGAAAGAAAGGGCCAGAAAGGTGGTCGAATTGGCAAAGAGAGCTGCGACCGAAGCTGGAGATGTCAGTATCAGCTGCATTTCCTCGTGTGGCCAAGAACATGACTTATATAAGTGATCTCATACCAGATTTTGGACGGCGATGGCCTCGAACGGACATACAACTCTGCTGAAGACCGCGCGCTGATGCGTAACGTGGCAGCCTCATCCATCGTTCTGCTCAAAAATGACGAATCACTGCTACCCCTCCGCCCATCCTCCTTCAAAGAGAAGAAAAAGATCGCTATCATCGGTGGAAACGCCAAAGCCATCGTCCTTTCTGGAGGAGGCTCTGCTGCACTTAAACCAAGCTATTTTGTTACTCCATATGACGGGATTGTAGAGGCCATCAAGGCTGGGGCGGTGGGTGATGTAGAGATTGCGTACAGCGAGGGTGCTGCTAGTAAGTGAACTTTCATGGATCGTTGTAGATTCGAGAACTGACGCTTTTCTTCTATCCCTCTCCAAGCCTATATGACCATGCCCTCCCTTGACTACGACATGCTCACTGCTTCGGGTGAGCCAGGTTGGATTGGGACATGGTACTCACATGAACACGACGAGAGTATGAGCATTGTCGAAAAGCCGCTTGAAAAGAGGCTTATAGACGAGACAAGGATCTTCATCAGCACGTCCATCCCAGAAGGGATCACGAGGCGATGGACGATGAAGCTCGAGGGAAAGCTGAAGCCGCGTACAGAAGATTGTGTGTTCGAGTTTGGATTGTCGGTTGCTGGTAGGGCCAAGGTGGGTCGAGTCGCGATTTCAATCTGAAGTCTTGATTGAGTTGACTTTCATTCGAAGCTCTACGTGGATGGTAAACTTGTCATCGACAACTGGACCCGACAACGCCGTGGCGACTCCTTCTTCGGCAGTGGCTCCGTTGAAGAAAAGGGCACATTCCCCTTACCCGCCGGCCACTCTCCCCACATCCTCGTCGAGTTCTGCAACGTGCGCGCACCGGCGGATGGGGATGAAGATGAGGCGGTTATGGACAGCAACCCTGGTGTACGGCTCGGTGGAGCTGAGGTGAAGGACGCTGATGAGTCGATGAAAGAAGCTCTCACCCTGGCTGAAGGAGCTGATGTGGTTGTCGCTGTGGTAGGGCTGAACGCAGATTGGGAGACGGAGGGCTACGATAGGACTACGCTGGGGCTGCCTGGAAGGACAGATGAGCTGATCAGGGAGGTGATCAAGAGGAATAAGAACACTGTCGTCATCACACAATCGGTGTGTCTTTTATTTCATCGCCGTGAGGCCCCGTTTCTTGAAACTAACACGCACTTTGCCTCGATAATGTAGGGCTCGTCGATTACAATGCCCTGGGCCGACGATGTACCTGCCATCCTGCACTCATGGTATTTGGGAAATGCCACAGGAGAAGCTATCGCAGATGTTTTGTTCGGAAAAGTGAACCCCTCAGGTAGACTGTCCTTGACATTCCCGAAGAGGTATGAGGATATCGCTTCCTACGGGCATTTCCACTCCGAGAATGGCGTGGTGAGTACCTATCTTACCGAGCTTCACAGATAGCTAAATTCAATATTCAGGTTCGGTATGGTGAAGATTTATACGTGGTATGTTCTTTGCCGACGAATTTGTTATTTCCATAGAGAAATGACTGTGATAATTTTAGGGATACAAACATTTCCAGCACCGCAAGATTGCCCCTCAGTTTGCATTTGGGTAAGGGTCTTCTTTTTCTTTGCTAAGTATTTAGCTTATGCTTAACTGGTGATCACAAAGACATGGTTTGTCGTACACCACATTCGCCTATTCCGACCTCCAGCTCCCCCAGCCCGTTCTCACCGGCACTTCCTTCTCCCTCACTGCTTCCCTGACTTTGACCAACACCGGTTCTGTTTCCGGCTCTGAAGTCGTGCAGCTCTACGTGTCAATGCCACATACATTGGAAGTCACACATCCTCCTCTCAACCTTCGTGCGTTCAAGAAAGTGAAGGATGTGAAGCCTGGTGAGAGTATCAAAGTTCATCTTGAGCTGGATAAATATGCCGTGTCGTTCTGGGAGGAGAGGATTACGAGATGGGTGGTGGAGAAAGGGCCTTACGGAGTCAAGGTTGGTAGTAGCAGTGAGAACTTCAAGCTGGAAGGAGATTTCACAATCAGCAAAGGCTTCGAGTGGAATGGGCTGTAACTTATAAGTTATTACTGTAAGCTAGTTAGCGATGTTCAATATATTTGCTGCAATAATAGCAATACAAGTGTTTCATTTCTGGGTTGAAACGGTAGACATACAACTTCCTAATGATATCTAGCTTTACACCACACCCTTTATTGTTTACTCTCGTATAATCTTGTTTCCCTGTGCCATGATCAACATATGCAGACGTAACCTTTTCAACTTCCACTTACCTTGCTACTATCGAACGGATCTAAACCTGCTGCAACCCTGCTCCCGGCAACGATTGCACTCCAGTCAATGATATCCCATTTCTGCGTTCCTTCAACCTTTTGTGCCTCGTGGATTGCACGCGCGGTAACGAGTCTTTGATGTGCAATATCAATAGTAGGCATAGGTGAATTCAGGTCAGCCGTCAAACGTCGAATGTGGCTAATACGAAGGCGATCAGAAGGTGCAGCAGTATGCTCGAGTAAAATCCACGCACTTGGCATCCTTGATACCTCCATCGATAGCAAAGCCTACTGCTCCATCGAACCGATCGTTTACCATTTTCTCACCGTAAGCAATGACACTGGAAAAACGTAGTTAGTACGCAAACTTGATTCATGCATTGAATGACACACCCTGGAGCAGGAAGAATTTCTATACGGTGGAGAATATCAGCCACAAACTATAGCCTGTGAATGAACAAAAGTAGCAACCTTTGACGAGGTTTTGAACTGTCTGAGCTCCGATTCCCGACTTCTCTCCGAGTGTGAATGTCTCTGAGAGGAGCTCGTTGGCACCCAGAATTAGTGAGTTACCGATCAGTTTCAAAGTCGGTGCTGACAATAATATTGTTAGTACATATACAAATGACAACGTACAGAAATATAGACCTTTCTCAATGTTTCCACCGAGGTCCATGATTTTACGGCCGACCGCAGGGACGAGTAAGTAAGCAATTTCTTTCTTGGAGCGATAATCGCCACTCATGGCGAGAACCAGCGTAGCCTTATCAGCTCCCGGAGGAGGGCCGAAGACCGGGCAAGTCACAAAATGACAGTGAGGAAAACTAGAAATCAGTTTATCAACTTCGCCTACAGATATTATACTAGGTTAGATGCTCAAAATGCTACACTGGTGACTTACCTGATAACGTCGGGTAAACCTGAAAAAAGGTATGAATATTTAAGAGAGAGGGTAGATAGGCCGGATAGAGACATACAGTGCTTGTGTCTACAAAAATCTTTGCTCTTGTTGGAGGTGATTGCTTATCGGCAAGAATATCAATATCTGAATACACATTCGGTATAGATCACTGCGCACAGCGAGAGCCTTGGCAAAATCTTCATAGACGGCCTTGACTACACCGTCACTTGCAAGGTTGGTGAACACGACATCACACTCTGTTGCGAGTTGGGCGGGGCTCTGTGCGATCTTGACGGCCGATCCAAGTTCTTTTGCGAGTTTCTCAGATTTGGCTGATGATCTGTTGTAGACAATGACGGGAGATGATGATGCTTGTGACTTGCGCGAGTTTGCAAGATTGCGGGCCATGAAGTATCCCATTGCGCCGAGGCCATACCACCCGATCTGAAGAGACTGAATACCAGGGGTCGCTGGGCGAGAGAAGGGGACAGCGTCGGAGTGCATAACGGTTTGGAGAAGATTGTCTGGCATTAGGTAGACACGATGGCGGTATTTAAGCAGAAGAGGAAGAGCTAATAGTAGTATGATACTACTAATAATAACACCGTGAGAGCCGCACCCTATCATGATTACACCTGACTGTGAGCTTAAGCTAGTAGACTCGTACTACAAGAAAGCACGGGGAGAAAGACATCTCACGTACAAGTAGTTATCTATCTACAAGCGCTCTCAAATATATATTATTTCTATCAGCCAAGCATATGACACTTCAACGACGACTTGAACAACGTTCGAGCTACTTACTATCACGGCACTTTGCTTCGGCACCCCGCGTTATTCCGTTTACGTTAGGCTATGTTGTATTACGGACAAGACTATAAAGACTTGCTTAAAATCGTACTTAGACCGGCACTTTTTTTATAGGGGAAATGAAATTCATTCAGATAAATATTGTTAAAAGCTATTTACACCAGAAATAATAGTCCTTTAGTGCATGAATGCAGTACGGGAATAATGTAAAAAAAGTCAAGTGGTCCCATATAATACAGGTGTAAATGCGTAAATTAATAATCAGCGAAAGAGAGTTGGGGAGATTACAGCCAACCAAATAAATTGTTGAGGAGAGGTTCGTTGAGATTTTTTTCTTCCATGCCATGAGGTCTGCGTGCGTCATTGAAGGGTCGTGGACTCGGGTGGATACGAGGTTTATGAGTTATTCCTGGCTGCGGCCATCAACTTCGAGAACATCGAGTTGGGGCGCGCAAGTAGGTCTCGTGGTGATGCGTACTCAATGGGTACACCTTGTTCCATTACCAAAACCTTGTCACACTCCTCCAAAATGCGATCGCTAAGACGGTGCATGACACTGAGAATGGTGGCTTCAGGGCAGCTGTTACGCATGGCTTGCTGGATGAACACGTCGGCACCAGCATCGATGGAAGCGGTGGCTTCATCGAGAAGGAGAATTTTGGGGTTCCGTAGGATGGCAGCTGCGAGACAGAGAAGCTGACGTTGACCGACTGAGTAGTTAGAGCCATTGTCTTCCACTTTGGTATCCAACTTGGACTCTTGGGTAGAAACAAATGGTTTCAGACCGACGAGGTCAAGAGCGTGCCAAAGGGTGCTGTCATCATGGTGTCCATCGAAGTCTAGCGACGAGCGAATGGTACCCGAGAAGATGAAAGGATCCTGAGGGATAACTTGCATGCCCTGACGGAGAGTAGAGACACCGAGAGAAGTAATATCTGCGAATGATAGTTGAGTCACATAGCTAGAGATGAGTATTATAATCTACATACCTCTGCCATCGATCTCAACGGTACCGTTACCAGCTTCGATCATGCGGAGCAACAGCGACAGGAGGGTTGACTTGCCAGAACCGGTACGACCAACAATGAAGACGGTCTCACCAGGGTTGAACGTCAGACTGACATCACGAAGAACAAGCTTGTCAGGGCGAGACGGGTAAGCGGCTTCAATGTCACGGAGAACGATCTCGCCGCGAGTAGGCCACATCGCCTTCGTTGGGTCTGATTCAAGACGGGCAGGGGGCTCTTTGGGAAGGCTCTCGGTGTATTCAATGAGACGCTCAACAGAGTTCATCTAGAAGCGAAACCATGTCAGACGTGCAAATCAATATCATAACAAATAAGGGACAGACCTCAGCTTCGACGTTGGCAGCACTCTTCAACAGCAAGTTCATGATGTACGTCAAGGTAGAGGCGTAGGTCAAAGCCAAAGAGAATTGAGTCGAATTGCCAATGGCCTTGGTATGGGCGAGCATAGCAAGGATAAACACGACGAAAGACGAGAGGATCTCCATGCGAAGGGTGACCCAGATCTCTGCAATAACAAGTTAATGACTGACGAACACAGGATAAAATAACAGACGTACCAGCGTTGAACCTCAAGAAGGTAGGCTTGTTGGCGCAATCGAGCAGACCACCGACGGCACTAGCAAAGTCATGTTCGCGCTTGTAGGCCATGATAGTCGGGATACCGTCCAAAGTCTCACTGATACGGGACTGGAGAGGACCACGCTGGACAGACTCGAGACGCTTGAGCTCACGGAGGGACTTGCGGTAGAAGCGAAGGACAATCCAGTAGACACCCATCATCGGGACCAAGATAGCTTTAAAACAACCGATGTTCAGCCCAAACAGTAATTTAAAATAATGGTAAGCAAAACTCACCGATCATCACTGGGGTGCTGTAGGCCAAGATGATAGTAGTCGAGATGAGAGAACCGGTACCAGCAACCAATTGGAAGAGCTGGGGCATGAGACGTTGATCGATCGACTCAATATCCTTGGAGAAACGGTTCATGATACGACCGATAGGCTGGCCTTCGAACCACCACATGGGAGCAGCGAGAACACCACGGAGAGCTTTGGAGTGGAAAGTTCGGCTAGCACGGACGGTGCTCAACAACACACTGATGTTCATGATGACTTTACAAACTCGACGTCAGCAACGATCATAAAACAGGATAAGAATACACATACTAAGCAGGACGACAGTAGTCCAACCAATGCCATTGTAAATACCGATCCACCATTTCACGTTCTCAGCAAAGCTGTCCTCGGTCCACCACGTCAACCACTGGTTAAGAATGACGGTACCACCTTGAAGGAGAAGCATCTGGGCAATCAATAAGACAGCCATGCTCACACCACCAGTGGCCTTGATATAAGCCCACCAGGTGGCAGCGGTGATATTACCCGTGTTGCGTTCCTCCTCAACGATAAGCTGATCGGGCATCTCTTGCTGCTTGACGGCCTTCTTAGGACCAACCATGCTCTTGCGCTTTTCCTCGAGTTCCTCAGAAGTCTTGGAGAACGCCTGAACCTCGTTGAGCAATCGGCTAAGCTCGCCATTGCGGCGAACGAGATCATGGAACGAACCCTGCTCGACGATGGTGCCCTCGGAGACAACGATAATATGGTCGACCTGGTTGAGGTACTGAAGCTGGTGAGTGACGAGGAGACGAGTCTTGCCTTGGAGAGCCTTCTTGATGCACTTGTTGAACACATTACGACCGACACGCGCATCGAGGGCGGCGAGGACGTCGTCAAGCAGATAGATATCGGCATCGGAGTACACGGCACGAGCGAGCGAGAGACGAGCCTTCTGTCCACCACTCAAGTTGTTTCCCTTCTCTCCCATCTGAGTCGCCATTCCGTGTGGGAACGTGTCAAGGTCAGAATCGAACGAGGTAGTCTGGATGGCTTTTTGCAACTGTTGAACGTCGAGGGGGCGGCCAAAGAGGATGTTCTCCTGAATCGTGCTCGTCTGGACCCAAGCTTGCTGAGCGCAGTATGCAATAGAACCAGTGCAGGATACGTCGCCATTGATGCGCATCATCTCGCCGATAATAGCAGACAGGAGCGAACTCTTGCCAGAACCGACAGTGCCAACGATAGCGGTCAAAGAACCATGCATGATGTTCAGGTTGATGTCGTGCAAGAAAGGCCCGTGAGCTGGCACCTCCTCTTCCATCTCTGCGATCGAGGCCTTCTCATTGTTAAGGTCAATGCTCACGGTGACGTGGCCAGATTCCTCGAGAGACGTCTTCTTCTCGTCCTTCTCAACCGGCTTGGGAGCGGGAGCTTGGGGCTGAGCAGAGCTGTCGTTCTGGGGCCAAGAGAAAGATGCATCGGTGATGGAGATGGCTTCGGGAGAGATTGAGATGACGCTGGGCTCCATCATCGATGATTTCTCATCGGCAATGAGGAACGAGTAGACACGGCCAAACGAGGTCATAGCGATCACGAACGCACTCAACAACTGAGGGAGCGCAATGAGAGGGTCGACGAGCATACCAAAGAACGAAAGGGCGGGGAAGACTCGCGTGCTCAACACTTGGCCCATCTCCTCATGACCGAACAAAGAGAAGGCGGCGAGGGGCATGACGGTGTTCGTCACTTGTCCGACGATAACGAAGCATGCGACACCGGTGTTGAATTGTTTGAGCCAGCGGAGCTGTTCTGTCCTGATACCCTCGAGCTTGGTGATAAAGTGGTCTTCCCATCCGTTGACTTTCACCAGTCTGATTCCATCCAAAACCTCACGAATCGTCTTCAACCGTTTGTCACCGAGTCTCATGAACCACGGAGCTGCCTTGCGCATGAACACGGGAACGACCATGATAAGGACAAAGAGCGCCAAGAACAAAGCACCAATACCAGCCCAGGCAGACACACCAAGGATGCGCGAGAGCAAGACAGTAACGGCAATCAGCTGCATGGGGATACTCCAAACCTGGTGCGTCACCTCAACCGCCTTTGAAATTGACTCGCAGTCCACGTTGACAATGTTCATAATGTACCCTTTTCCGTACTTCTGGTTACCCTCAGCTGAAAGGCGGAGGGCCTTCTGGTAGACGGCAGAAATGAGCGTAGTCTTGACGTTCAGCGCCATGCGCTTCACGATCTGGTCAGCCGAACGACCGCAGAGGGTGAAGGTCACTTTGAAAGCGAGCAGGATTCCAGCGAGTGCGTAGGTGCTGTCAACGAAGAGGGGGAAACCACCAGTAGACTCCTTGATAGCGGCTGTCCACGCTGCCACGGCCGCAGGACCATCAGCAGTTGGGATCACGGGTGCGGTGCGTGCGACGATGATTTGCTGAAGCATCAATGGGGCGAGGATGGCAGACGCAACAGAGATGAACCACAGGATGCCTGAGATGAGCCTACAACAAACGCATACTCAGTATGCGAGACACAACAAAAGCAAAGAACAAGACGCACCAGTTTTGAGAAGCAGCACTAAAGATAGATCCGAACAGAGCAGGAAGGGGCTTCGAGCGATCGAAAAACCACCCTCTCATCTGATCCCAGAACCGGTCAGTCCACTTCTCAACCATGATCGCCTCATCGCTGCGTCTCAGAGGAAGCAAGTCCTAAAATTCCCCCAAGATTTTCGATTTTCGTAAAAGTTGCCATTTCGTGCGAGCACAGGATAAATAGATCAATAAAAAAAATAAAAAGAGTGTATTTCAATGTCCATTCCATTACAATTAACCAAATAAAGAGATAACTACCGATTCCAACAAAGGTCTCTTCGCGCCCAAGGTCATCAGCGGCGTCATCCACGTCAAAAACAAAAATGCCAACGGGCCATAATGCAGCGTTGGGTGGTTGGCGACGTCGTTGGTCGACTCCGGTACAGTCTCAGCGCCTATCAAAGAGGCCGTTGCAGGGGATGCCTGCATCACGATCACGCTCACGTGGCCTTCACGTTTGACACCCTCCGTGTCTTCTAGCGAGTAAGCGGGGGCCTTTGCAGAGTCGAGGGAGAGCTTGTCTGAATCAAACCCAGAGTCCATCCGGTATGGCGATTTGGGAATAATTTCAACCTCAGGGCCAGACATGTCGTCGATGATGATCTTTGGCACATCCTCGTCGTCACCTTCTACAACGGTGGCTTGACTGGCAGGGCTGAACGGAGCGTCGTTCTCAGCTTCGATAATAACCTCCTCGACACCTTCCTCCTCAGCTTCGTAGTCATCGCCTGCCTCTTCCTCCTCCTCATCGTACTCCTGGCCGGAAAGAATCTCGGCAGCGAGCACCTCAGCGGTAACCTCCTCCTCGAATAAATGGGACATCTCCTCCTCGTACTCGTGCTCAGATTGGAGCCAGAAGTAGAGTCTAACGATCGTGATCGAGTTGAGACCAGAGTACAACAACGGCATATCCGTCGGTACAGGCTCGCTCGCCTTGCACAACTTGGTCACCTCAGCAGCAATCTCCATCGCGAGATCCTTCACTGCAGATTCCTCTTCCTCTGATACATCGTCGGCTTGCACCTCTGAATCGAAGGTTGACGAGGCAGAGAGACCTGGTGGTGCGGGAATGTCTGCCATGGCTTGCAGAGCGGCGAGGTCGACTTTGTAAGATGCGTTGAATGGCATCTCCTCTACACATCGCACCGAATGGACCACCATTGCCAAATCGTCACCCAACGACGACCTCAAACAGCTACGAGCAGCCTTGAGCACCGAAGAGCTCGACGAAGATGTAGCAGCGAACAGGATGATCTTGTCGTCCGCGTGCGACTTGACAAGCTTGTAGCCTTGCACTTGGACAGCAGAGGAAAGGGCATCGGGAGAGGCGGCAAAGGCGGGGGCGAGTGCGCGCTCGACATAGTCCAAATCGACGAACAGACCGTTCACCTTAACGTTCCGCGAACTCCTGCCTTTGATCACAACGGTACCGTCTTCCATCAACTGTCCGACATCGTCCGTCCAGAGCAACCTCTCTTCCTCCTCCCACATCCGGAACATGTGTGCCGTAGCTTCCTCGTTGCCAAGATAAGAAGTGGCAGATTGAGAAGTCACGAAGCCTACAATACCGGTGGAGCCGGTAGCATTTTGGGGGATGACGCTGTGGGTAGCGGGGTCGAGGAGGACAAGGGCAGAACAGCCTTGGGTGGCGCCGAAAGAGATGGCCGATGGCATAGGATCCGATGGAGCAACGAACATCTGTGATATCCCGGCGAAGCCCACTTCAGAGCACTAGATCAAAAATGCCACATGAGTTACATCAAAGCGGAGATAAGAAATGTTAAGTGCGCACCGCATAGTTACACGCGATGGTGGCTGAAGGGAACACCTCGCGAGCAATTTCGAGATCTCTGATGCTTAGCGATTCGCCACCGATGACCATCCAGTACACGCGGTTGAAACCTCTTGACAGAACACCGCCTGATGAGCGCATGCGGGCAAAGTCGGCAAAAGCACGGAAAACTGAAGGAGTGAAATGGACACGGAGAAGTTGAGCATTCCGTGGTGACTCGAGTTCTTCACAGAGAGCGGTGCATTGATCAGCAACGGACGTAGAGGCATCTAGGTAGAGGGTAGTTTGGTTGAACATGAATCGTCTGATTTCGAACAATGGGCGCAAGAATGTCTGAAGCGAACAGCATGTTAGAGTGGTTATATGCTATGTTTATGAATACTTACGGTTCCACCTCGCAGCCATTGGCCATCCATGGGCTTGAGGAGAGACGACGACTCTTCGGTGAGTACCGCGAGACTTCTCCGCATGGGGTAGACGATGCTCTTTGGGACACCAGTGCTTCCACTCGTTGGGGTGATACTGCATATTACTGGAATTTTGTCGACGATTTCTGATGAAGAGGGAGCACCGAGGAATGCTGGTGCGCTTGATCGTGAGGGGATGAGGGAGAAAGTGGACACGAAAAAGACGGAAGGTATAGGTTGTGATGGGGGGGAGAGTGCACCATGGAGCACAAGACGAACGGAGGCACGAGCGAGCACGGTAGAAAGTACTTCTGAGGTCCATTTATTTGAAAGAAACACGACAGTTCGGCCTGATAGCCAGATTGCATGAGCAGCTGCTACATAGTCGACCTCAAGACTGGGGAAAAGTTAGCCAGGGTGTAAAGACTGAAAAAAAGATGAAGAAAGACATACGCCATGTAGAGACCAATTGGAGAGCCAGAAGGGTCGAGATGATGAATTTGATCAGATATTTGTCTGATTCGTGCCCATAGGGCTGCGTAGGACCACTGTGAGCCTGAGGCTCTAACAGCTGGTCTGAAAGGATGTGACTTTGCTACGTGAAGCAGGGCTTCTGTAGGAGTGAGCATTGAGGTAGACATTATTGCTGTGATAAGCAAGTAAGGAGGGTTTTGAATTAAGTAAGACGCAATAAGCTCCTGTGAAAAATAGGTCGAGAGCGAGATCGTCGACGTTCACTGTGGAGAGGATTAGAATACGAAGGAGAGAGGAAAGTACAACGGGTGCCGGACCCGGGACGAAAAAAAAGGCAGTAGCAAGGTAGGGAGTGGAAGAGGTCGACCAGGAGCCTTACGATGCCATGCAGTGGGGGGAAAGAATTTATATAGAGGGAAGCTGTGCGTCGAAACTTACGGGGAACGAAAGTGGGCTAGGTCTATTATAGACAGAATTGGGAGCAATAGCCGAGCTGGCAGCGTGTTCAGATCAAATGGGCGAAAGCGACATCAGCGACGAGTCCTCACCGCCTGCCCCTCCGTTTATATCTCCCCTGATCCGTGCGACCACTCCTGGATACTCCCTGCATAATAATAACGGCCTTTCTGGCTGCATATACACACTGGACTAGGCTGAGAGACCGTCCGGGGTGCAGCACCAGTTGGCGCTCGCATTGCCTCCCATCAATCTCGTTATTGGTACGACATCGCATATCACAGACCATCCGAGCTCCGATCCGACTCAGCCTGTCTCTACAAGCACAGCCGTGTTCCTACACTCCTCGTGCTCATTATCCTGCGCTACAAGGCACATCCGTGCCTGCTGATCCTCCTACTCATCCATCTTTCTTATCCAAGGAACTCGTCACAATGTATACAAGCCGACCACACACTCTCTCTGAGTCTCTGATCAGTGCCTGCCAGCCTTTCATTCACTTTTATCTACGCGCTCCTTCCAGTTCTGCACTGACTCTCCCACGCACATATCCCACTCTAATATTCGTCTGCCAGGTTCGGCACATTCCTCCCTCCAGCTCCATCGAAAATCTTTCTAATGCTGCACTCGGAAATGAGCTTGTACCCGCACAGCTATTCATAACCAGTCGGCGGGTCAATGCGATGATCTTTGTTTCATCACCCACTCGGACGATTCCATGCCGCGCTGACTTCGGTTTCGCGGCATGGCCTTCACCATTTTATTTTATTAGTCCTGCCTCCAACATTTCTCACTGCAACACAATCAATCGCAACCAGTAAATCTTACCATTAAATTCGGTATCAGTCTAGAATATATTGAGTCATCGACTAGCTGCGACACAGACACTGAGTAATGCCAAGTATATCTTGAGCGCCCAGTTAACCGTGCCCACCCTCCGCATCGTCTGACATCTAACGCTGATTCACTGATCGTCATCAGTCATCCGCCATGTCATTCTCAATCTTACAGTTCTACAGCCTGACAAAGAAGAAAAATATTTATAAAAGAGGATTCATGTACGTAGATTCAAGTACAGTGCTAATAGTACTGAATGTTTAGTGGCATACAGCGCTTATTTACAGGGGTGCAATCAACTTCATGTTGGTACTAGTGGCGCATACCGTAAAGCAAACCCTTTTCGACCTTCAAAAGCCAAAAAGACCTTTTACGATATTAGCACCGACCTTCGCTGTCATACTAAAGTCACACAGGTCTGACTATGGTAGCTTCCTTGATGGGTTCAACGCGCGAAGAAAAACAACACAATTCAAAAAATATCGCCCACTGACATGTCCTTCTCAATCATGACTGATCAACGTGGTACTACTTTGCGTACACAGTTACCATACATAAATGTCTAGCGTCCCTTACCCCTATTCTCTAACTCCTCCTCATTTCCCTGACAGATTTGTCAAACCCTCCGTCAACTTGAACCTCGAGGCAGACTTGGACGTTTAAGACTTAATTGCCAAGACTTTGGTGGAAGAACGACGCGATATGGCGAGATAGTGAGATCGTGAGGGGGGTGTGAGGAAGGAGTCGCAGCCCACTCCTAGGTTTGACGGATTTTCCAACCGCACCTCACCGCTGGACCCATCTGCCCTGCACCCCGATATTCCAGGTTGAAACAAAGCCGCAGCCCAGCCCCCGGCTCGAGATTCAGGCGCTTTGAGACAGTTCGACACTGCCTGCAAAATATCAGGCCCAGACGCTTTAACGTCAAAGATACGAAACGCCAATGAATATATTCTGTCATTGTCAAAAAGGAGACCGTTAAAAATCCCCAAAGTAGAGGGAAAGATCATCTCTACTATCCAACGGCAACCCAAATGTCTGCCATGATCCATGCATGATCATCATTAGAACGTACCTCAGTTGACAACAATAACGCCCCCTACTCAGTCTGTCCTCGCCTCACAGAATTTACTAGGAGAGTCTGGACGCAATAAGGTACAAGTACCTTGTGATAAATACAGAGATGTCAAACATGAACTTGTCAAATCACAGCTTGCTTCGAAAATCTGGTAGTGAGAAAAAAAAACCCCAACAACCCTCCGGTGAAATCACTCACCGAACCACCAGGTTGTCTCCATCAGAAGCTCATGTCGTGATCGTCCATCGTGCTGCATCGACCACTTTGTGCCCATCCGATAAAACCACTGTTGCGTCGTGTACAGGAACTTTGCATACAGGAAGGACTAGAGCTTAATATACTATAAACCGTTCCGTTGACACCATGTAAGGAGGGGGGGAAGGCTAACGTTTGATCCACTAATCGGTCTGTCTGGCACCTATTATGCTTTTGCTCGGATACCTTATCGATATCTTTAGTTGGAGTTGCTGTTCTGATAACGGAGAGTCCTCCAATAGACGGAGAGCACCATATGCATTATAAAAGGTCCTCTTCATCCATCATTGGCCATTGATCTCACCGATCTCATGTGGGCTATCGGAGAGGAAATGGTCCAATATTGAGTACGAGTACCAGGTCTAGAGCCTTGGGTAGCGATTATAGGTCTTCGTTTTTAATGATGAACGTGCCTCCGCCTCTCGTCACCTTGATGAAGTCGTGGACGCTATTGAAAATGAAGAAAGAATGAAGAAAGAGGCCAGTACCGAGATTTGGAACAGAGGCGAACTCCACAACTCTCCGTCAATGCATTATAGCCATCGCACATTGAGCACATGAAATATGTAGACTATCCTTGAAGTCACATTGTCAATCAAGCACGGAGCACCTGATCTCCCGGCTGCCAAGCTCTGCCAAGAGTACCCATGTTACGCGTACATCGTTGGAAAAATCACTCCATAGTGAACAAAGATGACGCTCGTACCAAGCTGGCATAACGTCCCTCACACCGCGTTGCATAGCACGGTCGAATGGGCATAGTAAATATTTTCCCGCATGATGCGGGAGATGCGGGACCTGGATGCTCCTGATGGCGGCGTATGTACAGCTCTTGTTTGAAGACGGAGGTCCAAATAAAACCCTGTGGTATGCATCCCGAGCTGTGAAAATCCAGACAAAAGCAGGGGGAAAATAAGTCGGGTAGCGTCATAGGCGAGGCGATCAATGAATCGTACCAGGTACGCACGATCGCACAAAGTTCAAGGAATAAACATTCCGCTTGTACGGTCTATAGTTGGTGCACATTTGTTTTCTCCATGGGCCCCGACTCTACTTCCGGGTTTCCAGCAGGCGCCAGACTGCCATTGGTCGTTTCTTTAGGGGCCCCCGAGGCCCGGCATGGATAACGGATCCCGGCGGGGATACCGGAAAACTGGATACCGGAAAACATGTCGGTCGTACGGATGATGATCAAGCAACGTCAAAAGCGATGTGATAAGTTGGCGGCGATAGTGATTTGGACCTTGCGTGTACTGATACAGAGAGCGAAGAGAACAATTACATTGAATGGGAGCTCGCAAAAATACCGGAGAAGGTTGAGTTTGCGAACACGATAGGAGAACCTGATATGCCAGTGCTTTTCTTATTTAGGTACAGCAGCAGTAGCGACGCCGTCGAAAGCCTCGTGACTTCTTTTTGTAACTCTAATCGTGAAAGTAAGTCAGTCCTGTAACTCCATTTACTTGTATCACGATGGCCAAGGTGCGATCAGCCCATCAGTATCACCCGAGAATCGTGACGGAACCTGAGAATCTGGACAGAAGGTTGTCACAGACGACGACAGTGAACCCTACTACCACATCGCACATCGAGAACTACTGCCTGATTCCGTCAGACTGAAGCTCCAAAGTGTGAAAGCTCGTTCAAAATAGACGCCGCTAAGCCTGACAGCCTGAGCAATACGGCTTACCATAAGTCAGTGCTACGACAATGGTACCCACACACCCATAATAAGAATAACACACAAAAAACACGAGGCCGTGTGCAGCTGTCTGCCATCGACTTGTCAAGTCACACGTCCACAGCTTGATGGTGACAGGCTCTCGGAGATTGATATGCTTAAGTGGATGGACCGCGAAATGACACCTTAGCTGGCTTGAATGGTACCGTCTACTTCGTAGCTGAAGTCTCGTTATCTGGTACCCCCCCTGGTCCAGACTGCCATAGGCCGTGCCAATCCGTAAGTCACAATTTTGACGAGCTATCGTGCGATCACCAAGCATGGAGATCAGTCCTCGCTTACTGGTGAGTAGGATCACGGGGTTCCGGACTTTTCTATTTGATATCTTGCCGTTACGATGCGAGTAGTTATCATCTTATCAATTGCTCGGTGCGATATCCTACCGAAATTCGAAAGGCAGTTTCACCGATAATGTCGCATAAACAGTATAGGAGACCGAAATTGCATGTGAGTATGGCTTGAACGGAGCTCAGGATCTAGCGTGAACTTTAGGCTGTAGATGGCAAAGCGCTGAATATATCAACGTTGGCGCCAGTCACAATAGATAGCCCAAGATTATAGGTCCATTGGAGTTTGAGCGTCAATAAATTTCAGGAATAGCTATGATTAAAAGCAAGCTCACAACATCTGGCCCCCTGGGCGTTCAATTTCGGGAGAACCCAAAAATCGCGGAATATGCCAGTGAATGAGGAGACTATTACAACGAGTAAGCGCGGAAAGTCACTAGTTGCAGTGATACAATCAATCATATGTAATGTCAAGTACGGACTGCAGTCTTGGTATGCATTACCATGTGGCATGCCCTCACTCTTGAGTCCTGGGCGCCTGAGGAACCGAGAAGAAACTATCGGGTGGGGCCATAGAACTATCAAATGGAAAAGTGTGAAAAATAGAGACGTAGCCACAGGGAGATCCTTAGATGCGAGGATACAGCATATAAACGAATGACGGACACAGAGTTCTACTTGAGGTACTCCGCTGATATGTACCATGTGATTTTTGCACCAAAGCGTCAATGTATTTCAAAGATGATCGGGCTTAGCCTTGGGGCATGACGGCTTAGTCGCGGAACTAGAGAAACTGGGCAAATGAAGGCTTACTTACTTAGAATAGGGTACCATTGACTATATATGCGCGCTTTAATCCTCCCGCATGTGTGGAATTAAATAGACATGCACTGGTATAGATGCAAACAACCACGACAATAGTGGGCTTCCAAGTCCGTGCTGACATGTGTGAAGAGATCTGTATAGCGTAATGGATTCTGCGATAGTGTCGTGGTGTCGGGATTCTGCCCTATAAGTCAGTATGACGCAGTAGACGAGGTTTACAGATGAATCTACCAAATGAAGAGGGTAGAGACCGTTAATCGGGAGTATTGAAATAGGGTGAACTTCTAGACTTCGATGAGCATTTTTGATTACAGTAGCGGAGATTCTCGAAGCAAGAACTAACACGTGTTGCCATCAACACCTTGAAAGGTAGAGCGCCCTTCGTAACATTGAAGCGCCCGTTCGGTTTGGTTCGAAAAAATCAGCATCGCAGTGGTAAGCATTCGACTTGTGAGCCATATCCTAATGACTCACATGGCTTAGCGAATAAAAGGTTTTTGTGAATGGTATTGGCGGACTGAGCTGTTTGCGCCAACAGCGGCTATACAAAACATGTTACTCTGTGGCTTGAACATTCTCCCATAGTACTGAAATATGTATGATACTTTGAGAGGGTAATATGCATCCCGATGAGTACATATAGAGCCACTCACACCAGTATTTGCTGTGCTATGTAGATGGTTCAGAAACTTGCCAATGATAGAAAAAGATTTGGATCATAGATTGTCTTATTCATGCAGACATTGGTCCGACTACGATGTCCTTTTGTCTTTTGTCTGCGGGACGAGAGCTATGACGAGCACCATGGCAGTCTGGGGTAAGAAGCGGCAACTCAAACTGAGTTCGCTGTCTTCCTGGATTACCACCTCAAGTTGCCGGTGAGTTTGAAACCTTATTACGTCCGACTCGGAGACCCGTTTCAGTTACCACTTTCACCGAATGATGTTTACACTGAAGCCCGAGTCGGAGCTGCTGTAACATGTCAATGCCAAACCAATCACACCTCCATCTTGCGATCATAGACGGAATCACTGTAAACACGAATGACTCCAGACTGACAAGAATCTTAGTAAAGGCGAAAGTGAGGGCTGTTACTACAGTGCGTTTGTGAATTACTATATTTTCAAATGAACACTCTGTGAAACGATCACGTATCCTTTGCACATCTTACTAGGGCTGTGTTTTCATTTCAATTGTCGATACATTCCTCGTTCTGCGTCGTTGAGCAAGGTTCTTCGCAGGTTTACAATGTAAACATTTCCCCTCATGAAGTTATGGCTATCTAACACCATCCAACGTTGTCCATTGGTTCTCAGGTTTTCCGCCCATGTTGTAAATGAAGTCGTTCGTCCATGAGCCTATTTGTTTTCCATGTCACTGTAAGATATTTTTCTGCGAACATTAACATGCCACACTTTGGCATGCACGTCGATTGGACTGCGGATGTGGAATAAGTCACCCACATCATATAATTCTAGTAAGCATCCCTTCCATCAGCAACAACATAACTTTGAAGGGTGCTCATTTGGTTATTATGCCAGGATGTCGATGAGGCGCAGTCGATTTTGCCTTTTTACCTCCAGCCTTGTACCAAGCCCAAGTTTAGCCGGCTACTTATATTCCCATCGACCATGCCAAACTCAAAAGTAGTCTCATACGATCATACCTCCAATAAGCAAATCTTTCAAGCAAAAATATATACAAAATGGTATGTCCCGATGCGTTTATCCCGGTAAGACACAGTCTATACTGGCTCTCGGCCTCTATCACGACCCCAGCTCTGACTTTCTCCCCCGTCAGGCTAGCTAAGGAGGATTCGTTCCACTGAATTTCAAGTATGGTCCACTTTTTTACTCGCCACAACAGCTACTCAAAATCAACTCATCAAAAATCGTTGCTCACCCTTCTATATTTCCAAATACGTTCTTCAACTCCTGACTCTTAGTTGCTATAGGGTATGTAACCGTCCCTGAAAACTGGAGACTCGAGCGTCTGATTAGGCGATAGACTCTTCTACGAGATTCAGACGTGAAGATAGGTGGTCTGTGATGTCTAATTAGTGAACACGAACTCTCAGCCGGTGATCTCTTATATTGCTTCTGAAGACTGAGGCAGTTCAGCCCACTCTTCTTCGCCAAACAACGTGAAGCTGTGCATAGCGGACCCAGTACGGTTAGAGAGGATTGATAGATCTTTGAATCGAAACCATGTTGGGCTCAAAGTCATTTCGATAGCGACTCATCTATGCACAACTTGACGATGCAACATCATGGGGTCTGTTCGCAGCGAAACTTGCCAAGCTCGGGTTACGTCTTGTACACTTTCCTTGTGCCCCTGATCAACGTATCACGAGGAGAAATCGAAACGTGAGTTACGTCCACACCGAAAGTCTAAAAGGCTACTAAATGCACTATCTAGGCAATTCTTGAACGTCATATCATTGTAGTTGGTTGTCGAAACCATTCACTGTACGAGGCCCGATCCTCTTTGCAGTAGTGAAGGATATACAGTCTGGTGCTGCTATTTTATTGAGGAGATCAACTGTCACAACAAGCATTAACATGCAAATTATCGATGACCTGGATATATTTGACGCACCCTTCGAGCGCCCAACACCGAGTATGAACAAAGGCGGAAATTACAACCGCTCCAAGATGAAACTTCATCAGACGGTGTTTATCCCGAAATGTGCTATTAGCTTTCATATAGGTCACACTTTTCTCCATCTTGATATCTAGTTATCGAGGACGAAATGTGAGTTTCCCATTAATGTGGGATACAGTGCTGGTCACCCTAGATGCCCTAAAATTGACCAAGAATAAGACTTTTCGGGTTCATGGCTAGGTTTGATTCAATGCCAAACTTTTTTTTTGAACAGATGGACAAGTAAATGCCACAATAAAACCAGTTAGAGTTGTTCGATAACAAAGAGTGATTTCACTATGGCATCGACCAATCTTCCCATTCTTCGAGAGGTGCTAAGTGCTAAATAGTAAGTTGTAGTTCTGTGTGGCATGACATCGGGGCGATGTAGGACGCCCGGAAAGGCATTTGCTGTAAATCGTACTGAACGCCAACGTGTGAACCAAAGCCTGAACCAGTTTATTTCAGTTCGCCTCGTCCCAAAGATGGCAGCGCCCCGAGAAATTTGATGCATCAAAATGGCATGACGAGTGATCGGATGCAGTATAGTGCAAAATACTCAGTTTCATGCGTTATCAATGTTGCGATGCTTATATTGTGAGCTTAAGGTCACGTATAGCCAACGATCGCGCTGTATCGGATACTTACAGGAATTTATTTCCTGGCTCTTCGGTTTTTCCAGTCAATTTTGACAAAACCCGGACTCCCGAGTGCATGTGCTGAACGATGACGCGTTTGCTGCGAGTCGATGGTGGTCGCGAAGGAGCCTGGTTACTGTTAGATGGAGGCAATAACGACGACGAGGCGCTATTCTTATCTGACATCGGTTCGCTGATGTAGATTTCGAGCAATGATTAACTGTGAGCCCGGAGGTCTTTTCAAATGGAGCTCGCTGAGACCTGAAAGAAAATACAAAGTCGATTGAAGAGCTCAGTTTCATGGCGTTTCAGACGGCGGATGCTGTCAACTGTCACATCAACGTAATCATCGCCATTCTTCACGCAAAGTCAAACGGTAAGCTGATTCTCCAGCAACACTCACAAGCACCTGCTCGCAACATTTAGCCTCGCAACGTGACCCACAATTGACAATTGTACCACTGAATTCAACGCGGTAAGAACGGATTTTTTTTCCTAGTCAGATATCAATACAGTGAGACGTGGTACTTACCGTAGCAATGAGATAACGGCCTACCATGTGGGTTTGATGCCACAATTCCCGAGGCCTGAGAGTGGGATGCGCGCAATTCGAGGTATGTCGTTGCCTATCCCGAAGTTAGATGATACAGTATGCCAAAAGAAATCATGAGGAATCAGCCGCCGCATCAGTGTGGATTGTTCACTTCTTCCGGGAAGCTCGCACCGGAGTTGGCGCCTTGAGGACACGCGCGCTTGCGCAAAGGTCATGCAAAGATAACTCGATGCGACGCCATTCCGATTCCGCATCCTATGTCAACATGTCAAATAGGCTGGCCAATGGTTGGGCATACCGAGGATAGGATCACGCCACTGCGGGAGTTGCGCTCCTAGGATTCTGGTACTGGGCCCATCACGCAGCACCAGATCGGCGGGCGACTCGGATAAGCGTGGGTTACCCTGATGAGTATGACCAGGGGCCCCAACGGATTGTCACTGGCAATGCTTTCAGTTACGTTGCTTTTGAACTTGAAAGGTGACATTCGTCAGGAAAGTCGTTTACCTTTGACGTTGACGTTGACCTACGTTAATTCAGTGCGACTGACCATGTGGTGTGATGTCGCAATTGTTATCCACATACGTTTTGACGTCGACTGTTCGAATTGTCGTCGCGTAACGTTGTACGACTCGGAGTACGCGACCTCCCTTATTTTGACAAATGTCATCGAGCCTGCCAGAGAGGATAATTGAACGCACCTTTTAGGCTAGGTCGAGTACCAAAGTACACTGACTAGTATGGTTAGTTTGGTCCGAGCGCTATTAGCAACAGCCCAAGCACATAAATATCCCAAGCGTAGCTGATTATCGAAGATCTGAAGCTGACCTCCTGTATGTCATGTCAGGTTTAGTGGCAAACCTGATTGCAGCATCACGGCATCTCCCACCGTAATAACGAAACAGTGGCAGCCTTGACAGAACTGAAAAACTCATAAAGTAACCGAGAGAAGTCGCCATATTAATACACTGGCAGGAGAACTTACGGAAAACTGAATTAGTTTTGAATTGCGAGAGCCATCAGGTGTATTTATTACAACGACCAAAAACAGGCTGTCAAGTCCCCGTCATTATTATGAACAAATATGTAGTCTTCTGTCGTGCAATCAGATATCCAAAAGAAAGTCCAACGTATGTATGCGGTATAATGTAACGTTTCTTCGGTTTTATCGTAAAATCCTCCGATCTATACTCGGCAGATGCTACTGGTTACGTAGGCAGTTCAGCTCTTGATGGAACAAGTCCAGGAGCAGCGAAGAGAACAACTGCTATCAGCTCTGTCAGGGCTGACAGAGGGTACCAGAGATCTTCGTTGTCTTGCTTTGTCAGGTCGTTTGAAGTGGCAGTAAAGAACGCCTCGCGAGCTACGAGAAGTAGAGATATGACGGCCAAAATGTACATGCCATGGGTGGATCCGAACCCTGCATTGACAGTTTTATAAGAGCCGTCTATAGAAAGACAAAGGGTAAATTTGGTAAGAATGGTGTTAGAAGAAAAATACGTACATGAAGACTCTGCTCTGATGAGCAACACTGTTTGGAAAGCAACAAGGATACTCAGGATAAGGAACAAGTACACAGCGACTTTGCGAAGGGTGGAGCCGGTGCTCATTGCGCTTGGCGAGTTTATCTGTGCGGCTTCAATGGCACCAGTTATGCCCACTGCTACGGCAGCCATCAGAACAATACGGAATAATGGACGTCTACGGGTAATTCGAGAGATGGGGCCATCTGGCAAAGGTGCATCGGAAAGTAATGCGCTATTGAAAGGATATTTTTTAGTAAAAGAAAATCATATATATAGTGAAAAACGAACCGGTCGAGGACGAGAGTGTATGCAGAGTACAGGAGACCGAAGAAACCGACATTATATATGACTTCAAACGTGATGAAGAGGCTCAGGTCGTTGCCGTCTTTAGGGACATCAGCCAGCATGGCTCGGATGATGAAAGCAGCGATCCGAACTGCATATTATTATGAGCACATCGTAGGCTGCCACAAAAAAAAACCAGGATACGCACGGGCACAGAAGAGAGACGTGACGATGTAGACATAGGTTGGACGACCGATTGCTTGCTTGATGAAGAAGAAGAACAAGGGGACGTAGAGGATGGCAAAGATTACGGCGCCAGCGACGGAATGGATACCACTTTCTCCTGCGATTGTTTCGGCCATGATGGTTGAGGGAGAGAGAGGGATGTGGTAGGGGGGAAAGGATTGTGAGACAGCTTAAAGGGCAGATCAACCGCACAAGAAGGGAAGCGAAAGGCGGATTGCGGGTTTATGACTGGAAGTTGTAGCGCCACACGCTGTCAAGCACTGCCCACTTTATTGTATTTTGGGACAATTGATGGAATCGGGGTTTTGATATTAGGGCAGAGACTGGCGAGAGCGTGTGATTACAAGGCAAGTCCTGTGCATAACAGTTTACGAACGGACGGCAGTGCCATTGTTACCGCGATTAGAGTGTCATGTCGCCATATAGGACTTGTTTCACTGTCTTGTTGTTCCATTCCAGAGGACCGACGATGTAAGACACCCACCAAAAGGCGCTGGAGGCTATGCTGGCCTCGACACGGAATATCGAGTGGCTGTCGGACTGCATAACGTTCGTCGTGTCGAACCGAGCGACCGGTGCGGTGCTTTGATGTCTCTTTGATGGCGCCTGATTGGCGAAATGGACGGGGATGAGCCGGTTCGCTTTCCATATGCGGTAACCTGCCATATGCGGTAAGTATAGTCGTGCAGATTGATAGCACCTCCACCACGCCTGTTGGGCAATTCCAACGCAACCGTTATGCTCTTCAACACCAATCCATCAAACGTTTTACTCCGTCGTTTGGATGCACTTAGATCTCTACAATCTCCGTGATTATCTATTAGGCACTTCCTGACAGGCAGTGCATGGCGTCTGGCATTCGTTCATGAGCATTGAAAAAGAGACGATCTCCGGGCCTTCGTTAGCAACATAGCCTTCAAAGTATTCAAAAACTGAGTGTAGAGGCAGTCACCGAACTCATCTCCCCAAAATCCAGTCGAGCTGCGAGGTCCGCACATAATTTTAGTCAACCGCTTCTTTTCGTTCTTCTCCCTATCGAACTCATAAGTCGAGCTCCACGACTCTCGATAAACCATCGTCTTCTTGCTAATCTTAAGTTTTATCAACGCATAACGCTCTCCTCTCTTGGCATCCTTCATCATGTCTGCTGAAGTGCCGGTCGCGATCATCGGTATCGGTGGCAAGTTTCCCGGAGGGTCGGATACTCCAGCTATGTTCTACGAATTCCTTCGCAATAAGGTATGTCAATCCTGTCTATCTTATCTATCGACGCATTCAGGTGGTAATGTTTGTATCCTTAGGGTGATGGAATGATAGAACCCCCCTCGGATCGTTGGATTCACGCCGAGTGGATGGGCATGTACTATATATCATCCACCCTATAAATGTTCTAACAGCTTTCCATAGGTGGTAAGGATGAGCCCGGAAAGTATCATTGCACGAAAGGTGGTTTCATCAATGGCATCGACCAATTTGATGCTCTAGAATTTGGTATCTCTGCGAAGGAAGCTCAGCATCTCGACCCAGCTATTCGTTTGACACTGGAGGCCGCTCACGATGTGCGTTTTTTTTTGGCGACTTCTCAATCCAAAACTAACCCTCATCATATCACGTGTAAAGGCCCTACAGGACTCGGGGATCGATTATCGAGGGTCAAAGACTGGTGTATTCTTTGGCAATCTACTGACGACTACTGACGAACTTGACGACGATCGTTATGAAATGAACAACTACAATGGTGTTGGAAAATGTGTTTCCATTCGAGCAAACCGTATTTCTTTCACATTCGACTTGCGAGGACCATCTTTGACGGTTGACACCGGTGAGTGCTCAACGATATTGACATGAAAGGCATTTTATAATATACATCTCGATTTCTAGCATGCTCTGCATCTGCTACCGCCATGCATCTCGCCTTAAGTGCCGTCAAGCTCGGAGACTGTGACCAAGCTCTAGTTGTCGGTGCCAACACTATGATAAGCCCCGAACATACCGTATCTTTCTCGAAACTAGGTGTCCTGTCACCTACCGGCTCTTCCAAATCTTTTGATGCGGATGCTGACGGTTACGCAAGGTACATAAACTTGCTCATTATTGAGAATAATCGCTTTCCAAATTCTGAACCCTTTTCTTTCGTGTAGAGCTGAAGCTGTTGCTGCTGTCCTTATCAAACGTTTAGATCATGTGAAACGTGACGGAGACTCAGCTTATGCTGTTCTCACTGGCAGTGCTATCAATGCCAATGGTAAGGGAAAGAGTTTGACGATGCCGGAAGGAGCCATGCAAGCAGAGACCATCAAAGGTGCCTACGCAACTGCTAAGCGCAATCCAGCCGAGGCATTCTACGTAGAACTGCATGCCACGGGGACGAAAGTCGGTGACCCTATTGAGACCAATGGTGCCGGTACCGTGTTCTCGAAGGAACGTTCCGATAGCAATCTTTTGAGGTATGTAGATAGCTGATGATACTTAGCTTATTCTAAACCGTCTATGCAGAGTCGGAAGTATCAAGAGTAATATTGGACATGCTGAGGGCTGCAGTTTCCTGGCCAGTCTGGTGAAGGTTTCGTTAATGTTGCACCACAAGGAGATTATCCCCAACATCCGTTTCAACAAGGCAAATCCGAAGATTGACTTCGTCTCTGGCAAGATGAAGGTGCAAACAGAGGTAATATTATATGTTTGTAGTTTTAAGTTGCAGTCACTCACCCTCTCGTTATAGCTTGAGAAGATTACCCCAGCGATGGCAGCTAAGGATGGTAAATGGGTCACTTCCATATCGTCTTATGGTGTTGGAGGTTCCAACGCACATATCGTGCTCGAATCGTTTGATAGTGTGCAGGATCATGTGCAAGCGACGACAGCGACGATAGCTACTGTCCCGAAGCCTCTCTATCTATTTTCAATTGGTACACTCACAGAGACATCGCTCGCTCGCTGGAAGGAAACACTTACCACTTCTTTTGGCGACGTTACTGACGACAAGACTCTGCGCTCCCTCTCACGCGACTTGGGCCGTCAAACTCGTGCTTACCCTGCGCGTGCCTTTGCTGTCGCCCCATCACTCAACGCTGACGCCAAATTCTCCAAGCCTGTGTTGACCAACAGCAACTCGAGTCCCAAGCTCTGCCTCGTTTTCTCTGGACAGGGTCCTCAGCATATATTCATGGGTCGCCAACTCGCCGAGAGCTATCCAGCTTTCTTGGAGGCTGTTCAGCTGAACGATAGTATCCTTGTGAACAAGTATAAGCAGGAGTCCATGCTTGAGCGCACTGGACTTTTCATTCCAGGTGTAGAGGCAAAACTTGCTGCGAATGGTGTGTGGCCGGTGCGAGAAGTTGTTCTCTCCCTCGTCTTCGTCCAAATGGCACTCGTCGACTTGATTAGGAGCCTTGGAATCGAATACGAGTTCGTTGTGGGTCACAGGTAACGTTATTTAAATGTTATTGCTTTACATAGTCGCTAATGATCCATCCCTGCTAAGTATTGGTGAAATTGCTATGGGCTACGCATCTGGCCATTACAATCGCGAGATGGCGATTGGTATCGCTGTTGCTCGTTCAGCTGCCATGACCAAGGCTGAAGGTAACGGTGCCATGGTTGCCCTTGGTGTGGGCGTGCAGAAAGCAAAGACCATGATGCGCAAGGTCCTTTCCAAGGCAAAGGCAACTAGTGGTCTATGGATTGCCGGCATCAACTCTCCTCAGGCTGTTACGGTCGCAGGTACTCACGAGCTCATTGACGCAATGGTTGAGCTTGCCAACGATCCGGACGCGAAAGTCTTTGCAGCCAAATTGCGTGTTGGATGCGCGTTCCACACCCCCCTTATGGAGCCTCAGGAGGAGCTGTTCAAGTCCCTGATGCAGGAACCTCTAGGACAAGGCACCAAGAAACCCATCGCGCGAGTGTTGTCCACCACTGACGGCAAGTGGTTGGACCGTGATCTCGACATCAACTACTGTTGGGATAACATTCGTCGTCCTGTACTTTTCGGTACTGCTATGAACAAGATCATCAACGATCACGGAGCCGAGGGTCTCTTGTTCCTTGAGATTGCACCCCACCCTGTTTTGAAAGCCTATATTGAGCAATGTGGTGGAGAGCCCGTTAGCTTGATTCGTCGCCCCAACCCCAAGGTCCCAGCGCAGAACACTGGCGAGCACTACCAGTTTTTAGAGGGTGTCGGCAATTTGCTTGCTTCTGGCTTCAAGAGAGTCGACTTTGATAAACTCTGCGCTTCCCCCGATGGCCAGAATGACTTTGTTAAGCCCAAGCTTCCGAACTATCCTTACAACAAGTCTTACTGCTGGGCTGAGTCTGCTGGCGAACGCTCTCGCCGACTACGCGAGAAGCCTCGACCCATCGCCACCCCCCACTTCCGCATCAACGTCGACAGTCATCCTGATCTGACTGGTCACATCGTATTTGACGCCGTTTTGTTCCCCGCCTCTGGGTAAGTTCGCTTGAGATCTTTGAATATTCCAAGTCCTAATTCATGTTTGCAGATATGTGGAGAGTATTTTGGAGAACGGAGCCATGGTTGCTTCTGATGTCGCGATCCACAAGCCACTCGTCCTCAATGGCTCAGGTAGTTTCCCGGGACATGCCGGATGTGTCATCGATGGTGACAAATGGCAGTTCCGTGCCTCTACTAACGGCGAGTTCGACAATGGCGAGATCATCCTCGACGCTGTCTATGCTAGTGGCACTTTCTCTCGCGTCAATCCCGCTTATGACGAAAATGCACCCCTTATGTTCGACGTTCAGTCCAAGCTTGCGCTTTCCCAAGGTTCTGTCACTGGAAACGAGTTCTATGAAGCCATCCCGTCTGCATACCGCTACCAAGACCACTTCAGGAACTATTTGAAGGTTGTGCACGAAGTTGCGGATGAGAGCAGTTGGGGCGGCAAGGCCTACTTAACACGACTTGAAGTGCCTGAAGGCACACCAGATGTATTTGGCAGCGGATATGTTATCCATCCAGGTATTCTCGACAGCATCACGCAGTGTGGTCTTGCTATGTTCATCAACATGGATACCAAACTCTTCGATTTCAATGGCGTTTTCCTACCTGTGAAGATCGATGCATTGCGCAGATGGGACAGTCGTGATGCGCCTGACCTAGACTCGGAGATTAGGAAGGGTATCTGGACTTACTTCACTGGGCGAACTTGGGCTCCTGGTGGACCATTCAAATCTGATTATGTTATCACCAATTCGGAAGGTCGCGTCTTGTTTACGATCGAGGGCTTCGAGATTGCTCGTGCGCCAGATGCTGAACCTATCCCCATCACCGATAGCAGCGTCGAAGAGCGTCTGACAACTACTTGGCAGTCGCAGAATTTCCCTTCGACGTCACTTTCTCTTCCTTCTGGGAGCTCTTTACGCTCAACCTTCGACACTTTGGTCAAGAATGCTGCTGTTGCTGGCCGTAAGGTGGTGAGAGTGTTGGACTTGGACCCCACACCTGCCATGGCGAAGGGCCTCGATGCTTCGTTGGCATCTCTTTTTGAGGATTCTGACTTGCTGGTCGAATACTTCTGTGGTGCTGCATCCCCAGAAGAAGCTGATGCTAAGACATCCGAGCTGAAATATACGCATGCGCGGTCCATGGTGGTGGATTCTTGGACATTGAAAGATGATGCAGCTGTTTCTACATTTGCTAGGTTAGTATTGTTGAAATCAACCACTTCATAGTCCCGCTGATAAGTTATTATAGCTTCGATATTGTGCTGCATTCCGTGGATCTTTCAGCAGTTCCTGTCGATATCACGCAATTGACGAACTTCCTGGTGCCTTCAGGAATCGTCCTCTTTTTGGTTTCTGGTGATTAGTTCTATATTATAACATCCAATCTTGAAGTGCTGATAGACGTTTTACAGATTCGCAGTCAGTTTCTGAAGACCCAAGTTCTCAACGGATGACCCTCCCCTCACTGGCGGCGCAGCTTCGTTCACTCTTTGGTGTTGATGCAGAAGTATCCCAGCTAACTGATGGAAATGCCCTCATCGTGGTCCGTATATTTGGGGCCACTCTCTCGGTCCCAGCAGGTCCTTTCAGGAGTGTCATCATCCATCCATTTGTACACGGCCAAGAGGGAGAACTTGTTGAAATTGCTAAGAATGTTGGTGCCGACTCCGAAGTGTGGATTACTGGAAACGACGATGCAGCAGGTATTGGAGCTTTGGGCATCGCGTCTTGTTTGATCGCCGAATCTCCGGAGTTCATCGTTCGTTCGGTGTTGTTTGAAGACCACTCGCTGAGCGACGCGGCAAGGGAGAAGATCATCCACGACTTGCGTCGCAATTCTCTTTTGCTTGAGCAGCACTTGAAGATATCTCGTAATGGTGATGTGTTTGTGCGCAGGCTCGTGAATGGTTCGGTGGCGGTCAAGGATACGATTATTCCTGCAAGTGGATTGTCAACTCATGCAGGTGCCACAACCACCGTTGCTGCGCACTTCCCTCCTAGTCTCGGAGAGACTCAAGTCGAAGTTCAAGTCGAAGTTCTCGGAGCAGAAAGTCTATCAATCGAAAAACCACTCCTCACATTCGTGGGCTCTATCAAAACCGTGGGTTCGTCCGTCAAGAGTCTCGACATTAACACGAAGGTAAAGATTCGATCCTCAAAGTCTAGTAATCTGTTATGTTAATAAGGATATACTCATAGGTTATTGGAGTTGCTCGGCATACTCCTGTCGATGTTATTGTTGCAGATGAAGACGCCATAGTTCAACTTCCAGTTGGCGTTGCGGTCAACGATGCAGCTGCTTTACCATCTACATTCCTCGGTTCTTGGATGGGTCTCATCCAACTTGCCCGGATTTCACAGTCTTCTGCTGTATTGATCCATGATGCTGCCTCCAGTAAGTTTTATTTCTGTCATTATTGACCTGGTGTCTGATCCACTTTACTAGGTGCTGGCTATAGTGCTGTGCAGCTGTGCCAACGATTCGGCGGGAAGATGCTGTGCACTGTTTCTTCAACAGCAGAAGCGCAATATCTGTCTTCGGAGTTGAACTTGTCAAAGGATTCTATCATCATTATCGACGACTTCTCTGCAGCTCCTTCTAAATGGCTGCATAACCACGAGGTCTCAGCCTTTGATGTCATCTTTAACTCGCATGGAAAGCCTGCATTTGGGAAGGGAGTTGAATACTTATCACCGTTTGGTTGCTATATCCATGTTCAAGCGAATGATCAAGACACCGTGAAGCTGCCGCTTGGCGCACCATCCACGCACATTCTTCAGGTCAACAAGCTTGCTGAAGCTTCCCCCCGTAAAATCGCTCCTTTGGTGACTGCTATTCTCGCTGTCCATGCGTCTCAGCCCTTCAAAATACGCTCGCAGTCTGTCACTATGGATAATGCACGCGAGGCTGAAACGGGGGGAAACCTTGGTTCTTTAGTGATGGCTGTCGAGAAACCACGGTCAGTTCGTATCGATCCTACTGGCCAGCTTTTCGATCCACGCAAGAGTTATATCTTGGTTGGTGGTTGTAGCGAGCTTGGTGTCCGTATCACAGAATGGATGGCAATTCATGGAGCTCGCCATATCTTCCTTTCAAGTCGCCGAGGTCTAGGAGGTCTCACGAAAGTAGACAATCTCTATATCCACTACCTTCGCCAGACCGGTGTTCAGGTCGAAGTTATCGCATCTGACGCTGTAAACAAAGAGCACACTGCAGCGTTGATTGAGACTGCAAAGAAGGCAGGTCCAATTGGTGGTATTTTCCTCATGACGGTCGTCCTTCGTGATGCCAAGTTCACGAATTTGACGCAACAATCTTTCGATGACGTTTATCGATCCAAGGTGGATGCCCTTAATACTCTCCTTAGCTGTGTCGACTCAGCTTCTCTGGACTTCCTTCTCCTTTTCTCCACGATTGGGTCTGTCTTCGGAAATGCAGGACAAGCAGCATACTGCGCCTCACAGCTGTTAGTTGATCCAGATCTGCCCTCTTCGCATTTTTACTGATTATGTGCCTATTAGCTATCTTGATCGTATCGCTGACGTGATCCCTAACACGATTTCTATGTCGTTCCCTCCTATCACAGACTCAGGTATCTTCAAACGGCTCGTCCTTGCTACGAAAGGTCGCGCAAACACAGCTGCGTTAACGAGGACCGGCATGACCACCGCCCAAGTCTGCAACTTCATTGGTGATTCTTTGATTCGGCGCATTGCACACTACGTTCCAATGTTGGCGATCGGGGATGTTCCAGACACATTCTCTACCTGCGAACCTCTCCTGTATGGGCATCTATTACCAAATAAGTTCCTTGTATCGAACGCTGCAGGAGGCAAGGATGGAGATGTCGCGGAGTCTCCTGCAACATTACTTGCTACACTCTTGAGCATGGAGGCGGACCAAATCACGGACAATGCTCTAATCACCAGCTTTGGCTTGGATTCGCTAGGAGGTAATGACACCTTCATCTCTACGTATATTGTTAGTAACTTTCTGTCATTCCACAGCCACTCGTTACAGCAATCAGCTTAAAACTCGCTTTAATATCCAAGTCAGCCAGATTGAATTGCTGGGTTCTATGACTATCGGAGCATTGAATGAGATGGTTGCTAAAGTAGGTGTACAAGCAAGCGGAGATGATGCAGGGTTTGCTCTCGATGACGGTTCTTCCAAATATGGTGAACCTCTGGTACCAATTCTGAATGACCGCCTTGCCTATGATGAACCTTACACTACCGATGCTTCTCCTCATCAATACCGAATCTGGCTTGCTCAGGTGCGATCTTGGCTTCATCTAAACCATGCATCTTAACTAACTATCAATCATTTTTAGCGCGAATATGATAACGCTCGCAAGCGGTCGGTCAGCAAAATCGACTCGAACATGTCACGCTACGGTGCAACTCAATGGGATACTCACGAAGGCTATTTCGTTACGATATACTCCGAAACATCAATTGACGTTGATCGTATGACCGAAGCATTCCAGGAGGTCGTGCAGCGGCACGGTGCTCTGCGAACTGCTTTCACCTGGAATGAAGAGCTTGGAAAGTTGGAGCAGACTATTTACCCATCGGTCGACTTCCAGGCGTCGCTCATCGACCTATCTAATGAGTCAGACGCTACTGCTAAAGCCTACGAGATGAGCTTAGCCATGAACAACGAACCCAATTTCAAACTCGATAAACTACCTCTCTTAACTGCCACGATGTTCGACCTTGGTGGCGGTGACTGGGCATTCAATGTCGTCATTCACCATATTATCATTGATGAAGCTTCTTTGGGCGTTTTCTTCTACGAGTTGTTTGGTTTGTACTTGAATGGCCCCGGAAGCCTTCCAGATGTCAGCATCCACTACTCTGACTTCAGTGACTGGCTCGGCAAGACATCTGAACGTCGTGCAGAGTTACGAGACGAGCAGCTCAAATTCTGGGCCAACAATCTGCAAGATATTCAACCTCTGCACCTCACACTCGCTACACCCTCTGACAAGGAGTTGGCTCCCATTACTCAGATTGAAGCTAAGGTCGGCATAGGCGCTCTCGAGCAGTACCACAAGGTTATCAATGAAACGAGTGCAACACCCTTCGCCGGTTTCTTCGCAGCGTACAACATCCTGCTCCACAAATACTCTGCTCAGTCTTCCTTCGTAGTGGGTACTGCTGTCACTCAAAGGAACCTCGCTATGTTGTCCAACGTAATTGGCTTCTTCGCCAATATGCTTCCTATCAAGACCGACATAGATGAAGATCAGACGTTCTCGGAATACCTGGTCAAATTCAAGGACTCTTTGATCGCGTGTCTCTCTAATGGTGAGGTGACATATGAGGACATTGTTGGCCAGGGCAAAGCTTCTGCTCATGGGCGTGGCTACTTCAAGCACCTCTTCGCACCGGGTGGAATGAATATGGAAACGATCTCTCAACTTGAGATGAACCATCTAAAGCCCAGAGCCACTTTGCCTCTTCCCAACGGCGAAGAGCAATACGAGTTCTTGCTCACTGTACATGCTAAAGCCGGCCACGTTGTGCTTCGCTTCGATAACCACTTGTACTCAGAGGATGCTGCACGTCAATTCTTGGATGCCTACATTGCTCTAATCGAAACCCTGGGCCGTGATGCGCACGTGAAGATCCGCGACATATCTGCTGTTAGTGAACGCGAACACGAACGACTAGTCAAGGAGCTTTCATCTGCAAATGAATCATCCGTGCGGGAGACCACTGTTCATCAACTCGTGGAGGAACAGGCTCAGCGTACTCCACGTTTCACTGCAGTAGAGTTTGAGGGTGAATCATTGACATACGCAGAGTTGAATACCAAGGCCAATCGCATTGCCAAATCGCTTATTCAACAGGGTGTCAATAATGGGGATATCGTTGCATTATGCTTCGACCGTGGTATTCACCAAATCTTGGCCATCTTGGCAGTTCTGAAGGCAGGCGGTACCTTTGTTCCTCTGGATCCTGATGACCCCACTTTACGCAAGGAGCTCATGATCGCGGAATGTAAAGCGAAGGTTCTGTTGACTACCTCAAATCACTCTCGTGTATTCGAGAAGAGTCTCGCTTCAAAAGTTTTGGTGAGTAAACTTGATGATGTGATTTCGTTTACTTATCGCCTGCTAGATTGCTTATATCGACGATCCGAGCTACGAGAAGCGCCTCAGTCGCTTCGATGGAGGAAACTTCGTTGTCGATGGGCTGACGCCTTCGAGTCTTGCTTATATTATGTAAGTTGTATTGATTTGAGATGTCCTGCGCATCGTGCATCTAACTTTTTCAAACAGGTTCACGAGTGGCAGTACGGGCAAACCAAAAGGTGTCATGATCGAACATAGATCAATTTCGAACTTGGTACAACATTCAAGCGTCTATGGCTTCCAACAGGGCGTTCGCGTGATGTCTTCCCTTGCCTACACCTTTGATCCGTTTGTTGTCGATGTTTTTGGTACACTTGCACATGGTGCTACGCTAGTCACCGGACGCAAGGAGCTCGTGCTTGGTGACATTCCTAAGGCTATCAAGTCTCTGCGTATCAGCGTGCTTCATGTAACGCCCAGTATCCTGGCTGTCGTCCCCGTGGAAGAATATTCTACCCTCGAAACTATCGTAGTTGCAGGAGAGGCGTTGGGCAAGAAGCTGGTCGAAGATTGGTCGAACATGGTCACCTTGAGGAATATGTATGGCCCAACTGAAGCTTCAGTCGACTGTATTTCTTGCCACGTCACATCTTCATCCCTCACTGGAGTTATCGGTCGCCCTCTTCCCAACAACCGCATTTACATCCTCGATAAGCAGCTTCGACCTACCCCCATTGGTGTGGAAGGTGAACTTTACATCGGCGGTATTCAACTGGCTCGTGGCTATCTGAACCAGCCAGAGCTTACAGCTAGTAGTTTCATCCAAAATCCTTTTGTGAATGGAGATCGTCTGTACAAGTCCGGTGACATTGCTCTTTACCGCTCTGACGGCAACATCGAATACTGTGGTCGCGAGGATCGCCAGATCAAGCTTAGAGGACAACGTATTGAGCTCGGAGAAATTGAAGATGTCATCCACAAGTACCCCGGTGTACAAAGAGGCGCTGTCGTCATCCGAAGCGTACAGGATGCTCCTGCCATAGTAGCATTCGTCGAATTCAAGCAAGAGGCACAAGAGAATTTGGAGGACGAGAAGGAAGGATTGAAACTCTTCGTCTCTGAGAGACTACCTCGATTCATGTATCCTTCTCTCATCGCTGCCCTCCCTCAACTTCCTGCATCTCGTAGTGGCAAGATCGATCGTAATGCACTCAAGCAAATGGATCTCAAAGCATTCGCTCCAGATCTTTCCAGCGAGATGGGCCTGCCGCAATCTGATGTCGAGGTCGAGCTTATGTCCATATTCTGCAAGACATTGAAAGTAGACACTGGAAGCTTCGGTGTCACTCACGATTTATTTGCTGTTGGTTTGAACTCGTTAATGGCTGTACAGGCGGCTGGTGTAGTTTCGAAGACTTTCAATGTCCACATTGGTCTTAACAATATCTATTTGAGGTACGCGTTTATTATATTGATAGGGAAATTTTTTTGACTTGACTTTTCAGACCGACGATTCGAGAACTTGCTACGCTTGTGATCGATGCGATGGGTCAAGACAGTCGTGCAATTATGGAGGCTGAAGACGCTGATGCGGACTTCCTCATTGAATTCCTGCCTATCAAGAAGAAGGGTATTCAACCACGTGTCTTTATCGTTCACGATATCACTGGTATGGCCACACCGTTCATGCGCCTGGGTGCATTCATGCCAAACGAAATGTACGCTATCGGAGATCGCCATTTCGGATCCTCAGACGGTTTCGGGAGTGTTGAATCTATGGCAGACCACTACATTACGCTCATCAAGAGTGTGCAGACTGAAGGACCCTATATCATTTCCGGGTACTCTTACGGTGGAGCTGTCGCACTGTGCATGGCCACAAAGATGATGAAGGCCGGCGATGAAGTTGCCCATCTTATTCTCTTTGACCCCATTTTTATCCCGGCTTCTGAGCGTCAGAGCTTGAAGTCGACTGATTGGACGCAACGCTCCATTGATCGTATTTCTTCCAACTTCCCTGACATCGGTGAGAAGTGGAAGAACAAGCTGCGCACTGAAATCCGGAAGAACTTGGACTCCATGTTCGACTACGAACCTGAACACTATAGTGGAGCCACTACACTTGTCGTACCAAAAGATCGATCATGGTACCGCAGTGGTCACGCAAGTGACTTCGATACCGGTACTGATGACCACAACGGATGGGACTATCGCATTAAGAATTTGGACATGAAGGTCGCCGCAGGTTCGCATGACACGATGTTCACTCCTGCGCACGTGAAAGTGCTTGCTGGTGTAGTGAAAGATATTCTGGCTGCGGTTCCTGGTCTTGTAAGTCCATAGTCTCTTTTTCTGCGATATCTTCTTAGTTGTGTTTCTTCTATCGTAGCCTGCAGCACCACCACCCACAACGAAAACGAAGAAGGTTCCATCTACTAAACCCGCATCTTCATAAATGTTACGCTGCTATTCACATAGAATAACCACTATCCGTTTCTCATTAACTTATTCTGGGGCCAAAAAAAGGCTGTAAGGCTGTAAAATAAAGCAATAATTATATGTATTCATTACACGTTGGCACTGTTACACCTACTTGCATAATATAAATTCTTTTATCTGTCTCGGCGGCGTTGACCTTGTTCAAAGTTTCAGTGTGACAAGGCGCGATAAGTGATCACGCGTTTGGTCACGCGTTCTCTAATTTACCACGTCTGTGGCACGCGTTTTTTTACCTTTCTTTCCCACTAACAATCGCCTTCGAGGTTTTGTCTAGACATTCACTATGACTCGTAACAATATCCGTGGTCCTACCTCAGCTCTTACAGAGTTTCTTCGTGTACGTTACTTGCTACATGTTTGACAAGGTGTTTATCGAGTGAAATACAGGAAGCTGGCATTAACCCAGACACTATTGCTCGTCGTGTAGCGACTCAGGCGCAGAATCAACCTGTTGCTGGTCCGAGTAACGCAGTAGAGGCAAACGGCGAGACCGTTGACGATCAACCAGACCAGGGAGCGACTTCGGCTCAGCCTTCCCCTAGTCGAGCTAATGGGGTATGTACTCGTCTTGTCGGCCTAACACTATAAGCTAACCACTAATCAGGCTGGCTATGTTTCTGATGAGCTGGACGAAAAAGAAGAGGAAGCGACACCCCCCAAGAAGCGCAAAATGTCAAAGGCAGCTCAAGCAAAGTTGAAAGAGAAAGAAAAGGCTAAGGCCAAAAAGAAGGCCAAAAAGGATGACGATGACGACGCATATACCGCGCTTTCCAAGAACCTTTGGACCAGCGGTAGTAAGCCACCTGTTGGAAGCTTTGAGACCTGTGCAGAGTGCGAAAAACAGTTTACTGTCGTAAGTTTGTTTATGCATATAGGGTAGTCTCTATCTCATGTGTCACAGACTAGGTATACAATAGCTGCGAATCCAGGGCCAGGATATTTGTGCCATTCATGTGCCAAGTCAGGTGGTAATGATCCGTTTAAGAAACCTGCAGCGCCTAGGAAGCGCAAGGTCCCTGGCGACAAGCGGGAAGTAGTCAACTTTGAAAAGATTTTCCCAACTTTGGCCAACATATGCATTGAGGTAAAATCATCACATGTGATATATAGAAATTCAGTCACCGTAATATTCTTCAGATTATTACACGCCATATCGATGACGTTGAAGCTCTTGGAAATATCGGTACTATCAACATGGATGAGATTTCAAAAGCCCTCTCGAAAAATAGGGGTTTGTACGTATTAAAACAGTGTCATCATCTAGTGTAATTTTAACTAGTATTTTCTCCATCAGGACACCCCAGAATGCACCCCTCTTCTATGATATCCAGAATACGACGCTGAATATATACGATGCGACCAGTATGCCACTTTTTATGTAGCCCTAATATTTTCCAAGCTCATGCTTTTTTCTAGGTCTTACTCCGCCGGCTTTGCAAACTCTGGCCCATTTAAACCCCAACCTGACCAGCCTTCGACTCGACTTCTGCGGGCGCATCGACAATGAGGTTATTGCTGATTGGTGCAAATCCCTCCCCGCACTTACGCATCTTGAGCTATTCGGTCCTTTCCTTGTGCGCGCTCCGATGTGGCAAACCTTCTTTAAATCACACCCAAACCTCCAGTCTTTCCTCATCACACAGAGTCCTCGTTTTGACGATTCGTGTGCCCGATCTATGGCAGAAAACTGCAAGAGCCTCCGAGAACTCCGTCTGAAAGAAGTCGGAAAACTTTGCGACGAGTTTACCGAGCCGCTGAAGGCACTTCCAGGCCTCAAACTACTTGACTTATCCGACCCCTCAGTATCGATGAGCGAGGCCAGTCTCATCGATTTAATGGCCGTCCACGGTCCTACGCTGACGCATCTTAACCTATCGGGACACAAAGACATCACAGACGCATTCCTCGTTGAGGGAATCAAACCCCATGCCCGCTCCTTGACCTCACTTACCCTCTCGAACGTTCCCTTGCTCACTGATGTTGGCGTTGCCGGATTTTTCAATACTTGGGCCGACATCGATGCAGATATGGACGGGCAGGTCACCACTCCCAACCCACCCCTTGTGGCAATATGCCTTTCACGTAACACAGAACTCTCAAGTGAAGCCCTCACCGCCATGCTATCGCACTCTGGGCGCGCGCTAACTCACCTGAATATCAATGGCTGGAAGTCCGTATCCAGCGAGGCTTTGGCCATGTTATCTCAAGCAAAGGATCTCAAGGAGCTAGATGTCGGATGGTGCAGGGAAGTAGACGATTTTGTGATGAAGGATTTAGTAGAGGGGTGTAATCACCTTAAAGAAGTGAAATGCTGGGGATGCAATCGAGTGACTGGGAATTCTTTGAAGAGGGTACGTCGCGTGTGCATTTTCTTTCATCTCGCAGAGACTGATGGGAAATGTTCTCATGATAGAGCGCCATCACCGTGTATGGCATCGAAGCTCAGTCCATGTGAAGGCCATCCAAGCTTAGCCCCCTATCAGCAGACTTAATTTAAGGTAATATAGTTTTCTGCGCCGAGCTACAAGGTCGCCCCATGTATCACGGACACCACACTCTATGAAAGCGAAATGACTCATCTCATTAGAAGGCTGCATCGACTGACAATACACTGCAGTGGCTACAGAAAGGGAGAGAAACAAAACTTGTATGAAAAACAACATGAGAAAAGGTGAAATCTGAATCGATGGAATCTGAAATCTGAAATCTGAAAGGAGGATACAACGTTGGCAACAGATAGCTGTACGAATGTCACGAATTAAGATTAAGTAAACGAAGTAAACAGCTATGGTTACAACACTAAGACAAGCGCGTTTGGTAAGGACTGAAATAGAGAAATTCATTTCTCTTGATTATAATAAAGGAGTGAAGGTTTGACACGAGATGGTCAAATTGATTAAGAGAGAGAAGTTGAGGGAAAAGTCAAGGAATGTGGTGGTTCAACCAGGTTGTGGGAAGTGTCAGGGGGTGACGACATTAGTTGGGCTTCTTAAGCAAAGCCTTGGAAAAAAGTGCCTAGAGGTACCCTAGGAAACTTGAGGAGCTAAACGAAAAAGCAAGAACGTCAAAACCGGCTCTCCTCGAAAGAATGAGCAAGCGTCAAGCCATACATACCTGTGTCCCGAAACGGCTCAACGTGTTCGGAATCATTTCCCGGGGCGAGAGCGCCCAGTTTGAAAATACGATGAGAGATATACAGCCTACAGCCCTAGAAATCCTGGCCATGCGACGCTGCTTCTCCCACTTCTCTCCTCCTTCGACTTCATAGTGCTCCCATTGCGGACTACGGGTAAGCCACCAGAACAATGTCAAGGGACCGGGGAATATGGTGGAAATCTTTTTGGATCCTTCGCGGCGGTACCAGGAGAAACATTGCGTGAAGAGGGAGCATGAGAGGCGGCGTTGGACCCAGGAGTCATAAGCCAGAGTGGGCTTCATCTTGATGGCGAAAGACGACGCCAGGCCTTGTACCACGGGCTTGATAAGTTGAAGGCAGTAGGAGATCTAACCATCCATGTGTGAACACCAGGTAAACAGTCATTTTTCAATGATAGGCTTACCTGACACTCTTCGAGGAAGATGACAGAGGTGTGTCCATTGCAGGTATTAGGACCTTTTTGTTGTATAAGCCAAAGACAGGTCTACTAAACGATAGAGGCAGCTTACCAGTGAGAGCATAGAAATTAGGAAAGCCTGGGAACGTTGTTCCGAGATATGCAGTGGGTCCCCCTTGAGAATCGTAGAATTCCTCCATAGACTGCCCCTTCAGGCCACGAACAGGATACGAAAACTTATCCTGTGTACTATTTAGCTACAAGTGCATATGAAGACTAAAGTGTTCTAACCGTATCAAATCCGGTCGCATATATTATAACGTCAAAAGGCATATGCTCGCCTAGAAGGCCCGTGTCAGTAAAGCACAAGTCAATAACCGTTCGACTCACCCTTCTGAGTAAGTATCCCATTCTCTGTAACTTCAGCAATCCCGTCAGAGTTCATGTTGACATTGGGACGCCTGAACGACGCGAGGTAACCGTCGCCTCTTTCAACAATGAGTCGCTTAGATCCCAACTCTTCAAAAATAGAACTGTGAGCCACGGCAAAGGGAAAAGCAACACTTGATTAATCACCATAATTTGGAATAATTTTGTCATGGATCTCGGCAGGAGCCGCGTCGAGCATGAATCTCTTCAAAAACTAAAACCAGGTCTTAGCGATCAAAAATCAAAACCACAGGAACCATAAAGTACCTCCGTGAACTTGCGTCGTGCCCAAGTGCTCACAAACAGCAAATAGCGAGAATCATACTGTCCACATTTGGTTAGCATGCGACACAAAAGCGGACGATAGATTCATACCATAGCCATGAGCGTGTTCCGATAAAGCCTCATCACCCCAGGGACATGAGCAAAAATCCATTTCGAGCATTCGGAATAGGGTGTAGCCGTCTGTGCAGTTCATCAGGATAGGTAAGTGAAGGTGAAGACAGTGTAGTGTCACCTCTGGAAACATCCATGCTGGAGAACGGACAAAGTTGACGAGTTGGACACTGGGGTCTACGGATATCCTAGGGACAAACTGACATCTAACCCAATGAACGTGTTTTAGAAAAAGTGTCAATGAGCAGATAAATTCAACATACGCCGAACACCCATTCCCAATAACTGCAACCCTCTTCCCACGAAAATCGACGGTATGGTCCCAGCGAGCAGAATGGAATGCGTTGCCTTTGAATGTCGATAGGCCCGGCAAGGTGGTAGGATATTTAGGAATTGCAAGAACGCCGACAGCAGAAATGAGAATATTCGCGCTCGCTGCCCTTGTTACCCCCGTAAGAACATCCTCAATAACCAAATCATATGATTGACGAGCAGAGTCCCAATCTGCTGATATGAATTTGGAGTTGAACTCAATATTATCGCGAAGAGAATGTTTATTAGTTAAATCCTTGAGATAGGCATGAAGCTCGGGCTGGGACCCGTGAGAGCCCTTCCACCGAGGATTCAAGTCTGTCGAAAGAGAATAATAGTGGACAGCCACATCAGAACTGCACCCCTGTTTGTTCTTCAGTTAAAAAGACAAGGATGAGTTGTCGAGTAGAACTCACTGGATAGGTGTTGTCCTGGGAAAGAACGGCAAACGGTGAGTAGAAAGTTGAAGGGCGCCGAGTGTAGAGACGCTTACCCGCCAAGTACCACCAACATCATTGGCCTTCTCGTAGATCTAAGGGCAAGGAGTGAGTGCTATATAAAGATATGACAGAGAAGTCTTACATACTGTGATGTTATGGCAGCCGAGTTGTTTCTTCAGTGCTATGGCAAAGCCTAAGCCACCCACGCTGGAATGCAACAGGACATCGTCATGACATTGAGTGAAGCGAGGCAAAGAAAGGCTTACCCCGCTCCGATAATCACAACGCTTGGGCCTGTTGGGGCTTGTGCATCGAACGACATCTTCAACACGGAGTCGACCTAGGATAAGAAGTTCCACGGGTGAACGACCACAGGGCAAAGAGGAAGCATTTGAGTGCTTTATAAACAATCAAAGGACAAGCATGCAGGCACGATATCCGTCTAATCTCTCGGTGAATTATCTGAAAATGCACCAATCTTGATCCACTTCGCGTTTAGAAAGGACTCTGATCAACTTTATTATTTTTCCTTTTTTTCTCTCTGCTGATACACCTCGCCTGAGCGCACAAGTGCGGGGCGGGGCGTGAATCCACTGCTCGTACCGACACCGGCACACCGCAGCTCAGCCACCATGGTCAGCCTAAGATTGAAACCCAGATAGGACTCCGCACAGGCCGTGTTTAGACCGGGGGTAGAGCGATCCATTCCCATCTTCTCCACAGGCAAAATTAGAAAGAAATGACGAAAATAATACGATGAGGCCGATGGGCGGTGCCATCATATCACAGAAATAGTCACAGTGATTTACGGCATAGATTGTATCAGTACCGCGTACCACAGCCCACCGCAGCTGCAATGACGTTTCAGAAAAGAAGACCACGTTGTAGAGTTTTCGTAAGCCATACCAGCGTCCTTTCTTACACGTTTGTGAGGTGCCATCTCGTGGTCGTGGTGTGCAATGCGGGGAGTACGGATATTTCGAAATGATCCCTGAATTCCTTTGATCTCCGCTGCACACTGGCAATACCAATGCTGGATGCATAATGAAGATCTGCAGCATCGTGTATGGTCCGTGTTTTCATCGTTTCCCAAGCTTCCCTTGTCTTTCCTCTGCCCGTTTCAGCGTCACCCGCAAATGCTCATTCCTGAGCTCATCTTATCGCTTGTAAGAGTGGTGGTAGCTGAGTTTACCTACTATGCATGCTTGACCCTCACCCGAATAGGCCGGAGAGCTCATCCCACTATTCATCCTAACGCAGCCTGAAACTCTTGCATTTCGGCTAAACATAATGACGATTTGATAGCTGCGACTCGGAGGATCAACTTGAATATCCTATGCGAATTTTCGGAATATCTCTATCACTCGGCCTCTCAATTCGGCCTTTCATTTCGAAAGATCATGATTTCAGATCTCGTCCTGACCCTTGCCGACCTATCTCAGTATATGACAGCTGATAATGCAATAGACTTCACTAAATCGCAACAGTCATACTCTTGTGTTACACGAGAACATTCTTATAGATGGAACTTGGGAACCTTGCTGAACGAGGCTCGCAGATATCAGAACACTGATTTCGAATTCAGTGTCCCTCCTATAATCTTGATCGCAAATTGGACCTTCGGCACAATGTTAGCTAGACTCTAGACTATCCAAAATTTTCATAGAAGAAAAAAGAAGAAATGTTCCATACCGTGTCCACACAATCCTTCTGCACAGAACTTCTCCGTAAAAATATCGATGACAAATAACAAAGTGCAACGAGTAACTTGAGGATGTTTGAAATTCTAATACTCCGGCGCTGTTGTGGCGTTCGTGACTGACTTTTGACTATTTTGTAGTGGGTCCAATCAAGTCGCCACAATTGCCACCAAAAACGGGTTGCAGTCCCGGGAAAGGGGCTAAATACTTTACCGGTCCCGTCTGTGCGAAACCAGGACACGCACTGCATAAAGACAGAACGAGTGAGCTTGTCCTGAAGCCCTTGATTATAGTCGTCCGAGGCTTGAGATGTCACCTCATACGAGGAGACATGTCCATCAATCACGGGTTTAATCAATTGAAGACAGTAATCGATCTAAATCGAAGTTTAAGAAAAGGACTAGTAGACCAATGGCAGATGACATACTTGGACTTCTTCTGCGAAGAGGGTAGAAGCATGACTAACAACAGTATTGGGACCTATAATTAGCTCTTAAGGTGCTATTCTTATAGATGAGATGCAGTGTGAATCTATCGCACCTGCGAGTACATATAAATTCGGGAATCCAGGGATCATTGTACCACGATAGGCCGTCGGACCTTGTTGAGACTGGTAATAGCTTTGGATAGTTTGATCATGCATTCCTTTAACATGTAATGGAAATCTGTCCTGTGGGACGAGATCTGAATCAGAAAAGGCTCAGAAACGATAGCATCCCAACTAACCGCTATGAAACCGGTGGCAAAGACGATGACATCCAAAGATACTTTTTCACCTAACGCAGCGCCGTCATTCAATCAGCAAAGTACTCTATACTTTGGGCGAGAAGCCATCACCTGTCTTTGTAATGATCCCATCTTCATAGATTTCTGATATACCGTCAAAGTTCAATGTCACATTCTTACGATGGAAACTCGACAGATAACCACTATCAGCGACGCTTCGTTTGCATCCCGGCGCTGAGATAAGACGGTTAATCTCCGCGTGAGTCTGTGATTTGGGGGACTCACGGTAAGCTGGAATGAGCTTCTCGTGATATTCACTGGGCGCGTTCCTCTTGATGTAGTCTTTCAGTTCCTGACAAGAGCGATCGGAACTTGGGAGGAATCATTCAAATTTCACAGCACTACTGACCTCTGTACGTTTACGAAGTGTTTCCTCACTTTGGGGAAACATAAAAGGCAGATCGCTCTTTCGAAAGGTTAAGCCAAGCATATTACCCCATGATCAAGGGCACCTACAGATATCATCAACAGATTCCGATGCAATCGCATCGCACACGGGACATTGGCAAATATCCATTTCTGCATCGACGTATATGGCGTATGTGGCTACAAATCATCAGCGTCGCATTGCAGAGAAATCATGATGCTTCACACGCCAGCTTACTCGTGATACAAACCATGAAGGCGTGCGTATGAAATTGACCACTTCGACAGAGGGGTCTTCACTTATGCTCGGGACGAGCTGTGCCCTGTGATGATGGGGATGCGGTGATTAAGGAATCGTTCAGAGATATTGGCTCAGTCTGACTTACGCTGAAGAAGCGCTGCCGACTACACCTACACGCTTTCCACGCAAATCAATACCGTCCCCCCAAAGAGCGGGATGGAGCAAAGTTCCCTTATAGGTATCCATTCCGCGGATATCAGAAGGGAAGTGAGGCACCTCGAGATTTCCAGTAGCTGATATCACTATCTCGGCCTTCGTACAAGTCAAGGAACCTGATTGGATATCTTGGACGGCTATGTTGTATTTCTGTTCTGTTGCATCCCATTCCACTGACACCACCTTCGTATTGAATGTAATCTTCGAATACATATCATGTTTCAGCGCAAGTCCTTTCCAGTATTCTAGGATTTCTGGTTGTGTAGCATGGGACTTGGCCCAAAGTGGATTCAAGTCTGTCGACAGACTATACCAGTGAATAGGAGCATCTGAAGCACAGCCCTATATGCTGATCAGAAATATGGCATGAGTAAATGCGAGGAGACCCACTGGGTATGTGTTGGCCTACAGGTAAGGTTTCATTACTGAAAATCACCTGACAGAAAGAAACAAAGCGCTTACCCTCCAACAACCTCCAATAGCTGAAGCCTTCTCGTAAATCTGGTAAAATCAGTGAGTGAGTATTTTTCAATGGTGTGAATGAGAAAGACGAACGACGTAGTTCTCAAAGCCTAACCGACGTTTCAGGGCAATCCCAGATGAAAGCCCCCCGACACTACGACAAGGGCCGTGAATAACGAACCGGGTGTCAAAGTCATGCCAGACCTCACCCCGCTCCAATGATCACAACCTTTTTTTCTGGGGCGCAAGGAGACATGAGTATAGCGCGCTCAATGTTGGGTGTATACCTTAATATACTACATTCGCCCCAAATGCTTTGTTCGAATGAAGCCCAATGTTCCCAAGACAGCTTCTATGTGCGAGTCCCGAATGCTGCTGATCAGGGCAGGGAGGCGCATGACACTATATTGTGGGCATATCTATAGTGACGATAAGAAGATACTAGCAAACTCGACACTCGGAGTAAACTTACACCAGTTTTGAGCTTCTCGTGTGAATCGGCGCATGTAACTGTAACCGTTTAAACCAAGCCTTGAATAATGCTTGATGAATGCTCCAGGTTGAGTGACAGAAATTATGAGAATCCCTGTAATAAAATGGATCCCCTGTGTTTGTAGCTTGATCTCGGAAATTAGAGGCAAAGGCACTTGACGACATCATAACGGTGCCGCTGGTTGGAAAAGAGCGCTCGGAAGCATCTGACGCGTCTTGTTCACGTGCTCCCAATATAAATATTGCAGCTAGGCGCAGGTTGAAGATAGAACAAAATGTGTGCACAGAGATAACCAAGCCTTCTGTATATTCCACACGAACGACAGGTCGGCTAATCCATCTTCACAGTCGCCGTTCTCTGCCTGACTTGACTAACTCGAGAATGAGTCTATAGCTGAATACCATCCTTTACGACTCAATAAGGCTTATCGTCAGTCTGTAGAACCCATTTTCCACAGAAATACATCCTGCTGTGTACATGTTAGTAGGACCGTAACAGATTTGCAATGCTTTGACAAAATGAATACAACCAATTCACAGATAAAAACATATATAACCTGCTAAGTGTTTACTGTCTCGAATAAGCAAGCATTCAGCCAGTAGCCATGCTGTACAATATAGTAGTGAGTAACACCCGATGATAGATCCAACCATGTAGATACCTCTTAAGGCCAGCAGCGTCGCCGTTGAAGTAGTCTTGATCTCCAGGATTTGTTCCCGAATCAGCGTACTGCCAGAACGTGGTGTACCTAAGAAACAGTAAAAGAGAACCGTTTAGAACAAGGCTATGAAGAGATAGAGAATAAGTCAACGCACTCCCATCCAGCTGGAAGTGTACCAATGGTAGATGCATAATCAGCAATCCAAAGCGGGTTATTGTCGGCGAAGCTGGCACTGTTGCCAGTGCAGGTGGTCCACCAGTCCGTAGTCGTGTATATCACTGTGTAATACAGGAAAGCTACGTGAGTCAATTTTTTTCTGCTAACTTGAACTACACACACCTGGATAGCTGCGCAATACAATCTGATTCAGCGGTCACAATTAAATACATATTCAATAGAAGATCTCACCGGCCAGTGGATGCCTCGTAAGTGCTGGAGAAGTCCTGGACCCAAGAAACCATATCTGCAGCACTAAGTCCATAGCATTCAGCACCGTCGGGGTTGTCTGTTCACGTTCTTTAGTGGATAACATAGCAGAAAACGAAAAGTATAACCAACACTCGATGTCAAGTGCACCTGGGAGGGTGATACCATCGGCGGACCATCCACCTGAACCCAGCTGATCAGGTGGTCGGAGGATTTTGAGAAACTGATTGAGTGCTTACCTCCGTTATCGAGGAAGTACTGAGCCTGGACTACTCCCGTGGACTCATCAGGATGTGCAAAGTGGTAAGCACCACGGGTAAGGCCGGCGTTTGTTGCACCGGTGTACTGGTCGGAAAAGGCGGGGCTAATATATGCTAACCACATCAAATGAGTCTTCCAAGCACATGGGACGATAAAACATCCTAGCCACTTACAAGTACCCTCTGTGGCCTTGATGTACACAAAAGTCACACCATTGGCGGCGACAGTGCTCCAGTCGACAGTTGGTTGATAGTCAGAGATATCAATCCCTTGAGGATCAGCACGTTTCTGGAGCTTTGTAGGACTGGCACCGGCCAAGGCGACAGCCAAAGAAAGTGGGGCAAAGTACTTCATTGTCCTAACAGTGAAAGATGAACATCTGTGCACAGTTTATATTCTCCTTGCACATACCATGTTATCCCCACCGAAGGTTAGAAATGTCAAGGACCATGCGTCTCATTCAATTGCTCGTCGTTCTCGTGATCATAAGCACGTGTAACATATGGTAACAACACCGACGAAGAACTAATCCCGGAATTTATATCTGTCGGAGGGCCTTTTTAAGAATCATGACTGAATGGTAAATCAGCGAGTTTGACGTCGGCAGTGTGTTTGAATGACATTCGTGGAGAATTAACATGACCAGAGGCGGACCTAGCGTCGAGAGAAGTAATTTTAGTGTGATGTATGACAGAAGATAAGTTGTATGCGCTCACTGCGAGTCAGGTCATCTGTCGAGATATGTGCTATGTTACCAAAAGTTCACACCAATTCTTATCATCAATGTGGTCTACACCAAACTGACAGCAACGATGACGAGAACGTTGACAAAGCTAACCACGCTCAAGTCCAAAACTGAGAACAGTCCAGAATTACCCGTGCGACGCCCTCTCATCCACCCCACCCCTTGATTTATCACACGACATGTCGGAATACCGTCGATCATTACTGTATGTCTTTGGTTCAGAGGCTTTATGTCTGCAGATCAGGTTTGACATATTGGTCTGTATTGGGTCTCGTTTTCCTTATCAATTACTAGCACTTGCGTTGATTAAAGAATGTTTAGTATCACAGCCCACCAACACCAATGATTAGAAATGAGTTGTCCAACATTATTGCACTGCTGACGTTAACTAACATTCAGGGCGTTCTCGTGAGGCCTCCCAAATGGACCCCAATCTACGAGTCAGATGCACATAACAGACTTGGACGGACGCATGAAAAGTACGGAACATGCAAAGCCCCGGTACTCCGGGTTACATCCAACTGTGTACCAGGTATGTCGATATGGACAGTCCCGAGTTGCAAATATACAGAGGAAGTTTTTGCCCTTCGTTTTGACGTACCACAGACAATCCTCAATACTGCCCCAAAAACCATGTCTTAACATATAAAGCTTGACCCTTGAATGCCGACTTAAGGAGGAATTGCTGCGAGTATAACTAAGAGCGAGGAATTCCACTTGAAAATTCGTCAGGGACTCCTTGTTCGTGTTCTGCAAGATGGTAGGAGCTTCTGTACTATTCTACAGAGGACACAAGCTGGACAGATATTCAACGCGCTTGCATTGTAATTTCACCGAACCATGTACCAACTACCTTGTCCAGTTATCTCAGCTAGTCCCGCATTGACTCGCATCTGACGGCCTCCCTCCTATACGCCTTTCTTCACTTCCATTTCTTACCGACCAAGGTCTTTTTCTGCTTCCCAACAACCGTAACGCCCTTGCCATTTTTCACTATGCTCTTCAGCGCGTCATCTTTTTGCTTTTTCACGCTTTGTTTGTTTTTCATCTTAGCGTACTTGTCGACATTCTTGTCCAGAGCATCCCGAGACCTTTTCCTGGCTTTGCGTTCCTTGTTGCGCAAAGCTTGTTTTTCGCTGGGAGTGAGTTCGCTACGAGCACGTGTTTCCGACGCCGAAGGTGTATAAATCTCTTCTGGAGCCAACATAGTCGATGCCGATTTGCTCGTAGGAAGGGCTGATTCAAGAGAAGTGGCTGAAACGTTGGTGACTGTAGATATAGTAGCTTTGGGCTACAGATATGAAAGGGTCAGCCATAGAGTTCTTCGTTGTTAAACAAAAGGGGCATACCTGCTTGGGGACATAATGCGCATTACACAGGGCATCTAGCTTGCTACAGATGTTCTCCCAAAGCTTTTCGATCTCTTGATGTTCACTCTTGAGTTTACCATCCCGATCTTCTCCTGCAACACCACCACTTTGCGTAGCGGTATATTCGTCTTCATAAATTTGAGCCAGCGACTGGGTCGACTTCGTGTCCTGTAGCTCAAAATACCGGGACGGAAGAAACGGTTTGTCACCCGCAGGCACGACGCGAACGACATCATCGAACTGAGCTTCCAAAATACGAGCCTTGATCCGATCTTCCAAACCTCGCGTGAGCTCCTCAGTAATAATGGGAGCCGCCTTCATGACCCGTTCAAATTCCAGATCTTCCTGGAGCAATGAGTCTTGCGGCCGACCTTTTGAACTGGCCTCTCCTTTGAGATACCAATTTTTTTCTGCGACGTTCTCAGATTCTAGCTCTCTGATTTGCGCTTGCAAAGCAGTCATCCGCTTTTGGTGAGCAGAAAGATCTATCTCATATCAGCATCATAATGGGGACTGAATTAGATGTTGCCCTTACCCGTCTCCGGTTCTTCATCTTCAGCAAAGAGGTCATCTTTCAGCCGCTCGATAGTTTCACGATCATCGCCTGCTTCACTAGTTTCATCCTCGTCGGCTTCGTCCTCTGATTCGTCCTCGTCGTCTATATCGTCGAGAATACTTCCGGAGTTGACATCAGTGGTGTCATAATTGACTTCCATATCTTCTTCATCGTCATCGTCACCCTCTTCATACATTGTGGACACGGGGAGACCCTTTCCCTGGGCCTTGATATTTTTTATTCTTACTTCCTCGTGGAAGCGAACTTTGGACGTGCTTTTCGGTGGTACAGGTTCACGTCGTTTTGGAGCGGCAGCCCGAGAAGGTGCATCGAAGAAATCTCTGTAAAACGGTTCTGGGTAGGGGTAGGAATCGTGAGATAAGGCATCAAAAGTACGGAGAACCTTACCACTGTCCCCATTCCCTAAGTCCTCTTCGTCGAAGTTCTCAACATCTTGGACAGGTTCAAAGAAATCTAGAGCCATATCCTCGTCTTCGGATTCTTCATCATCGTCTGCATCAAGCCTTCCTCTTGATGCAGATCTGGCCTCTGCCTCCTCTGTCTCAGCATTAAACGCAGCCAAATCAAAAAAGCCATCGTCTAATTCAGAGTTAAGGCCCGTTTTTTGTTTTCCTTTTGGTGTCCGTTGTTTCCGAGTATTAGAAGTCGAAGAAAATGGTGGTTCTTCACTAGATGAATCTCGAAGTTCCCCTATTTCCTCCTCAGACACAAATTCTTCGTCCTCCTCCTCCACTTCGTCCTCATCTTCTTCATCATCACTGCTTTCCTCGTCATATTCTCCGCGTTCGAAGGCTGCCAGCTCCTCACCAAATATCGCACTGTCTTCATCCACAGCATTTTCTTCGGTTAATTCGTTGTCCAACTCCTCCCCAGCACCTTCGAGTGCATCTTCCAATGTCTTGCAAACTCTTTTCGCTCTAAGGTCTAGCTGCTCCCATACTTGATCTTCATTCATATCCTCTACAAAGAGTGAAGGTATTGGAGTGTCTTCGATAATGATTGCTTTTTGTGGCTGCTCGATGGGACTGAGACTTCGTTTGCGTTTTCCATTGGCGCGAGTTTGAGATCTAGTCTGAGGAGCTTCAGCCGGTGATAGAGATGACAATAAAGTCGCAATATGAGGGTGTGAGTGACGTTCTGTTTGCAATGCTGAAAAACAAAAATATGCATGAGCATCACATTGACATCTTGGAAAATTGAACTTTTACACACCTAAATCAAAGATGAACTTTGTAGCTTGCAACGCCGCTGCTTGCAAAGCAGCATTTCCAGTAGCTATGCATTCTGGTGACGTTTCAGTAAAAGATGATAGCTTTTGAAGTTCTGAAGGCAATTCCAGTTTTGCAACTTCTGCCATTCGAAACGTTACGATCTCCAGTCTCGAGCTCAGCCTACGAAATTCATCTGCATTACCAGCCACAAAGACCACACATGTCAAAACAATGTTCAGGAACACAGCCACCACGGAACACTTATCCAAGTTCAATTTGAACCTCCAAACGTCTCTGCAACATTCTTATTCTGATATTATAGAAATATTCTTCTTCGATTTGCATTCTATGCTGAGGCCCACATCAATATTGTTGAACAAGATAGTAGGTAATGAATATATTTGACCATTTTTGATCGAATAATTATCCCCATCCTAGAATTTTTATTTATGTGTCGGTATATATATCATCCGGACTCGGATGGTGATAAAGGTACACCCATGTTTACACCGACTCAATTTCATGATTCAGCTGGAGTAGTCTGAGAGCAAGAAAATGCAGTCAAATGGCTGAGACGAGACGCATACAATCCATGGCTAGCAACACTTCGGTGAAATCATGATGCATGGTGAATATCGACGATGAATGGTGAAGAGGACATAAATCTGCAGTGGCACAAGTACCGCGATAGCGTCTAAAAGTTACGGTCTAAACCGCCTTTGCTCCGCCGTCCTCACCTTTTCCTCGGTGATATGGCCGAAGAACAACGTTGGCCCGGATTACACGGTATAGTAATTCATGCCAGCAATGCAGTGCAAAAACAATATGCATATATATGTTCAATGCCGGTGGCTTTGTCCCCAACCCCACAATGTTGGGCTATCTCGTACTCACTCCCATAGCACTTTTCATACTTCTGACCAGCTGCATTTACCTTGGTCGTCGATGGCGTGCTAAGCTTCTGGCGAAAGAAACAGGTCTTCCCGAAATACCACACTTGGGTCAGGCTAGACCCGACAACCAAAAGATCAGGGGTACGGCTGTTGTGTGTGGTGGAAGGTGACATCAATATCTTCTATCTAGTTAACAATGCACTGAAAACGTCCTTGGAATGTAGCATTGCTGGTCTACTGGCTGCTCGTATATGCCACAATCACTTTGAACGCGTCGTGATCGTGGAGACTGAGCCTTGGTTGGCTGATAACGAAGCCCGGGCTACTCAAGCATGGACTCAGAAGCGTTATCGGACTCGCGTCCTGCAGTATCGTTCTCTACAAGGTGCTTCTATCTTTCTCCCTCTAACAACAGTTCTGGTGTTAACAGTATTTACGTGCGTTAGCCCAGCAAGTCATCAGTCTCTTAGCGTACAGATCGTTGTTCCCCAAATTTGACGAAGAAGCAGAAGCATCGGGTGTCCAGTTCGTTTCCGTCACGTTCCCAAGGTGTTTGATCATTCTCAACGGACTATATTAAACAGTATCGCCGCCGCCGATATCAAATGGTGTATATGGGGTAGGTTCGCACACCCTCCCTATGAGGAATATCCCGCCGGACTTCCGCAGACCTGCTTCACAAGTCGCCAGGGACTAGAGACACTCTTGCGTCGGCTTGTACTCGATAAGACCCAGTATCCAAACATCGATTACGTCGTTGGCACCGTCACTGACTACCAAGCTGACGCTACTGATACCGCGAGGTTGCGAAATGTTCTGGTTCGCACTGATGGAGGCAATACTAGCATCGATGCAGACTTAGTCATTGGTATGGCTGTGTCTTTTGTGTGCTGAGTCAACTGGCCGATATGCTCGACTTTCCAGATTGCACTGGTGCTTCTCATACCGGAGTCAAGATGCTTAAGCGTGCTGGCTACGGTTATACTGATGTTTACCCCGAGGGCAAGGTATCCCTTGATGACCTAAGGGTTCAATATGACCCCAAGATCACGTACTGCACGCTAGAGCTCAACGTCTCTCCCGACCTTGCAAAACGTCTACCTATTCCAGGAGGATTTGCCAATCATCCTGGCATCATCGCTGCCATCAGTGACGCTCGAATGGATAGCAAAACTATGTACTCTTTGGGTATTGATGGCACGAACCGATGTACGAGTGTTTACTCTGATTTGTTGTGACTGGCTGGTTTATTGATACTACGTACTTGTTTGCAGTTCATTTGTGCACTGGTGGATGGGGTTTGCCCGATTTGCCGCGCACACTTGAAGGAATTAAAGAGTTTGCTCGTTCCATGAAATTGATGACACCTCTTCCAGACTGGTTTTACCAAATGCTTGACATGTTAGATGCCGACGAACAAGTGAAGGACACAATGAACACCAGCTATATACGAATTCGTGAGTTGGGTTTCCATTTCGACGCTTCTTCCATTCCCATTTATCTTTCGGTATACCTCTAGCACCAGCATGCTATTATCCTTACCACCTAGCCGTCAACCTTCCCTTGAACTGGATTGCACTAGGCGACAGTATCATGAGGATAAATCCTGTTTTGGGGTATGTCACGAATTGCAAATATGCCTTGGGTGGACTGACGATAGTAGGCAAGGCATTACGAAATCGATCTATGGTATCATTACGCTCAATAACGTGTTGAGGACACTTTCTCCCTCGTCAGTCCAGGAGAAGTATACAGCCTCTTTACCCAATGATTTCTCAAAGAATTTCTTTGAGCTTCAAGAGCCCAAGATCGAGGGATTATGGTATGCTGCTTCATTTTAGTGCAAATAAAACTTATTCGTTAAGTCGTTGCTCCCATCTTTAGGAGCACAACGAGATTGTTTGGTGTGTGCATTATTGTACCACATAGCTGAATAATTTTTATTGACTTGGCTTGGCTTTTCAGACTATGCCTTTAAGACCACTGTTCCCGTTCCGGGTGAATCCTTGGAGCTAGGTTCATGGCCCCGGTGGTACATGCGAAAAGTCCAGTATATCGCGTTTACGGTGAGTTAAATTAGTCACAATAATATTAAGCCTAGAAGCTCAACAATTTTGCTCTAGGACAAATATGTATCGTCTATATTGTGGCATGGGAGAATGTTCTTGTCACCTGGAATAGACGTCCTGCACCCTAAGGTGATAATGAAGGTGTTGTGGAGTCTCGTCACTAATCCGGGTGCTCCGTGACCTTATTTTCTGAGACAAGCTCGTTTGTGCATATATCATTTTCCAAAAAAATTATTCTCTAGATAGCTTCTGAACAAGTAGTCAGTTTCTTCCAAGTGTACAATAGTAGTCGTTGTATATCAGTCAAACACCGCTCGCTGCATTTCAACACATTTCAACTCATCCTTGCCAATGCAATGCTAATAGAAGTGAAGGACAATATATATTCTAAAGTATTACGGCAGATTATACAAACGAAAGTGAAAAGCGCAAGGACTACGATCTCCCTACTTTTCGGTATCTCAATAACCGACGGGTATTTGAGATTCCACTCTTTACTTGGGGATGTTGGAAGTGGTACCGGGGCAGAGAGTGAGGGTAATGTCAGCGTTGGTACAGGTGTAGTCAACGTTGTCAGCAGGGGTGTATCCAGCTGGTCGAAGTCAAATCGTCAGTTAATCTAGAATAAGCTGATAGTCAAGAAGAAAACATACCAGCACCGTCGTTGTCGGGGAAGGCGTAGGCGTTGGTGCAGGTGTTGTAGTAGAAGGGGCTGTTGGGGCCAGGACCAGCGTTGCTGGTGCATCCACCACCGCTGGCGGGGAGAGCACCGCCGCTGCAAGCAGAGGCGGAAGAGCAGCAGGGCGAGAAGCAAGTGCCGCTTCCAGGTCCGGGGACGGGCTGTGAGGCAGAAGGAGTCAGGCACAATGTTAAGAGCCGTTTAGTTTATATTTAACTTACGCAGCCAGAGGAGATGGTGCAAGCAAATGCGCTGCAGCTAGAGTCGGAGGAAGAGATCTCCATTCCGACGTTGTAACCGTAGATCAAGGAGATATCGTAGGTCACGCTTCCGGGAACAGCGTACTGTACGAAGAGAGGATGAGTAAGCTATGGAACGCAGAAGTGAGAAAAGGCTGTTTACAAAGTTGAACTCGGCTCTGCTGTAGGGGGTGGCACCATCCCAGGTTGGTCCACCAGTAGTGCAAGTGGATCCATCGCTGTTGCATCCGGTACCTAAAAGGTGTTCCGTCAGTCGATAATACGTAGAGAAAATGATGAAGGTAGCTCACCGACGTTGACGGCACCATCCCAGTTGCTGCTGATGCCCATGTCAGAGCTAGCACCTGCAGCGACGACAACATTGTTGTTGATGGTACCGAAGCTGGTCTGGGTGGAGAGCAAGACACTCTCGGTACATTTGTTGACAACGTTCAAGGACTGGGCGTTAGCCGCAGCGGCAAGAGCAGCAAGAGTGAAGAGGGAGACGGCAGCCATTGGATTGGTATGAGATATGATATGTGGGATGAGATGTTGGAGCTATTGGGACGATTGGTGAGGCTTTTATATGTTTTCCCTCCCCCTTTAGTCGGACGAAAGGCCTACGAGAGACGTAGCATATCGAAACTTGACACATGCATCTGCCCCACCTAAATCAGTGCTGTATCAAGCTGCACAGTCATGTTACCGTTCGGCGAGCGATGTTTACCCTGCTACACTGGATTCTTGGGGTGAATATCAACGAGTATATACGCGTGGATTTGATGGGACTAACGGAAAGACAATGCGTATCATTCGTAAGTGGAGAACGAGTGGAGCAAGACTGGAGCAACGAGCACAGGCGAACCGTGTGTTAAGTATAGATGATCGACAACATGATTCTAAGTTCCTGCCAATAAAAATAACATTCGGATGGTAAGTTGAGGTGAAGCTGATATGTGGAATTGATGGAATAGCTCGTCTAGGCTTTTGACCGGATTTACAAAGACTCACATCGTAAACCGCTGCCAGTCAACGATGTTTCAACTCCTTGTATGGTCTCGTACCTTCCAAGTTCAGATATTGTACATATGCATCTGAATCGTGGCCAGTGACTATGTACTGAACTACCAGTGATTGACCCGCCACATGATGCTTAATACCGCTATCCCTCTTTCGGCAATTGTAACCGTCACATTCTTCCACCGCGGCGTACTTACGCCAGTGCACTAACTAGTACGTGACTTTTCGGTATTGCATTTATCCTTGGGACTCGCTCTAACTATAACGTACTTATTCGGCCATCATCGCGACGTACAGGATCATGATGGTGTTGTCGTATGTATTGCTTTCGTGAACTTCCCGTTATGTTACTCACCCCTGTGGGAAATACCAGACACAGCCCGCAGTTTGTAAGGCTGTTTCACTCAGAATCTCAGCCTTGTTCAGTCGTCTACTATAAGCAAACCTACGATGTCTCCATCATCGCTGGCTCTCATTTCTGCAGTTCTCACAGTTTGTGTAGCCTCCTGCACCATCCTTGCTCGTCGCTTGAGGTACAAGGCCTTCGTAGAGCAAACGTGCCTAGTCGATTTACCTCACGTCGCGGATGACCGTACAGAGTACCATAAGCTCGATGGAACAGTCGTAATTTGTGGTGGAAGGTATGTATTCGGTCCAGTCTTTGCTTCAAGCTATACGAGTCGAGAGTTTGTCTAACGTCTTGGTATAGTATCGCTGGTTTATTAACCGCTCGAGTCTGTCACAATCATTTCAAACGCATCATCATCGTAGAGCCTGAGGCTTGGCTAGCCACCGACGAAGCTCGAAAGGTTAAAGCATGGACTCAGGAGAAAGACCGCTCTCGCATCATTCAATACCGTTCTTTGCAGGGTATGCGGCGCCAATCCTAGTTCTTCCCTAAGCTGGCTCACAGCGATCGTTCACGCCAGGCTCTCAATGTTTCACTCTCATGGCTTACAGAACTTTCTTCCCCAATTTTGATGATGAGGCAGAGGCATCCGAAATACCGTAGGTCTTGTCTACCGCTCTTCTGCTCTGACACTTAGGCTGAATAATATAAATGTAGTATCACCAATTATGACTTTAGGACTTATATTTGGGGATACTTCCCAACGGCACCATATCACCAATACCCTAATGGCCTACCTCCCGTATGTTTCCCCAGCCGCAGAGGGCTGGAGACGCTACTACGTCGCCTAGTTCTCGACAAGGATAAATTTCCCAACATTGAATATGTCGTCGGCTCCGTCTCAGAGTTCCATGCCGATCCCGCCTGTCCTTCGCGCCTGCAGAAGGTTACAGTTCGCACTGATGACGGAAACATTGATTTAAATGCCGAACTAGTTGTTGGTATGGACTTCCGTAGATTTCTTATCTACCTTTGCTCACTCATTTACAGACTGTACTGGTGCGTCTCATGCTGGAGTAAGGATGTTGAGACATGCAGGCTATGGTTTCGCGGATAACTACCCAAAGGGCACGTTGCCTTTCGACAAGCTCGGGGTATCATACGATCAGAAAATGCACTACGTCACCATGGAATTGACTGTTCCTCCGGAATTAGGCAACCGTCTGCCTATCCCAGGAGGTTATGAGGGTCGTCCTGCTATCTTTATATCTGTAACTCAAGGCTCAAAGGATCATAAAACTATATACTGGTTGAGGGTAGATGGTAACAGAGGTGAGTGATCTATTTCCTCTCCTCTCGGTACATTGTATTAAACGTATATCAGTCCATGTTTGCTGTGGAGGGTGGGGAAAACCGGAAGTGCCCAGAACACTCAAAGGCGCCCAAGAGTGGGCTCGCTCGATGGTGCTTGATAACCCGATACCTGACTGGTTCTTTGAGTCCATGGATATGCTGGAAGAGGTTGAGAGCACGATGCACGTCTCCTTTATTCGCGTTCGTAAGTGATGTTTGTCTGGGTTTCTGAAGGACGCTGTTGATCAAAAATTTCTACGTTATCGTTTCCAGCTCCTTCCGTCTACTATCGCTTCCACCAGGCTGTCAACTTGCCTTCAAACTGGGTTGCACTTGGCGATAGTGTGATGCGGTTGAACCCTGTCTTTGGGTACGTTCTGGTGCTAACTCGTGCCATTCATTCTTCCATGCCAAGCGCACTGTCTGATATTTACGGATGTGATTCAGACAAGGCATCACGAAAGCGATATTTGGGATTATTGCCTTGAACAGGGTTCTCAGGACTATTCCTACTGTGCATCCATCAGATTCGAAGCAAAGCTCACACATTTTACCTTCGAATTTCTCGAAGCAATTTTTCGATGGTCAAGAACGCAGCATTGGGTCAATATGGTAAGTCTGTCAGTTGTGTATGTATAAAATAGCATACTCATGAATACCGAATAGGAGCGGGACGAAGACAGTGGGTATGTATCGTATACTTTTATACCATTCATAGCAGGGTCATGACGCTGTAGTTTACAGACTATGGTTATAAAACTACAGTACCGATAGACGGCGAGACTCTGTCCCAAGGATCGTGGCTTCGCTGGTATATCGGTAAACTGCAAATCATCTCATTGAAAGTGAGTGTTTGTCTTGCCTTTTTCCCTCGTGCTTTACTGAACGAGTATTGCCATTTCTTAAAGGACCGTGACGTGAACTCTGTGCTTTGGCATAATCGCATGTTCCTGGCTCCCGGTATAGACATTATGCACCCTAAATTGGTGCTGAAAGTCTTATGGAGTTGCGTGGTTGGTTGATTTCTGGTCTACTATAGTATCAGTGTCGTTGTTGATGAGTGATCGAGGGACTTCATCGGGTTATGGTAGCTGGATATTTGCCATGTTTGTATCTAATTCGTAAAAACTTGTAAAAGATACGTTACGCGTTGTGATGGATAGGATACTAGTACATGACTGTAAGACGGTCCCAGGGTGCCACTTGAATCCGACCCGGTCGGGTTCGGAGTAATTAGTAGGGTCACTGTCTTGCTCTAACTGGCCGTGTGGGTTTTTTTTCAGCATGTTTTTTGAGTAAAGATATTTATGTCGCCAGGTGTTTGCCAGGTGTGTACTTTAAATTGGACCGAGTCGGACTGTTACTAAGGTATGTTTCAGTCAATCGTGCTTCCGCGACGGGAGTGGTGGGATCCAATTGAAGGTGCACCTTTAAGGTAGTAGCTTGTTGTAGTAATACTATCAGTTATTCTGACGAGGCGATTCTAGCATGCACATAATCGTGCCCGTTCTACGGACTACCAATGGGCCCCTTTTTATGAACTGTGACTCAGTGGGCGGGCGTGTATGATTACTCGCCAGGTTCGTGTTACCCGTAATCGGGATGCGTTTTGACGCTCGCCACCCGTGTTACGGACAATAGTCTCGGAAAATGTTATAAGGACGGTTAGCTTCTCATGCCTGAGATATTTTCATTCCAAACACCGTTGAACGATGTTCTTTCGCCTTGGATTAACGATTGTTGGACTGCCAGTCGCCATCTACTGCTTATCTCTCTGCATATGGAGCTGGTTGCGGCGTCGCCTTCTCATCACACAGACTGGTTGGACAGATATACCATTACTCGGAAAGGGTCGCCAGGAAGCTGGTAAGATCAAGGGGACTGTCGTTGTTTGTGGTGGAAGGTTCGTTCTCTTTTTGCATCATTCAAATTGCCCTAGCTTGCTTGCTAAACTCTGACCTTACTTGGTTTTCACAGCATTGGTGGTCTTTTGACAGCTCGGATTTGCCATGACCATTTCGAGCGAGTGATCATCGTAGAACCAGAAGCCTGGTTAAGTACTTCGGACGGTCGCGAAACCCAGGCATGGACGCAGAAATACCAGCGATATCGTGTCGTACAGTACTATTCTCTTCAAGGTACTTGTGGTGTAAAATCATCGACCGAATGGCGCTAATAGCTGCGTTCTTACCGTGTTAGCTGTTCAGGTATTCTTGTTCACCGCCCTTAAAGCCATTTTCCCAAATTTCGAGGATGAGTGCATTGCATCTGGCATACGGTGAGTTGTTCATTCACACCTTAGTTGAAAGACACTCAACCCTTTCCTCCCTTGTTTCGAACAGTCTTATTCCTGCCGACTTCAAACGTTATCTATGGGGTCGTTTTATGCCGGCTCCACACGCAAAGTATAATGGAAATTTACCAAAGGTCATGTATACCAGCCGTCAAGGTTTGGAAACGATCTTGCGACGTATGGTCATCGGAAGCGGGTACTACCCTAACATTCAATGGATAGTAGGCACTGTAACAGGCGTTACGCGCGACTCTAAGCATCCTACCCACCTACAATCGGTCAGTGTGCGCACCACCCAGGGGCCCCAGGACATCGAAGCCGTCTTTGTCGTGGACTGCACAGGACCCGCCAGTGCGGGCGTCAAATGGATTAAACGTGAAGGGTATGGCTATGCTGAAACGTACTCCAAAAATGCTCTTCCTCTAGATCAGCTCAAATTATCATACGACCAAAAAATTCGCTATGCGACGCTAGAGTTCAGCATTCCCCCAGCGTTAGGAAAGCGACTGCCTATACCTGGGGGATTCTACACTCAAGGATCCATCTATACATGTGTGGCGAGGTCTGATAAGGACCGATGTAGTGCTTACGCTTCCACACTTGACGGCGATCGCTGTATGTTTGATGGGTCTCTGGTCAAGGTGGTTGCTGATAGTGGCGCTCCTAGTACAGGTATTGTGTGGTACCTGGGGTGCGGGTGAAGACCCACCCCGGACGATACAGGCGACCAAGGAATATATCCATGCTATGGTTCTCGACGAACGTCCACCACAATGGTGGTTTGACATGCTGGACTTGCTTACTGAAGTGGAAGATAAAATGACGTGCAGCATCGTCCGTGTTCGTGAGTGATGACAATTTACTCTTCAGTACAATCACGAACCGCCCTAACTGGTGTATTATCACCTCGCCAGCCCCAACGCCTTATATTCGCTTTCACAAAGCCACTAATCTACCGTCAAATTGGGTTGCCATTGGTGACTCCGTCATGCGGCTTAATCCTGTTTTTGGGTCAGTCTTGCGGTAGCGTTGTGCCTTTGTGTGATATTTATTGTTCCTTGTGAAGCCAAGGTTGTTCCAAGGCAATGCTCGATGTGGTATCCCTGAATAACGTCCTTCATTCAATGGCAACTTCGGAATCTAAAGCGGGATCCCGTCTCCCCAAGGACTTTTCGAAGCGATTCTTCGCCGCTCAAGAGCAGAAAATAAAGCCCTTATGGTCAGTCCTCCTCTCAATCCACAAGCACATGGGTCGTGTACTGAGTTACCAATTTCAAAATAGGCTGGCGACCAAAACGTTTGGTAAGCATTCTCTTTATCCCTAGTTTGGTCGACACTGACAACTGTGGAATAGATTACGGCTACGATACTACGATACCTATACCTGGTGAAACCTTATCGTCAGGAGCCTTTATCCGTTGGTATATGCGCCAATTGCAAACGCTTGCATTTACTGTAAGTACTCTTGCTTTCTCCTGTCATTCGGATGGGGCGTGAGCTTATGCCACTATCGTGCGGGACAGGACATGGATTTGGCTTCTACTATGTGGCATATCAGCATGATGATGGCGCCCGGCATTGATAACCTTCACCCTTTGACTGTTGTGAAGGTGTTGTGGAACTCCATTCGTACTCATGTCTGTACCGTAGTTGGTGCTTAGACATAACAGCCCCTGTATCCTTGGCCTACCTTACATTCACATTATAGACCTTACCCATTGTACTACTCATCAAGAGTATCACTCGCTGGACGTCCATCAAATTGAGCGAATTGACAGAACTCTAACCTAAACTTTCCTAAGACCGACAGGATGACCCATATTTCTATCTGACAAATATCTCCGGGTGTAGCATTGTGCACGTCAGATATGTTTAGAATAGAAAACGTCGGTCAGAGAAGCACAGATCTCACAAGGACAGAAATTTTATAGGATAATCACATCTGGTGTTATCCCATGCTTTTCGCAGTAACGAGTATCATAATTGAAACAAACCCCATAAAACATCTAAAAACCCATGATATCTATACATGCATGCTTGCGAACCAATAGATTGTATTTGGAAAACATAGCGAAAGACGACAATGCTCCGGCCCACAATACTTAGACCCAGCTATACGAAGCAATGCTAAGACGATCCGAGGGCAGCAAGCTCTTTACGAATCTCTGCCTCGCCATCAATCTTCTTCAGTTGTGTGGCCTCCAATCGTTCACCTCTCCTAGCTTTCTCCTTGAGCTCATCGATAGCTTTGAGCTGAAAATAGTTATGATGTGATCAGCATTAAAATCAAGTAAATGATAGACTGATTGTACCTTCTTATTCAAATTCCGGATTTTCTTTGCAGCCGGATCTAGGGCTCCATCACCACCTGGTGTGGGCGGGACGGAACTCTCGGCCGGAGGTGTCTGCACGCCATTGACTTTAATCTCAATCGAAGGCCGGGCTGTGGGTTCTCCACCAGCAGCAGCACCGTTTGCAGCACCGTTAGCCTCTCTATCTTTCTTCTTGTCTTTTTTCTTCCTCAGCTTCTTGTCCTGGTTGTCCGGGCCAGGGGAAGGTGACTTCGGCGCACCAGGGACATGTCTCTTCCCTCCCCCGTAGCCATTCCCATTCACAGCACCTGGCGGGGCGGGGCTGCGGCTGTACCCTCGTGGAGGAGTCGCTGTACCGTTCGTGGGCACGCGAGGCGCACCGCCCTCATCCTCACGCTTGAATATGGCCGGCGTAGCAAGTCCACGTGCACCCGGAGGTCGATACGCTCCGGCGGGCTTAGTTGTAGCTGGTTTGGCAGTGAGGGTCATGTCGCGAACACTCTCACTTGGCTGAGGTGCAGGAGGGATATGCTGTCCAAACGGAGCAATGTTTTCTACAGGTGTAGGGCGCCATGATGCTTGGTAGAGCTCCTCAATGGCTTGTACATGCACAAGAGGACCGGTGCAATGCCATATTTTGAGACCGTTGTCGACTCGCAGACGGGGTGAGAGTGTAGCGGTCAGAAGGAAACGCCCGTCCGGCGACCACTCACAGAACGAAGTGTTAGGTGCATCGATGGTACATACTTTTTGCAGAGTACGGCGATCAAAGACGTCGATCTTTCCTGCGAGGTTTCCAAATCCAGCAAGGGCCAGGAGACGACCTTGGGGGTTGAACGAGATGAAATTGTGGGGAGAGGAACCAAAGTCATGCAGGGTGCGCACACGTTGATCGAAAAGCATGGTCTTGGCAGGCATGTCTGAAGTTCAATCGCGATTGGGTTTTAGCTATGCATCGCTACTGGCATAAAATAGGTAATAGCTTACAGCCATACACCACACCGAACTCTTTTGAGTTGGGACTCCACATGACGTCGTGTATCGGGCCTTCTTTATCCAGTGCTACCCTGCAATCGAAATTACCTGCGGCGCTGAGCAGGTACATTCCTGTCTCGCCGTAATAGCTCTTATTTGAATTGTCGACCTCGGTTTGCGTTAACACTAGGACCTGTGTACCAATACTATTCCACTTGATCTGAGCTCGATCGGCCTTGTAAAACGTTTTCTGGCACGTGGGCGGGCTATTCAATGACGCCAATCCATAGATCTTAACGCTGGCTGGTGCGCCCTGTAACTCGGCTGGTAAGATGAAATGCTCGTGGGATATGCGATAAAAACGTGTACAACACACCTTTTTCTCGGCTACAAAGACGGCAATCGATGGATGAAGTCCCGGACTTAACGAGACCATTGATGCGCCCTCGACTTTGAGCTTATCCACCACTCCCTTCGACCAACCTGCAGGCTGGAAGATCTGAACCTCCTGAGCGACGAGGCGGATAGCGTGAGACTCTGAAATGGTATATTGCAGGTCCCATCCTTCTTGTGACTTTTGGGTAAAAGAGATGAGCTCTTCCCCGGTGGAAGCGGAGAACACGCGAAGGTTCTTGTGCTGAGCTCCATCTTCCAATTTCACTAGAAACCCGCGGAAAAGATTTTTATCGATGTAAGCAACGTGGTACACGCAATGCAACTGGTCACACTACCTGGTCGCTCCCAGGTTGAGATGTAGGTGCCCCGCGGTGAAAACTTGAGTTCAATGACATTGGGGAGGCTCAATTCCTGCAGCAACTTTGCACCTTCCGCTTGGTAGATCCGCACGCTAGATAAGAGGATCATTATCAGATCGAGCACATCGCGCAAACACAGCATGGCTCACACTGAGGGCAGTGCGTAGGCAAAAAGACGGCCGTCAGAGCTATAGTGATATAAACGAGCTGGTACGTCTGGTCCTTGGAAACCGTCGACTGGTACATAGTTAGGTGTTCCTCCAACGAGACCGAGACTTTTTTGAGCACGGACTGAAAAGGCAAGTTTAGGTCGAGAAAGCTGTGGTAAGACGATAAAAAAACGAACAAGCGATTTGCTGAGAGAATTGGGATGCCATTTGTGTGTACAGGGAGGGAGCTGGGGACAGGAATGAAGCAAATTAATGCTTCAGAGGAAGAATATGGACAGACAAGAAAGAAGAGTAAAGGTAAGGTAACGAAATGCAACAAGGTCTTACAACTGAACCGAGTCTTTAGGGCAAGCCGCAGAAATTTACTCCTCATGTAATACATCCGCGCATTCCCGCTCAGCCCCGCCTCTTCCTTTCCTCCATAACCCTGCTCAGATGTTCTGTTGCCAGCGCTGACCTGAAATCCACACAGACGAAAAGACCTCAAGTTGCTTTATATTGACCTTCGTGGTGACGGGCGCACGATGCAGAGAACTCGCTGTTTGGACCCTCCTCACGTCGTGGCTCTGGTGCCCAATTCGGTATGCGCTGTCCTGGCGCATTAATGAAGTTGGCCTCGTGGACATCTGATACACTCACAGTCACGGACACCTTCCATATCTGCTGTGTGATATGGCGGCTCTCTGGTCAAGAACGTCGGAGGCTATGGGACTGCGCGTACTGGATGACGTTGTTTTTTGTGGCCTCGCACTATCTTTCAATAGCCTCTCTCATCTCCGTTTGCTTGAGCATTGTCTGCACTGGCCAACCAGGATGACGACCATGCGTTTCTTTCGAGGTGCGTATTATTCTCGTCGCGATCACATTGTCGCAGTGCTTCCGCCCTACTGGATGTCCTGGATGGCTTTGACCCCCATCGCCACGTTCGTATAGCGGAATCCACACTTCCTACCAACCACCGCTTTGTTGGCAGCAATGGTCGAATATTCTACAGGGTATAAAATCGAGGCTTTACTGGACGAGGATAGCATCGTTCTCTTCAACTCCCACTCCAGCTACACCCCCCACCCTTCAACCCTCTCCTCCGCGTCCCAGGCATGTCGCAGCCCCCGTATAACTGTGTTAGCCCCCAGCAAGTGATGTTGAACCCGAATGGCGCCGGTAGTCCTGGTGTACGCACCTATTCTGTCATGTTTCGCCACTTTGACATACTCACTTTTGTTTTTGCATGTGTAGCATTATGCAAGGTTGCAAAATCCTCCCCAACATCCTTCCCTTCAGGCTGCAGTCGATCAGTCCGAGATGCCAGACACTTTTTACTCTGTAAACGCAATCAGGTTACGGCATCTGCCTCGTTCAAATTTCCACACCCCCAAGCATCAGACCATCCCTGGAATTATATTCAGCTCGAGAGGTTATCCAGGCATTCGCGTCAAGGACATTCTTTTAGGGCAGGGGCGTGCTATTGTTGACAGTCCCCACGATTTTATTTTCAAGGGACATGGATGGCGCACAACGACTTTAAATCTTAATGTGAGTCTAACGCTTGTGTGAATCTCGTCGATCCTAATTTCACTACGCAGTATCCTGGCTACAACGATCCCTTTCCTTGGAGAATCGACACCGTTGACTCAGCTACTAAGACTCTTATGACTCGTTTTCAACTTGTAGAGAAACTCTGTATCCTTATTCGGGCTTTCTGTAGCCAAGCTAGTGTAAGTGCGATGTCTCGTATCACAATCAGTCACTCATGAAGCCTACAGAAATTGACAATTCAACCCGGCTATGAGAATTGGGCCCTTGGGGAAGACAACGTCCGCCTAGGTGATATATACCTGTTCTCGATCCATTATTACCGGAACGTCTGGGTGCCTGAGATATACGTCGTCGAATGATCGCGTCTTCACCAGCCTGGACTTTCATTATAGTATATATGTACTATCTTATCTTGTCTTGTTGGCTCCTCGGGCTAACATCCCTGTATCTTCTGCTACAACAGTCTGGACTCAGTTATTTGTATCCTTTAGCATAATCTCGTAGACTTTCTTGGGTCGTTTCATGTTTGTAGGGTGTGTTACATTACATAGTTAGGTCTAATTGCAATGAATTTTACACATTTTGTTCTCTGAGATTTGGCGCTGGACCGCTGGCCATAACGCCGTGTACCTTTTCGGCCAGCTCCGCAATCTGAAGTACCTTTTACTCTATATGGGTCAATGTATAAGGTCGTACGATTTCAGGGCTATCCGAACTAGAGCCTTTTCTTGCTCCACAACCGTGTACTTTCTGACTACGACGACAGCGAGCAAAGCAGTTTCTATATTATCGTATCGCAAGGCTACGAAAGGTTACGAACAACACTGACATCAAGTTATGCCCAGAGTACCGTCCATATCGCCCACGACGGGCCAGTCAACACCTGCTTCATTCATTCACACCATCGACTCTAATTTTGTCGATAACACAGGGAGAACCCTTTTGTTGCGCGGGGTCAATCTTTCTGGTTCCTCGAAGGCGCCTGTTGGAAGACCATCATACATCTATGAAGGCTTCTGGGACATTGCGGAACAGGGGGGCGAGAGTTTCGTTGGTCGTCCTCTCAACCTTGAGGATGGCTCCGCAGATGTGCATTTAGCGCGTCTAAGAGGATGGGGTTTTAATATCATCAGGTTTCCTGTTACTTGGGAGGCACTAGAGCATGAGGGACCGTAAGGAAGCTTCACGTCTGCTTATCTGCTTACTGAACCACGTGAACAGAGGAAAATACGATTACAAGTTTATGGACTACATTGTGCAAGTCCTCCGAAAATGCAAGGAATACGGATTCAAAGTATATATGAACCCACACCAGGATACTGTGCGTCTTTGTTTCTCACCTATCGCATTTATCTCATGCCTTGGCTGTAGTGGTCACGCTTCTCAGGTGGTTCAGGCGCTCCCTACTGGACACTTCCTGCTTGTGGCATGAATCCACGTAACTTTACTGCGACGCAAGCTGCCATCCTTCACTGTGAATATCCGGCCACGCAGAATCGTGACCCAGCTTCGCTCCCCGCCATGATTTGGTCTACGAACTACGGACGATTAGCCTCGCAGACTCTCTTTGCTCTGTTCTTTGCTGGTAACACATTCGCACCCAATTGCATCATTGACGATGTCAATATCGAAGAGTATCTCCAATCTCACTTTACAGAGGCATTTGGTCGTCTTGCGGACCATATCAAGGAAGCAGGGGACCTTTATGAAGAAGTGGTTATCGGATGGGACAGTATGAACGAACCCTATGAAGGGTTCATAGGATATGAGGATCTAAACAAAGTCCCAATCAAGCAGGGGTCGACTTTGAAGAAAGGTACATTCCCCTCTCCAGCTCAGTCTTTAAGGCTGGGTATGGGCGAGGCTCAGACCGTAGACAGCTGGACTTTTGGTTCTTTTGGCCCTAGAAAGAATGGCACGGTCACAATCGACCCCAAAGGCATCAAAATGTGGGCAGACCCTGAGACTGAACCAGATGGAAAACACCCCGTATGGGGTTGGACGCGCAGTCCCAAGTGGAAACTTGGAGATTGTATCTGGGCACAGCATGGTGTTTGGGATGTTGAAGCTGGCTATGTTCTTCTTCCCGAATACTTCCGTTTCCTCCCACCAGGACCAGATGGTACAAGCTTGGAGGTGCAGTTCCTCCGCGACTTTTGGGAGCCACAATTTAGGCGTTATGCTGAGCGCATCCGGAAGGCACACCCTGAAGCAATCTTGTTCGTTCAGCCTCCCGTCTTCGCTCGCCCGCCTCCTGTGAATGAAGAGTTGCTTCGTGGACGTTGCTGCTATTCAACACACTACTATGATGGTCTTACTCTCATAACGCGACACTGGAATTGGTTCAATGCTGATGCACTTGGGCTTTTGCGTGGAAAGTATTCTTCTACTTTGCAGGCTGTAAAGATCGGCGAGGGTGCCATTCGCAAGTCGCTTCAAGAGCAACTTGGCATTTTGAAGTCGGACGCATTGGATCTCGGTGCAGGCAACTACCCTACGATCATCGGTGAGATTGGCACGCCATTTGATATGGATGCCAAGCGTGCGTATGGGTATACGAATAACGGACGGTACAAGGGAGACTTCTCGAGCCAGGAAAAAGCACTGGATGCCAGTATGAACGCAGCGGATGGACCCAACGTTTTGAATTGGACGCTATGGACATACTGTCCCGATAACAGTCACGAGTGGGGAGACGGGTGGAATATGGAGGACCTCAGTCTGTGGAGTGGAGATGACCTACGTGAGGCACAGACAAGCCCGCAGATGCGGACTGGCCCTGGTTCTGAATCCAGGGCGGCGTTACTAAGAGCGCGTTCGGCGACCATGCTAGGGTCCATGACACCTCCTGCTGCGTCTTCGTTGTCATTGCAAACGCTGCCCACTACAAACGACCTCTTGGGTGATGCTGGATCTACTAGCAAAATTTCCCCGTTCCATTGGGAGAACGCACACGATTTCTTGATGGATGGTGCAAGAGCTGCTCGCGCGTTTTGTCGACCGTGGCCCACTGCGGTCGTTGGCCTGCCAACAGATATCCAGTTCAATATCTCAAAGGCCTATTTCAAGCTCACCGTTCGCGTGCGGGCTGAGGACGTACCTGTTCCCCACACCAGACACGACAATGCGTCTACCCTGTCAGGCGACCATGTACAGAAGGATAGAGCACCCACTGAAATTTACATCCCGCTCATTCATTATGCTCATAACAAAAGCCTTGGTGACCTCGTGGAGCAGAGTGACTCGCCAGAGAGCAGTGACGTGTCGAGTGGAGCACTGACTCCTATTGAAGACTCGCGCAACCCTTCATCGTTGAACTTGTCGCTACCCTCTTCGCATGCATCGACCCTTGTGCCAGGTACCACACTGGACCTTGAAGTGACCGTCAGTGAGGGAATATGGGATGTCGAAGGGCAGACGTTGAAATGGTGGTACCAACCTCCCGAGCCAGGGGGAGCTGACAAGGAGCTGACTATTGAGGTGAAGCGGGGCAGTGGACCCATCAAATTGAGTACTGAGCCGAGCAGTTGCCCGTCTTTGTTTGGTCTGGATAGCTTGTGTCCGCCCGAGATATGTCGCATCATGTAATGAAGTGGGGCTATATGGTTTTTCTATTATTCGTTGCTATAATATCTAGTTTGTCGACTGTCTGTCTGTGGACAATTATGCATTGTAATTATATATTCCATCCATGTTCGGTAACTCTAGCATAACATAAAGAACCGTATACCTTCTAGATAGACGACGATAAATATTCAGGAGCTGGATCTTTCATGTTCAAAAGTTGGTGTGTCGCTGGAAGACTGTAGGTCTGACGATGACTCTTCCGTGAGTGATGTTGGTGGTCGGCGTGGTGCCAGTTGTATGCGAGGCAGTAAGAGCGGGGTATCCTGGAATTCTGCCCATCCTCCCCTCAGTCCAATTTCCACGACCCTTTCCAATATCCGAGCCAACTCGTCATTTCTACGAGCAGGTAAGTACGTCAATCTGTCCAAGATTGAGTAGCAAGAGGCTGGACATACCGTTGCTTCTCCTCTTGCCAACGTTCTTCATATGTTGCAGTGACGCTATCGAGTCGCGTCCCTAGGTCTTGCATTCGGCTGTTGAGCTCATCGAGCTGGTCATCCACATCGTCTCGCCGTCGCGTTGAATTTCTCGATGTACGCCATGTTTCGCCCATGATGAGAAGCGCAGCGACGCCAAAGAGAAAGCCTTCAGCGAGGGCGTTTGCACCATTCTCAATTGCCCTGCACATATACCCAAGTTTGCTTCGACGAGAAGAAATAAATAAAAAAGCCACGAACCTCGCTTCTGAGAGTGGACGAACGTGTTGTCTGGCTGGTTCTCCGAGAATGTTGGTCCTGAGCTTGATCTCGGCCATATACATCCCTTGTGCGAGCGATACGCATATGGACCGGAACGTCTCGTGTCTGGTTAGATTTTATCAAGTCGAGTGCGGGACATGGAGCTGGCTACACTTACTGCTTAGCTTGGTTTTTCAGTTGTGCGCTGATGGGTTTGGCGATAGTCTCTCTTGGACAAGGATAAGCTGAGAAAACTGCAAGGAAGACGGGTTGATAGAACGAGCGCTCACTCGAATTGCCAGCGTGGCCAGCTTCACCGTCGCCATGCTAAAACTATGTATGCTCTGATGGTAGTTTCAGAAAGCGACTCGTTGGTGGATGTGATGATGAGGTCTTGAGGCGCTACAAATATTCTTCGTAGACAGAAGCCGGAGGCTCGACGTCACCGTACGGCAACGAACTTCGAATAGTCGTTGTTGTAGTCAACAAATAAATTAAGGACGCTATTGTCAAAAAGACAATGAAGCAAAAAGCAAAAGGTTTGTGAGAAGCGCGACCCACTGCGCGACTGCCAACGGTCCTGATCTCCTAAGACTAACTCGGCGAGCTCTGCAGGTTGCGGAATTGCTTCCCTGGCCTGACAAGAGCCGATTATTCCAAGTTACACTTCACGCCTTACGACGCGACAAACTGTGGCAACCAAGTTTTCCGGAGGGGACAGTTTCGAACCAGCGCACTCGTGGATTTAACCGCTGTAAAGAACCACCTCACATTCCCGGTTTAGGGCCATTACAGCCACTGCACCATTGTACCATAACTTAGTGTGGGTTGTAACTTCCCAAGACCCACCAGCCTCGCTTAGACTATTACTAGACGCGCTCTCTTTCCTTTTGCCATCGACGACGGCAACACCTGCTTCAACGATGAGCTCGACGACAGACCTCCTGGTTTCCCTCAGTCAAACTATCAAAGCAAAATTACCTGTAGCCTATGCCAAAGGCACAGACCCAGTCTCTTCTATTGTCTCTGCAACTCACCTCATACTTCCTCCCGACCTTTCTGTACCAAAATCATCCCCCACGCGCTATCGCAAACCGGGAACATCATCCACAGACCCTTCTATAAGTCCTCAAGACTTCTTCTCCCTAGAGGCGATTTATCTCGCTTGGCTCCTTCGAGACGCTCCAGGCGCAGAATACAATCGCCAATCCAGGGAACATGGGCTTGCGCTCGGTTTTGTGAGCATAACGGAGCGGAAGAATGTTGTGGATTGGCTTGAGGGACGTACATCTGAGAACGAACGTATTGTTTCTCTTATTGGTAAGTCCTATAGGCTACTTGGGTCCATTTAATATCTAACGTCCTGCGTTACATTTCGTATTGACCACCTATTACAGTTGAATCCACGACACCCCCCGGAACGCCCCCACACCGAGGCTCTGCTACTGCTGCCTCAACAACTTCACCAAGGAAACCTGGAGCTACAGAAAGCTCTTCGCCCTCAAAGCGACGCTATGTTGCAGATCCACGAGACATCGAAGTCGTTAAGAAAATAAAGCACAACGAAATTGAATTACAAGACCGTAATACCGTTCTCCGTGGTATCAAGCCAAATGTGCGCATCTCCTTCATGACTCAACTCATGCTTTATTGCTGATATATGCTACCTAGAATTTCTCTGCCCTGCGCACGACCTATACTGACAAGCTTAAGAAGCTCAAAGAAGCCAGCAAGTCAGGCATGCCGATGTCCACACCAGCGCCTTCAGCCGGTAAGAATATCATATTTTGGTTGGCATCCCTTATTTATACGATTTTTATGGTAGGGCCTATGCAAGCACGAAAAGCCAGTGAGTATGCATATAGTGACCATGATGAATATAACCTGAAGTCCTTTTGCAGAAAATTTGTATCCCATTATCATGATATCGTCTTCACCAACGGCTCTCATCACTATGTACAACGTCAAACGTTTCCTCCAAGAGTCTACGTATGAGCTATCTATACCTCAGTAAAGAGCTACATTTCACTAACTTACACCACAGGTTTGAACTCTCCGCCGATGCTCGCGCACGCGCAGCAGCTGAGGGCAACCCACGTGCTGAAGATCTCATCCCGATTGACCGACGACGTACCACTGTCGACTCTGCAGGACACGAGCGTGCAACGCACGCGCGGTACTTCGTAGTGGACAGCGTAGATGCCCTATCCAAGTTTGGTACAGATGCATGGGAGAGAGTTGTATGTGTTATGACGACGGGCCAGGCATGGCAATTCCGCCCTTATCGCTGGTCAGAGCCGCGAACGTTGTTTCATCATGGTGGGCGTTCTCTAGCAGTTTACTGTGCTTCAGTTGAGTGTTGACCATTGGTTTAGTCAAGGGCATTTATGTTTCATGGGCTAATGACCCACCGAACACCAAAATAAAAGATTGGAATGTGACTGAATTGAAGGTACGTCGTAGTGTGATCGAATTCCCTTTCCCTTTTCATTGTCTCACGTTTCCTTACCACCGTTTTGTAGATCGATCCTCACAGGCGACACGTTGACAAATCTGTGGTTGCTCACTTTTGGAAAATTCTGGACGATTGGACAATGGCGAACAAGCCGGGGCTCATGAAGTCGTGAGCAATTTGACAGAAGCGTGCAGGTTGGCGTCGTACCCCACACTAAGGATCTCTTGACCCATATCTTTGGCCCTCGTTGAATTGAGCTACAGCGATAAATTTTATTCAACAGTTTTGTTATCTCACGCTTTAAACGCTAGATTATTATTGAATTCCACATTCTTGTATGTATTAATACGTGTTCAAATTCCACTGCAGTGATACTGTACACCCTGTCGACCTTCTTGGCCCCCTGCTAATCTTTACACGCAAGGACTCTATTCTTCTTTTCGTGATGTCTTCCATCGGTATACTTTCCCTTGACACGCACACATCGAGTTCTCTAATGCGATTTGCGTATCGTCAAGCTACTTTGACTCGCACTTTCTTTCCGCAGATCACTCATGGGTTTCCCGCGTTGCTGTGCTACGTACGTGATCTTCTCATCCAGCTAAATCATATATTAATGCCTCATATTTTTCAAGTCTTGATTTCGGCACTATGCGCTTGGGTTACAATAGTGTTATGCCACCTAAGTGACGACACGTGCCGCAATTATGACGTTTCTCGCCCTTACAAAACGAACTGAAGGGCAACCGGTACAAGTTTTCCTTGGTGGAACTATCTGATCGTTCGAATTTACCATCACACCAACATTAAGAAAGCAGTTTCGGCAAGACCAGGATGAAACTAGAGCAGTGCATCGAAGCTCGCATCGCGTCCAGGGTATTTACTTGTTTCCTTCGATTTCATGCACCCACGAAAACTACGGTACTACAGCGCGAACGTGAAGAGAATAGAGGCACGAAGGTATGTCCTTGCAATCCATACGGAAAACTTAAGACTAGGAGTAAACCAGGCACACAACAGTGCGTATTGTAATGGCGCAGTCGATTCGAGCTCGTTAACACCATACATATTCAGTAAATGTAGACATATGGCTGTTCACGGAACTGCGATGCTCATCCATTAGTCCAAAATGGAATACTTGTTGATCTCTTCGACTATGCCGCCCCAGCGTCCGCCATTCCACGACTTCATATCCTCCCACTGGTCCTTATCAAAGGCAACGCTGAAGCTCCTCATCCATGCAGCGACGATGACGTCTGCATAGGAGAATGTGTCTCCCATTATCCATTTACCACCGCTCTTTGAATACCACCCATCGATGACTCCGAAGGCCGCTTTTATGTTTTTCCAGCCCTCCTCTCGCTTTGGGCCTTCGGGACAAATATCCTCAAACTTTGTACCAAATCTAATCTCAGCCTGCTTCTTAAGATACTCCTCGCTCCTGGGGTACAACTTAGAGGTACCTATGGCGGACATCACTGGGAACACAGGGCGTAAAGTGTTCATGATAGCGGAATCAAATATGCTGATGAGGGCTTTAGTGTTGGGGGGGAAGACAGCGGGTGATGATGGATACGTCTTCTCGAGGTATTCTGCGATGGCGAAAGAGTCGGAAACAACGGCACCTGTGGAAGGGTCTTGGATAGTAGGTAGCGTGTAGAAATCGCTTCCGTCAGGTTTGAGCCCGGTAGGTTTGGCTCCGATAGCCTTCATCCGTTCTTCGACATCGGGCGATTCAACCCAGACGGACTTGTAGGCCAAACCTTTGTAAGCAAGTGTGTACCTACAACAGCGAACATGTGAGTCAGATTTGTTCACGAAAAATGACGAGTTCAACTGCGCTACTTGCCTTGCTTTGAACATGTTTCCAGACAATGCTTTCCCGGGCACTTGGGTTGGGATATCGTATAGTATGATTGGTTCAGACATGAGTAGAAAATATGAGGTGAGTGTTGACTGTTTGATGCAGTGGGTGTTGATTGTCTACTTCAGAGTACGCCTTAAATATGCTTTCCTATCCCTGACGTCAAAAGTATTAACAATATATTCATCGACTATCATCGGTCAACCTTCAACTACCGTCGCTGAATCATTGTGATTACTAATGCTTGTTGATTGGTAAGTACAACTTTTATATGCTGATTCCGCTAACTCTATGCTTGTTGTCTCCCACAAAAGTTCTTTTATTCCGCAAAAACGGAAATCGCTTGGATATTCTGTGTCAACAAGGGAAGACCTTGTTCTGGTTGCGCATCAGTTTTTGGATGCGAATCTTTCCACGTCACGGCTAAATCTAGAATGAGGGAGCGAAAATATCACCTTGAACCCTCCCAAATTCAAGGAAATGAATAACAAGTTACAATCTATCGATTGACTATTGAAGTAGGTCAACGAGGGAGGTTGATAGTAACTCTTCATTGTGGAGCGAGACAGAGTGAGCGTTTTTATAAGCAGACATTCCCCAGGGTTTCAAGCAAACACAAAAATATGCTCTACTTATTGGGCTCATATGTATTACGATCATGTCCTTCACGTGCGTTCACTTTACACACTCGGAGGGGCACAGGGTTGTACACTGACAGTCGATATAGCGTCAAGGCTGGCATTTTTCAGCGATACTTGAACTATCGTAAACCAAGTACAATGCGCGGTAATGTGCTATTGGTAAGGCAAGGGATATTTGGCTAGTCGCAGAATCTCACTATTCATACATTAGTTCAACCGTGAGAACTAGATTAATGCAGCGTGAATACGGAGAACAAAAAAGCACAGAGGTATGACTGTATGTCCTTGCAATCGATACGGAAATTTTCAAGACTGGGATTTAATTAGGCACACAACTATCGGTATCATACATTGTCCAGTTCTCCGCTTCACTACAGTAAGGTAGAAATATATTTACAGAATTGCAGCGCTCACATTAATCCAGGATGGAATACCTGTTAATGTCTTCAACTATGCCGCCCCAGCGTCCGCCATTCCAAGACTTCATATCTTCCCATTGTTCCTTATCAAAGAGAACGCTGAAGCTCCTCATCCATGCAGCTACGATGACATCTGCATAGGAGAATGTATCTCCCATTATCCATTTACCACCACTCTTTGAATACCACCCATCGATGACCCCAAAGGCCGCCTTTATGTTTTTCCAGCCCTCCTCTCGCTTTGGGCCTACGGGCGAAATATCCTCCCACTTAGCACTCATTCTAATCTCAAGCTGCCTCTTAAGATACTCCTCGGTTCTGGGGTACAACTTAGGGGCAGCTACGACGGCCATTACTGGGAACACAGGGCCTATAGTGTTCATTAAGGCCGAATCAAATACGCTGATGAGTGCTTTAGTGCTGGGGGGGAAGACAGCGGGTGTTGATGGATATGTCTTGTCGAGATATTCTGCGATGGCGAAAGAGTCGGAGACAGTAGCACCTGTGGAAGGGTCCTGGATGGTAGGCAGAGAGTAGAAATCGCTTCCGTCAGGTCTACGCCCAGTAGGTTTGGCTCCGATGGCCTTCATGCGCTCTTCGACATCGGGTAATTCAACCCAGACGGACTTGAAGGCCAAGCCTTTGTAGGCAAGCGTGTACCTAGAACAGCAAACATGTAAGTGACATGTGTTCGCTAGTTAGAAACGACGAGTTTAACTGTGCTACTCGCCTTGCTTTCAACATGTTCCCGGAAAATGCATTCCCAGGCACTTTGGACGGGGTATCGTATAGTATAATAGGTTGCGACATGAGTAGAAAATGTGAGGTGAGTGTTAATCTTCTGATGAAGTGGGCGTTGATTGGTTGATGCAGAGTGAGTACCCCTTAAATATGTCTAGTTTGACCGAAATGCTTTAGAATATGTTTTCCTCTCGAAACCTAACGAGGTCGTACTTTCTGGGGAGATGACAAGATAATCAACGAAAAGGATGGCAACAGACAAGAAGTGATTGATTGCCGTTGCTGAATCATCATGATAGCTAATGCTTTGTTGCTTGATAAGTAATAAGTTACAACATTTACGATGCTGATTCAGCTAAGACTACTTACGCTTGTCTCCTACAGAGTTATCCTATTACGCGAAGGCGGGAATTGCTTGTAAATTCAATTCAACATCAATAAGGAAAGACCTGCTCCCGATTTTCTAGGTGCGCACTAGTTTTTGGATGCAAATATCACATTGAACTCAAGGAAAGGAAAGGAATAGCAAGTAGCAATATATCGACTGACTATGACATCATTATTGGAGTAGATTGGTAGTAGTAAGTCATCATTGTCGATCTATTTACAAGATATGATCGACTATCATCACTATATTGAATTAGTATTTACAAGATATCGATCGACTATCATCAATATATTGAATTAGGTCAGCAAGGGAGACTATTGTCGATCGTTGAACGAGATGGAGTGATGAGCGTTTATATAAGCGGTACTTTCTCAGGGTTTTAAAGTCAAGGACATTGTCTACGGGTGCGCAGATTGACAAAGACATGCTGTGTTCACTGGCTTCACATCTATTGTGGCCATGACGTTCTCGTAGTACGTTTACTTTACACACTCAAAGTACTCAGCATCATTGTAAACTGACAGTCGATGTAGCATTCAAGCCTGGAGTTCGTCAGTGACATTTGACTATCGTAGTCATATACAGTGCACGGAAATCTTCTATTGGTAACATCAGTTAAGTACTTGGCTAGTCACAAAAACGCAAGAATCTCAGTGTTTATCCATTAGGCCAGAACTAGAGTATTTTATTTCAGCGTGAATATGGAGAACATAGAAGCACCGAGTTATGGGGCTGTATATCCTTGTACTCGATACGGAAAACTTAAGACTGGGATTAGACCAGACACAACAGTCGGTCTTATGATAGCACAGTCAACTCAAGATTGTGACACCGTGTACGTTGTGTAGATCTCTATGTCAGTAAGACGAGGTAGACATGGTTGTTCACAGAATTACAACGCTCTTCTGTTAGTTAAGAATGTCATACCTGTCAATCTCTTCAACTATGCCGCCCCAGCGCCCGCCATTCCAAGACCTCATCTCCTCCCATTGGTCCTTATCAAAGGCAACGCTGAAGCATTTCATCCAGGAAGCTACGAGGATATCCGCATAGGAGAACGTGTCTCCCATGATCCATTTGCCACCGCTCTTCGAATACCACCCATCGATGACCCCAAAGGCCGCCTTCATGTTTTTCCAGCCCTCCTCTCGCTTCGCACCTGCGGACGAAATATCTTCCCACTTGGCATCTAACCTAATCTCAGCCTGCTTCTTGTAATACTCCTCGCTCCTGGGATAGTAGAGCTTAGAGGCAACTGCAACGGTCAATTCTGGGAACACAGGGCCTATGGTATTCATAAAAGTGGAATCAAAAATGCTTATGAGGGCTTTAGCATTGGGGGGGAAGACAGCGGGTTTGGATGGGTACGTCTTCTCGAGGTATTCTGCGATGGCAAAAGAGTCGGAGACAATAGCACCTGTGGAAGGGTCCTGGATAACAGGGAGAGTATAGAGATCACTTCCATCAGATTTGCGCCCAGTAGGTTTGGCTCCGATAGCCTTCATCTGCTCTTCGATATCCGGCAATTCAACCCAGACAGATTTGAAGGCCAAGCCTTTGTAGGCAAGTGTGTACCTATAACAGCAACATGTGAGTCAGGTCTGCTCACTGGATAGAATGATGGGTGAAACTGCGCTATTTGCCTTGCTTTGAATATATTTCCAGACAGTGCTTTTCCGGGCACTTGACATGGAATATCGTATAGTATAATGGGTTGAGACATGCGTAGAGAATTTGGAGCGAGTATTGGTCGTCTGATGAAGTGAGTGTTGTCTGGTGCACAGTATTACTTAAATATGTACTGATAGCTTTGCCGAAATTTGTATCCCTGCCTTAAAAAGCCTACTGTGTCGTACTTCTTTGGGAGATAATACGATAATCAATGAAGAAGTCGCAAGAAGCGATCAGCCGCCATTGCTGAATCATTGTGATAACTAATGCATGTTGCTTGGTAAGTACCACTTTTACGTTGTACGCTGATTCAGCTACTTGTCTCCTGCAAAGTACTAAGACTTATCACGCGGAGACAGGAATCACTTGTATAATCCGTGTCAATAAAATAAGGTCTTGATCTCGGTCTTCTGGGCCTGCACGGATGCAAACCCTTCCAGGTCACGACTACATCTAGAATAGGAATAGGGGCCTGAAAGCCTCACCATCACATTAAATCCATTCAAGGACAGGAATGGCAAGCTACACTATATTAATCGACTATCATCATTATCATTGAATTCTGTCTCGTTTAATACTATCAGTTCTCCCTTGTTGACTGAGTGAGCGTTTATATAAGTAGGTATTTCTCAGTGTTGGAAGAATAAGAGAGAGACAAGCCTCGTACGGCGTAGTACGAAGGCAAGTAGTGGCGCAGGCGCCAAACTGGGAAGGTCCAGTAGTTGGGGTGGCCCGTGCACCTAATATACCGCATCATTTTTTTTGTTCCGTCTTCACTTATATACGCTGTCGTTGTCAGGCAGACACCTCAGATCTTCTGTCGAAGTCTGAGTTTACTTACTAGATCAAACCCGAACAATTTCACTCAGGGCTTTCAAACAAAAGACACTATCTACGAGTGCACGGATAGATGAAAAAATGTTCTGCATACTGGCTTCACATCTATTGTGGTCATATCCTTCTTGTATGTTCACTTTACATGCCCAGAGGGGGCTCAGCTGCAGGATTGTACAATTGATGCAGGTTTCAAGGTTGGCATTCCTAATGTGAATCTTATACCATGCGCGATTATGATAATCTTAGACTCTATGTCAGTAAAACAAGGTAGACGTACGGTTGTTCACAGAATTTAAGTGCTCATCTATTAGTCCAATACGGAGTACTTATTAATCTCTTCAGCTATGCTGCCCCCAGTGTCTGTCATTCCAAGCCTTCATCTCCTCCCATTGGACCTTATCAAACGGGGACGCTGAAGCTCCTCATCCATGCAGCTACAAGGACATTTGCATAAGAGAACATATCTCCCATGATACATTTACCACCGCTCTTTGGATATCCCCTATTGATGACCCCAGGAGAATCTTTTGCATTCTTCCAGTGCTGTTCGTGTGTGGATCTTTGGGTGAAATATTCTCTAACTTGGTACCAAATCTAATCTAGGCATTTTTCCTGAAGTATTTCTCGCTTGTGGGTAATATACTCGCGGGGACCATTACAGCTAGTAACAAGGACATCAGGCACATACCCTGCATGAAAGCGGAATCAAAGACGTGGGGGAAGACTGTGGGTTTGGACAGATACATTTCCAGAAGGTATTCTACGATGGCACCCGCAGATGGGTCCTGGATAACAGGGAGAGTGTAGAGATTGTTTCCGTCAGGTTTACGCCCAGTAGGTTTGGCACCGATGTCTTTCATCCGCTCTTCAACGTCCCATAATTCAATCCAGACAGATTTGAATGTTGGATTGAGGATATCGAGAGGAAGCAAGCCGATATGAAGCGCCTAGAAAGGAAGGCGCGTAAGTATGAGTGGCCCGTGCGCCAATATATACCATCAGAAATTTTTTGACTCCGTTCTCTCACTTACCTAAAAAGGAGGTCTAGTTACCATGTACCACCTCAGACTCTTCTACGAGATCTGAGGTGAGACCCCTTCTCTTTTCCCCTTTCAAATACTTAGCTTACTATGATTTAGTCCTTTCTTTTATCATAGATTTAACTCTCAAACGATTTGATTGAAGGCTAAGCCTCTGTATGCAAGCATGTACCTATGTTAGCGAGCATGTAAGTCAGGTTATTCACTGAATAGAAAAGATGGGATTAATTTTATGGGTCCTTTGCCTGAGATATCGTACAGTAGAATTGATTGAGACATGAATATGGGTCAATTGCCGCTGTCATGCACCAAAGTTGATTGGTAGCATGGACAGGTGTCAATAACGAAGCGAATATTCAAAAAGACTCGCCTTTGCGCCACACAGGCACAGTGCCACGTGGAATAGTAATTAATATTGCCCTTTTTGAACTTGTGGCTGATCAGCACCACCTCTATTAGGCAATCCAGTCACGCTCACCTTTGCTTTTCCATTCGGTACTTTCCGCGTTTCGGCATTTCGGCAAATTTTCGCGTCGCCACTGGCTACACATTGCATTGCGCCCTCGCTTTTGTCGTTTCCCTTACTCCCCTTCCTTTTCCTAGCCCCACCATGGGCCCCTTCCTCTCCTTTTTATTCTCACCCAACGGTCGTTTCTGGGTCCCCATTTTAGTTCACCTCCTCGTCACCTCCACCCTCCTCCTCCTCATCTTCTTTGCACCCCCACCATTTCTGATGTCACCACTTCCTATCCGCTTCCGTCGCCGATCCGTTGACTACCACGTGCCACTGCTGATATCAGCAAAGCCCCGGCGGCCGGTCCAAATAGGGCAACAGGTCCATCTTCATGACGTCGATCTGCCATCATATACTATCAAAACATCGGTCGCTCGTCTTGCCTGGTTGGAGCGTGGGTGGGTAGTTTTTGAGCTGGAGAAGGTTCATCCCCTTGCGTCGCCCATGTTCATCGCTGTCCCATTCACTTGGGTACACTTATCATTTGTCCATCGTCTTCGCTACAGCTACACCTACCACACGCTGCCTGGGACTCACTTGTTCCAAATTGGAACTACTCCTCTCCCTCCCTTGTTTGATCAGGTGTTCCAACACAACCAGTCCATTGGTAAGGCCATGGAACTGTCAGATTTGGACTAGGTGGTGGACCGGTGGCTCCAGTTTCTTTTTTTTCAGCAGAACATTCATTTACAGTGCGATTATTTTTGATTTTTGAATCATTTTTATGGACACATATTTTTTTAGAATGCCTGACTGACAATAAAGGAACTGTGTTGATACTGATAGTGTTTTGCCTTGCCCTTTTTTTACTGCATCTTCCCATGACATCATGATCTTCCTGCTCTCTTTTTGCTATTGGACTTTACTTTATGGCTGTACAAACCTGTGACATTACTCACAGCATTTATTGTTCTATCCCTTTCTTTTCTTTTTTTGACAATCTTATCCTGTACTACCTACGCAGGATTCGTCAGCGTACATTCCTTCCTTCATATTCTTTCTCATTCTTTTTGCACAGCTATACTGTGCATAGCCTACTTCTCTTTTACTATATAAACCCCTGTATTTTACCTTGTAAAAAAAAAAGAACAAGAACTCCAATCCAGACTTCTTCTCTACTCTCAAGTTCACTACTCTGCTACTTGTGATCCAGTGTGGTCACAACACTTCCCACTTCTACCACTGTCAACTGCTGTCATCGTCACTTCCCACTTTTGAAGTCATTGTCATCCCTTTCGATTAGAGTCCTTCTGAACACTACGGTTTGTGCGTCAGGAGCCTGCTATCACTGGGAACCTTGTCATCCTCGTCGTTCTCAAACCTACCTTGTGCTACGATTAGCAAGGTAGTGCTCGTCTATACTCGTCACAAAGCCCCTATCCTTCTATAAATTCAACTATCCCTCCTCCTCAAAACCCACACTCATACACCTCTGGGTTTTACTTTGAAGGATCTTTATACGTACCACCCCACGAACAACCAGACCACTCCACTGTTCTAGGAGGCAAAGCCCATAAACAAGTTCCGTGGAATCTGGGAGGATTGTGTGTTAGTTTGTTTTGTGTGTGGTTTTCTAACTACAGTTCTCATCATCGACACCGCTTGTTTAAAATCTACCAGAGGGCATCCTAAATATGTTTGCAGAGACTGTGCTGCCGAATGGACTCTCTAACTGCAGTTGCCCTCCTCTTTCGAACATTGACCATTTTTGGCGAGGAGCGCATCAGCATTACAAAAGGGAGGAGGCCCGGTAAGTGTTGTGCCGAATTGTTGATGAGGCTTATCCTTATCGCTACTCAAGGTTGTACCACAATTCACGGACTGTATCATTTCGCGCATGGTCAGAAAAAAATCACAGAGCACATAGTGAGTGCCTATGGTCCAACCGGAGAGGAAGAACGGTATGAGACTCGTATGATGAGATAACTCCCCGTAATAATTGACAACATAGTAACTTGAGTACTACAATATACTGCACTTTATGGATACTAGTACGCACCAGAGGTCCAAAAATGCTGCCAGTCAACCGAACCGTGACCGGACTGCTTTTAAGTTAAACTGAAAACAGTATTCAAGTTTGAACTTTTTTGAGCTCCATTACTGCAACTCCACTTGTAAGCATATCATTGTCTATTCAATTCTTAGTCCTTCAGTCAGGGACGACTCCTCCCTGACTCAATTAAGTATCTCAGGCTGTTGCAAGACCTAGCATCAGATTCTTTTAGGACCCCTGAATATCCCTATGGAACCCTGATTTTTCAGGAGCCATACAGACTTTGGAAAAATTGGGCATTAAATGTCCGGATCGCCCGCAAGGTTCCAATTTCATGAAAATTTGTCCGGATAGATACACAAGGATAGGTATGTTTGAAATTTTGGGCCAAATCGGTCAAATTGTGTTAGAATATACTCTGACATACCAATACCCCATAGGATAATACCTCTGATTTGTAAGCCAGCCCAGTATGCAGCAGCTATTCTGTGTAAGACATCCGTGGTTGCATGTCATGTTTAAGATCCTACATTGTAACCTTGGCCATATAGCTCAATTGGTAGAGCAGCTGGCATGTATCCAGAAGGTTCCAGGTTCAATCCCTGGTCTGGTCATTATCCAATTTTATCAAATTGTCCAGATGTGCTAACAGGGGATGAGTAGACAAAGTGTAGAGTTGAACCTTGACTACAGCTGCTTTGTAATTACAGCGGGCAGCCTCCTTGACCCCATACAATATTATATATATGATCTATATTGTTAAATTAAACCTTGTCCTGAGTGTCCGAACAAACTGCCTCCTGCCCTGCCTTGTTTTTGCCTCGCTGTCGAAAGAGTTTCATGGCTTGATCAAATTTTTCTACCTGTCGAGAGAAAATATCAGACAACTTGAAATCTTTGTTGCTGATATCAATGTTATTTCCTCTCTACTTCACCAGTTGAGCTAGAAGGCATAGGAATGATGTTGAAGGGAGAATAGTGAATTGGTAAGTTTGATATGCGGCTATTGCTTCTGGAATTGGGGGAAAATGATTGAGGAAGCGTTGCTGAAAGGTCTGCACAACCACATAAGAGATTGCTGATATATTTTTGACGCTTGTGACAGCTGCATGTCTCCCAGTTTTCCCACCAGATTTACAGCTCAGAGTGACAACTGAAATGTGTTAAAATCCCAGCATGATTAGTTCAAACGGTCTCTCGTGAGTCGATGAGTTGAAACACCAATTTCAAAAATTTAGATCAGCACCACAGCAAAATGCATCCTACATCAAAAGTAAAAACGGGCCATTCACATGATTTGAACCATCAACCTCCAGCCTCGCAAGCCCATCAACCACTACCACTTCACTGAACAGGCTACTGAAGCTTTCGTCATTGGCTATCTTGACTGAGGTCATCCTAGTATGTCCGGATTGGTACACAACATTTGTCAGAAAGGTATGACCGGTGTCCGGACTCCCAAACAAGGCATTTCGTAATTTTGGGGATTTTTGTCCGGATTCTCAGCAAGGTTTTTTCGTGTTTTTGCCTATTTTTGTCCGGATGGCTGATCAGGGTTTTATAGGGATATTCAGGGGTCCTATTCTTTTCCTTTTAGCAAGTTTGGTGCCACTTTGCTATCTGTAAAAAGTCTGCCGTCAAAGCACAGCCTGAGGTACGTAGTGGCGAATACAATTCTGTAACCGCTGCCAACGGCCTACCGATTCAACTTTCCGACTATGAGATAGGACTAGTATCGGTAAACGATGGAAAGGTGTCCGGACTCTCAAAGCTTGTGTAATACCCTCAAATGGGATTAGGTTCTAGTATATTCAGGCTTGTGATCTGTCTTTTACACATTTTCCACCTCACTAAGTTCCACAGAGTTCAATAACAGGCTCGTGCTACGTGAGGAACAACACCTAGATGTCATTCTGAGGTTGAGTGAGATTTAGACCTCCCAATTCACCATTTGATATAGCAACACAGTGACTCCCACTCCACACACAGCACACAGCACCACTCTTATGTTGATATGCCGTTCTGTTAAATGGTTGCACACTTCGGCTTCTGCTCGGGTTGTGCGTGGTTGTTCGGTGCATCTCCGAGAGCTTGCGTAGAGTGTCGATCATTAATGATGGCATCATTCTTTTCCCAGTAGAAGTACGTATACCTAACGTTGCTAGAGGATATATTGCTGAAGGCTTATCCGTGCTGAGGTCGTTTGACTGGGTGTCAGGTCTATTTACAGTAAGCCATTAGAACTGTTTTATCAGTTCTGAAGGCCTACACATCAATTTGCTGGTATCATTCCTATGCAAACCGACAGGCCTTCATCATGCTTTACTGCGCAACGACCAATTCGACAATTGACGCGTTGATGCTAAGCCAAACACAGAACCGATGTTGAGCCAGTCACTCTGCGTGCAGCAAGGAGTTTGATGGCGGAGTTGCTTAGCTCGTACCCTCAAAATCAACATTCAGATAACACCCATCACATTGGCGCGAGGAATATTACGACAGGGGACTACGTTCACGTCGACAAGCTCATGTTCCATCCGCATATGTAAGCATCAAAGAACGTCACATCTCGATAGGCTTAATCGTCTCTCATAGCCTTTGTACTTCTCTAGCTCGGAAAGACCAAGATATCATATTCTAACCTTCGAGACGTTGCTACGACGTACGATCTAACCCGACCGAAATTGTGTTAGCTTTACAAGCGCGGTGTGCTATCGCGAATATAAATACAGTGAGATATCAATGACTTTTGCCAACACTTCATACATTATGTTAAACAAAAGGCTTGACGATGATACATCTCAGGTTCTTCCTGCCACCAAGGATTGTTCATACCCTTCTTTGGACGGATCACTCTTACTTCCCGATCTCATTAACTTTCATCTTCGCCACAATTCATCACTACCCTGCTACTTGTATTCCAACGATGCTAAAGCTTCGTTCTCGCCTCCCAAGACCACTGTGATCACCTATCTCGAGTTTGCTCATGCATGCCATCGTGTCGCACATATGTTGAGACCGCATCGTGTGGGAAATGAGGGGCAGGTGGTGGGGATTGTCGCCAGTACAGATACCATTCTATACCACACTGTAGTGGCAGGTATGATGCTCGCTGGTTTTATAGTAAGTGTCCTATGCTTTTTGCGGTATTTTTTTTTGTGATCTTACTTTGCCTGGTGCTAGCCCCTTCCCATGGCACCAACGAATTCCCCTGCTGCCATTGTAAACATGCTTCGCAAAACAGGATGCCGTCGTCTACTTACTATACAGCGCAATCATGAATCCCTGTTGACTGGAATACGTACCGAGATCATGAACAGTGGCGACCAGATTGAACTGGATGTCGAGGAAATACCATATCTTGCTCGAGTATATCCTTGTCTTGGTGCAGAGACTTCCGAGCATCCGTTCGAGCCTTATCCGAGCTGCGAAACACGCCCACAGATGGACGATACTCTTATCTACATCCACTCTTCCGGAAGTACTGGTCTTCCTAAACCTATACCTACATCCCATCTCACAGCTGTACAACGGTGGTCTTGTCGTAAGTTCCCCCAATGTTCAAGTAGCATTTTAGACTAACCATTGGCGGATACTACGCTTTCAGCCATTGTTTATGACCCTCGAGTCTATCCTATACCTATTCGCCTTGGCACGATGTCTCTCCCTCCATTCCATGCTATGGGAATAAGCCTCCAAATATTTGTCCCACTGGCGTCTGTCCGTGGTGTCGTCGTTTTCCCGCCCACTTCATTCGACGATCCTTATTCACGACCAATCGTCCCGACACCAGATAATATTCTGGATGCAGTACGGTCAACAGGTGCCAATGCCCTGATCGCATCACCTACATTCCTTGAGGCCTGGAGTACATCTCCGGAGGCTCTGAGGACGCTGGCAACTCAGGAGATGGTGGTATGTACCCTAGTAGTAAATATCTGGATCTAGCTTATGAAGGATCACCCAGGTGTATGGGGGTGGTCTTCTCCCAACAAAAACCGGCGACAAACTTGTTGCATCAGGCGTTCATATCGGTTGCCTGTACGGAGGAACCGAGTTTGGGTCTCTCACGCAATTCATTCCTAGGATGGAAGACCGCGTAGATGAGCATTGGTCATGGCAGAGGTTTTCAAACAGAGCCGAGTATAGATGGATTCCTCAGGGCGATGGTCTGTATGAGCTACATGTCTTGGTCAGTGTACACCCCCATAGCACATCTGATTAATGCCTTACTGATTTGTTGACTACAGAACACTGAAATTCATGAACTGTCGATTGTGAATTTACCTGATGTGAAAGGCTACGCAACAGGGGATATATTCATCAAACATCCAACAAGAGAGAATCTGTGGAAGATGTATGCGATTCATATCGTCATCCTCGGTCTTCAGTTAACGTGATTTCATTAACTAGAGTCGGTCGTGCAGACGATATCATTAGCCTCACGTCGGGTGAAAATGTCATCCCTAGTTTGTTGGAGAGTATCATTTCAACCAATGCCTGTATCAGCGGTGCTATTGTCTTTTGTAATGGAGCCAACAAACTAGGTGTCCTCGTCGAGCCCAGGCCAAATTCCGACATGACCTCTGATACCGACAAGGCCAAGCTCAAGGCTAGTTTGCGGTGTGCATCATGTTCTTAAATCCTTGGATACTCTAGGCTGACAAATATGAATAGGCCTGAAATCGAGGAAGCAAACCAAAACGTGTCATCATCATGTCAGATCGATGAAGAGATGATTCTTGTCACCAGCCTCGACAGACCTATGCTTCGCACAGGTAAAGGGACTATCATGAGGAAAGCAACTTTGCAGATGTACGAATTACGATATCAGTGAATTGAATACTTATCGTCCAAGTAGAATTCGACTCAGTTTTGTCTTCTGCTACAATTATTATCCTGTGGCAGATTGACTACAACTGTTTCCGATGTTTATACCTTTAACATTTTTACAGACCATATGCTCTAGTAACAGACTTTATAGAGTCGAACAACTCGACATGAATATAATGCCATTCATAGACACCAGACACTTTATTTATTAAATGGCTTTGGCTGTAAAATATCGCACTGCTGTACTACAGTAGAGGACGCATCACGATCAAGTTCTAGCGTGTTGCATCGTTCTAACAGAACGTCTGCTTAGATCAGCAAGTTGGCGTTGTGTGACTGTCGTGGTTCGAAGAGCTTTATCTCGTTCTTCGCTAACTGGCTTGCTTTGTGAGTGATGAAGAATACCCAGTAAAATACAAACGCACGTTTGTTTGCTTCCTCATCTAGTTGGGTAATCTCGTTGTTTAGCATGACAATTGTGTCTACCGCTTCCTTGCTCTGTAAGTTGAGGTTGCTGACAGTCGACACTGACTCTTGCAGCTCTGACTCGAGATGCTTTTTCTCCTCGAGTAATCGCATATTGGTTTCTTTCAGATGCTGGACTTCCTCCTGCACCTTCTTTATGTCATCTCGTATCTGTGTATTTTCTTGATGTATTCTTGCGCTCCCCTCCTTCGATGACTCCAGTTCGTTCATCACGAGATCGAACTTGCCCGAGAGCCTTTCGACATCCGTTTGGAGTTGCTTGTTTACCTCGCATTGTCTTGCTTCCATTCCCTTGTAGTGTTGTAATTCGGCCTTGGCATCATCCACCTGTTCCTTTGCCTCCTTCATTCTTTCAGTCCACTGTTGTGATATTCCGTACCAAAGCCCTTCCAGCCATTTAAGGTTACCAGCAAATTTAAAAATCGTCATTTCCCGATCAGGGGTCGGCTCATTCGAGGGATGTCGCCCTGCACCTTTTGTTCAAGTGGGGTGCGCAAGTGAAAACCACGGAAAATCATACCAGTAACTTTGCCATGGATTACGATCTCGCTGTTACCTTCTGCTGCACTTGGCCCCGAGGACCCTGAGCTAGTTTTTGTGCTGTTAGCTAAGTGATGTGATGTGATTGATGGTGCCAGCGATTTGCAAAAGAAGTATTCATACCATCATTCTGCAGCTGTGATGCTTGAGCTACATGGACATTATCCTCATTTTGGGAGATGGGTGCTGAGGGCAACTTGGCACCTTCTTCCTCTAACAAACCATTTCTTGTCTTTTTCGCTTGAGATGTGGGCTGGCTCTTGTTCCGCTGTGTCTCCTCTTACGTACAGAGCTTTGTTCAGCAGGCGCCTGTGCCGGCGGGCCACGCACAATAGTATCACGACACCACTGTACACAGACCTTCATTCCGTGCTGGGGCAGCTGATTCGTTGGCTAAGTATATGCGGACAAAATGTGTTCCGGAATGTACGGATGCACATGCCTCGTGAACCCATCTAGATTCGTGCGCCTCCACTCTTCAGTGTACCGAATATAAAGCGTAGGGGGGCATGTGGCACCAAACTGTGTCTTATCGCTGAACTGGAAGAATATATCACCAGGACTACCACACGTCATCAGTGGTGGGCCAATCCCTACGATCTCGACGAAAGGGATCCCATGCTCAACCACATTTGCAGTTCGGCATAGCCTGAAATATCCATGTGGGTAATTCACTAGATGGCGCTCCTCTTGTAAGCATGTCCATCGCAGGTGTTTAGCCAGTATGTGTGGCTGAGCGTGGAGTTCATATCGCGCTGAATTGTCGATACATGGGATAGGTTGGGTTGAGATACGGACATGCGTGCCTGTACGAAGTCTGCCATGTGGTATAGGGAGAGAGAACACAGGGGGATTTTCTATTGATACGCCTGGTGTGAATCTGAATGGCTTCGGTATTGCGTTTAGGGCCTCTGCGACGATATATCCGTTGGCATCACATCGATTGCGATAAACCTTCGTTTGTCAATATGACTAGCTTCGTAGAATGATATTTGTAACATACAAAGAACATCGATATAGGCTGTATGGGTAATGTCCGAATCTGCGACTAACTTCCATAACTGCAAGTAATGTAGCGATGAAATAACATACCTGGCTCGTATTGATAGGAGTTCCATCTCGAGTTACAGTACCAGTACCATCGCTACAGGTCTCCAAATTACCCATTGTGAAACTGCAGAAGAAAGAAGAGATGAATCAGATATGAAATCACACTAGAATACCAGAACACTAGAAGTTTGAGTTGGTGGAGATCGAGGACAGGATACGGGCTGAGGGCTTTTATAGAGCTAGGGTTGGACACATGGCTGTGGGTGATCATCGTGTCTTTATCGCTTTATCGCTTTACTACTTGTGGCGCTTCACAACTGTTACCTTGAGCATGCCACTCTTGAAAGTGACTTTGTGATAAGAGGTGGCGAGTCGCACAGAAAAGCACCGCACAGTGGCATATACGATAGTTTTCGTGTATCGTGCGGGTTGTTATCGTGACACTGACGCAAGATGTTTATGTCTTTGATAAATGTAGCGAGTTCGTAACTATGAGGCTTATGGCCAGTTCTGCTTTTGGATTCTTTGTATTATGCTGCAAGAGACGGGCCCTGAAGCCTAAGTGAGAGAGTAATGCAAATATTATATTTAGCACTGACCACGAGGAAAGTACGACGCTTAAAAGACCTTGCCAGGAGTTGAGCAATGGCGATATGAGAATGAAAAGCTGAGTGGCACACAAAGAGGAGTATGGAAAAAGTCAGCATGAAAAAGAGTCCAGGGGAGATGACGTATAAGTGTGGCTCTAAGAATGGCACAAATGTAGTTAGGCAGTCAAAACCATACCTCTGAAAAAAAAAATTCAATGGTGATGAGCAGCAAAGACATGCTTTCTCGATAAATATTCCCATACATGCGTATATACGCATGAGCCTGTTTAGAGCAGTGATCTAATTTTTGAAATACAGCATACATTTATATCACTAAGAACCATGTTAAGATCGAGATGATAAAGGTAACGAACAGAACATACTTACCTTCTACTTTTTCGCTTTGCAGTCTGTATGATACATTTTTTCCGCTATCCTTGATTTACTCCAAAACCATCGAAATCGAGTCACGCCTGATAGCCATGAGATCCGGAAATAACTATGAATCATGCGTTCAGCACGGTTGGAACTCCTGCCAGCTTCATTTTTACACCAATTTCAAAGAGGTAGTCGAGGCACTATCCATACGAGGTTCAGAGATGTGGACAAACAACGAAATTCAGAATTGCTTATTGATATGAAAACGAAGAGAATTAACCATACCTCAGTCTGTGTTTTAGCTTTCTCCCAGTCTTTGCCCCAGACGTACACTCCATGGCGTCTCACCAGAACACCAGCAGCATTAGGGTGGGCTTTCATCGCTTCTGCCATGCTGTCCTTGAGATCCTCTTCGTTGGGAGTGTTTTCGATGATAGGAACTTCCAGTGTGTCGAGATATGAGAGAGCAGAACCTGTTCCTGAGATACGCACGCCCTTGATCATCTATAATTCTGTGAGGATTGAACAAAAAAAAACTTTGGAGGCATGCTGACCTCCTACACGGATGAATGAGCAATCGTGTTATCTCTTAGTAAGAAATAACGCAAACAGACCTGATGCGAAATCCGAAAGACATCTCCAGACCAAAGTAAAGTGGCCATGACGGCATTCTGCGAGTGTGTGTGGACACAACTTCCTGCGTCTCTCAGCTCAAATGCATTCCAGAAGAGCGGGGTGCATGCAGACTCTTTGAGCTCCAATGCAGGTCGTCGAAGGAAGACGCGATCTGCGTGTGGTGATGGTTGCGGATAAGGCAAGACGAATATATGCGAAGGCTGTATGCGCTCCTTTTGTACACCCGATGGTGCGATGTAGACTTTGTCGCCTGTTCGAATGCAGATGCCGCCACCGGTGCCAGTGACCCAACCCAGTCTGTAGAACGAGGCGCACAGCTCGGGGATAAGGTTGGCAGGCTGCGGTTCAAGTCACGAGGAGGGCGGCTCGTTAGTGCGGATTTTAATTTGGGTGGTTCGCGACGACTTACGTGAAGATTGTCAGAGGAGAGGACGAGCTGGTCTGGATTATCGTTGGCAGACATCGCGGTCGAGTTGATTTGCAGCGATCGGAAGTGAGCTGAAAGTCATGTCTGGCCGATGATGCCATATCGGGAGTGCATTGGGTCATATTGCGTTAGTCATCTCATTATATAACACATACGCCCCTGCCAGTGCTGACACTGCGGCTTTCTTCGACAGTACATGTCTCTCCCACTGTTCTCAACTACCATCTGATGCCGCAAGGTCCTTTGACGAAAAATGATCGACAATTCTATCTGAGGGATGCACAAAAGGGAGAGGAATCCACAGTTGACGACTTTGCAGCATTCATCCTGCGTATGTTCGACTACGACGAGCCAGACCGTGCCAAAAACCTACGAAAAGAGCTTTCGTTCATCATGTGCGGTCAGATAGTTGGTGCACCGACCACCATTGTGTGACGACATTGACAGAGTTCATTTTACCAGTTCAGGACTGGTCTATCGGCAATGATGATCCTGAACCTTGACTTATAGCAGAGGCTATTGCAGCCTTTTATCAAAGCAACTTTAACCGTGCTCGTTCACATTGACGTCCACTCACTTCCAAAGTCTTCCCTGGGACCCAATAATCTGCGCCGTTCCCTTTTTTCATCATATCCCGATCACTACAGAGCTTGTTAGGTGCGTAAGCGACATACCCACGTCAGACCACGATTGTGCAGATATCCTCTCCCTGTTCAAGAGTTGTATATGATAAGTTCAGATGGTCTGGAGCCTATTGACAACCGCTGCATCGTCATGCAGTGCTTTGAAGATTCAAAGTCACGTTGGTAAACGCAGACTGACAGGCAACTCTTGACGTTATTTGTCAATATGTATGTACAGCTTAGGTATAGCTTTACTTTCTGGTTTGAAGGTCGGTTTTTCGTGATATGTTGTATGCTCTTCTCCAGAGAAATGCCCTTGTGTAGCGTATGTTCGCTTCAAATTCACTCACAATGACACAGTCGATTTAAACAAAAGTGGAGGGCCACGGTGAGTTGAGGGCACTAACATAGGGGAAGACCAGTCTACAGTCCAAGGCACCAGCGAAAGGATGATATAGCGAGGCAGGATTTCAGTGTACATGCCAGCGATGCAACATGTGTCAGACGTGAACAATCAGCTGTGAGTTAAGCTTACAATAGGTCGTCGTGCGCCTAGTAGAGAGCATGGCTGATATCCCAGCAACATAGGAAGCGACTATGATGGTTGTGGACCCTTGACGAACTGTTCAAAAGACCTTGAGTGTCCAGAAGAACCGAAGCTTTGAAGAGGAAACGAATATCTTCCGCCTTGAGAAGACTGATGAAGCCTTTATTATATGCAATTCGTGCGTAACGACACAAACCTTCCCAATATCAAGATTCATAGAAGGATAGAAGGGTGGTGATTGTAGTAAATTTGGGTTTAGAGGAAGGTTCGTAACGCTGATAACTGAAAAGAACCTCGTTAATTAGCACAGCTCTGACGTTCCATGGCCTCCCAAACGGGGGACCGAAATGTAATCATGTCTTCGTCCATTAAAGGTAAATATTGAAAAAGGCTATCTATAAGGATAGTTATAGTTAGAAGAAGTTCTTCGAAGGAGTTGGACGAAGACATTCTGATTGTTGGTCACTTCAAAGTGCCTCGAGGTATTTTGTCGGAGCTTAGCGTGGCGGCGTGCGTGCATGGAAGCAAGGATTGTGGCGTCCAGAAATGTCCGAAAGTTGACGGGATTGAAACAAGGGACCTGCAGCGCCCAGAGATTTCAAACCAGGAGTGGTTTCCTTAACACACTTCAGGTATATCTTGAACACGATTCTTTCGAGCGACATATTGATAATGTAGTATGGCCATAATAACAACTCTGAGGGAGAAACACGGTGGCAGATTCGTCTAATGGGTGGGTGTGAGGAGAAAGCGAGGAAGTAGCAAGTAAGGTGTAGGTCAGACATGGTGGAGGCAAAATGCTTATCGGTGGCAGGATGATCCGAAAAATATTTGGCATGGCCGCTGAGTCATCATGGATTGACCAATGAGAGCGGGTGTAATTTGGGCAAAGAACCAAACGTCGCCCTGCTCGTCCATTGCAGTCGTTGTCTTCAGCGTCGACGGTGGCAGCCTTTAATAACGAGTAAGTGGGTTATAATCATATATATAATACATATGATATAATATTAATCGATATCACTCAGCATATATCAAAGAACTCTAATCCACGGGCTCTAATCGACCAATCGACGTCCGCTATCTCTTATCTACACTCACCCGAGATACACCACAGTGACAGGACGACAGCCAGTGACGCCCTTACCACAGCATGTCTCACGGGTCGTACTCATCTCATTCCCAGTCCATCATGACAGAAGACGAAGAGGACTGGGAGGACTACGTTCAAGGCGGATACCATCCTGTCCACATCGGCGACGCCTTCTCAGATGGCAGATACATCGTCGTCAGAAAACTTGGCTGGGGCCATTTCTCAACCGTATGGCTCGCCCGCGATACTAAGTAAGTATATCAGATCATTTCATCATCGCGCATACATCCACCCCATCGATGCCATCCATCCTCATCTTTTTTTTTGTTTGCTCAGGATGAACAGACACGTCGCCCTCAAGGTCGTAAAGTCTGCAACTCGCTACACCGAAACTGCACTGGATGAGATTAAACTCCTTCAGCGCTTAATCACTTCCTCTACTCCTCCTTCCGTTTCTGCTTCTTCCCCTGCTCTCACCCACCCAGGCAGATCCCACGTGATCTCTTTCCTCGACCACTTCAGACACAAGGGCCCTAATGGCGTTCATGTATGCATGGTTTTTGAAGTCCTCGGTGAAAATCTCCTCGGCCTCATAAAGCGCCATCAAAATAAAGGCGTTCCCATGCCTCTCGTAAAGCAAATCGCCAAACAGGTTCTCCTCGGTTTAGATTATATGCACAGGTGCTGCGGTGTCATCCACACGGATCTCAAACCAGAAAACGTTCTCATATGCATAGACGACGTCGAGTCCATCATACAGGCTGAACTCGCCGCCGCTCCTCCAAATGCAACCGCTACTACTGCCGGTACCAAACTTGTTGGTGTGCCTCCCTCGAAAGGCAGAGGTGGGAACCAGACTCCAAGATCCGAAAGCGTTTTTATTACGGGTTCCCAGCCCCTCCCATCTCCTAGTTCTTCATTCGGTTCAAGCCCAATGCTAGACAAATGGGCGTTTGGAATGAGCAGGATGGACGGTACAACTGGGAGTGGATCAGCTTCTACGCCTGGTTCTCTGCCTAAATCCACTGCCGGCTCCGTTTCCATGGCTGGATCTGTGACCGATACCAAACAGCGTGCAGATTCGACAGAGCAAGCGGCAGAGAGAATATCTAACGTTACCCTTAACCCTACAGGTCCAGCGTCTACTAGCAAATCTCCAGGCCCGAGATCACTGTCTTCGACTACAGACCCAACGCCCCCTCCAATTCCAGGGTTCAATAAGTTCGCAACGCCTCATCCCGCACACCCACCTGGCCCTTCTTTGCTGACCCAACTGGCTCCAATCCCACCTCTGAAACCGCCATCCAGTGAGTCTTCTACGCCTGGTGCAAGCGCATGGCTGACGCCGATTGCGCCAGGTGGGTCAACGGCCAGGTCGATACCTATGAGTCAAACTGTGCCTGATCCGACATATCCTGGTGGAAACCCACCCCTCTCCACGTCTGTTATGTCCATTGACGTTCCTCCCTCTGCTTCGCTTGATTCGATGGTTGCAAGCTCAGCTCAGTCTTCTAGTATACTGGAAGGCGAAGGCTTGGAGAAAATCACTGTCAAGATCGCCGATCTGGGGAACGGTGAGCGCTTCTTCCACTCGTTTTCGATGCTTTCCTGCTGCGTATCACAACTTCTGTCTGTCTGGTTTATGTGATTTTGGATTTTGGATTTTTTCTTCTTGTCTGCATTGGTATTTCCTGCATATATGCTATCACTCTTACTGTCATTCAACTGCATCTTTCTATACCTTCATATATAACTTTTGTGTCGTAATGTGGTGATGTGGCCTTTCAGGCTGTATGCGCTCTCTGACGTCCAAAAAGCAGAGGCTTCGCGTGCATATCTGTGCTTTATCTGATTCCACTATCACACTTATTTTTTTCTATCTATTCCTATTCGTCGTTCTCATTTCTGGGTTCGCCGTACTCATTTACACTGGTTTTATTTTTTTCTTCATCTGTACCCACAAAACACACCATCGTCGTATCTGCCACCATTCATATCAACAGCGACATGGACCGAGCACCACTTCACTGATGATATCCAAACGCGGCAATATCGGTGTCCAGAAGTTATATTAGGTTCAAAATGGGGGACCAGTGCCGATGTTTGGAGTGTTGCTTGCGTGGTGAGTTTCTTTTTTAAAACAGTGGCAAAGATTTCTACGGGGATGGAGGTCATTGGAAAGGCAAGGTTGTTTGACGCGAAACAGGAAAGTTGGATGAGAAGGAACGGAGATTATATCGAACCTTGAATGCGAACTACCTATCACTATTTTAACATTTTCCTTCAAAAATACAGATATTCGAACTCATCACCGGCGGCGACTACCTCTTCGATCCCGCTTCTGGCTCTCGGTACTCTAAAGATGACGATCATATGGCGCAGGTCATCGAGCTTATGGGTGAGATCCCCAAGTCGGTGGCATTTGGTGGGAAGTATAGCAGCGAGTTCTTCAATAGGAAGGGTAAGTCGTTGGCTTCTGCTCTTCTTATCTGCTCTTCCGTCCCTATAACCTCGTACCATGATCGCTGAAATATCTTACCGTTTCTAGGAGAACTTCGACACATCACCAAATTGCGGTTCTGGCCTCTCGATGCGGTCCTACATGACAAGTATCTTTTCCCACAATCCGAAGCAAGTGCGATCGGCTCGTTCCTTATCCCCATGCTCCGTCTGCACCCTGAGAAGCGAGCCAAGGCAGGCGATTTAGTGGGACACGAGTGGCTGGAAGGGGTAGTTGTGAAGGGCGAGGTGGATGTTTTGAAGCGGGCTGCCGAGGCTGCTGAGGGTGGAAAAGGGTGGGGTGGAGAAGGGGAAGGTGTGGAGGGTGAGAAGGAACGGGAAGGCAAGGGCAAGGGCAAAGGAGTCGGAAATGTCAGTGAGGAGGGGAAGATGGAGCAGGCAGACGCGATGAAGCCTGTGGATGAGGTTGCGGCTGGCGTTCCAGCTGGGGGACCTCCTCCTGTCCCCTCGTCAGCAAGTGCGAAAGAGAACGCGGGTGTTGTGTCGCCGAAGAAAGCAGGAGGCTCGGGTTCGTCGAGAGCAAGAGGGTAGAGTGATAGCTTTTGAATATTGCATCAGCAGACGGTTACGGAGTTACGGAGCGAGGGTTAGGCCGACGTGCAGGTACACGGTTGAACGCGAATCACGAGCTGATGGGCATACGAAACGAATGAACTCGACGACGAGGGTGGGCATATAGATAGAAGATCATATACAACCAAAGAATACTCTTTTTAATTATTTCACATAGGAGCCTCGATCAAGACTTCGAGGATGTATGTAGATGACAATTTGGGTTGCGAGTGGTGTATTGTCACTTTTTTTTTTTTTTTTTTGGTTTCCTCAGCGTCTATACAGATATACACTTTGCGGTTTGTGCATTGTACAGTTCCGTGATGTAGGTACAAATGTCGTCGTCGTCGTTGCTCGCTTTTTCTTTCTTTCTCCTTGACTTTGTGCTTTTATGTCCTCGTGCTTAATCTCGATCCCTAGCTATTCTCTTTAGGCAGCATTGGTCCGAGTGCCAGATATGTGGTACTTCTGGTATATGCTGATCGTCGCTTCGTCTGAAACTTCCAACTCCTGAAAGTCTTGCAGCTAAGAAGTCCATAACTCTTTTGAATCGCATATATCAATTACTCGGCAGTATTTCACGGGATGGGGTTAATTAAAGTGTAGTGAATCAGAACGGATCCACGGGGACGACGACACAACGCTAAACGCAACCAGATGACCTGAACGCACAGATCATACATGCACACAATCACCAGCTTGTGTACAGCATTCGTACCCCTTTAGCATCTCTCGATGATGATGATACATACATTAAGCAAGGTCAGCAAAGCCAACACGGATGTTGCCAAAGTCAAAAATAGTATAGACATTACTGAGGAAAACATCTCCAACGATCCAGAAGGCTAGAAGATATTTGTCAGTCAGTGCTCGAACACTGCATGCATTGCGTGGTGCTCTACTCACGTGGGGCATCACTGATAATACTGGAAGCGACGATGCCGCCGACGCAATCGGGAGAACCAACGGCGACTGGGCCAAGGTTGAAGGTGCTGGGAGAGATGGGAAAGGATTTTCCGCTGAAGGTGAAGCTGACTTTGGGGACATTGTTACAGGGGACTGGAGAAAGAGGGCCTGTCAGAATACAGTCCGAGGAAATAGCCACCACGATTTTCTACGCACAGGTGTAGAACCCTTCGCCGACAGTATCCGAAGCATCCGTACCACCCACTTCGCTGTATAAAAGATCGACGCTAAAGGTGTCACCGATAACAAGTGTAGTTCCGGTGTCGATAATGCAGTTGACGGAGAAGAGAGAAGCGTGGCCATTGCCTTGGATGCTATCCATGATGACCTGCCAGTAGGCCTAACCGATATCCAGAAAGTCACTCGGTTATTGTGGGATCAAGAAAAGGAAAAAGAAAACTGACTGGTAGGACGACGTCTGCGTAAGAGAACTCGCCAGTGTAGGCTTTAGAGTCGGTACCACCGATATGAAGCTCGGAGCCGGAGGTGGCGAGCTTGAAGGCGAACACAGGTTCGCTAGTACGGCCTTCCGAGACGAGAGTCTGGAAAACGGGGGAGGCGCGGTAGTCCGATAGAGATTGAAAGGCCATGCCCAGTAAACCATCAGCAGGGAATTGAGACTTTGCGAATCCAGTGGAGTACTGAGAAGCGGCACCGAGGGTTTGTCCAGTGGCCTGAGATGTACGAGTATATCAGATATTAATTGTGTGAATATACGTTTGGCCAGATACATACAGAGAGGCCAGCGATAGAGACAGTGTCGGAATAGAGCTCGCCCTCCACGGTTGAACCATCGCCGTATGTGAGCGTGAAAGTCCCGCCTAAATCCTTCGAAGTGGTGCTAGTGAGAGGATTATAAATAGTGTGACCTGAGCAGGTCGAGGAGCAATTGGGACCAGGTAAGAACAAGTCACTGCTTCCAGTGTCGAAGTCGACTTTGGAAGAAACTCGGTCAGTGACATGAGCGTAACGGAAATATAGGTCAATGAATACCGGTGTAAGTGACAGCGGGAGTTCCGACGGAGATGCTTCCAAACCAGAGTTGACCATGGTCATCAGTCAGAGGGATACTCCCAGAGTTCCCGACCGCTTCAGGCTTGGCATTAGGATGAGGGGCACCCGTGTTCTTCTCAAACTTGCTGAACCCATAGTTAATCTTGCTGTATAGGGAATCAGTACGAGAGAGAGAATAAGAGGGTAAGATAACGTACGCTACAGCGCTGGTGACATGTGACTTGAGGGCAATGATATCGACGACCCCATGTTGGTCAACCAAGCTAGAATGCTTCGCAATGGGTATTTTCAGAGTGTTCTTGGAAGCGGTGTTTGGAGTGGCAGCAATTAAAAGCGGGAGAACAGTGACAACAGTGGCCAGAGCAAAACGCATTCTGAAGAAAGGAAACAATGCAAGACGTAGAGTAGTGGACGTGTGGTGCGGGTCAGAACATCATAGAAATAGAAATCTTTATAGGAAGCCGTATGCACTACTGCACTTCCATAAGACCAGCGCCATAAAGCCTTATTTAGTGATACACCGTTTCATGATTGTTGGAAGTAGTCTTGGATTGACTTATTAAGAAGACATGCGCGTTCAAGTTAGTTACGAATATCGAAGCAGGAATCGAAGCACTCAAAATGCCGACGAGCACAAGTTGCAGTCTCCCCCGTTGATTATGATTATTTCTTTTCGTGTCCCCCGCCGCCGCCTTGCAGTATAAAAAATTGATATCGGTATCAACGGAACTTGATGGATGTTGAACGTTGAACGTTGAGGGCTACTTTGTAAGTTCTCGAAGATGATCAGTGGCACTGTCAATGCTGCTTTCTCACAATCCTCGTATCCCAGATGATCGCACGACATTTTTTCTGGCGAACGAGGCATGCACACTACGCCCCTGTTTTATCCATGCAAAACATAAAAATTACATTATTCAAGTACTCTGCCTGAGGAGGCGCGAATGTCAATAATCAATCGTCAGGAAAAATAAACCTACAACTACATGTGTGATGCCAGGATAGTCTGGACCTGATCTTATCGGCTACGGGCCATCTGATTTCAAAGTCTCGAGTGCCTCCAAATCGACTCTCTCAAGCATCCTCGCGTTGACGCCCATCTTCGGATATGACTTGTCTGTCGCCTCCCAATGCGTCACGCACCCACACTTTGCACATCGGTGGAACTCGCACATCTTGTCACCCCAGAGGTAGATACCATCCGGATCTGTAACGTCGGCTTGATCTCTGATGATCTGCACATCCTTGACAGGATAATATGCCCACAAAGCACCGTAGCGACGGCAGATTGAGCAGAGGCACTCGTTAAGAGGCTCGGTTGGGGGTGGAAATACGATGCGAATAGCTTTGCAGTGACAAGTGGCTGTGAGCATCTTACTGGTTGATATAAAGGTGGTGGATAAGCTTTATAGTCGGTGCAACGATGAGATCTTGACTCACGAATTTAATGTGTACCGTGAAAACAGGTATATCGATTAACTTCTGTGTGGAGAGGTGCAAAGGATATTGGAACTCCGTTTACTTACAGTAGTGGTTGATAGACTTGTTATAACAAAGTGTTACTAGGATGGCAGTGCCCCTTTAAGCGGTGACTCGATATCGGGTATCAGGTTCTCTAGATCGTCGAGAAGACCTTCTCCAGCCTTCATGCCACACATACTCCTGCCCTGCTCCCTTAAGATCATTTGATAAGTGTCAGAGCGATGAGATATGAGATATTTATCGAAACAACCTCGTCTATTGAACTGGCTTGTTATTACGATGCCGCGTCGGTAATTTTGGGCGTTTGTGCAGACTGACGAATTTCTCACGAAGGTTTGGTTTCACACACTTTATCGAGTCACATCCGCCCATTGATTTGACAAGTGGTTGTGCAATGTCCTGACGACAATCTGACAAGTCACTGACTCGTAAATGCTAGTCTCATGCGAACACATAGCCTATAATAGTATTATAGTGTAGCAGGCAGATCATCCAGGACCCTTGTTTTATAAATACCTCGTTCAAGTGTTTTCCTACCAACACTCACAAGGCCATTTACGTAGATCTTGTGTCAGAGGAGGAAGTGAGTAGCAGCTTTCTGGAGCGGCTCGCGTAGGTAACAAAAAAAAATTAGGCATGGCAGTGTGCGCCGGAGGGCTGCATAACCGTAGAACGGGACGATCTGCGTGCTATGTATAATCCTGTAGCCTCGAATATACCATTATGAGTAAAATCTGAAATGTCTTGTCTGTGTGCAATGTACATACTTGGAAACCTCCGTTTCCGAGCTATCCGACATCCACACGTCACGGCCTCTCCTGGACTTCACGCGAGTTTTGTCGGCCAGCGAAAACATGCCTCAGCCATCCCCACCGCATTTTCGCCTTTCCGTCCCTTCCAGCCCCGCTTTCATCGCGTTCACATTCCTCACCTCTGCCATTCTCGTCCGCATCGTCCCTCCTCGCCTCCCACCACCTCCTCAAACCATTCTCGCTCACCACCCTCCCCTTCCTCGCAGTCACAGCAGCATCCACGACATCTCCAAACCCAGGGCCCGAGTCTGACCCACTGACCCTCGACCTGGGCACGAGCGAAAAGCCAGGACTTGCGGGCGATAGCCCGATCGACAGACCGCCTCGAAGGGGTGGAGAAAGCGAGGGATGGGGAAGTGATAACGACGCCCTGTTGGCACGGCTCATCGATGGGTCACCATACGTGGACCGACGACGCGATGAGCGAGATGTCGATATAGTCGGTGAGAGGAGGAAGGAGCCGCCTTGCGAGGGAGGAGACGACAGGTGGGTGGAAAGACCAGAGTGCGGTTGGGAGAGGGAAAGAGTCTGCGAATGCGCGTGTGAATGCGAGCGGGTGGAAGGTTGTAAGTGGGGTGGAGAGTCTCCAGGTAGAGGATAAAGTGTGTGCATCGAGACAGATCCGGAATTGGAACGCTGTGCACCCTCGGAATGAGACTGACGATCGATGGGAGGTGCAATAACCTGTATTCTTGATTTAGATCTAGACCTAGATTTCTGATCTGCGGTATACGAAGGCGCCATTAGAAGCCCTTCCTCCACTCTTGCGCTATCTTCCAATCCCCTATCTGTTGATTCTGCATCTAATAGTCCTTCCTGTCCTTCGACAGACCCTTCGGCCTTGTCGTCACCTTCCTCCCAAGAACGGACATCTGCTCCTGCTTGAACACTTACGGCCCAGACGCCGGCGAGTAATAGGAACATGCCAAGAACAACGAGGGCGATGTTCCCCGCGGAGAGAAGAACCAGTTGATCGTAATAGATCACCCCATTGATGATGGAAGAGAAGTTGTAGAAGCAGAAAGCCGCTATAGAATTCATGAAAAGAAATATATGAGCAAATACGAGAGGGAACGCTTGCAATACGTACATGGGCAGACAACGGCTGGGTCTGCGAACCTCAGTCCTCGGTTGAGATACCATAACTGGCCAAGCGCAAAAGCCACAAGACCACCAACGAGCACCCATGCTTCCCAGTGGTGGAATTGGTTGGCACCACGGAGCGTTAGAATGAGGAGTTCCACACCAGATTTCGCAAAAATGAGACAAAGACCAGAAAGTGTGCCTGAAGCAGCGGCATATGCGAGTGCAAGGAAGAAAGGCGTGCGTGGAGAGAAACCACGAGGAGTAGTGTGGGACTTGTGGTGGTCGAGGCTTAAAGATGAGGGTGCGGACCCGCTGAGGCTGGATTCCGTCGATCTCAGCTTGGGATCTATTAATGGTGTACGCTCGGTCAATCCTGTGGTTGTGAGTTCTTCTGTAAGGCCAGTGGTCAGTACAGACGGATGTTGATGTATCGATGATGGTAAAGGAGTGGGTGATAGGGGAGGTGTACTTGACGGTGAAGCTGAGAGTGAAGAAGGTCCTGAGCCTGACGGCGAGGACAAGCACATAGCTTTATAGGAACGAGTGAATGAAAACTCCACTATATGGGTCTGTAGCGGTCGTGAGTAACGACCCACAGGCACGCATTCAAAGGCGAACAGTCATGAAAAGGACTCACCACCACGAGACACACGGCCAGAACAAACCCTTCTATGCAGAACCAAGCTATGAATGCATGACGAGCAAAGAGCGCCATAAGTTCTTCAAGACTGCGGGTCGTTTCTGGGACGATGCCGTACACGGCGATGAGTGCTGCACCACCTGCGATAAGTGCAGTACCCAAGAGGAGAGGGAGGCGAAAGAGAATACGCGAAAAGAGTGCATTCCATAGAAGGGAGACGGCCCCTAGAGGAGCAAGAATGACAACCGGGAGGGAGGCGATTTGGATGACAGATCCGAAGACATTCGATGTGAGAAATATGGCTGTTGCAAGTGGGTCAGTTTAACTGAAGTAACCAGAGAACGAGGAGCATACCAAAGCCTAGTAGCCATAACCTTTGAGGAGATGTTAGCTAGACGCAATTTCGAGTACGGGAGGGACTCACGGGCGTTTGTGCTCCACCCTTCGGTTGCTCTCCGGTAGTTGAGCATCAAGAACATGACTGCGGCGCTGTATGGCCAGACCAGCACTTTGCACAAAGGAAGCTAGAAGCCCGATGAATATTCCCAGTGGAATAGATATGCCAGAGTCTGAATCTGCGGTGTTGGATAGAAATATAGGATGAGTGTGCTCTGTTGGGTGCATTGGATCTGAAAGCGGTGGCAAGCCTGCTGATGATCTTCTGATCAAGAAAAGGGCGAGTGTGCCCTTCTTATAGCGCTATTATGTTTTCAAGATGCAGCCGCCAGTGCTGGATGGAGCTGGATAGATGTGAACGACTAAATATAAGTAAAGGATAGAGCTGCAGGCTGTATGGTAACAGTAAGCTGAGGTTTCGTTCTGCCTGCACGTGTATACGTAAAGATGCCTATGGCTCTGTGGCGTCTAACCCCAATTCAGGCTCCACCACCAATCTCGCAGACCTTTTTTTATGCACACAAGTCCGAGTCTATCATGAGGGATTGATAGGAGGAACGTCTGTCTTCCTCCTAAATGGTATGTCTAGGGGAGACTAATCATGAGGAGGCAACCATAAACGAACTCCTCGCATTTAAAGCATTTGCCACCACATGCATGACAGTCACTCGAGACAGGGTCCATTGCCGCAACAGCAAGTCGAGCCTTCGCTCCACGTGTAAGCCTGCAATGCTTGTCGAATTTACCTATATATATTGGTAGCGAGTAATTGGCCATGAATGTTGATGGGATTGGGGACATTCGGATAGAATCATTGATAGTGTTTGTGTGACGAGGCTCGGATGTACTTTACAGCTAGACGTTATTGGTCGAAAATCTGTGGCAGCGAGTACAGAACAACTGGAAAACAAAAAGGCAAAATTTGAGGATAAACTGGAAATGCGAGGACGAATTGGTGAAAGATTTGAGATGTTGAAATATTGTACAGGGGCTAAGGCCCCATCGAGAGCAGAGGTTGTTTGTGAATGCAGTAACGAAAGAAGAAGAAATAGAGGAAGAAAAGAAATAGGAGTGAAGCATGTGCAATACCAAGTTGACTTGTTTTAACGGTTTAGCCATTGCCTAGGTTGATCAATGTCTGTCGTAGGGCAGCGTATTGTTGATGAGAAGAGGCTGCCTCCTCGACAGCCTTATCTCGCTCTATAGATACTGATGTAGAGTACATGAACACACCGTTATACATGAATCTGAACAATAACTTACATTGCTTCGACTGAGTGTCTTGTTCGGTTTTCATGGCATTAAGTGCTTCAAGATCGCTGGTCACTAAAATATTGTTGGTCAGCTGCAAGCTTTGAGAAAAATGGGTGCCGTTCAAAATTACGTTTAGAAATTGTGTTTTCGTATTCAAAGACCCTCTTTTTCAAGAAATTCAGACCCGACATAGCTAGCGAGCCATATACATTAGTGAAACACGTCATGTCATGGCATAAGGCTATGGAAAAACCGAGTCTCACCTAATTCAATGCTAGTTATGACTTCACTACCACTAGTGGGTGGGGTGTAGGACCATAGGTCACTAACGATGCGTGCCGCTGGATATGTAACTTCAAGCGTCTCGGTGTTCGTGGCTCGAATATTCAATGTCTGATCTTGTACATCGGTGACGGTGTCAGTGGGAGATGCTAAATGTTGGGGCTGGGTACTTCTGTGTAGCTTTTTGGGCTCGGTGTGCTCTGCGAACATCACCGGGGATCGTTCTCCTCCTCGACCAGTTTTCTGCCCTGAATCTGAAGAGGAGGTCTGCAAAGTAGCTTGTCGTAGCTCTTCTCGAAGCTTTAGGATCTCCTCGCAAAGGTGTGCATTCTGCTGTTTGCTTTGGTCCAGTTCCGAAGTTAGGTTATCTGCATCCTGTTTAAGTCGGCTGACTTCTTCCTCCAGTGAATTACGCTTCGTTTGAGATATAGCGCACGTTTTCCGAGACAAAGCTACTGCTTCACTAAGAAATTTTTTTTTCTCTACTAGGCGTGCGACTAATTTTTCTGACTTTGCGAGCGATTCTTGTAATTTCGTGTGTTTATCCTCAAGAATCTCGAGTTCTGATTCAAGTTCCTTGCGTTGTTTGCACTGTATAGTTTCTTCGTTTTCTGTGGACGGGCTACCAGCCCTGACCTTCCCTTTTACTTCTTCTAGTTTTATGGCCTTTAAATCATCGGAGGACTTTGCTGATAAGGCATTATGAATTCTCAATTGGGAAAGGATACAATGAAACGTACCATCAGAAACAAACGTGCCTGTAGCAAGTTCATCAACATCGATGACTATTGCAACATCGTTATCTGTCCGCATTGTATCCTCTTCAGCAGTCCTTGCCTTCTTGACAGACGCCCTGCCTTCCTCCACATTCATATGTTCGTCATCCTCGAAACTTCTTTTTCTTTGATCGGGCATCACAGCCTGAGAACTTGATGCTGCGTCCTCATCACTCACCTGGTACTAGGCATCTTTGTTCTCTGATCATGGAAGTGACATTGGATCATACCTCGATGAAACCGATTTCAGCCTTTGGCGCATCCTTTGACTTGCTGGCTCCTGTACGCCTGATGGAAGGTTTGCGTAAGGATAAGTGATCTGTGAACGGATTGGCACCGTTTGACCTTGCGCAAGACATGCACAAAAGCCCCTGTCCTAAATTCACCGATCTAGTTTTATTCGTCTACGTAAGAAGCTTGAGTGAGTGCTATTATTGTGACAGATCTAAGCGATGCTCGCCACTGTAACTTTTTTGTTGCAGCGCGTACAACTCTCTTCAAACTTGCCACGGTTTCGCGGGGTAGGTTTGCGGCTTGTCGTGGTATAGCTTGCCAGCGGTGATGGTGAGGATGATACTGGTGTATCATCATCTTGATGACGAACCATGTGGCTTATGTACTCTCCGGGCGGTGTTGTGTTTATGAGCGGTAATTGAAGGTAGTTCTGTTACGTAGATCGTGCAAGTGAATGAAATCAAGACATGGTTACGTTGATAAGATGGGGGGTTGCTGTGAAACAAGATGCCTACCTGGCGGGGAATGCGGTGGTAACAGCCTTTTTGGTTGCGCATGTACAGGTGGAGTGATGACCGAAAGAGGTAAAGTGGATGGTCGTTTCTGTCGTTTACGTGACCGCCACTCGCCGCAGCTGCCAAACGGATGTAAAAATCTTCAAATGCTCCACTCCAACAATGTCTTGGTACTAGTTCCCTTCTTTACCGTCCATCCCCTTCATTTCCTTATATCGCAGCTAGCATATCCACTGGCGGGCTGATTTCCTTCCAGCAGTCCTGTCTATTGTCACGCAATGGCACTATGGCCCTCTCAAGCACGTTATTCGCCTCTCCTGCCTGCTGGACCTACACGTTCGAGCAGGCTTTCTCTTAACTATGGCAAACTTCGATGCAATGCAGTGGTCTTTTGGGCCTTTGTCGCTGTAGTACTCGTTATCGGCGCCTTTCGCGCCTTCACTCTCCCTTTTTCCAACATACGGGGCACACTGCCCACTGCCACTCCACCAGATATCTTCACTGAAGACGGACTTGTCTCTGGTGAAGGTCTATATGATTCACCTTCTGCTGAATCATCACATACCCCGCCTCCCTTCGATACCCCAGATGAACCTCCACTCGCTTCCCCAGTTCCTGTTCTGCAGCTCGCGGATATTGGTGATGATCCTAGTCTAGACCAACTCCACGAGATGGTTTCTCAGACCAAGGGCTTTTTCTCTCGCGATTACAGTCTTGGTCTGGGGTGGAATAACGTTCGTATCTTCTGAGTTTTCTTGTCCATGCAGGTCCTCAACAATCATAGGTTCGCTACATTATTGAAGCTGCTCTAGTCCAAGCACAAATTCTGAACCGCACACTCGTCATTCCATCATACGTCTATGCCCGTGCCTGCGAGTATGAAATGTGAGTCGTCCTCTAGTTTCTTGGCTGCCCAGCGGATGTCTCATCTTGCGCAGTGCGGCATGTGCAGATCAGGCCTCCATGGTCAACAGGGGAGACGCGATTGGTTGGGACGAATGGCGCGAATTACCTATCGAGAAACAGATGGCATGGAAAATACCAATCGATCAAATGCTCAATTTGACTCACTTGCGTCACGTTCACCCTGTTATTCGGTCCTCGGAGTTCTTTCGCTTGCGAGGTCTCCCAGAAAATACTGAAACCAGTAGTGGCTGGTGGGATCGCACTGCTTACCATCGCCCTGGAATACCTTTTGGAAGTGACCGGGAAACTTCGAGTAGCTTATTTGTTATTGAGAATGAGTGGTACGATCCACGAGGCATGACCCGCGTTGATAAACTATCAGACGCCATGAAAACACGAGGGGGGTGGACGGATGGTAACCGAAGCGAACCGCAGAGTGGAGAATGGCAGGAAAATACCAAGACGACAATACAGCTATCGTTAGAAGCTGCTTTACCCGAGGACAGAATCGTCATGGAATGGGACGAAGTTCGTTCCGTGCTCCAATCATCTATAAAGGAAGAATCTGTACATGACAGTTCTGGTCGACCTTTGGATGTTAATATTGATGAGGATCGGGAGATTATATTACAACAAAATGGCTGGGAGGTTTTGTACACGTTTAATGGAGCGTGAGTGCATATGCTTTTGAAACTGCGCATCGAGTGCTGATATTTGATCTTAGAAGAGGGATGGACTTTGTGAAATATGTCGTAGAACCAATACGTCAAACAGTACCTCGGGAGAGTATACGAGGCTTCTTCGATGATTTCGCGAATGTAGATGCGGATGTTGTTGTACTTGCAGGAGAAACTCACCTATACCGCAAACCGGTGCGTACGCATACAAATACAAATTTGCTAGAACTCACATATATCTCTGTCATTATCAAAGGGTGCTCTTCGTTTCGCGTCTCCTGAAAAGAGAGACGCCTTCGCTCGTATTGTGTTGCATAATGTTGTACCTACCGATAAAGTACTTGACCTTGCACGTCGGCTAGATAGCCGTTTATCAGAACTGAACGGTGGCAGAATGTGGGTCGGTGCACACATGCGTCGGGGCGATTGTAAGTGGTTAATATTAGCTTTGTCTCTTTCGTGTTACTAACTTCTAGTAGTCGTATCCGCTGGTTGGGCCTGGGGAGGAAGCTCTGCTGAAGTTCAATTTGAGCACATTAAAGCTCGCCTTGGCCAAGGGCGAGAGGCTTTGCGCTCAATACAATCATTTGAGGCGTATTCGGTTCCCGGCATCGAAATAGACGAGGCGCGAGCGCATCGCAGTGTACCAGAAGACGGGGATCGGTAAGCATCCTTCCCTATAGTCGAACCAACTACCACTCATACTCGGCCAGCTTTTTCGTGGCAACAGATGAGCGCGATCCACAAAATTTACACAATTTTTCCGAGAACGGTGCCATTATGTTCCACGAGTTGGTAACAATTGAAGACCGTCATGAGTTTGGCTGGCCACTCATGTTCACTGATATCATCGGGCTAGTCGAGCAGGCTACTCTAGCTCGGGCATCTTATTTCTATGGTTCTGCGATGAGCTCTTTTTCCGGAGGGGTTGTCAACATGCGTTCTGTCCTGGGCGCAGATCGCCACACAGCATTGATGGATTAGAAGTCATACCGATTGTATTGTAGTGCTTTGTCTAGATCCTAATGTACATACGTATACTGTCTGGAGGTGGAAGAACCTACAGAATAAATAACTCAGGGCCGCATGCTGCTATAGCTATGTATGACGCACACAGTGCTAGATACTGCGGGTTTCCCACCCCGCCTTATATTGAGTCCTTTATAACATGACTGCAACTTCAGATTCATCCATATCAGTCCTGTATCCCTACATTGTGCATTGGATTTCACGACAGACAACTCCAATTACACCTATCATCATCGCGCATATAACTTGATCATGCCCAAAGGTAAAGGCAAGGCCATTGCAATACCCAGAGACGCAGATGGCGAGGAACAGTCTACTACCCTTGACATTGGAAGTATCCAGATGCATCCAGGAATCAGTTAGGCAGCCTATGGGCTATATAACTTGTCCTTCCATCAGAGATTAAACTTCCATGCCTTGTCAGAATATGCAGAGTATCAAGCTCTAGGACAAGGGCTTGCATCGTTTGCCCGCGTTTCGGACGATGGACGCATAACTATATCCCTGGATCTGAAAAAGAAGCTCCCGGAATTACCTGAGGGACATGCTGCCGAGGTGGAAGAATTCGCTCTCGATGCACAGGCGAGGAAAGATGTGCCATTATTGAACATAGTAATCATGATTGTAGGAAGCCGTGGTATGTGAGGGTTATTGTTCTGCTTGTGTATACGTTACTGAAAAGTATCTTAACAGGTGATGTCCAACCTTACGTTGCTCTTGGGAAGTTGCTGCTACGAGACGGTCATCGCATTCGTATAGCAACTCACGAAACCTTTCGTTCATTTGTGCAAGATGCGGGTTTAGAGTTCTTTGACGTAGGAGGTGATCCTCAAGCTTTGATGAGTTACATGGTCAAAAGTAAGAACAGATTATAGTCGGTTCAAGTCTACTCACCTTAATTCACAATCCCGAAGACCCTGGTCTCATTCCAGGTATGGAATCGTTGACGAACGGAGATATTGGCCGTAAACGCAAGATGCTCGCAGAAGTGTGCATTATCTCTAACACATCACTCAATTGCTTATCGTCGCACAGATGATGAATGGCTGCTGGAAAGCTTGTACGGATCCGGATGATGAAAACGGGCAGACTTTTGTTGCAGACGCGATTATATCCAACCCACCTGCATTTGCGCACATTCATTGCGCGGAAGCACTTGGAATTCCTCTTCTTCTCACATTCAGTAAGTATTATTTCCTCTGTGATGCTGATAGTTTTGACCTATTTCTATTAGCAATGCCTTGGTACACGCATTTGTCAAAGTATTGTCATCCACTACTCACACGAATTTCAATAGGAGCCCGACGACATCATTCCCACATCCTCTCGTCAATTTAAGTGCATCAAACGCCGAACCGGGCCTCAGCAATTACCTCAGTTACGCTCTCGTAGATCTCTTCACGTGGCAGGGGTAATAGTCTCCGTATTTTCATAACATGTCATCTTTCCTGATGCCTGTTTCAGAATCGGCGATATTGTCAATGAATTTCGAACAAGAGCTCTGAGGTTGAAGCCACTAACACTTAGATCTGGATCAGGTTTAGTAGATAGACTCAAGATTCCTTGGACATACTGCATGAGCCCAGCGCTTGTCCCACCCCCCAAAGACTGGAAAAGTCACATAGGTAAGATTTGACACTGCCCCAACGATTTTTGCTAAGGGTACAACCATTACTAGATATCACAGGTTTCTATTTTCTGGATCTGGCAACATCGTATAAGCCTCCTGATGATTTAGCCGCGTTTCTTGCCCGCGGTCCACCACCTGTGTATATAGGGTAAGGCAATACCATCCTGCTAGAGTGAAGTTGATTAATTTGTAAACTTGCGCATAGTTTTGGTTCTATAGTCATCGACGATCCGGAGGCAATGACAGGTACGCTGTTCCCGGCACACTTCGTGTTACTCCACCCATAATAAACTTGACTTTTCAAGAACTCATTTTCGATGCCACTGCTCAAGCCTCTGTACGTGCAGTCGTGTCAGCTGGTTGGGGAGGTCTTGGTGGTGTAACTATTCCCGACCATATACATATACTGGGAAATGTGCCTCATGACTGGCTCTTTTCTCGAGTCTCTGCAGTCGTGCACCATGGAGGTGCAGGAACAACGGCTGTCGGACTTCGCATGGGACGTCCTACTGTAGTCGTGCCCTTTTTCGGAGATCAACCTTTCTGGGGTGCATATTCATCATGAGCTCTTTACTTGCAAGTATTGATTGAAAACAGGTATGATGATACACAAGGGAGGCGCAGGACCGAAGCCGATACCTCATAAAGAACTTTCAGTCGAGAACTTAAGAGATGCTATCAAATTCGCGCTTCGTCCTTCAGCCCGACAAGCTGCACAATCAATGGCAGAAAAGATCAAGGGAGAGGTATGATCGCATTCTCTCGAGCCACCTCGGTTTCGTCGTGTCAGCTAATCATCACATGTACAGGATGGTTTGAAGAAGGGTGTAGACTCATTCTACAGGCATTTACCTCTGTTAAACATGAGGTCGGTATAAGTTGCTTCTTGCAGTGCCATGTGCCTGTTTATTCACTCTCATATAGGTGTGATTTAGATTCTACCAGAGTAGCAGTGTGGTGGTCCACAGAATATGTGACCAACTTTCCATCTTTCGCTCGCACACACCTAACATTACCCCTATTTAGTGTATAAGACTAAGTGCATTCGCGGCTCAAACTTTGGCCGATGCCCAGTTGCTAGATCTGCAAGAGTTGGATTTACACCGTATTGCCCTTTCTTTTCATGTGTGTGTATTTTGCTCACATGAATACAGGTCCAAAAGAATACGATACCCGAAAAGAAATCACTGATCCCGTCACTGGTGGTGCTAGTGCTATCTTCTGGACTATCACTCACTACTACACTGGGATCGCACAAATTTTCACGTGAGTGTCAGTGCAGCAGTGTCTTCCCTCCTACTTCATACCATATGTACAGTACACCTACCAAAGGAATCATCAAGAGTTATACTGCAATTCCAAGAGGTATGGAAGACGTCGATAAACTACCTTAGACTTAAGCGACAGCTGATCATAATATGGCACTGTTTAGGAGTCTTCGACATTGTTTCTTCCGTTCATGAAGGTCTGCACAACGCTCCTAAACTATATGGCTCACAAGTCAGAGACCCTGGCAATATTGTGGACTTTGCCAGTGGTGTCAGGGAGGCTGGAAAGGTGAGCTCAACTAGAAATTCAAAACCATGCATTAGATGACGATGATATATTGACAGGGCCTTTTTTACGGTTACTATGATGGCATTACGGGACTCATTCGCGAACCAATGGAAGGAGCGAAAAAAGGAGTTAGTGTAGCTTCCAACTGATGGTGACTGCAGCTGCTGACGGTTTTTCTACTCGTAGGGTTTTATGGGCGCCATCAAAGGATCGGGTCGTAGCTGTCAGTGAAATTTTCGAGTTTTCCTATTCTCTTTGTTGACAATGTGTTATATAGTTGTCAATGCCACCATGCGACCTGCCGCCGGTATTGTGGGCGTTGTCGCTCATCCAGTACATGGAGCTTGGAAAAGTATGCAGAAATTGATGATCCGCGAACCCAATCAACAGCGAAACACGCGGATATCCGATGGTATCAAAGCTGTGGAAAACAGTACTGGAGTGCAACGGGCTCTCATCATACAGAACTTTGGAAAAGCGAAACAGCAAGCAGCGGGAAGGAGGAAGGAGTATGGCAGACAAGCAGAGCAGGCCATAATTGACAATCAAACGCCAGGAACCCCTCTAGAAGAGTCGCCAAGTTCGTCGATTCGAGGGAGGCCAAGTAACGATGAACGACGCTCGAGTAGTAGTATGGGAACCACGAAGTGGTCAGCTGAACAACGGAGGTCTCGATGATAGCGAGTGTGGCGCTAGGGGGGAAAGTGGCTACAAATGTTCGATCGCCGAAAGATTAGTGGGAAATTTAGAAGATGTGGGACTCCTTGCCAGCTTTCTTGTATTATATATCGATTTCAAGATCCATTGGCGTTGTAGCGCCAGGGTCTGGATCCAGATCGGGTTCGGTCAATGTAGTGCCTTTGTCTTTGTCTTTATCAGTGCTTTTGACACGTGGTCGAGCACGACCCTTCCCTCGACTTTTCCCTTTGGCACCCCGCGATGATGCTGTCGCAGGCGCCTCTTCTGGGTCGTCTTCTCCTTCCTCGCGAGGGGTTGCTGGAGCAGTCTTGCTCCTCCCTCGCCCCCTCGTGCGTCTAGTACCCCTAGCCCTTCGTGTCGTAGCCGAAGCTCTAGTTTTGGTAGCAGACAGTGCTGAGCTCTCGTCATTATCTACGTCTTTTTCACCATCATAGAACTCGTTCCTAGCTATACTCCGATCATTCCTCCCTTCACCTGCGAGCGCAGTTCCCTGCTCCTCATCTCTCTCATCTAGTGTGCGATCTTCATCGGCAAGGAGGCCCTCAAGATCAGGAGGGATTTCTTGCATAGCCACGCTCGGGGCACCTTGAAGATACCTGAGCTTGTTGCGGGTACTGATAGTGATGCGCTGCAACGATGCTGGAGAATTCTGATTTTCGACTCTCCCAGTCAATGGTGGGTGCAATTTCCACTGTGAGTCGCGAAAGAATGGATCGTATACTGTCGCAGGGAGTTCGTCCGGTATGGAAGCACCGACAAGTACTGCGGTTTCGTACGCCCAACACCGACTGACGTTCTTGATCGTGTAGCCCCCTCCACCCAGAATGAGTAGAGGGACATTAAATTTCCGGACGAAGTTGACGCATTCACCATGAGCAGCGATAGATAAGTTGAAAGCCCCCAAGCGGTCGCATCCAAGCGAGTCAGCGCCACATTGTAGAACTATCGACGTTGGGCGAAAGGCTGTGACAGTGTCTTCGATGACAGTTTTGAAAATTGTCAGATACATGTCGTCGTCAATGCCATCTTGAAGAGGAACATTGAGACAAAAATGTTTACCGATACCCGCGCCATTGTCGTCAAGCTTCCCCGTCCCAGGAAAAAATTCGCCAGTGTACTTGTGAAAAGAGACGGTCATTACACGGTTTGAGTGGTAAAATGCCAGTTCCACTCCATCTCCGTGGTGAATGTCGATATCGATGTATAGCACGCGAGGGTGATACCTACAACACTGGTCATGTTTGTCTATCAAGGTGGGAATTAAACAGCTACTTACCTCAATAGTTCCAAAATTGCCAGTACGACGTCATTTACGTAGCAAAATCCACTGGCCTCACCGCGCTTTGCGTGGTGGAGTCCTCCAGACCAGTTAATAGCTATATCGCATGTGCCGGCGCACAGCTTTCTTGCCCCAGCAAGTGAGCCTCCGGCATACATGCGACAGAAATCATACATTTCAGCAAATATCGGACAATCCTCCACACAGTTGAAGGTGTCTATTAAATGCCTCATTTCGGACTGATTCCTTGGCGTTACCCTTGATAAATTCGTCAATACACCCGTGACCTGATGTAAAAGTTTAAGCTGCTGACCTGGATAAGAAATCAATATAATCGTGGTCGTGATATGCCTCTAGTTCAGCTTGCGTGGCTGGACGAGGGTTGTATATGTGGTGTATTTGTTTGTCCAGACCATAACCCATGACTAGAGCATTTGTCAAGGTCAGACGATGGGGTTTCATTGGATGTCGTTCCTTGGAACCTAATGTCAGTGAACATGATGAAGGAGATCGGGTTTTTAATATACCCCGTAATGATGTTCTCCGACGCCTTTTGGGAAGTAGTAGGAAACTATTGGACGGGAATGAGGCTTTCCTCATAATGAGCAAAAAAATCAGCTCCCTGTGAGCACCAAGACTTACATTAACAAATTCTGTGATTGGCTGAGCGATTCCATGTGAGCCGCGGTCATCGAAGAATGGGGAGGACGAAAATGTTGTTGCTTGTGCTGTTCGAACCATTCGAGGCGGATATTTGCATGCAGAGACGGCTATTACAGATCTAATTCATACGCTCAAAATGAGTTTTGTAAGCTACAGGCTGACGATAAAAAAAGAAGGGCTGTATTCAGCAACGCTCCTAGCAAAACGACCATACCTGACAGATAACTTGAGATATCTCTGAGCAAGCCTTGCATATATGATCAAGTCAATAAGATAAGATGGCTGTGGTTAAGGAGTTACCAGCAATATACTCACTTTGATAAACTTACGCCTGGCTTCAATCTGGCTATATGTCAAGTTGAACTTGAAGGACTTCGCAGCGCTGCCAGTGGTAGACTAGTGTGACTCCGGTTTAGGAAAGACATGTTCTGGTCACGTTGTGACAAGGAGCGGACGTTGCCGAGGTGTCGTCGATCAAGGCTGTTGTATGTTTTACTGTTTTTACTTCTACGATTAGCTTGTCTTTTTACATGTTGTCTATGGTATCGTTTTCGCGCTGTTTTGTGGTACTAGCATTGGCCGTGCTTGGATCTGCCTCTTCTGGAGACAGAGCTCATATTTACCAAAACTGCGTATCTATATGCCATGCCCAGCGCTGTGTATCACCCTCGACATCCTTACCATTGTTTCTTAGATTGACGCAATGGACGTGCACAGACGACTGCAAATACGGATGTATGCATACCATAACAGATAAAGCCGTCGAAGCAGGTCTTCAAGTCGAACAGTACTATGGGAAGTGGCCTTTTTGGCGATTATTTGGGATGCAGGAACCAGCTTCCGTTGCGTTTTCTCTCTTAAACTTGTGGTTTCATGCTCAAGGAGCACGTCAAATCTTGTCTCAAGTCCCCTCAAAACACCCAATGAAGCTCTACTACTTAGTATGGGCGTTCATCAGTGTCAATGCTTGGACGTGGTCATCAATTTTCCACACCAGAGGTATGCTACACCATATCAAATCTCGAAGGTTGCTGTAACAGTACACTTGCATAGATCTACCTTTCACTGAAAAGCTAGACTATCTCTCAGCCGCTATGGCCATATTATTCGCCCTTTACTACACCGTCCTTCGGTTTTATCATCTGTACCCTTTGGTTCAAGGATGTACTCAAAATGCGGCAATATCCCAACAGTGGAGGAAGCCCCTATACCTCGCATGGAGCTCCGCTTGTACAATCATATACATTGCCCACGTTTCCTATCTGACCTTACCCCCTCGATTTGACTATTCATACAATATTTTGTTCAACCTCTCCCTTGGACTTATACACAATTTTCTGTGGTTAGCCTATTCGCTTCCGGCGTCGTTTTCAGTGCTCCGCAGATTCCCTTTCCGACCCAAATCATACAGACCAAAGTTTGCGAGCAAGGCAGCGGTTTTTGTTCTTCTTACCACTGCGGCTACTGCACTAGAGCTATTCGATTTTCCTCCGTGGGGGAGGATTATAGACGCGCATTCGTTATGGCATCTCAGCACCGCCCCAATCGTCAAGTTCTGGTACGACTTCCTTATCGAAGATGCTTTAGATGATGGCTGGAGGGACCAGAGAATGTGAGTGGTGATATGTATGGTGATTACAACAGTGCAGTACTTCACTTGCTGTTTAGTTAGAAGTGTTTGCTATAAGTTTGGATAATATTATATCGTTAAAATGTAGTGCATCTTGTGAGTTACAGTTTCGTGTGTGCAATAATACTGATAGCTAATATACGCTGCTACCCGGTGCTGTAGATACTCGATTTCAAAGTGTTCATGTGATTCTATTTTTGCTTGCCTTGCGTCCGCGGATGTGAGCTGAATGAATGTGTACCTGTGTACCTCACGAGCTCGGTGGAAGCCATTAAGAGTGCTATCACACGTTGAACGACCTGGCCACATTACAATGGGAGAGTTGTACAGCGGCTGTCCCTTAATGAACCATCAAGCATACAAACGAGAAATTTCGAAAACAAAGTATTATTAACAAATGTCCATATTGTTCCCCAATTCCATAAACCGACCAGCAGGACTATGGCAGAATTGTACAGCGACTGTCCCTTAATGGACCATCAAGTCTACGAAGGAGAAACTTTCGAAAACAAAGGGTTATTAACAAATGTCCACTCCTAGTTGAATATTGCTCCCCAATCCCTTAAACCGACCAGCAGGACTACTTGGCGCAGTCAATTTCTCCACTGAAGTTACCCCAAGAAGCTCCCATCGCGTCGCTTCCGTTCCATTATCAAAAACGATACTAGTGAACTAGTCAATGTTGTCAAGACAGAAAGGAACGCGAAACAAACCAATGAGCGAATCCAGTGTTCCCATTGTCGAGGAATCTATATCAATATGCCCGAACTGTGAGACCATGCCAACGAAAAAGTAACGCTTGGGACGATGATATATTGCCACTGGGTTTTGCCTCGGGGAACCCTTTATTTGCAACAGCTATGAAAATATTGGTCCCAGCATATGGCGAGTTACTGGATTCATTCACCTCGAGTTCTAACCGGTGGTTCCTGATACTCCAATTGTAGGCTTTGCCATCGTCTCCCTCGACACGCCAAAGGCTGGGCGCATACTGTCAACCCATCAGCTCGAGTTGTTAGGAAAACGTACATTGGTTCCGTGCCCCCAATTCTCTTCACAAACTCCTCCGAAGGGGTGAACTCTGTACTTTTGCCATTCATGTTGACAGCAATGGGTTTATCTTTTTCATTTCTCAATACACCGACGATATCAAAGTCACCAGTACTTGTATTGAGCCGGCGGACGGTGGTAAGGTGGGGTTCCCATTCAGGAGTGATTACATCATAGTAGATGGTGTCCGACTCGTTCGAGATAACAACGTTGTGTAGGCTGGTTGTGGTCAGGAAAAGCTTTTGAAACATCTCAAAGACTGTCTCTTGACGGGCCTAAGAGTAGTGATAACGCATTCGCGATTGATATGCAAATCACATACCAAGTTAAATAGCCATACAGTCCCCTCTATTCATGAAACTGGATTATTGATCGTCTAGTAAGAATTCGCACCGTCACGCCGCCGGTTGGTAATATCGATACTCTCCTTCGGGTCCTTGAGTCACTTGTACTCCAACAGAAATCACACACGAAGTATCATGAGAGAAATGACGGATCATGCAGGGATTCAAACTGAGACCCAACCAACCGAATCGCTGTGCCACCTATCGTTGTCATGCTGTAACGCTTCAAGATATCCTATCGCACACGGACATTCGTGTAAACCCAGGAACCGCCCAAGAGCAAGGCCTGTGAGTATACGCAGAGCGCTGATGGCAAGACTCGAAATATTGAATCTCAAAGCCTATTAGAGCACAAAGCAGGATTTAGTTTCTGCTAACCACACAGCTGTTCAGTAATAAATGATAACCATACAAATGTGGTGCTTACACTTGAATAAATAAGCCCGACAAGACACACGGACAACTGCGATGAAAAGTCTAGTATTTTTTTAATTCTATCAATAGTAGCTTACACAGTCCACATGGCGATTGGTAAACTGAAAAGATAGGTCTAGAACATGTCCATACCCCTGCCATCGGCCCATTCACCAAAGAGGAGACTGATACTTTCTCCATTGTGAGTTCTGCGGATACTTTCTGCGATTGTAGGGCTGACATCCATGATCAACAGCTTCGAGCATTGCTCTTTATGCTGCCTTTGGGGGATGGTGTTCGTAACCTTAACAGAATTGAGCATCTATATACATGTCAACCAAAAGAGATAAATACCACGAGCTGTTCTAATGGAAGACTATCCACTAGCTTCATGTCGGCTTCGGCGAAGAGACCTTTTGCCTCGTTGAGGAAAGAGCGGAGACTGGGAGTAGCAATGACAAACTTACCATGGGAAATGATCGCATGAACGGTTTTTGCTCCTTTCTCATGCAAAGTTCTAGTAGCTAATGAGAGTGTCGTTCCTGTATCGACCATGTCATCCACAAGAATAGCCACCTATGCATACAGTTAACGGTGGTGTACCAAATTAAGTATATTACCAAAGATTCGTGCCTTGTCGCAAACGTTTCCTACAAGAAGCTCCATCCTTTCCGGGGCATTTTCGGATTTCCCATCCCGTTTTCTGTGAATCAGAGCAAATTCAACGCCAAGTTTATCTGCAAGTGCGGTGACACTAAGTAATTTACCAGTAAGTACATGACAAAGGTGAATGTATCCGGTGGGACTCACCGTTTAGCACCACCGGCATCAGGGCTAACGATGATACTGTTTTGCCACCCATTAATTTGGGTCTTGATATAGGAGATCATCAAAGGCTCCGAGAACAAATTGTCGACTGGAATGTCGAAAAACCCCTGAATCTGGCTGGCGTGCAGATCCATAGTGATGACATGATCGCAACCTGCGACCACAAGCATGTTTGCAACCAATTTGGCCGTGATCGGAGCACGGGACTTGTCTTTTTTGTCCATTCTGGCGTATGGGAAGCATGGGATTACGGCAGTGATACGACGAGCGGAGGCAGTCTTGCAGGCAGATATAAGGATGAGGAGTTCCATGAGATTATCATTCACATCCCTGCATCCTGACTGAATGATGAAAACGTCTTCCTCTCGAACGGACTCGGATATCTTGACGTTGATTTCTCCGTTGGAAAATTTCTTTACATCACATGGTGTGAGTGGTACTCCGAGCCTATAGGAGAATCAACAGTCCGGAGACTGCAACGCCGCATCATGTAAAGCTGCAGCTCACCGCTCGGCCACAGCTTGGGCGAGCTCGGGATGACTATTGCCTGGAAAAGCCTCTTGTCAGCTATAACATAATGGAGAAAAAAAAGAGAAAAAAGTACGAACCCGCAAGAAGTCTGATGGAGTTTCCGTGATACATAGCGATGTGGAATACAGGTGCGTAGCAAATCTATGGCATAAAAACAAGAGGAAAATGTGCAGTTAAAGAAGGGCAATAAGAATAAGTAAGTGGAATCTCGCTGGCGCTGATGATCTTTACAGCAGTGGCGAAAAACTTGAGATTGTTTGGCTGTTCCAAATAGAGCATAGCCACAGATAACGTAAGCATTATGAATTATCTCGATACAGTGGCTATGGTACTCTGATCGTGATATTTTCCACGACGTATTCCGTATCTGCATACCCCAAGAGCTGTGGTACATAGGAGCTAGAAAACAGGGCATCAGATAACAACGGTCAAATATCAGGAATATATCAGTCGACCGCACCTGTTCAAACCCTTCACCCGAGATATCTGGGCAGAGTTGTAGTTTGCTAACCCCCGACCAACTTCTACTACTTCCCAGTCTTCGCTTTCCTCCGGCTTGTCGATTGAGGGGACATCTTCTCCATGAATGGTTTGAATTGATGTCGTTGACGAGAGGTCCGTGAGACAGCTGGACGATCCAGAACGTGACAGAGGGTCTAACGATGCAATGGATGATGACATTGACGCCGTCGCAGTCAGCGTAGGCGTTCCAGGTTGAGTTGATGCCAACCCGTTTGAATAGCTAGCCAGTGCCAGATCAGGGTCTTCTGATGGTGCCCCGTCCGGCCTGCGACGGACAAGAATGCGCACAGCCTGCCCAGATGCAAACGTTCCAAGCACCGCCACAACTCCAGCGGGAAGCAGGCGGCCTCCTGATTCGCGACGAGAGAGCACAATATGAGCGCCCGAGTCAATGACAACGCTCCCTGACGGAAAGAGTGTATGGCTCGTCCATGACTTCAAATCGCGCATCGGGGTCAGAGATGGCTTAAAAAGTGTGTGGGCAGGTCTGCTTAGTGTTAGTGAAGCGGTGAGATCTTCTAAGTCTGGTACGTTTGATCTGGGGATTGGGCTGGCGGCCCCTGAAGAGGGATTTGACGCGTTTTTTAGAGCGCTGTAATACCATACAATCTCAATAATGATCTCTGGTTGCTTGCTTGAAGTGATGATGGTAGTCACGCCAGCTGCAGTAGCAATTTCGGCAGCAATGAGCTTCGTCTCCATCCCTCCTGTACCCAAACTAGAGCCCAGGGTGGAGGTGCTCACTGGTTCAGATATGTAAATTATGAATGTCGTTATACGAGAGAAGTAAATACCTTGAGAGCGTATTTCAGAAACTGATGTAACCACATCTATTGGCTTGGCCGATGGGTCTTTTCGAGGATTCGTGGTATATAGACCGTCCACATCTGTCAGCAAGAACAGGTAGTCCGCGTGGATCATGGACGATGTGATGGCTGATAGGGTATCGTTGTCACCAAATTTAATTTCCTGGTAATTTTAAGCCGAAAATTTGACGACAAGTCCTCTAAAATGTCACTTACGCTAACAGAAATAGTATCATTCTCGTTTACAATTGGGACGACATTCATCGATAGTAGTTCTTTGAAAGTGTTGACTGCGTTGAGGTACCGAGTCCGCTGTCCAGATATATCAGAAGAAGTATCGTTACCATATGTTTCCATAACACACATCCGAAATGTCTCCCCGAGTAAGTAGGATCTGGGCAGTACGCTGTTCGAACTGTCCAAAAAGGTTATCCCAGAGCGCGATTAGTCGACCTTGACCGATGGCTGCCAATGCCTAATCAATACATCAAACGGTTTCTCGCAATCAATAATTTCAAAGCTTACTTGTTTTCCTGATAAACTCTTTGGTTTATGGGGCATGTCCATCGTCTTCAGCCCAACACCAATGGCACCAGAGCTCACTAGCACAACCTTATGCCCAAGCTTCCGAAGGTGCACTACAGTTTCGACTACCGATGAAAGTATAGAAAGCAAGGGTTGATGGGTTTCTTCATGTACTATGGAGGATGTTCCTAAGATATAAAATCAGTAAGCCCATCGCATTTTAACTTTCAGTGATCTAAGCGATATGCACCCAATTTTATAACGATAGTACAAGGAGGACCACGTCGAGGTTTTGCGAGATCGTCCGTTGGCATTTTCGTATTCGATGAACTGGCTTTTAGAGTAGTAGATTTGTGTGATTCCATGGTCTTCTGAGTGTTTTCTTCAGAATTTGATATGACTCGACCAAAGGCTCAATTTTGTATGACTTGCATGCATCGTGCCCGGTCCAAGTGTGGTCACGGCAGCAAATTCGGGTCCCCGGCGGACTCCTTTGACCAACTTAGAAACTCAGAGAATGTCACGCTACCATGCTAAGTCCTATAATATCGTTGTACTACACTACAATGCATTGGAAAGCTGCCTTGGCATTTACTACCAACAAGGCGGCACTTATCATCCAACTAAATAGACAGCATGATACATGTACATAAAGATTTTGTAGGTAGATCTACGAACTCTTGTTTTATCGTCAGCCTAAGGCTCACACACTCCGATAACATCATAATTGGCACATGTCCTCCGAAAAAGGCTGATTCATATGTGTAGATTATGATGCCCTTGCTAACTCTCTGAGGGAGATAGACAAGAACGATGACGTAGTGATCACCGTTTGACAAGGTGAGTGGTCCTTGCGTTAATTAAGATTTATGAAAAGAACTTGAACTCACCGTGGCAGTACCGGAAATTGAACCAGTGGAAACCGGTTTCGTGCGTGAGTCCATTTCTCTCTTCTGTGCTTGTTCTCAATGCCTTATTCTGTTATGCGGAATCAATGTCAATTGTACCGAAGAAAAGGAGGTTGAGCCTACTATTCGAGATAACTTTTATACCCGAGTGGTGCGAGCCAGCACAGATTGTGGTCATGCTGTAAGACCGCAATGTATCTGATTTTTAGACCATGTTCAATAAATGAGATGATATCAGCTTTATAGCCATAGCAAGATTCTTGTTGCCGCGCTTAATGATCCTGTCATGAGTAAGCCACGCTATCACGTATGGCTGAAAGGTTTTCGAGTGGGATACCTCAAGTGCGGTTTGGGAAGATTAAGACGAAGGAGGGTAGGCATAAGCTGTGGGGGGTGTCGGTTTTGTATCTCTTCATTTATCTAATGATAGGACGTACGAGGACTGTGATGATGCTGCGATGCCTTGTATCCATGCCTGGCCTTAATGTGAGGGCACAATTGAGAAACCACATGCAATGGATAAAATAACAAACACCACAACGATTATAAACGACACGAACGACATGACAGCATGGACGATAACACCAAAACCAGAAAGTTACACTTTTTTCAAAGAATCGTACTTCGTGCGATAGCCCAACAAAGGACCAATAATCCCTCCAAATATGAACAGGAGCTGCAGCCCACCCAGTGTGAATCTCCGTACAAAATCGCGCATAGAATAGGACTCACAAACTTCTCGAGCCACCTGAAATCACCTGGCAGTGCAAAGAAGGCGTCCCCGTGGTAGAACGCGGGAAACACGTTGAAGGGATTCTTAGGGAAACCATCGGCGAATGCGTTTCGGAAGAAGAGCTCCTTATCATCGTCCTAGTCACATCATAGATATTGTCATATGCATACCGCTATTCCAGCGAAAAATTAATCGTACCTTTGGCGTCGTGCGCTCCTCAAAGATAGTTTCGACGCCTTTGAACGTCGTGAACGCATGCGTTTTCTTCCTGGGAACGAGGACTTCGCCGTCACTTGGGGTGTAGACTTTGGTGACGTTGCCTATAGTGTACTCGACCTGGCCTTTGATGACTCTGAAGATCTCAGCGTGTGTCTCATGCCTGTATTATTTCGTGAGTATGGTGGTTGTGAGAAAGGTGGGACCGTGAAAGAGTTCACCAGTGCGGGGGAACAGCAAAGGCCTCTGCATCAGCAGCTACATGTACGCGCGTGAGGAATGGCTCGTTACGAAGGAAAGTCTGCAGAAGGACAAACTCGTCAGCCTGGCTGGTTCGTGCACACCATGAGATACGATGCATCATGACTCACCATGGTATGACCCTCTCCCAACTTGATTTGATCTGGAAGCACCTCACTGGCAGACATGATGATTAGGAACACAAGTAGGCGATGGTCCGGGAAAATTGGGCTCGGGTGACTTTGAAGGTGTGTTAAGTTGGTCGTGCTCGACTATTTTATGGCCTAAGAGAATTGGTTCAGGTCATTGCAGTCGCGTAATGAGCCGCATCTTAGTGATACAACGTTGTAAGCATGCTATTTACTGGTCGAAAGATGTCCTTCTTTCCCTGAACGTGAACATCGTTGAGCCGTTGGAAGCGTTCGTTGAGCCGTGGACAAGCAAATGGGTTTACGGTACCACAAATATCGAGGAAGAAAGAGATTTGTAATAAACCAAGGCGGGGATAGGTCGATGTTCAATCATCCATGATCTATGAGTGTGTTTCACATCATCTATTCTTGCTATTCCGATGTTATTCGGCCTATGGTACAGTACAAATTGAAACCTGTAATTACTCACAACATTCTCTAGTCAATACAACCTATTATAGGGGTATCGGCTTCGCAGGACGCGTTACTGCTACGATTGACTGGAGGATCTGATGGGAGTTGTGAAATCATTACCTCTTGAGCTGAATACCCATCTGACAGGCTCCTCCCAAGCCACACTGTTTCGAGTGAGGAGATATTCCTATCTAGTAGAGCATAGGGGACAAAATATGGAGTGTTATTAATAAATATCATATTTCAAACCCAGCACAACCTCACTCTGCACTTTTATTGCATTTTTCGCACGCCCTGGAGGATGCCTTTATTGGAAAAGAAAGAAAAAAAGAGCAGTATTCAAAAAACGCTCAAATTTCACCGGATTCAAGTACACACAATATTTTTCACAATTTGTAAAGCTGAGCTCTTTCTTTACAGTATTAGTTTGTAAGACCTTATTTGGCTATACAAATTTTGCATATTATAAATTTGTATTATAATGAGTTACAAGGCATTCCACGGTCTCTTGCGCTCAGCCTGTTATACGAGAGCTACATGGTGTTGCCAGTATTACTGTAATATAGAGCACCATACTACCGTTATATTCGAGTACATGATAGCACCTAGTAGTTCATCCTTGAAAATAATGCCAGCAACAGGTACATCATGATCGTTCAAGGACACCGAACAAAACAGCTTGAACGACCTATTGTTTCATAGATAGCAGCCCATGACAAAGGGCATAATATACAACAAAAAAGAAGATATGATTAAGAATATACCCGTCCTCCTCGACATCCGGCCTTGGTGAGACTAGTTCGATGGCGCCCTGGCAGCCTCCTTTTCACTTCTCAACAACCGTTCCACGTTAGCACCGAGTAGGCGGCGCTCTTCTAGCGTGAGTGGTGGTGAGGTTGAAGAGTAGCCAAGCTCTTTTATATGGGTGGCGATAAGGCAGTGTATGCATACTAGAGCTATGGCACTCACTCAGACTAGGGTATTGCAAAGGGACCTCATCCGTTTTCCTTCTGAGGTTAGACAGGTCAAGAGGGTATGAAGGACCAATCCAAGCGCGCCTCAGCTCGTGGTCTCTGCGAAAAAAAATATCAGCATGAGAAGAGTTAAAGAGTACATGACGATACTAACGTCCTCTGTTCCGTAATTATGCAACGCCACACAAATAGAAGGATTATGAGTCTGAGCTGAAAGGCTTGTTGATGACATACCTCTTCACGAGTCAGCGGATGAACAAGAATACTGGAAGAAGAAATCAGAAGGGCTTAGTGCGCAGTGATGTGAGATATCAATACCTGAGTTCTCCTCTGTTTAAACAGAGGTACGAAAATACGGACGCAAATGAGGATGCAGGTACCCATATTTCGTAGGATCCTAATCAACGGATGAGAGCTTTCAAAGCAAGAAACATGATAACAACACGCACCGACAGGGTGAGGTCCGATAGGGTCGGTATTTACACGAAAAAGCGGAACAGCCACGAATGCTCCATCTCGTCTGAGGCGTAGGACTGCGTCTCGGAGTTCGAGAGCAGCATGGTGCTCAGCAGCGTTGCGCTGGTGGAAGTAGATGTCTATGCTACAAGTGAGACTTACGATACATGCAGTAAATCACATGCTACGTACGGAAGTGCCATTCTCTTCAATTTATGTATCAAAATTTGACATGCAAGAGAACGAATTGATCGATTTTAGTGAAACAATGTCAGTTGCTGTGATGCGTACTGGATCTCTGAGCTGAGAACGTCCTCGAGTTTAGTGGGAGGCCCCGATTCCTGCAAGTTGCGAGACATGTTTTCCAAAAGACTTGTAGCCCGGGCCTAGAAAGCACTGAGATTTTGAAGTTCAACCCTTAGCAGTGTTGCGATAGCACTGCAGTGCCAGTGAGAACGCCATCCTTGTTATAGTGTCGCACATGACACCATATGTTGACAGGACAAACTAAACTACTGTAAAGGGATTTTGTTTTTTGTACACAATGTGATTTTCGCTCATATCCTGGGAATCAATTGAGATTTTAGCCTCATTTGTCCAAATACAGGGCATGGTAAAGTAAAGTAACTGTACATGTATGCCTCGTACCGCGACTCAGACCAAACTCAGACATAACATCTCTATCGAATTGTGATTCAAGTCAATGCTGCACCTCACTGAGAATACCTGCGACCTCACTGAGAATACCTGCGACCTCACTGAGAATACCTGCGCTGGACAGGACATTCGTGCGAAATCGGGAGAGGAAGCTGTCTCTTCAGGGTAAGCCAGGTCTATCAATCATCGATTTCACTCCTATTCTGCAATCACACTCATACTAAATTCTCCAAAGGTCCGTTTGCAAACATCCAGACCTGCAGAGAAGTTGCATAATGGAACCCGTTTTACCTTACGACATTCTCTACTTGATCCTTGCAAATGTTCTGGGCGATTTCATACATCGATGCCTAGTCGAGATTAATGGTATCCCTCCCATAAGGAAGGGAGAGTGGGACGCTATATCGTCCCTCCGAAGAGTATCTCGGATGTTTCGTGACATTGTGGGGACACTAGTCGAATCCGTATTCCGCCATCCGTCTCAGTCTTTTGATTCGTGGGTCCACATCTCTCCATCTTTCATTCACTTGGTTAAGCGGCACCATCAGCGTTCCACGTCAAGCAGTTTGGTCGATGGCTCGCCTTTTGATAAGAAAAGGGGACGTTTACTCCCCCGATGAACCTTATTTACAGCTTGCTCGACCTTCAAATACTACTGTACCTTTCACACCTCTATCAAAGGCATACAAAAGTTATTTCGCAGCATCGGAGAAAATGCGTAACATTATTACAGGGCGATGCGAGGATCCTGCTCCTATTCAAGGGTATCATGACGTTATATTGAAATGTAAACAGCATGTGGTCCCACAAGAGGTTGGGCAGCCTTTGATAACCTCTGCGCTTCGAGACATACAGAAGGCCCAGTCATGTAAATTTTAACCTTGCATGATCTTCAAAAAGGTGCTAAAAACATGTATTTTCTTAGATCAGATCCTTCGTGATATCAGTATGAATGTATTCCTCTGCCTCCTTTCTTACGATCAGCTTCTTAACTCTCCGGGTGCAACGCATGAGGAACTCCAATATGTATGGCTTCTTTGAAAAGGTTCCTGTTGGGCTAAAACTCATTTTTATACTATAGGTAAAAGATAAACTAGTCATTGAGTTATGTCGACTAGAAAACATAGCGCAAGAAACTTGTCAAGCTTTGGCAAACATGGGCATTAAGTGCAAGAAGGTGTTCCCCAGTCAGTTGCTTTTCCTGGTACGTCCTCATTTTCTCGTCGCTTTCCCCTGCTACACCAGCTACCAGGTGTCTGGTATCCAAGATAATATATCCGCCGTGACCAGCAACTTCAATATGACTGCTGCCGACAACGTAAACCTCAGGATGGTACTTGATCGTATCGAGAGACTTTGGCGGGCATTAGGTAAATAAATATTCGTCCGCAGACATGGGACGTGGTTCAATTTGAGGGTTTTTCCGGTCAGTCTACTTTTGAATTGTACTTCGGGACATGATGATAATGCATGTGGCACATATTGACCGACGCCCAAAACAAACATTTTTATTTCCATGACTTGGTCTGGCATGAAATTAATCCCAAAATCGTGTATCGTGGATGCCAAGCCAGAAGTCGCAGCTTAACCTTATATCATCTGTTCCGTACTCACCAATCCAATGACACTAACACTAATATTGTCAACACTGACGCTGAGCGTCTTTCGCGTAGCCGCAGTTCCATTCGACTCCTCAAGTGCTTCGACGCTTTATGGAAACAGTACTACTCAGGCGTTTGACCCTTTCGTAATTCTGATACCAATGGCTACGACATCTATTCCACCAATGATGAATGACCCTACACTCATCATCGTAACTGACACTGTGACAGCCACTGAGACGATTACCATCCAAGTTCCCTCAACTACAACTGAAACGAACACTTCCATCACAACTGCCACTCAAACTAGCATTGCTTCTACTACAGCTACTACTAGCATGCTCACAGGTTTCCCAGTTCCCACCCCTACCACATGGGCGGCTCCTGCCCAAATGGCAAATCTGGATGCTTTCAATGTCACATCTTTCTCCAGCGGCCGGGCGAATTTAGTCATCGCCAATGGAGTACCTGTGTCTGCAATGGCGTCCTCCCCAGTTCCCGCCGATCAGGCTACTTTTATGCGAAATAATTCATTCATTCCACAGACAGGGAACAATGAGACTTCTGTTCTTCAGATATTTTACCCAGCAAACTCAATCAACCCTGCGCACAAACCTGAAGGCGGTTCCCAGTTCTATGCCACCCCTCTGGATCTTAGCGATGCTCAAAATGTCTCTCTGGAGTACAGCGTCTTCTTCCCTGAAGGTTTTATGTGGGTGAAGGGTGGAAAGTTACCGGGACTTTATGGCGGTCACACTTCATGCTCTGGTGGTGCTGATGCTTTGACTTGCTTTAGTACCAGGCTGATGTGGAGACAAGATGGAGCAGGCGAACTATATCTTGTTAGTGTCTCTTTAATTATCGCTTTATCCAAGTTCTTACCAGCTAATTTACGTCATCTCTGGAAGTATGCCCCAAAAGCCAAACAGACGGCAGCACTTTGTTCAGATCCTCAGTCCGTATGTGATGCTGCCTATGGCTTTTCTGTAGGAAGAGGATCGTTCAACTATACGGCTGGTGGATGGACAAAGGTTCGTCAAAACATTGTGCTTAACACACCTGGCCGTCAAGATGGCGTCTTCACCCTCGACGTGGACGGCAAACGGGTCATAAATCGAACGGATATCTTCTATCGTGATGTTGCTGCCTTACCTTCATCCGAAGCGGTAGCGCAGAGTATTTCCCGTAAAATAAGTTTCGGCCATGGGGGCCAGCACAAGATACCTCATATGCTACAGCGCAGAAACCCTAAGGCTGACGCAGAGTGGTCGGGTCTTGAGTCGAGCAGGACGACTCCGACATCGTCCACTGCCACAGGAAAGCCTACCACAGATTTACCTGAAATGAACATACTTGATAGCAGTAGTCAAGGTAAACTAGTGGGTTTCACTGGGCTCTTCTTCAGGTATGGTTTACTCCCTGGCATGGTTATATCATGGTTGATCCCAGTGTTATCTTATTAGTACTTTCTTTGGTGGCCACGAAGATGATTACGCTACGCCAAAAGATCAGTATACGTGGTTCAAAGGGTTTTCTATCACACGCTATGCATGAAGACTGAGCTCCCTTGTTATGTTACTTCCTTCTGAATGTCTCGTTTTGGTGTTTTATGTATAAGGTGTAATAACAGAAATGTTCGTGGCCACTCTACCTTGGCACAAAAATGGGACATGCAGCCTTACAGGCTAATTATTACATAGCAGTAGCAATGTTCTCATAAGGTATCGAATAAGCTTCTGGCTAACGAAAGATATATCCAAACAAGTAGGAAACCAGAGCCACGAAATATAGCAGGTACTGCCAGTTGAAAGAGGGGATCGGACCCATCTCAAATGCTTCTTGCAACACTACCTCCATCTTCTTGGCCATTGAATCCATACCGAATAACTCCCGCGCACGATTTCGTGACCTAGTTGCCAATACGTTTCGTTGTTCCTTTGTAAGACTTGATATTTCGGTCAGTACCTCTGCCCATAGTTTAGCCTCTGGGGCACGCAACCACCCGGTTTTTTGCTCTATAGGGCTATCTACCACGCTCTCCGTAGGTCCACCACTGTTGCAAGCCAGTACTGGAAGACCACAAATCATCCCTTCGACAGGGCCGATACCGAAATGCTCATTCGCCGAGGTATAAAGGAGGGCAAGGGTAGACGGGGCCTTTAGCAGCGCTGAGCGCTGAGCGGTGGTGAAATTCAAAAGGAACAAGATACTAGGGTCGCTTGTAGTTCCACCGATTGATGGGAGGTTTGATTGGAACTGAGAAGGAGTGACTATGTCGTAGGTTAGTTCGCGTGCCTTTGCCTGATCCACTAAAGAAGCAAGTGTCATGACGTTGTCTTCCAACCGCGGATCGTAACCACCTATTAGGATATCGACTTAGAGAGTAGTATAATCAAATTTACGGCATACATACCAGCGATTACCAGTCTTATTCCATCGACTTCCTTTCTCCCAGAAGATTCATTCTGAAAAAGAGAGAAGGCTTGAATAGCTAGAACAGCATTCTTCTTCATCTCGAAGCGGTTCAGAGACAAAAACGTTGGACGTTCACTGATACCGCATCTTCAGGGAGATTGACAACAAAAATAAATGCATGTCCTTACGAAGAAACGCGGATGATGTCAGGATCTGACAAGTCGACTGCTTTCTCATATGCGGGAATATTGATTCCGGGATAGATGACCCTTGGGGACTGACGGATAGAGGGAAGATAAGATTGGGTAACACGGGCAGAAAATTTAGAATTTGCGAGTATAATGTCGGCCTGACCTACGAAAGTTGGATGAATGCGCGTCAGCAGACCGAAAATAAACGCACGAGTTGTGACCTCCTCTAACCAATCCATTGGAAAGCGGTATAATGATTTCAAGAAGCCCATTTTCTTTCTGGATTTTCCTTCTACAAATTCACCATTGGCCAGTAACTTATCGGGGAAGTGACAATAAAAAATTACGCGCTTCTTTCCCCACAATCGTATGAGAGGTATACATGTTGACAACTGGTCAACGAAGAAGACATCAGAAGACGCCTGCTGAGATGAGAACAGGAGGTGTTTCGTGAGGTGAAGTTGTCTGGCATGTGCAAACAGAATATGAAACAGGCCTCGGAAAGAGCGAGGGAAAGGAGAGACGACGTTGTGTACTCGAAGGGTTCCTGGACAATATTGACAATGTAAGATGAGATAATAACACGCTGAGTATGCTTACCGTCTCGTGTCTCATCGAAACAGTGGTCGCGGTCGTGGTGAGAAGTATAGATGTCGACCGAGTGGCCTAAAGTCTGGAGACCTAATGCAGCATCCACGACTAGACGTTCGGCTCCACCTGAATACAATAGTTGGTACAAGGTAAGGGTGACCAGGAATCCAATGTTTAAGCACCAATTCCCAAGTCAGGGTGAATAAAAGCTATTCGTAGTTTTGGTTCAGAAGCCATGTTCCGATGCTGGAGTTACTGGCGAATGAAAGGCGGACAATGGCTACAGAGCCACGTATGAGGAGACAATGGAACGTAGGTTAATAATTGTCAGAATAAAGGAACACGCTCACTCGGTGTTATCCGAGCATCTCTACTCTTATGCCACAACGGCTACGCACTACGGTCATGGTACAAGGTCACCAAGTAACCTTGTCGATCCTACATATAAAGGACCACATCTCTCCAATCAATATCAGCAAGGTATCATCTCATTTCCTTCTGCATTGCTCAGACAATCACGCCATCTTAGCCAGGACATCACCTTTGTGCCCACTGTTTCAATTGAAGCCCTGAAACATGTCGGCCTCTCATGCGAAGAGCAGCAAACGAAATATACCTTCCCTGCCGCCCGAGGTATGGCTTGACATCTTTCAAAAAGCCACATACGTCTCCGGCATTGTAGGACCCGACATGGAGGGGTACTCTCTAGAAACTATATGCTCTCGATACCACCAACGATTGTTGAAAGACTCGCTGTTGACAAAGAGATATGTTGTACGGGTGTGCAAGCAGTGGTGGTTCCTCGCTACCCCATTCCTCTACGAGACATTGCTCATTGGCCGGAGCCGGAGCCTCTCGTCTTTGTGCCGCACGTTGTCAAATTCAAAGGATGGTATGGCTACTCTGAACGCAGATCAGCCTTTGGGTTGGAGGACCAAGAGGATTTATGTGACTATGCGAGACCGGTGTTACAGACATGGAGACATCGACCTCGATCTCCTCGCTGAAATAATCGGGTATTTACCCAACTTAGTCATCGTCTCCTTCGGCGTAACATCATCCCAGTACATTGGTACTCGGATGCCAAAGTCTATTATGAATGCTCTTGCGGATCGCGGTTCGTCGCTGAAAGCCTTGGAGTGGTCCACGTGGTGCCTCAATCCTACCTCTGCTGATCTCATGGAACTACTCGCATGTACCCCTCACTTGCGCATCCTGCACTGCCGTCAGGCAAAGGGCGGTAATAATGATGTCGAACTTCCGTTTATGCCATCGCTTACTGCTCTCTCTTTTTGCCCATTATCGTGTAAATGGTTCGTGGCAGCGGAGGATCGCCTTCCTTGCATTCAACAGGTTGCATATCGTGGCTACGTGTGGCCGGCCAGACTTGCATGGCTGCGCTTTTTGGACATGTCGGGTGGCAATATAACCACCATATATCTGCACCCGGTTTTTTTAATTAACGGCTTACAATCCGAGATGGACAAATTTCGTCGTTATTGTCCTCGTTTGACGAACCTCACGCTTTCTGTTGGCCGCTGGGATCAGCTCGTCCCCGATCCAGACCCCGAACTAATACTGCCTCCAATCCGCTATCTTGGCATAAAGTGCGGAAAAAAGCAAGCGCATTCGAGGGAATACAGGCTCTTTTTTGACTTTCTTTCTCATATATCCGTTAATGCGCCGTCATTGCGAGTTGTGCAGCTGATCGACCATTACAACGTCGACGACTTGCGGAACCACCACGCACATGTTCTTCGTCAAGGCTTGCGCCAATTATCGGGTGTTTCATTTCAGCTGCAAGATCACGAGGGAAACATTATGCGTCCTTTTGATGTTGGTGGTATAAACATGCGGTAGTGAATGTTGGAAAACGCAAGCACGTAATTTTGGAGGATAGTGGGTAATTCGCAGGTTTGAAAAACAATCATGCGGTACAAATATATGTAATCGTAAATGACATTCATAAGTAAATAAGAAGTTGAATTGTACACAAGGTCGTACGCGTGAATTCATGGAGGTATAAAGTGGTTTTATCCTGCAAAATTCTATACAGAGCAATGAGCAAACAATAAAAAGACAATCGAGAAATATAAAGGAGCAGAATAGTAAAACAAAACAACAGAAAGAAAATATGTCGAGCGAGTGGGCAAGGATAGCATCTCATTCATCTGTTTCGGATTGGGAACCTGAGCCTCGGGAACTTGCGCGTGAGCGTGCCCGTCGAGCACGTTCTGCCTCTCGAGTTCGCTGTTGTTGGTCGCGTAGCTCTTGTTGTGTCAGAGGATAGTTAGGCAAGCACTTCAACTCGTAAGTACACGGTAGAGCGTCCCCGCAGTGATCCTTCACGAAATTATCATTTTGTACGATTCCCCCGAACATTGAATCAGCACAGAGGTAATCCAGCCTTCTCATACCGTCTCCTAGAGATCCTCCTGGCACGTTGGGGTGTGTGGATCTATTGTGCTGATAAGATTGGTATATCGTCTTTTTGCGTGCTCTGGGTATAGAATCATATTCTGTCCTGATGACGTCCCCGTAGAGGTAGTGAGATATTCGGTCGAGGATTTCACCACAGGTGATTCCTATTTTCGGATCCCGCGCTTGTATCGTGATCATTCCCGGGAATGAGTGGCATATGATGCGCAAGCTCGACAGACGCGGATGGGTAGCCGGTTCACCCCTTCCTTTGATCCAGGAACGTCGTGGATCAGTCGAGCGGTGGCAGTTGCTAGTCCCAAACACCATGTTCCACTGAAGGTAGTCATCCGTGGCATCATTGGGAGGAGCGAGCAGAGGATTTATCTTGACATTTGCTCTGACCACTCTGACGAGAAACGGCTCGAGGACGGGACCATCTACAAAACGTGAGTATCAGAGAGATCGAGAATCAGCTAGCGGGAAAACCATACAATGAGGTCCTTCAGCGAACGGGTTCATTCGATCCATACCAGATTTCGTCCACCTGAAGTCCGCTGTACCGGCAGGTGCAGGATTCGCGGGCGGTTGAGTGGGGTGCACCCAAGGTGTTGGAGGGTGGCCCCAAGGAGGTGGATGGTGTGGAGGGGGTTGCTGTGGTGGTATATTCCACATGGGAGGGGCGGCAGGAGTAGCATAAGGAGGAAATTGACCCCAACCAGGCGGCGGGCCATATGGTCCAGGAGGAAGAGGTTGCTGAAATGCACTATAACCCGTGCCTGGCTGGGACCACGCAGGCATTTGCTGAGGAGGGGCATAAGGCGTGTTTGCCAAGTTGGGGTATCCAGTGTAGTCGTGAGACAGGCCCTGGGCCAAGCCTGCACCAGGAGTGCCGTGCATGTTGGGGAGCATACTGGGAGCAGGAAAGTATGAGCCTGGTGGTTCTGTAGGGAGTACAGCGGGAGTAGGATAGCCACTTGGCGGCATTGAAGGAATGAATGGCGTTCCATTATAAGGTGTCGACGGATACGCTGGATAATTTGCCTGTGAACGCGTCCCATGGGCCCACGGTGGAGGCTCCCCCCGAGGTGTGGGAATTTGTGGGGGTATATTCATGCTGTCCGGTGAGGGCAGTGGAGGTACGAAGGGGCTGGACTGGGACTGGGATCGAGGTGAGCGCCCAAACATTATTGTAGGTATATCAGGGGACGGGTTCGATGTGGAAGATGATTGGTTAACTGAAATCGGTATCTACAGCCATATCAGTTTGTCTGCGGAAATGTAGTACACAGGAATATTCTCGCCTGTGAGTCCTATGTCAAACGGTTATGAAGAAAAAGGTGACTCGAATGATGTTTGACTAAAGAAGATCGATGAGAGAAAATTTTGGAACAGGCTGAATGACACCCTACAGAGAAGGCAGTGTCAAACAACGTGTTATCTGTCAACTGGATCAAATCAGAATGAGCACGTACCTAGAACTATCCAGCTTAGGAACTGAACGATGAGCCTGACAAGATGAAACCTTGAGACAAGATAATCTGGGTGTACATTTGTGACGCTGATCGTATGACTTTCAAGTTGAAATGTTGGACTGACTGACCTACGGGGCTAAACAGGACCACAATTCCTAGAAAGGGACTCAGGCTACGAAAATCGAGTCAGCAATAGCGACCTGTGAGTCGGCTGGTGAGAGCAGAGACCTGAACAGGCTAAAGTAGGCTATCGCAGTGATTCCAGCGGTAATAGTCCCGGTACTGCAAGGTACCGTCTAACACGTTGTAATCGGTGGCAGTGTGCAGGCTTTTTGTCCCACTAACGTAAATCCAAAATGCAGCCTCGTACATCTACTGACGTACGTTTCTCAAAAATCGCTTCTGTTCAGCGTTATCGTACAGATGAGAGCGGTCAATCCAATACGGCAAGGCTTCGATTCGTGTTGATATGAATACAGGATGTATACAATAAGTGTATGTGATAGGAATATTGGATCGCAAATGTAGGTGTAAATACACCCAGAGATTAGGAAGTTAACGACATAACAAAAATGTTTGGAGCCTTGAATCCAAGGCGAGCCATAGCATAAGTATCTTTCTTCAAGAGGCATTCGAAGAAAATCTTGTCGCGGAGCCAATCTAGTATTAATCGAGGGAATGTGTAAATAAAACAAATGAAAAAAGTGCTATGATGTACTTGCCTACTCGTCTGTAACGGTTGGGCATTACTTGGGGTGTATAATAAGCATTCCACCCCTGCCCTCCTTGACCGTTGTGAGAAGCAGCCCGTTTGATCTGTTCTTGTAACCGAGGAGGTAAGGCTCCGAATTCACTTTCAGTGACATAGTGGTCCGTGTAACTGTTGATGGGGATCAATAAAAACATATGAATAAAATGTACAGAAGCAGAGGGAACGATAATTACTCTTTCCAGATCATAGTGCAGACATCTCCCATAGTGACTCCATGATCATTGTGCACTACTGTGCACCAGGGACTTAGTTCGGTTATGATAATGAGATCGGAAACACGGGGGAGAGTCGCAGGTTCGTCCTTGGCTGCGAAGGGAAGATCGTGATCTCGAGCTTCAGAATTGAAACCTCCAGTTTGACCTGAGAAAGTAGTAAGTCGTAGGAGCCAAGAATAGAGGAAGATCAAGCGCACCAGATGCAAGATTGAAAATTAAGTGGAAGGAAGGATTTGTGTTCTCCAAGATCGGGTTTAGATGGAGGTCAGTGTTTAAAAGATAAAGATCCGTCTGTGAAAGCACAGGGCCGTCTGGGGAATGATATCAGTTTTACTCTCACATCACCAACGGCACTTAAAAAATTGCACTGACAAGAGGGTCCAGCCGACCACCTGCCCACTTGATCAACCATGCTATGATCTTCTTAACAAGCAAATGATGTGTCGAGCGATAAGTTTGATGTGAAAGGGTATAGTTGAGCGGGAAAAGAGAAGAAGATGGTACAAGGTGCAAGCGGAGGATGTCACGGTTATAGAAAGCTGGTTCGCCCTTTGGCAGGGCATGTTGTTCCAACGTGCACATGATCGATATAGAAGAATGTGGCTGTGCCCCACACATACTACAGATCGTGACTCAAAATGACCTTACACTGATCCATACAGCTTGCTCTGCCTTGCGGTCTACGCAAACCCACATCTCGTACCTCCACTATCATTCTGTGGCTCGAGATCTCATAATCATGGCCCCCAAAGGTGGAAACGCAAAGAAGGAGAGCGGGCGGGCCAAAAAGGCAGACAATGAGGCTAAGAAGCAAGAAACAGCAGCTGCTGAGCGAGTTCGTATGTCGTCCAAGATCTATCACTCCCACTGACTACGATTGGGCTCCAGGAGCGTAAAGAAGCCGATAAATGGCAAGATAATGCTAAATCTAGCAAATCGAAAGAGGATAAAGAAGAAAAACGCAAGGCAGAACTGGCACGAAAGGCTGAGAACGCACGCCTTCTAGCAGAGGAAGAGGCGGCTGCTCCCCCAAAGCCTAAACCGGCGCCTAAAGCAAGCGCGAAAAAGCCTGTCAAACCTACCAAACCAGCGGGCCCGGGAGCCATTGCTGCTGGCGGTGGACTTGGCGAGAAAGAGACAGGGGAGGACGCACCGAAGGAGATTGAGAGCTATTCGGCCACCGGTATTGACAATGCAATCGATCTTCTGGAAGTTGTCACTGCGAAGAAAGACAAAGCAAGTGTCGGACAGCAAGCTGCTGGAATAGAGAGACATCCAGAGGTACGTCTCCTATGGGGTTGGATCTACACCACGCTGACCTGATCCTTGCCATTCAGCGACGCTTCAAGGTCAGTTTATTACGTTTCTTACTGAACAGATCTTACCAGTTTGAAAAATTTCAGGGTGCATTCGAGGCGTATAAAGAACGAGAGTTGCCTAATTTGAAAGTCGAAGTACGCTTTTCATCTTTCAAGAGATGCCAGAATCGTCCTCACAGTTTTCTTAAGCATCCTGGTCTTCGGTTACAGCAATACCAGGATCTGCTTTATAAACAATTCCAAAAGTCTCCCGAGAACCCGTGAGTATTTGTAGAGACCTCTTTGAGGCCCATAGTGACGCCCTCTTTGCAGCTTCAACCAGGTCACGCTTTCCTATGATGCCACGAAGGACGACAAGGTTCAGGCTCTCAAGGACAAACAAGAATCAGTCGAAAAACGTTTGCGTGCATAGGTCGTGATGTATTTGTCTTCATATTTTGAAGTTATTTCACCTTTTTTCTTCGAGAAAATTGAGCCTGTGTAACAATTGCGTGCCAGGATATGTATCCTTACATGTTTTACACTTGTAATCAAATTGAGTTACTGTATCCTTCTTTTTCATCATCTCTCTTTGTAACCATGAATCCAAATGGCCTCGGTAATAAATCAAGTTTCATTGAATGCTTCAAGTAAAGATAGTATTCACGGTAGCTAAAGGAGAGTCTGTTAAGTTGATATCAAAGACATTTTATAACCGGCATATTGCATCCAGGGCTCTGACGGACTTGGTTGGCTACCCCAGAATCAGGTGCGGATAGGACAGGAGTAGTCTCCTTCATCCAACCGAATCATTGACATGACAGTCGATATCAACGTAGGACAGAAGGGAGTGTTCGATCGGTAGTACGCTTCGTATTCATAGTTGCCTTTACGCGACCATGCTCCTCAAAGTGGCGGGTCCTCTTAATTTCGCACAATACCTGCAACCTGGAGGGACTGGTGGCAAAACCGCAAACGGATGACCGATACAAACAGTTGATACCAACGAACCTTTTTGAAAGACTAATCAGCCTAGAAACCTGCTCACGGTAATGGGGAGTCACCTGACCAGAATCGATGCTTGCTGGACAAGTACTTCTGCCAAAACAGATGGGGAGCAGGATTTCCGCCAAATCAGATATCCAGCAAGTGGGTAACCTCCCAAGTTACATAGATACGTACCGCGTAAACAGTTGGATGTCGTTAATAAGTCAGGTTATAAACCTTTCCTTGTGAAAATCTGCGCTGTCTAGCGGTCCAAGTTAGTCCATGGTCTCACACCTGTGGGATCAACAGCACTATTATGAAACCATATCCTAACCGTACGAGGGAGTTCGAGAGCCTCAACACATACACGTGAGCCTCGATGAAGAGAAAAATAAATATCAGGAATCGACAAAGACGGAAGTGGAGGTCCCTTCCTTATGAACTACAGGTCTGCACATGTGAGGGCGTGCACATGAAACAGCTGGACATATGTCCATAAGGATTCACATATAAATTGTTGCGGAGACACGATGACTTGAGGAGAACCTTGAAACGGGACACCATGAGCGTGTAAGAACCTGACCCGTGATCAACGTAACAAGTCACGAGGACAGAAAGTCATCCTGTACGGGTGAACCGCGCCGCTGATCGTCTTCGCAGTGATACGACAATTTTCCGCGAAATTAAGCTGGGTATAATCGCAGGCAACCCCAATATTAGAACGCATTCACAGATGAATAAAGAGTCTGACCATCACGAATGCAAAATGTAAACTATTGTGCACCATGCCTCGTCTTCAGCATCTGAAAATCGCCTGTACTTTGCTTGCCTTAGCCCCACTCTCGTTGGCAAAGGGAGTGCTGCCAGGACAGATCAAAAATTTCGTCACCTTCGGCGACTCGTATACAGATATCGCCTACCCTGCTGCTGATGGAGGACAAGCGTGGCCAGTTTATGCAGCTGGCTATGGAAACTTCACTTTATACCCCTTTGCAAAGAGCGGAGCGACCTGTTCGAACAATTTGACGTATAGGCCATTCCCTCCTGTATTTGGAAGCCAGATACCAACATATTTAGAAGAGAAATCAAACGCGACAATTAACCCAAATCCCGAGGAAACCATATACACCTTGTGGATTGGTACGAATGACTTGGGCGTAAATGCGCTCCTCACGGGAAGCGATGCGCCCGATGTGTCGATAGTTCAAGTCAGAGAATGTGCTGTGGACTGGCTCAAAGTTATGTATGCCAGCGGAGCCAGGAACTTCATCATGCAAAACGTGAGTAAAGGCAATAATACCATAGGGAAGAACTCTACGCTAACAATATTTCAAGATTATACCACTCGACCTGACAATCTTGTACTCGAATTACTCATACCCCAATCGTTACTGGGATGCGCAACGGAATACCACCGAGTGGAACGTATACATGAGGGAACTTGCAAAGGCAGGCAATGAGATAACTCTGTTGATGCTACAAGCTCTTGCTCCCACTTTGCCAGACGCTCACATCGGTAAGTCGCAGGTTAATCCACGATATGGCTACCAAACTCACTGTTCGAGTACAGCTTCGTTCGACTCACATGGCCTTTTCACCGATATGTACAACCACCCACAGAACTACCTCAATGGTACCGCACCCCTGAATGTGACAGGCTGCGTTAACTCGTGCATCTTTGCTTTGAACGAGAGCACTGGTGATGCCGGCGATTGCACAGTCGCGGAAGGTACAGACCGTGACAGCTTCCTGTGGTAAGATCTCTTCATCTTTGGTGCATTTTCAATTCTGATACCTTGGACAGGTACGACGAGCTCCACCCGTCCGAACAATCAGATAGGATTGTGGCGCGTGAGATAACAGCAGTTATGAAGGGTGAAGAGAACCAGTGGGTGACGTGGTTGAGTTGAGCTGCTGGCAAGGAAGGGTCACTGGCAGTTGTTCCACAATCATAGGATAAATTTCCTTGGACAATATTATGCCCGTAGAACGATTGATCAGAAGACCTGAAACTTTGACAAGTGGTCCACATTATTCGAAAGGGATCATGGTTATGTGGTAATATGCCATACCACACTATCATCAGCACACTGTCCGCAAAGAGCGAGTGCTTTTTACTGGCTGACCATTGCGTCTTGTTTCAAGTTAATTATGCCGTCTAGCCTCTACTAATATTCTAGCGTAATTCCAACACTTGTACAAGGATGGGGTCTCAATTGTAATATCTACTAATCCGAAACACAAAGGACAAAGGACACTCGGGGTATTGGCAAGGCACTCGAGGACTCAAGTTGGTAAAGAAAATGTTCAGTTCAATTACAGATAATTCACAACCTTGTCGGTGGCGAATGTGTAAAATCTATCTTCTGCTGAATCCATTCATGGTGACTGCCTAGCAAGCGGCTTTGTTGTGAACGCATCCGTAATTTCACTGGCACAATGTCTTTAAACCATGAATGACCATCGAGGTCTAACAATTCAGAATACAAAAGCATCAGTCGACATACAAACAACGGATACATGGCAAGAGAAGAAAAATCAAAGAAAACACGCCTTATTCCCACCCTCAGCCCTTCATCCCATCTCCCTCTCCCTCTCGCCATTTCAATCTGCCCATTTATCGATCGTTTCATCACCCAAAGTCTATCACCCACAATCCATCCTACAGAAATCCCGAAAAGGACCCCAGATCGCCTCCAAGCGTACCTAAAAATAAAAATCTGAAGCCGCACACACAGGCACCATGAGCCACATCCTGCTCGCCCACCCACAATGAGCAGGGTACCTTAACGCGCCCTTCTGGCATACCCCCGACTACGACCTTGCAAGTATTGCGGCGGTTGTCCTATGGGAAAATGACAATATATATGAATTAGCTACTTCACAGCATAGCTCGAGCTGATGCTAGGAACTAACCGCCAAAGGCCTGCAGAGTAGGTGTATTTTCCATCGGCTCCTTCTGTAATCGCTCCTCATGACGCCCTTGCTGTAGTGGTAAGAGATTTTAGGGACATTGTCAAATATATATATAGTTCACATACTCGCTATTGATCAAGCATGTCACATGCACAACATTGAGCTAATTTCATGAGGTCAAGATGAAACGAACCACACACCCACTAGGAAGTTAAAATGATTAGCTATTCAAAAATATATCTCGACAGTATATACATACTTTCTGCAAGGAAAAATAAAGAATATCATATACATTAGTGCCGAACGTAAGAAGATTATGAAACAAATTTATCCGTACATTCTAAAGATTTCCGCGCAAAATGAATATGTTTGTAAAGTTTGACGAGATATGATGGAAAATGACAAAACATACGATCTGCGGTGCGAGAAAGTTAGTGAAATGCTCTCGCACAATGCAAGGAATGTCCCCAACCATCTTCAGGTCCAGATTCGTATATACTCAGTATTGGCTGCATAGCACAGATGCTGCAAGAGGGAAAATGTTTAAATGGAATAAATCCGTAGAGAAGTAAACGATGCACTTGCATTAGGAAACGACACACCTCGCGGAGTTTCTGATGACACATTGGTGATTAGTATGCAGGCTCATTAGCAGGACACGAACACCAGCTTACGGCCTAGAAATTGAGCAAAACATTATTTGTGCGTGAAAAAAAAAGATGCATATAAAAGAACAAATGCAGCGTACGTCCTGAGATCATCATGGGCACAAGAACAAGTAAAGGGTATCAGAGAGAGAGCCAAAGCATAATAAAAAAGGCAACGAAAAGGCATACAGGCTGAGAATGTCAAGGAGGGCATGACAGTCAGTGCCAAAGCTAGCAAAAAAAGATTGAGAGCGACTCACATCCTAAGAATGTCAAGAAGGGCCTAACAGTTAGTGCCAAAACTGTCTACAAGGGGGCCGAGGGCGACGTACTCCCTGGAATGTCAACGAGGGCATGACGGTCAGTGCCAAAACTGGCTAAAAAGATCGAGAGCGGCGTACAGTCTGAGAATGTCAAAAGGGACTGACAGTCAGTGCCAAAACTGGCTACAAAAAGACCGAGAGCGACGTACAACCTGGGAGTGTCGAGGAGGGGATGACGGTCAGTGCCAAATCTGACTAAATAAGATCGAGAACGACGTACGATCTGAGAATGTCAAGGAGAGCCTGACAGTCAGTGCCAAGCCTGGTTAAAAAGATTGAGAACGACTTACATACTGAGAATGCCAACGAGGGCACAACAGTCAGTGCCAAATCAGACTAAATAAGAGCAAGAGGGACGTACATTCTGAGAGCGTCCACGAGGGCATGACAGTCAGTGCCAAATCTGACTAGATAAAATCGAGAATGACGTACATTCTGAGAGAGTCCAGGAGGGCTGACAATTAATGCTCAATCTGGCTAAATAAGGTTGAGAGGGACGTACAGGCTGAAAAGGTTATCATGAAATTGTGGTTGTGGAGCGGTTAATGGGCAGTTGTTAGGGTAGTATATGAATGTGTATTCGATGAATATCATCACAATGTCAGTAGCAACCCTTGCACGAAACGGGAACATGACCGCGTACGTTCTAATGATAACATGTGGTAGGGCAGCAATGGTAAGCGGCATGGAGCATTTCCAGTGGATTATCGAGCACGTACAATATCGTAGAACTGTCAGAACACAATGCAATAATCAGAAAATCCAGCAAGATATATATCGTCTATAACCATTTACCTTCTAAAGAACGGCAAGCGTATAAAGCCTTAGCAGAAAGCCTCACAGGAAGAATTCTTGAGTAACGCACCCCCTGAAAATTTATATTTAAAAATAAAAGCATTTAATATAACAAAAGCACGTCAGAGTGTAGCGTGATCGGATGGGTTAATAACGCACAAACTGGCTCAGTACACTCATCAGCCTTTCGTATCTCAGATATTTGTCATGTAGATACTATGTTACTTACATCCTGTTTGTGCAGCCAGCTCCTTTAAATATAATATGGGGGTATATTAAAATGACATACATTCTGTGTATAGTGGGGGTACATTAGCTCGGTTTCAACGCCCTTGTTTTCAACTGACTTACTTTCTGCCGAGCCGGTTGCACCAATAAAAAATTGGGTCAATAACCATCTATCGCGAAATATTGTCACGCACAGCCTAGTCATGTGCCAGAGTTACAAAAGGTGGGATATAAGCATCTTGTGTAAGATACAAAAAATATACACACATTCTGAAATGTTTTGTTGGGAGAAAAAGTTCAAGACGCTTTTGTCATCATGAATCGGAAACAATCTCGTACTTCTGTTTGCTCAATCATGTTAATGAGACTCCCTAGTGCCAAACGTAAATGCCGGGGGTATCGCAGCCACTCCTGCACCAAATTTGCATTAGATATGTCTCGCATAATTATTCTAGCTTACCTCCATCCGTGTCTTCATTCCTAAGTATTGCCTTGGTGGTCCATCTCGGATGATAGTATATACCCAAGAAGCGAATACATTACTATTAGTGGCGAAATCCGTTAGAGACCTGCTTAGTGAAACAGAAAGAGATGACTCTGAATGGTAACTCTCCCAACCATCAACAGCCTGCCAAAGGTGGTACAGACAATTCTTTGTGATAGAAGCATGGCAGTCAGAGGGGTTAGTGAAATAGACAGCCGAGCGTGATTCTGTCGTTAGAAAATCCCGGAGCGATGTGTGGACTAGGTGCACTGGACGGTCGTCAGCTTCGGGAATAAGTAGAATGGATTGAATCCCGAGGAAAGACCTGACAAGGTTTCGCGGCGGTACATCCATCAGGAGAGCTAGGTCCCGGATGGACAACTGTTTTTCGAGATGTAACAGGGTTCCCATTGCCCACTTGAGGTCAACAACGCTTCCAGGTGCAACTTCAGAAGATACAGCACTGGAGAAAACCTGTATATATAGAGGATCCAGACCATGTGCCTTCAAGGCCTCTAGAAGTTGTTGGTGCGCCATCCCCCCCGCTTGCCGAACAAATTTGACGAATGTCGATGCATAGATATAGGAGCCATTAGCTTCACCAACCAGGGTATTAAGAACGTCCCACGAAGGCCAAGGCTCCGGTACACCATCCGCAACCATGAGTAGGCGATTGGCGGCATATATATCCGCAAATTCGGACTGGAAGAACATGCGAATGTCCTTTCTAGCGTCGTAATGCTGCAATTTCAGCTGAAGGGAGACCTTCTTGGCATCTATAGTTTCAAGTTTTAAGCGAAGGTGTTCCTCAACTCTACTTGTGATAAATAGACGAAACGGGACCCGGCCTCCCTTGGACTTGCACGCATCAATCACAGCATCGATGAACTCGTCCATCGATTCTCCGTCCCCAACTTCACATTCATCGAGGGCGTCAATAACTATCACCATGCATTTTTGTGCAGCATTGTTCTGCGTAAATGTTGAGCGGGCATGGGAGAGCATGGGGGTCATGATTAGCTTGTCAAATTGGTAGCTGAGCGGAGTATGCTGCTGGGTGAGGAAGGGTTCTTTGTCGAGGGCATCCCGGATCAACAGTTCCATGTTTTCAACTGTAGTTGAGAGCTGAAAAGCGAGCGTAGAAATCAGGTGGGATATCTTGTCTCGGTTTCCTGTCCCCCGAAAGAAGAAAAAGCTGGCAGCAAGCCTCCCTTCGCTAGCACACCACTCTGCTACGCTCTGCGCTATGGTCGACTTCCCCGACCGAGCGAAGCCATTAAGCCAGCAAATTGGAAGAGTACCATCTGTCCACGATTTGATCTCGTTCAGGACTTCCTTGCGAGTGCCTTCCAAACATCGAGCGAGTTTCCCTGAGCGATCCTTGTACGAAGCCTGCACTGGGTGTATTATATCGTATAAGCTCGGCACAGCTGACCGCGAATGATTGAGCTTGCTATTTAAGACGGATAAAGACCACGCACGGTAGAATCTATTATTGTTATTGATGTTCTGTTCGACGTGTTGAGCACTTCCAAAGTCGGTAAGAACACAGTCCTGGAGTCGGGCATTGTTGGACCAGTTTAGTAGACCAGCAGGAGGTGCTGGAGAGGGATGTTGGTTAAGATTGTTAGAACCTTCACTGTCATCGGAAGCTGTAAATGTGGCTTGTGTTGATGATACTTACCAGGTCGTTTCCCAAAAGAAGACATCAATGAAGCTGAGAGAATGAGACTATGAAGCGGGAAGATAAGCTGTGTCAAGTGGACATGCACATAAATACTGTATCGATAAACGCTCAGCCGCGTGGTCTCGTGTCCTGATAACATTGAATCCACCTAATGTGCGGTGCATATCGATAAACGCTCGCTATTATTGCGATGGTACAAATGGGCGCTCAATAATCGATTGGGGATAGCGCACACGAAGGGGGGGATAAGACCGGAAAAATGCGCAAGCCGCACATGATAATGGTTGTTTTCATAGATACATTCCTAGGCAAGGAAGCAGTACATCGTGGCTTCCTGATCCGAAATGTAACTTAATGACGACAAAGCAACCAGCATCCGGGTCAGGACCCTGGCAGAGTAATCCTTTCACGCAAGAATATTTGCTGTTTGTAGTTCTGTTGTCAATGAAGCTGTATCGGGGTTATAGGGGTAATGTCGAGGGTCATTGACGCATACTTCGATATCACCACCACTATTTGCTAGGCAGTACAAGTCAGTGGCGTCCCTAGAATTCAGAAATAGTTGTCCACACACCACCACCCACTAGATAAGACGATGCAACACGAAGGTTAAACGCTACACCAATGCCGCCACGGCAGGGAACAGAGACATGAGCATAAACCATCAGGTCATTCACAACACTCGCCTTGGGGACTCAATTTGAATTGCTATCTTCGTTCATTAAATCTGCTTGGAAAGATCCCCCAGATATGGGCGCTCGACACCCTATGATATCCGACAGTCGACCTTGAATTAATCGTTGAACAGACTGGAGCGTGAAGTTCAAGTTGCACTTACTAGAAATTGGGTTACAACATCAATCTATGTTGTACCCGAGTAAATAGAGGCAAATAGCCTATAGCTATAGTATCTCGAGATGGCAGAGCCTATGCAACTTGACCCAAAGCACTTTCAAAGGCGAAGATTCAGATTAACGCCCACAAAAATGAAGGTTAATATCTTTCAAAAGGACAGGACCCTGCCAGCGACTTTCATGTTGCTGCTACCATCGTCGCATACTTGAGTGTTGATTCGAAGATTGATTTTCCATTCACATCAGCTCTTGCCTGACAAAATGCCACATCCTCGAGGTAGTCGACTGGCGTCAGTCATCTAGCTACAGTCGGAGCCTCGCGCCTTGCATACAACCTGGGGCTGTGAGCCGGTTCAAACTTCTCTGCGTGTCTCCCTCGCTGTGTTCTCGGTGCTTTGCGGCAGAGCATGATTCTTTCTGACAAAGGACCGTCGTATCTCGATTTTAAAGGAACATACAACACTTTTTATTCCACTCATTGTAGTTGAGAGCCACGAGCCAAGCCCAAGTTCGACCTACTGTCACCAGCTTTCATATAGACCCCACCCAGTACCGTCAGCTATTACACAAGTACGTTTAGCAACTTAGTAAGTTACTTCTGTGCTACTTCGTCGTATAGAAATAATCAACCCAGAAAACGGAACCATCATTATTGCACTCTCACCAGCGTATCTAGGCGAAAATTTTCATGTCGTATAGCAAAGTTATCAGTGGCGTCGCTGGAAGTATTGCTGGCATTATGCTGTTCCAGCTACTTAGCTTTTACTTAATGAAGCCCAAAAAAAAGGATGGCATTAATCACAGCCCCCCTGGTCACATGCCTAGCCGCTCTTCCAATGAAGATGTGGCAGTTGACGTCGACGAGGACACAGTCACCTCATTTCAGCAGTCATCCACCGACTACGACGGAGCCACACATAATTTTCCATTGGACGTTACAACTTCAAATGCAGGAGCATCCATCATCCCCGGAGAGAATGCTCCTCTTTGTTCGACTTGCACAGAACTAGATTTCCATCTGATCCTCCGCAATGGGATCCCAAGGGAAAGCGCGATCTCACTCGGCCCTCTCACAGGCATCATACAAAGAGCTGGTCAGTGCGGTTTCTGCCGTCTTGCGTCTATTGTCATCCGTCGAACATGGCTTCTGGATGAACACCCGCATGTCGACCTCTCTGAAATTCAGTGCTCGCTGTATTCGATGGACTGTGGTTGTTTACAGGATCCTGCACCTGCGCCAAAGGAATTATGCCATCGCTTTTACATTCAGCCTTCAGATCGGCCACGGGAGATCTATGATGCTATGCTTGCAGCAAACACAGGGCTTATGCTAGATATCCAGCTCTTAGAGGAAGATGCTTGCAACAATGAAAGAACGGAGGAGCTTCATGGGAGGAGAGTGGGAGATACTATCGACATAGGACTCGTGAAAAAGTGGCTTGATCTTTGTGAGAGGGAACACGGTGACGTCTGCGAATCTGTGTGGTGGAGGGGTAGTGATAAAAATCTACCTAAGGGCGTGCGGATGCTAGACGTGACCTGTATGTCTATAGTACATGCACCCCCAGGATGCCGCTATGTAGCCCTGAGCTATCTTTGGGGAGGCATGGGAGCAGAGTATTGGACGACGCAGGCTAACTTGAAACAACGGGGTGTGTCCGGTGGTCTTGATATGTCTTCTTTGCCTGGGACGATCACAGACTCAATCCAGCTTGTTCGCCAGCTTGGCGAACGTTATCTCTGGGTCGACGCTCTTTGCATTATCCAAGACAATTTGAAAGACAAGGCCGTGCAAATTGGTGTCATGGAGCTGATTTATGGCAGCTCCCTCTTTACGATATTTGCTGCTGGTGGTAGAACCGCTAATTCTCCTCTACCGGGGCTTCGTCCAGGGACTCGCCGGCAGCAACAACACATAGATGTCATCCAAGGTCTCCATCTTACTGTTCCACTTCCAATGCTTCGTGAGACGCTTACACGGACAGCCTGGGATACACGTGGCTGGACTTTCCAGGAAGTTATGCTCTCCCGCCGTCGATTATTCTTCACAGACCAGCAAATATATTTCGAGTGTGGGCAGGATGTGTGGTGCGAAGATGTAGTGGCAGAGAGGAAGCGCCAACCACGGTCTTACCAACCACTACGGTACAACGGTGTAGGGGGTCTTACTTTCCTGCGGACCCCACCAAGCTGGGCCAAAAATGAATATTTATCAAGCTATGCCAGTGCCGTCGGACTTTACACGCAACGCCAGCTTACTATGGAGTCTGACATAGTCAATGCTATCACAGCACTAACCAATGCATGGACGAAAGGTTTCAAGTTGAATGGGGGTGATCCCCGTAAAGCCTTCCGTTTTGGTATGTCAATAACCGACTTGCACACTGTGCTTTTGTGGCAGCCAGAAGCAAATGTAAAACATTATCGACGATCAAATGGGGGAATGGGGAGCGCGCCTTGGCCGTCCTGGTCGTGGGCAGGGTGGCGGGGCGCTGTCCACTATGCTGGTAGCGGCCAATACCTCGAAATCCACAAGAATACCGAATCTCCACGGCTCTTGGAATCATTGGTCGATCCCTGGTTTATCGTGGACGAAGGTGGGGAAGTAGTTCAGCTGGAAGTCGGGCGCATGAATCGAGCTACTGCCTACCCAGAAGAAATAGGACCGAGACAGTATTTACCCCCCCAAGGGATTTTCGATCCACTGCAGCTAGGCCTTACGAATGAGCATCCCCCAGAACCTGGCACCCTTATCTTTCGCACAAGTTCTGCATGGTTCGATATCGCACAAGTCAATAGTGTTAGCTCAAACATTGAAACACATTACGCTTTCTTCTCCATACTATCAAATATACCATCCCCTTCGACTCGGGTAGGACGGATCATCCTACCCCTTTCCATACGCTCTCCGGCATCTCTCAAATTTATTGTTCTTTCTCGGACCAATGGACCCTCGGGCGTGTATGATGAAAACGTTCTAGGGGAACGATATTCTGGGTGTTTCTTGTACGTGATGGCGGTTGAAAAGAAAGGTGATACTACCATAATGGAGCGCGTCGGAGTTGGTATAATTTTTGAAGGAGCCTGGCTTCAGTCAACTGCAGAAGAGACGGTAGTGTTGCTTGGCTAATGAATAAACAATAACAGATCAGCATTGCTTGGCCCACGCCAAACCGATGCCGACCCTGTGCCATCCTAGCTGCCAGTCACAATTGTAAATTCATTGGCTGGGTAACTTGCTGCGTCTCACACGAGTCTGAGAGGTTCTCACATGTCTCTGTATTTGTCGGTTAGTTTTCAGCTCGGGGGAATCTAAAGATTGCACTGTTTGAATGTTCGAAAGTGATGATGAATGGGCTGTGCTCATCGTGATTGTGCAGATTTATTCTCACCTAGGCCTTCTTTCTGCTTGTCGTTAGATGCATAAAATTCTCCTTTTCGCAGATCTGAAGCTATTGTGAGATTCTCTGCAGGCTGGCACTCATAACAGTAACTGCGCATTCGATAAATATAAATTTATTATTCTGCCCAGAGTTTCAGAAGAGTTCTGGATAGTGTTTTGCGTCCTGCCTCGCGGTTAGTCTTGGTATGATCGTAAATACAGCTCCTTTGTCAGTACGATGTAGGACTATACTCCGCAGAGCAGTGCTTTCGATGCTTTGGCAAGTTCCCTTTGTGCTGCGCCGGGGAGGCAATGGTGGATTACATAATCCCCTGAGATAGTTGATAAAATCCGGAGTCGCATCGAATTGTAACATTTGATATCATACCAACGTTTACTACAATGCCTGACATTTCCATTCTCTCCAGCTCTACGAAAGGAGTAGAACGAACAAACTCCATTGTCATCACACAACTTCCCCGCTCACTTTTCCAGCCTTCGATCCTGAGCGCGCTTCAAGACCACTTCGCGGTGTATGGCCAGATTAACCAATGGGTACCCATAGCAAGCTTTTCACGTATAATTGTGGTTTACTACTACGAAGATGACGCCGAGCGTGCAAAGTTGAACTGTGATCCTTTGATCATCGAGCCACTACACAGGTGTGTCTAGTTGGCCCTCACTTTATTGTGCCACAATCTCACAGAGCCTTAAGCTCGCCGTTGGCCCTGCGAGTTTATCGTTCCGACACAAACCCTATATTAACATCAGAATGGCCGCATACAACGGACAACCACTATCTCCACCCTCCTGCATTGGAAAAGAACTTCCTTATCTCACCACCAGGATCACCACCTATAGGCTGGGAGCCCATCAAAGAAGATCCTCCAAATGCCACACCACTGGCTGATGACTTGATAGCGGCTCTTCGCAAGCTGCAGGTGCATAACAAACGCTCAAGCAAGGAGGTTTTGTTAGAACCCGAAGATGGTGTCGGTGTCGGTGTATATGTGGAGGACTGTGACGGTGAAGAAGGCGAAATGGAGGTTGACGATTGGGCGTATAAAGGCCCTTTACCCTTAAATCGGAAACCTCTGGCCACTGCAATGCCGCCACTCCCAGCAGTTGTGTCGTAGACTTATTATTGACACTGTCATGCTATCAGTAAGTCCTTCGTGGATATATTACTCTCGATTTTTTGTTAACGCTATCTTGAAGAGGTATATCCCCCAGATTCTGTAATAACCATTCAGTCATTGTCATCTCACGTTTTTGTTGTAACTGCTGTATCATACCCATTTAGAGACGTGAGTCGGAGTTTTTCCCCCTTATCGCAATGTCTCATAAATTAGTTTGATGTAGAAGTGTTTAAAGTTTGTAGGAAAAGTTATGTACATGAATGATGTATCGAACCTTGGCCAATTTTTTTGCTATCATGTCATCGGTATTCTTTCCACTTCGACTTCGTGTAAATCGGAATTGTATACTCATGGACATTACTTCTGGACTTTTTATCAGTATGGAATTATTTGAGCCTCTCTAAGCTACTTGTCATTGTATCGAATCGTTCAATAAATGTTGCTCTAAATTGAGCATACAGTCGGTACATATCCATGACAGGACAGTATAGTGAGGACGATGGAGATGGATAAACAGTAGATCAAGACGGCGATGAGCTTGAAAGACCTCTCTAATGGACGTGCGAACGCAAAAAGCGAATCATTTAATTATAATGGTTTCTTCTGAAATATCAAGTCGGCAGGATTATTTACCACTGTAAGGGATATCTGTTCCCACTGAAAGATGGACAAAACAGCCGCATGAAGACTGCTGACTCTATGAAGAGGACAATAGCTAACGGTAAGTTGATGCAGCGAGATATTTCTTGGGAGTCATACGTGAAATGAAGATATGTTTCTGTCGTTGATTGAATGATTTGACCTACTAATACGGCTTACCTTAGTTATGAGCATTGCCTTAATCATCCTGGTCGTAATGGTCCTTTATGAAGGCTTTTCCGTATCTTACTTAGCAACGACTAAACAGCCATTTGCGGGCACAGTTTTGCCATTTAGACGAATAAAGGGAATTGTAACTGAGACGAGGATAAACACCATTGTGCAATCGTCTTCCGAGTGCCGGTGGGTGTTACTATAGAGTGATTTTTGTGATGTCGGCCGTCTACTTCGTCCGGGAGCTGTGTATGGACAGGGCAAGGCGAGATCACGGTAATTCTGTGTACGCCTACCCACGATGGCCAACTGGTAAGAGAGAGGCAAGAAATTGAAGAATGAGGAAGTCGCTCTGGATACCTGTACGGTTTGTTGTTCCTTAAAGAAACCAAACCTGTGACATTTTAAGATAACAATAGTCAATCATTCGACTTCTCTCACCAGTTACTTTGAACAACTATTGGTCTACATATGCGGTTGCACCGGTTCCGGTAGCGGTTCTGTAATATGCTATTCGTTTTTGCGGTGCATTGTATCAGGATGACTTTGATGCCATTGTCTCTGTTGGGTAGTTTAGCACCAGAGTATAAGGATAGGGCTAAAAACTCACCATAGTCCAATGGAAAACTGATGAAAGCCAAGCTCCGGTGTGATGCCATCTGTAAATACAATCACCGATCACCATAGCTCCAGCACTACCTTGGGTTAATACCAAGACTCCCGAGTCCGACTATATTCACATGCCAGCCATGACGGATAATAGTGTATTCCTACTGTACAGGATGAAAAGGGTATAAAGCAAGATGGGTCATAGTGAGAATAAGTATAGTGGGGATAAGGCTTAACCTGGATTGAAGCCAAGTCCAGTCACTGTGATGTTAAAGTTTGCCAAATAGCTCGGATTTACGACAGTCGGAATCGGAGAGCTCTCGTCTCTACAACCATCATCCAAGTTCGTGCTTTTCAAGTTCCAACACTTCCAGTCGTAGGCCATGCACGAGCTTTATGCTATTTCTATTTCCTTGGGTCTTAATTTCAGCTGCATTCAATGTTTTCTCCACCGGCAAACGATATGACGCTCCTCGAATTTCACGAGGAGCTGGTAGTTTCTCGCCCAGTCGCCTAAATCGTAATTTTGCGTGGGCTAGCACTCCTGATGATCAGGTATAGGTATAGGATTGCATGATAGAGAAAGGCGAGCTTCATGGTGAGCGTTGGTATCTTCTACTACTATGATCATTTACCTAACCCTTTTGTACAGGCTTTTACCTTGGTGTAAAAGTATCTACAGATCTCAAAGTATTGGAAAACAAATAACTTATATCTCCAATTACTTAGGCAAGACATATATTTTGTCTCCAAATAGGAATTTGTCCTGGATTTCCATGCTAAAATAAGCATCCAGTCACAGATGCATACCTTTTATGCGGCACACATGTTGCCTACGAAACTCTTGTTTTCTCCAGGATCACAGCCCCATGAATGATCATGACTCGATTCGCCACTCTTTCAAGCGCCTATCGGCTTTGTTTTCTTACTGGAACGCTGTGTCACTAAGGTACCAGCCGTTGCGTGTGTGAGCTACCTGTTCAACTGATGTTCGTTATATAGAATTCTAGGATCTTGCCGCCTGCGTAGCAGATAAATACCAAGTTTCGAAATGATGCTCCATTCTCGCCTTTTCATATCTCCTTTCAGACCGATAAAAGCATACCAATGTTAGTCCGGATATTGCCCACAAGCAAGATTACTCGACGGGCCACTCGTTCGGTACGTCAATACCTCGTACTTTGAAGCCACAAAAAACTCAAACTGGATTAAAATCTATAATCTACTATCTAAATAGGTTATATAAACAAATTACAGAGATTCATGACCGTGCAACAACCATGAACATGCAATGTTGGAGGTCCCTCAAAATACTGCTTAAAATGGGTTTCCCGAAAGCTGCCGAAATCTCGAATACGAATGGGTATAAATGTTCAAGAATTGTCGTCTTCATTTACTCTCTAGGTCTCGTGCTCCATTCTGTGTTTCCTCAACTTCAAATTGAAGTCTGCTGGAACGGTCTGCATCTTGATGTTCAGACACCGTCAATGTGGATTCTTGAAGATGATTCGAGGCCCAAGTCCACACGGTTGCAAACGCCACACCAATAATGGCTACATACGTGTTCACTATGAACACTGTACTTGTGATCAGCACGAATTTTTCCGAAGAAAAGAGCAGAGCCAGTTGTATAATGTTGAATATAACGGGAAAGATGAAATTTGACGAGGCGATAAAAAACAGGCCGCGCAATTGTGTTCCGAAACTCCCTGAAATATACTAGGTAAATAATATTGAAACATCCAAAATGCATTATTACTTACAGGTCCCGCCACCTTTGACACAATGACACGGGAAGCGACGAAGAAACATGACCGAGAGAAATCTAAAAAATCCTCCTTGTTCAATGACTGGAAACCTCCTGTTTAGTATCTCAAAACCACTCACGAGACATCCACGGTCTGCAATATCCATTCGAATTTAACTTGCCAGTCCCCCCATAGATGAAAAGCTGAAACCAGTGGCGATTCGGCACCGTTTGTAGCGCCGACGTCTTTCCAAAGGTAAGTGGCACAGTTAATCATCCTGATCACATGGATCGTCGAGGGAATCGATACAATAATCAGGAATGTGAGCCTCGGAGTACTTCGAGAGGGATAAAGTGCGAGAAGACGCAGGATTAGAATGGTTTCTACCGCCAAAGGAGCAAATGCTGATAAGGTAGTATATGCTATACTTGCGGCCTGCGGCAGCGGATCATCGGGAGTCAAGATAGTACGGATCTGTTGCGCTTCAATATCCATAGCACTATCACGCAAAAATATTGCACGTACCATTATAAAAATGTTAAGTCCTCCTTGCACAAGACCGACTAATATTCCTACAATGTTCAGATAGAACACTGCATACCGACGCGATTGTGGTGTTGAGAAGATGAGCAACGCGATAAGGACCGGGATCAACATGGACGAGAATACAGTACCGACTAGAAGAAACGTCACAGTCGGTTGGAGCATCTCTATCCAGTTTGTACCTGGTGGAGGTAGGGAAGCGTCAGAGGCGGACATCCTTCCAATGGTCAATCGTTAGTCCATGCCATCCCATGGATTATATACAAGGCTTTCGGGACATGAGCACCATCTCCGAACACTGTATACCATCATGATCGGAATCATACTACAAGGTCTCGCGTCAGCCAGGGCGGATGCTGTGAAGCCAATAAAGAGCGCCTATTGTGGGTGAAAGCGCCGACAGCAACGTTTTCTCATCCACAAAGCTTCAACAAAACATATCCAAATTACCCTCAACCCTCGAGCACTATCGCTTCAAGATGTTAGTATGGGATACGTTTAAGCGCCTTGGTATATTCAGAAAGGTGTATATTATGGAGTGCAAGGGCCCCGACGCATTCATCATTTAAGCAGCCGCACAGACTACAAATGCACATCAACTTTCAACTTAAATCATGTTAGGATCAAAGGGCGGGACTCCCATATGGCCGACGCCGACCGAGGGTGGACAAGGTTCCTGTGTCTATAATACTTGGTATCCTCCACGCTTGCTCAGCATACAAAGGGAACAGCACGTACTGGATGAAGGAAAGATCGGGATTGTTGTATCCTATCCCGAATATCAACATAGCCGGGCCACTACATGGAGACAATCATAATGATCCTGCTCGTAGCGATCACTGTTCTATTCACAGTTTACAATGGAACGATCCTCGTCAGCATGGTTTCCCAGCAAATAAGCTACAGAAACTGACCATCAGCGGGCCTAGCACCAGCACTAGTCACGATTGTAATGGACGCTGACACTGCAGTGAGCAATGTTCTGCAGATCTAGGATACTTCATTTCACTATGATTCGTCATAGCAGTCTATGCTAACCAACCAAACCCCCCAGAGTGTGCTCATATGGATATGGATCTTGCCTGATTTCACAGGTGTATGCTCAACGTCGGCATCTTTCTCTTCTAGCTTGCGACTCATACACCTCGACCATATGTACCATCACATACCTTCTTTCGCACCAAGTGCACCAACACCAGTTTCACCCACCCCGAGAACACCGACTCTACGCCCAGGACACAAGCTACCTGGGATGTTCCCAACGACTGCCGTCGCAGAGTGAGGTCAAGTCCACCGCAACGTTGATACATCTTCGATGGCCACGTCGCATCATCATCCCGTTTCAAGATACCGTGTCATATTTCTTATGCGCGCGTCAGTGCACAGCCAGACACAATGACGTTACCCGATTGGGCTCGAAACGGACAACTTGACTGGGATGAAGCGCACCCTCCTCTGCGTACCGTATTCGTACAGTAGACTCCTTGTTGTAAAAAATTCCACGAGGTTTACATCCAAAATATGACGTGGTCTCTCGCACGTTTCGTGGCCATTCATCATCTCCGACATCTCACAACAACAAAGACAAGACAGTCGAAAACCCAGGACCATTCGACGGCTCCGGGATCGATATCCTCCTACGAATCCGAGAATCTCCGGCCAGACGCGTCCAAGGTGTGAACATGCTCTTATGCCGTAATAACCATCCCCGAGGTCGTAAGTGGGGTGCGACGACTGGCCAGAACGTACGATGGCAAGCTGTCACCTCTACCGTCTAACCGCTTATTCTGGATATCTTATACATCCATAGTCGACCTTTGAAACTTGAAACTTGAAGCTCGAAGGGCTGACGATAACGAAAATGACGCGCTTTGGCGATATTTGGTCTGATTGGTCACTCGACCTGCAGTCAGAATATACCAAAGACTCGGACTCGGAGAACTTGCAATAGAAAGGACCTGAAAAATGGCGAACACATCAACGATCGATTAAACCGAACTCGAGAAACAGGAGTAACCAAAAATGCAAAAAAAAAATCAAAAATCAAAAATCAAAATCTAACAAAATGTAAGATCTATGAATGGGAAGGAAGAGGACCGGGGGATGTGGGTATTAGGAATTATGATACTGCTAATTCGAATCATTACTACGAAAAATTTAGGAGCTAAAACTTGAAGCTCGAACAAACAACGATATGTTTAGTAAAAGTATAGGCAGACAATCAGGCGACAGATAAACACGTGTTAGACATCATAAAAGTCTACAAGAGCGGAATGCTATTCAAGACAAAGAATGAGAAGTGAGTGGTGGGGAAACATAGGACAAGAAACGAGGCAAACAAGAACATGGGGTGACCATTAAAACCACATTGAAACGGAATACAAAAAAATTGATCGCGACAAGGCTAGAAAATAAGATTATAAAGGTGGCGACAATTCAAACACTGTGATATTTAGTTATGTATAGGCGGCACGAAAATAAGTTATAATCTTGGACCGAACACTTCAGACTCTTGACAAAGACGCGCTGAAAAGAAAATGGAAAAGTGGTAGAAACCTTCATTGACAAAACAAGATGATGAAGACGCGAGATCGAGGATGGCGAGGCTGATATCGTAGCGCCAGTGTTATAAACAATCACCGATAGCGGCTCTCTTCGATGGTTCTCTGACCATAAGACGTTCCACGATATCCCGTGCCCAAGGGCTTTCCACGAGACGAGCGACGTTCGATCCCTGGATGCTATCACCGGTTGGCCATGCCCAATCAGCTCGAGCGATCTTCCCGAGCCACGCCTGTCTCTTCTCCTTCCTGCCACCTCTTCCCCTTTTACGATTGAAGACGTCTTCATGTCCGTCATAGGCGATATTTGACTCCACCTGTTCTATTTCTTCGCCAAAGGGCAGCTCCCGCGTCATCAGCGCATACAGCACGACACCACAGGCCCAAGCGTCGGTTTTACGCGCATCATATGGGACGCTGTAATCTTTACGGGGAGACGAATCTGAATGCGACGAGGAGGAGGAATCAGATGAACTGAAGATATCTTCAAGCTGACGCAGATGGTCGTAAAATGAAGGAGAAGAGGTATCGTGCGCAGAAAGGGAGTGAGATGAAGAGATTTGATGGGATGACAGGGACGACGAAGGCGTGGCTGCGATTACAAGCTCAGGGGCGAGATAAGATTCAGATCCACATCGCGTGGTAAGCATGAAAAGGTTTTCTTCCGTTTTCTTTTCATCCTTTTTAGCATCGGCCTTTGTTTCGTATACAACCCTGGCTAGCCCAAAGTCTGTTAGGTTGATGAGAGGACCTTTCGGCAGTGCTGAACCAGGGGGAGGAGGGAACGGAGTGCTGGTCAGGAGAATGTCTGAGAAAAGAATGTGAGTTGATCAGTACATCATGTTATAAGTTGCAAAAAAAAAAAAAAAGAGCGGTGCAAAAAAAGAATCAGACTGATAAAAAAAATAAAGAGGCTGTGTGCATGTCTAGAGCGCGCATACATGCAACTAAACGAAAAATGAAAGATAAAGAATCAGAATATGCGGTATATGCGCATGAAGTCAAGACAAAGCCAGATGAGAGATGAGTAAATGTATGCGCCATGAATGACGTAAAAAGAACATGTAGAAGACAAACCAAGACTTACTCTCCAGCTTGACATCTCGATGGACGACTCCTTTCCGATGCAGCCAGGCGACAGCACCGGCGAGCTCTGTCCAGAGCGAGCGCATAAGCGCGTCGGTTAGCAGCCCGTGTCGTGTATCCGAGTTGACTAACTCGAGGAGATCACCGCCAGGTGTGAAGGGGAGAAGTAGAGCATGTGCGCTAGGCACAGCTGTGGAGGAGTATAGAGTGGGAATGAGCGTAGAGACCGAGAGCACGCGGAGAAGGGCAGGGAGGGATGGATGGGCGTCCTTATACGAGGCGATGTGCTATCAAAGACGAGAATATGAAATCTAACTGTTGGATTTTTGAAGGCTGTTAAAAAGGTACTTACACGAAGCACGCGAACCTCGTGCTCAAACTCAGTGTGGATAGGACGCGAACCAGATTTGAAAGCAGTCATTTTGACCGCGACGAGCCGGCCAGCGGCAGACGCCGTGGGCGATGTATCCTGGAATGAGGGTGGACGATGAATATCCGATAACGGTGCATTTAATGCTGAAGAGGTTTCTTTATCGGCACTGACACCATGTCTGTCGGTACGAGGGGTATTTACCATCCAAGAAGCATTCCTTCCGTATTCGTGAGAGGTGGTTGAATTTGGTAAGCGGGCGAGCCAGACGTTACTGAAAGAACCGTAGCCGAGAGCCCGTAAAAGCTCAAGTTCGACTTGTGGGCCACGAGTTCGATCAATCAAGTCCTTGCCGTGGAGAGTCATGCCAGGCTTCAATTCGACAGATTCTCCACGAAAGCCCGAAACATCACTCCCACTAGCGCTAGTAGACGCAGGCGAGCAGGGGGGGGACTCGCTTGTGGGAGGAGAGGGGGAGAGCACGAATGATAGTGGGGAATGTGTGCGTGGGGCATGGGAGTGAGCCACGTCTACATCGATATTAAGGAACTGCGGTTTGGCACGGGAAGGCGATGCAGAGTTGTATCGCGAGGGGAAGAGGCGGGATAGGGGGAGAAGTGTGTTAGACGGTGTGCTTGGGAGAGGAGATAGAGAAGGAGGGGGAGGAGAGGCTGGTGTTGAATTACAGAGAAAAACTCAGCTGTGAGGGAGCGGGGGTGGGGAAGACATTTGTTTAGGGGCAGTGGGTGGAGAGGGATTCTTTGGGGGAAGAGGGAGGCCAGAGTGTGAAAAGGAGGTGGCACAGAAAGCGTATGTCTTGGAGGAGGGGGAGGAGGAGGGAGAGGGAGAGGGAGAGACTTCGGAGAAGGAAAGCGAGGACGATGAAAGGGACGATGACGTGCTGATAACTGAAACCGACGACGACGAAGAGAGCGACGAGGAGGACGAGTGGGTCATCGTCGACAGCGCAGAGCTCATTGCCAGCAAAGAGAGCGTCGAGGGGAGAGAGTCGGGTGGTGGTACAGCTGAGAGTCAGCCAAGGTCGGAGTCAGTTGCAAGATTGTCGAAGGAGCACATCCTGCCAAGCTTTCTTCCACGTGCGTCTCGGATCTACTTACGTCAGCCATCCCCGTTCCTCGACCTTTCCGCCCCTTCCAGCCTTTCCGTCCACCACTGCCACTCTCACCGCCACCCCCGCCACATCCCCATCCCACCTACTACCCCTCTTCGCCATCCACAACAGCGACCACATCCACCACCCAATGTGCTCCTCTCGGCTACCATGCTGCTGCGCTGCGCTTACGCTAAGCGTAACGACCTCTTCCCTTAATCTTTGCGTCACTTTTTCCTCGGAGCTTGTAATCAACACCTTCTGACATGCGTCTCACGCCTCCATTCGCTGCTCATCCTAACATCCTATCAACGTGTCTCGCATCGATACGCACTACTGCCTTTTATCTAGACTTCTTCAAGTCATCTGCCACTCCATCCTCGTGCACTGCATTCACATCTGCCATCTTTCTGGGTACCCATCTGCCTTACTCAGTTTATCGATAATCCGATCTTGCCTTGGAGACTGCATACGGACCGAAAGAGCTCTTCAAGGTATCCCGTTGTCCCAGTACAAGTCCCCACGTAAAACGGAGATAGCGTCACGGTGAATCTAGTTATACCATTTCACACGCCTGGTTGGTTTATCTTGTGACCGCGGAACTCCTTCGATGGCTCGATCACCCCAATATGAACGTTCATCCCTTTCAACTCGTCAGACGTTCGCTTCTTCGGATACCTCAGCGCACTCACCGCTGCTTTTCTGCATGAGCACTGCCAGTGGATACACATCAGACATCCAGGTATAGCTATTCACAATTCTGCCTCCATACAGGATGGTACTACTAGTATATCTCCTCGTGCGGCTCTGTCCGGTTATCCTGAGCCGCCAATAGGGATTGCCCGACTTTTGCCTACTGGTATTCAGCAATACATTGATTGACAGCCGCCATGGCATATCCCGGTCCGTTCAATGTATTCTTGAAAATTTGGCGCATATATCCACTTACGGTGTCTTACGACATCATTGCATTACATAGCCAGGAGCTTCCAGGATGTTTGGGCGACTCTTTGCCAGAAATAGCCTGTACGTTTGCACCATGAAACTGTTTTGCTTCTTCCCAGCGCTTGCATCGGGTGCGAAGTACTTCCTTCGTTGTTGCAGTGCAACCCGATGCTCGCATCTTTATGCACGTATACTACAGTCGACTCTCATCAAGGGGTGTGCCGTTTGAAGTATACGGTCTCATACCTCAAACCCCATGCCCCTTAGTGAATGCCAGCATCTGTGGGCCATGAGGGAGTATCAATTCCAATCACTCCTCCCCAGTGACAAATGGCAACCTTTATATCTAATCTAATCTGAACCTTTTCCCACGAGTTTTGAGATGCGACTCATCTATATATTATGTTCATTCAAGCTATTCTATGTAAAATAGAATGTACACTAATCCCAATCTCTGAACACAAAAATGGGCCGACCAGCAAGATAACCACGGCAACATTACCCAAGAACCAATCACCTTAGTACTTGATGATGTCGACCTAGAAAATCTTACCAGACTCGCCAAGCTTGTTAGCATCAAGATCGCGATGGACTTCATAAATGCGCTCAAGGAGACTCACCTTAAAGACCATATAACACCTTTTTTGATGTCCAGCAGGCGTTTTGGCACTTGGGCTCTACCCTAAATCCTCGTCAGCTATTACTTCATCTCAAGATATCCTCGCATTATGGTCACTCGTATCTCGCCATCGTCGCGACAGGTAAGCAAAGGGATTTTCCATTAACAACATCATGTCCTGTTAGTGAGATTGAGAGTACAGATACATTAGAAATCACCGTGAAAAGTATACAGCGCTCTATGCTTGGTTTCAATACCCATTCTCGTTGCGCTTTTCGTGTTCTCAGTAGCCAGTTCGCGTCGTCTCCCTTTTTTTCTTTCTTTTTTTTTTTGAATAAATAGAACGGTGATACTTCTTGGTCTTGCAGTGGGATGTAAAGGACTTTATTATGCCGGGGTATGACTGCAAAAAGAAAAACCTACTAACTCTGCAATAACTGACAAAGCTCTTGTATATACATACCAAATCTGGCATCGGAGATTCCTCTAATGGGAATCATATTCGCGATATTATTTTCACTACATTGCTCTCGTTGACGATAGAAATGACCCTGGATGCACCATCAGAGTTTACATAGATGTATTTCTTCGACACTTGCGGATGCGGGGTATAATACGTCATTACTCTCAACGCATTTCTAGTCCAGTTCACCATCGTGGTATCTACAAATCTGACAGTCGCCCCCTCCTCCAGATGTAAGGGGGACTGACCTGTATTTCACTGCACATTGGTTATCGCTGCAAGAATACCGAGAGCACGATGCAACATGGAGTTGCCAAGTGCATCCAGATAGGAAAACCTTCAAAGATGTAATGTAATCATCCGATGAAATATATTCATAGTTGTCTATAGCGACTCGGGATTAAAGTTGTGACTTGACCGCCATGTACGCCAGCCGTGGCACTACAAAGGATGATTTCATCGGGTCTTAGTTGAAGCATCAGTAAAATGTCAACTTTCTTTGAAGACCTTAACTCAGCTTATAACGATTTTAAGAGTGATTAAGATCGGTTTGGTGCCAAGGGACCTATGGATTTTCAAGACGAGAAAAGTTTGATTAAGGACACTCAATTTCTTGAATCTCACTGAGTACGACTTTGAACAAACTTGAACAACTCTTGAATTTTTATTAAGGCATTAAGAAGTAACTCCTAAGATGAAAGCAAGATATTTTCGAGAACCGGAACAAGTAGCATTAAATGAGAATAAGAAAAAGTCAGTGCTCCAAGTTGTAAAAGACGAAACACAATTCAAGACACAATTATCACCAAAACAAACTGAGCAGGGATGTGGAAAGAGTCTACAAGGAATTCATGATAGCTGGGGAAAACACTAAATGTATTTGATCATCTATGCACCCCAACGCAAAAAACCTGTAATGAGCATGAATGCGAGGGCACACATACAAGGAACACTTACACAGCCTAAACATCAGCTAGACGGGCTCGAGGGTCAGCACCTCCATCTGTACTTGTGGCCGGCTGTTTAGAGCGTCCTTTTCCAACAACGTAGGTGCTTGCTTTTGCCACTATGTCGTCCATCGTCTCTTGTTTGAGTGCTTTGATTGATGTAGCATAATAGCGAGTAGCCTCGCCCCAGTTCGTGTCAGAGAACGCCGCATGGCTACCGGTTGTTTTGCCAGTAGCCCTGTTGAGCTCTCGAACCGGCTTGACTTTCCGAGCTACGGAACCTACTTGGGATTGCGTTACTGGCGGGTCCCAGGTGATTTTTCTCTCAGCCCACATAGTAAATGCACGTTCAACCTATATTCAGGCTTTAGTAGAGACCTCGAAATGATGCTGGTTTTGTACTCACGGCTGCTGCGCTCATCGCTAGGGCCCCTACCGGTGGATACTTCTTAGTGTCTGTGGCATTACTAGGCACACTGTCAGCTCGCAATACCTCAACATCAATAGATGTGTTAACTGCTGCAAGGTGGGCCGCAAATGTTTGCAGGACAAACGGCGACCGAAAGAGACCACGAAATCCCTAAAAACAAAATGTGAGCCAAATATGATGTATTATGAGACCACATACCGAGGGATCATCCCCTATTTCTTCGTAGAGGTATGCAAAACCAGTGAGAACTTCACTAGCAAATTCTTGACGGGCGTGATAAGTTGTGTAAGCGGGATCAGATTCAAAGAAGTGCTCCACCATGGCCATGGCAGTAGAACCAAAACCACTTCGCCATTCCGAAAGACGTTGAGAGGCCTAAGAGCTAGTGAAAGAAATAACAAGACAAAAGACAAAATAAAACTCACCACAAGATAGACAGGGTCTTGTACAGTGATAGCGTGGCGAATGTTGGGATAGATAGCATCCCAGGCCAGTTGCATGGCCCAGACTGCCTTGGTGTCGCTAATGTTCCAGGGATTCTCGCAGGTCCCAACCCACTTCTCATACGTTGTGATAAAAGTGTTGCGCCAACGGCCACCCTCCATGCAACCCTCCGGGAGGTCAGAGTTTGTGATTTTTGTCGGATGTTCAACTTTGATGCGCTTTAAGGGAGGCTTAACACCATCTCGAAATTTAACGAGGTTCTAGAGAAGAATAAGGTCAGTAAAAAACAAACTTGAACGGTTAACTCACAGTGCTTACGGTACGCTTTCCCTTAACAGCCTCTATGTACTCTTCTATCTCAACTTCATCCTCAAGTCCACCCGCCCGATATCCAATACCAGTGCCTTCATTTGTAGCTGACCACGTATTTGATGTGGATTGTGAAGAGAGCACCCGTTTCTTGTTGTTCGGATGAGATGTGCAAGCAGTGGAGTCTGTAGTGATGGGAAAGAGTGATGAAACGTCCTGCGAGTTTGTGCTGAGTTCATCTGCTTCGTTTGTTGTAGCATAGTTTGGCTTGTGAACATTTTTTCTCCATGAATTGATGCCTACAGATTTGCTATAGGATGGATCCGACACATTTGAATTGAGGCGTTGGTAGAAAAATAGAGTTATTTCGTTGAGGCAAAGCAGTTGATCAGTCATTCTGTAGAGATCA